AGAAAACTTACACGATGGTGTTGCTCTGATCTACTGATCCCAGAAGATAGAGGGATGACTCCCTCTGCTTAACAGGCCTGGATCCAGTTGTTCAGGTTCATGTTTTTGATCACCGTGGAGAAGTTGCCCGAGCCGCTGAATTCGCAGGCCTTGTTCTTCTGCTTCGTCGAGACGTTGATGTTGTTGTCGATGTCGTCGCCCTTGGGGTACTCGATGTGGAAGACCGGCTTGTCCTTGTGCACAAAGGCGGCGTACGTGTCGCATTCCTCGTACTGCGCGCACTGCTCGTTGACACTCCACTGCATCTTGTTGATGACCTTGGGGATGATGGCGCCCGCGTTCTTCAGACCGATGGACATGTTGCGCTTGTGCGACTCGTCGGCCAGCCAGTTCATGTACGTGGCCGAGTCGGATTCCTTCAGGTCCAGACCGTTGTCGTTGTCGTATCCGTCGACATTGTCGGGGTCGACGCCGTCGCAGCCCTTCTTAACCGCCATGTCCAATCGGTCGGCCATGATGTCCTTGACGTTGTCGCTGCGGATGTCGATCCACTTCTCATCCTCCCAGCCGTCCATGACCGATCCGAGACTCGACTTCTTGAACTTGTCCTTGTCCGGGCGAAAGTTCTCGTAGCTGCCTGCGGAGAAGTAGCAGATGACCTTGCGGCCCTGCTTGTGGAGCTCGTCGATGGTCTCCTTCTTGTTGGTGAACAGATCGATGTCATAAACGTCGACGTCATGCGAGGTGTCGTTGAGCGGGTACAGCAGCTCGATCTGCCAGGTGGTGCCGGCCTTGGGCTTCCATTTGACGCTGCCGCTGGTGGTGTTGCCGCCGCCGCCTCCGGTTGTCGGCGGGGTGGTCTCGTTATCACCGCTGTCGCCTTCGTCGTTGTCGCCGTTGTTCAGCCCTACGCCGAGGCCGACGCCCAAACCAACGGCCAAGGCGATGATGGCCAAGAGGACCGAGCCGATCACCAAGAGTTTCTTCTTCGTCGACCAGGATTTCCAGCCTCCTGCCGACTGACCCTTCAGGGCCGCTTCCTCAAAGTTTCCTACCATCGCGGCGGATGGGTAGGGAGTGTCTGGTCGATGAGTTCAGAGATGAATGAAAGAAAAAGTGAGCGAAAGATGGATGAACGAAAGAACGAATAGATGAAGAAACGAATAGAAGGTGTAGCAAAGCGACTAGTAGAAATTAAACCACGAGGAATGAAGAAGCTAAATTAAAGAATAAAAAAAAGAAAAAGGGTCGAGTATAGAAGACGAAAAGTGAAGGAGAAGAAAAAAAAGTGGGTAGCGATGGAGGGGCGTATAAGAGAGAGGAATGAAGAAAAGGGGAGAGACAGGGCTGGTCGATCAGGCGATAAGATAATCGCCACGAAAGGCACGTTGCTTTGCTTCGAGGCCTGCGCCACACCCCAAAATTCCAACAATTCCAACAGGATCGCGAAAGGATCGCACTTAAGACGAAAAGCTTCGACTTGTTGGTTACACCACCGTGCCTGACGCCTCGCCTGACGGATTCAATCAAATGAGATCGGAATAATGAGGGCCAAACGGGACAAAGAGAGAGGATATGAGAGAGCCGTGGAGGGGGAGGCGATACGACTCAGGCCCGGGATCGCTGGGAGTTTGTGCAACCCCAGATGGCCTCGAAGACGCTGTTCTCCAGGGACGTCCAGGCTCGATCTGCAATGTGACCCTACCGGGCAAACTGGGGACTAGTTATGGGTTGAGAGGGTCTTGAGGAAGAACGCGGAAGCCTAGCGCCAGGCTATTTGCCATGCGCCACACCTTCGTTGTTTGGACTTGTGCCTTCTGGCTTTCGCTCTTTCTGACTTCGTTGAGACCCTGACTAATTATTCTCGAATGAACTTGTGGCTGAGGCAAGTGAGTGGCGGGCTGGGAGCATGGATGACCTCTTCGGATCTGTCTAGATCTCAATTTCGGGCCAGGGTGGCTCTCCTTATTCTTGCGTGATGTGACACCTTTTGAGGCTAACTCATGCTGGATATGGCAAGTTTGCTACCGGATGTGACCAGCTAGTCGAAATGGCGACTTCGGTATGCAGCATCAGCTATCTCTAACAGGACTACTCCGGACTGGACCAGACTTGGGGCTGAACTTCCCCCTAAAGACACAGAAACGCAGAAACAAACATGCCGAGGGAAACGAGGAGTGACTTCTCCGTACTCCGTAGACAGAGATACAGGGAACGAAAGGGAGCAAAAGCAGAAAAACCGAACCAGCACAAAGAAAGGGCACCAAGTGGTGACCAAACAGTAGCGCCGGCAAAAGAGGAAGGGAATCAGTCACTTTTCGTCCGTTGGGCCGCCTTCCTGACCAAGGTGATTTGGTGCCAAAAATATGGGGCCTGGCACCTCTTTTCAAATCTTTCTAACAGGACCTTCTACGGGGCTGGAACCCTACCAATCAAGCTGCTGTCCTTGGGGTGAAGGGAATCTGATCAATCCAATCCACTCCGTCCACGGACACTAGCCGCTAAGTCCCGAGATGTCGCCGATCCGGTGGATTTCTTACGGTCGGGCGCCGTACATTCCTTACGGTCAGATGGGTACGGATGGAAATCTGGGAATACCGCCCCGTACGGCCCAGCAGGATCGCGTATCTTTACAATTCCCCGGCGATACGACGCTAGTTCGGCCTAGTTTTAGGGCTAAGCGGACGGGATCTGCCAACTCTCGCCTACTCAGACTTGTTCTCCTCGACTCGTTCTCGGCTCGCCATCGCAACACGTCGGCATCTTGCCTTTCTTTCTTTGACCGTCTGACCTCGTATGATAGGGCCTTGGCACTCTAACACACACGGCAGCGGTTTGGAAATCCGAGAGCCGCAACGTCATGACTCGTCGCATTCCGGTGGCTGTCCAGGCTCTGTTTTTCCTAGTTTAGTCCGGAGACGCTAGTCTTACTTCTCTCCAGGGATCTGATCGCTCGGGTGTGTCCACTTGTCTCGGACAATTTGCGGACAGTGAACGGGAAAGAAGAAGCAAAGAAGGAAGAGAAAGAGAAACACGGAGCGAAAAAGAAAAAACGAAGAAACAAAAAAGAAGGCAACGGACTATGGACACCGAGGAAAAAAGCGTGTTCCATCCTACGAAGGACTCTGTAGTTTTTCAACCCCCCTTGCTCCACTACCACGTTTTGGTGGCGGACGTCGCTGTTTACACTTGCGGACTCTAGTGCCACTTCCTCCAATGAGATGCTGGTTGGTATGCTGATTATTACTCCAACCTGTCGTCCAATCATGTGTTCGTATTCTCTTTCCATCGCTACAGGTCCGTGTGAGAAGTCATATTCGATCCGAAAGTTAGATGGCCTGCCGTCGGCCGGAAGGCTCTTCTCACGCACGCCTGGAAAAGCAAGAAAGTAATAGGATGAGAGAAAATAATAACAGGTTAAGACGACAGGACAGGAAAGAGTCATAACTGAATCCCGACCATTCATCCCCCTGGTCCCCTGGCATCTCTGGCCTGAAGCTTGCCATGCAGCGATTTTCTTCCGCGGTGCCAACGGCTGTGCCTCACCGGGGCATCTCTACGGTGTACTGACTAGTTACTGGTCCCAACTCAGCGCGTTGTTTTTCCAGGATAGCGGGGGAAAGATGCCATGCTGAAGGGCCAAAATCCAAAAGCCGACCCAAGAGGTCTTTCGAGGCCAGTCTAGCCTCCTGCCCAATCCGACAATTGAGTTTTTGGATATTGCCTCGTTCTTTGTCTCTCGTCAGCTAGATCACCGTCGGTTTGCCGTCTACCCGTCTGCCGTCATCTTTAGGTTGGGTGGGATAGGGGAAGCTCGATGTGAATACGAGCTCTGCGAGGGGAAGGTTCATGGCGTGCGCGTCTGGGGAAAATTCAATGCCACACAAAGCTCTGTTGGCTTTCTCCGAGTACGAGTCGAGTCGTACATGACATGACATGGCATGGCATGGCATAAATTCTTTGTTCGTGTTGTTGTTCTGGGTACGGATCGGATCTGGTGCCGTGTTGTACCTACCTACGTAGTATGTACAGCACGACATACATATCATATCATATCACATCATATTATATATTATATCATATCACATCAGGTCATATCATATCGTGCCCGCTTCGGAAATTTAATGAATCGTATTTACTTTTTCCGGCAATGCCAAGCGAACATGGGTTCGGATGCAACTTGGCATGCGATAATATACTCCGACCTTGCCTGGAGGACCCCGTACAAATATATACATTCATTTCAACCAGACACCGAGAATACGACACAGAGATTAAGGAGTAGAGAACCAAGACAAAAGCCAATATTGACCGAAATTCCTCCGAGACATTGTTTATTCCATTTCCCTAAAATTATACAACATCAATTAATTACCGTCGGTCAGGTTATCATCTATGCTAGCGGATCCATTTGTAGACATGGGTATATCCCTAGGGCTTACTTGGTTGTGTCACTGGTGCGTCATTTAGGTCGACGTCAGTCAACGTGGCAGTGGCAAGAGGTGAACACTAGGCAGGCAAGCGAGAGGGAATTGTTTGCGGGGTGATGAGCTGTTATGCCATTATGGGCAGGAGGGAGAGGGTAATGCTGGTGTCATGATTCTTGGTTGCGTGTCGGCTTATGCGAATCATAGATAACTACTTGTAGTTGGATGTCTAGACATCGGGATTTGGTTGCTCTCCAGGTACGGGCGCGCTTTTTGCGGGGTTCCTCCCCGGGAAGATTTACGTGTTAGGCAGGCAGATGGGACGATCAATTGGTACACGTCAAAATATATCGTGGAATTATGTATTTCACTATGGAGTAGAAAGTCAAATCCATCGCTGCTTGGGTGGTACAACAATTTAAAAACAAAACAATTGATGACATTCCTTCATGAAAGCTCTATATTCCATCAATAAACATTAATTATTATGTGTTTGTTGGTGTTTTCTCAGAGCTAGCATAGTTCCTGGTTCGTGCCTAGCGTCCGTAAGGCTGTAATCTTCCGCTGGGTCAATTACAACGCAATAGGAGTGGACAGAGTGAAGGTGACCGGGGAGCCGGACAGCTTGGCCCAGACGGTCAGAGGATCGCTGCCGAGCTGTTCGGTGGCGAAGCTCTGGGTGTTGGTGGGAGCAACGGGGAAGGTCACCGGGATGGGGACGCTACAGGTGTTGCTGCTGGAAGACACCGTCACACCAGTGATCTGGTGGTTGGCAATGGTGTACTGAAGAGAGTAGTTGCAGGCATCACGGGTGTGACGTTCCAGGAAGTTCTGGGACATCTAGAGAAATAACTGTCAGCATGGAAAGATTCTTCAACCGAATAGGGGAAAATGGGGATGGGCAATGGTGACATACCTGCTGGTGGGTGACGGTGACAATGGGCCACTTCACCAGACGCACGAACTCCTGAACCTGGGTCTCAACCCACGCCTGGAAGATCGAGTACTGGGCCTTGACACCGTTGACGGTGATTGGGGTGGTGTCGGCATTGCGAAGGTTGGCCTGGTGGAACATGTAGGGGTCGCGGTGCAGACCAAACAAATGACGCATGGTGTCGGCCTTCTCGATGGCAAGCAGGTCATTGAAGTTACCGCTGCCGGCAGACGTGTCGATCCATTCCTGGACGGTGCAGTCAGGGGTATCACAGTTGTAGTAGATACGGGTGGCCCAACGCGGGTTGACCTGCACACCGGCGAATCCGTCGGTGTCAACGGTAGTAAAGTACGGCCACATGTCGTTGACCGTGTTGAGCAGAGGGGTGCGAGTGTTGTCACCAACGCAGTTGGTAATGCCGTGGTCCCACCAAGCCTTCAGGGCATCGCCGTTGTGAAGACCAGTGATGGCAGGGGGGATGATACCGTTGCTGGTAAAGTACTTCGCCTCGGTAAAGCCGTTCTGCTTGAGCCAGGCCTGGTTGTAGGAGATTTCCTTGTTGATGTCGGAGTTGGTGGCATTGTTCTGCTCCAGGTGGGTGAAAGTGTGCGAAATATGACCGAACTTATCACGGTTGGTTGGGTTGGACAACCAGATCAGGAGATCATCCAGCTGAGTGCAGTCGGTGGTCCAGCCGTAGGAGGTCTGAGTCGAGGGCCAAAGGTTGGTTCCGGTTCCCAGAGGCTTCTTGAATTCCAACGGGGTGTCAGGAGGCGAGTCAAACTCAATACCGCCGCCGTTGCAGCGAGACTCGCCGTTAGTCTTCCCAGTAGCGGCTTCAATGTTACCGTTACCATTGTGTCCCAGCTCGACCCAGTAGTCGCTGCCCTCGTTCATCTTGGCATTGATGGTGGGAACCCAGTCGGCGATTCCGCTTAAGTCGGCGGTAGTGAGACGGAAGTTGACTCCGGCTGGCTTGTATACTTCAGTCTCCAAGAACACGTCGTCAATCTGGGTGTTGAGATTGATACGACGGTGTCCCACATAGAGACCGCGAGTCATCCAGTTGATCCAGGCGTGCTGCAGATAGTTGGAGGTGGCACTCCAGACCGTGTCGAACGAGATAAAGAAAGCCATCTGCTCTCTGCCACCGAAGTTGTTGATGACAGCGGCAGTCGAATCACCCGACGACCCCGAGCTGGCAGCGAATTTGGCGATTTCCTTGGTGGTAGTGGTGTTGCTGACGGTAGCCGGGTAGTGCCAGAGGCCCTGGGTGCTGACGCCGGCGCCGGTTCGCAGACCGGCCGTGGGGAAGTCGTCGACATTGGAGAAAGAAATCAGCTGTTCCACGCCGGAAGCGCAGCATCCGTCACCCACGGCTGAGGCGCCGAAGGAAGGTCCCGGGAAGACATCGTACTGAACCATGCGCACGCCAAAGTCGAGCTGGTAGGCATACAACTGGTTCCATTGATCGGTGGTCAATGCACTCTGGAAGCCTCGGGTGCCACCATAGTCATAGCTGACCTCACCAGCAACGACGATACCGCCGAAGTTTCCTCCGGAGGTGGAGTTCAGGTCAGGCAGACTGGCGCCTGCCTGAGGGACCACCAGAGTGGTGAACGGGATGCCATATGCGTTGAGTCCCGAGGACGCGGTGCCGGCGGCGGCCGTGTCTCTCGCAATAACGAGAATGTTACCCGCAATGGTACCCTGGGCGATCGGCGAGGCCGAGGGCGTGACGCTGGGGATGGCACTGGACGAGGTGAGAGACATCGTGCGAGATGGGCTCACGGCGGTGCTCGAGGACACGGGAATACTAGAAGATACCCGGGTGCCGGAGGACAGCGAAGTGCTAGAAGAGGAAGAAGCAGAAGAAGAAACAGAAACGAATGTGCTTGCAGAAGAAGTGGAAGCAAACGAGGTCGAGGCAGAAGATGTAACGAGGGTAAATGGAGTCGAGACTAGGGTAGACGAGAACGAGGTGTCAACCGATGAAGTCTCAACGAAGGAAGTAGTAAACGAATGCGCCGACGAAGTCACTCCGGGTAAAGCGGTACTAGTCACTCCGGTGGAGCTGGAAGTAGAGGTCCGCGATGGAGGCACAGGAGCGATGACAGTTGGGAATCTTCCAGGCCAAACACCTGGGGGAGTGGTGCAAGTTATAAGGCCGAAGTAACAGCCAACGCGAAGGACCCAGAGAGGAACCATTTGAATGTGGTCCAGGGGTCAGACGACGAAACTGAGAAAGATACAGGAATCTGCAGGCGAGCAAAGAGAACGAATGGCAGGGTGGACCTTTTCCGATCCAACCACGATGATGCAGCAGAGTTAGACTGGAGATCGTCGTTTGACTACGGACTCAATCACATTATGTATGCCTATTTATGCTGGTTGGAGACCAATAACGGAAATTTTCTGGCTTATCGTTCCACACGGCACCAGGGACAGTCCGACGTCCAAGCCCTGATGGTTCCACCATCCGATCAAATCGAGAGTTCTTTCATGTCGGACCCGGACTTAGGCCGCGCCTAGCAAACCGAGTCGACCGGCAAATCGACAGGTCCTCAGCGCCTCCAACGGCGGCAAGTTTGTCATTCACAATGCCAATATCGACCGATGGCTTGGGATGGTGGAAATTGCCCTGAGACCTTTTTTGGTTCACTCATGTTTTGTCAATTTTTGCAATTATTTTTGGGCAACGGAGACGGACTGTCCGTACCCACGGATCTCGCGCTAACTACTTTGCAGAGGTTGAATGAAGGGAATTTAGACGGAAGAGCGGCGAAATGTTAGAAATACTCATCCCCCAAAACCCGGGATAGTGGGACAAAATCCAATGGGAGGGAAGGCCCATGCCAAGAGGAACAATGGCCGAAGGAGCCCCAAGTAAAGAAGGGGATGTATCCATTAATTGACCGTTCATTAATCACTAATTGATTATCCATGATGGACCATGGGCTAGGAGCCTTAGAGCAAAAGGAGTTAGGGGAGGACGGAGTTGATAAGTTGGTTCGTCCAAAATTAGAGTCGCTAAGATCTTGGAAGGCCGGAAAAGAATCGATGAAGGGAGGGATGTGGGGTAGAGAGACGATAATAAGGGAGGGTGGGAAGCGAGTCAGTCTGGCTAGCGAAGATCGATTGGCAGTTGGTTACACGATGCTCGCTGACCGAGGCAACTGTGAGAGAGACGAGTGAGAGAAGGAAGCAGAGGAAGAGAGAGAGAGAGAGAGACGGGGAGAAGTGGAGGACGGGGAGAGAAAGCCAACACCTCGTATCGACTAGTATCACGGGGTATCGTCAGACGGCGGAGATTTGGAAATGCCGGAATTTGAGAAACACAGAGAGTATCGTCGTATTACTGTATGAAACCCCCCAAATACGGTCTCGTATTACACTGATACCAAATACCGCACCCGCTTTTCTTTTTTTCTTTTTCTTTTTTTTTTTCCTGCTTCGTCTCTTTTCCTTCCTCGAGATGCTCAGTCGGTCAGCAACGCAGTCCATTTGGGCAAAAATGCACGTCCTTGTCCCCGTTGCCTCTGGTCGGACTCCTGCCCCCCAACCGGGGGTAACGCCGCATCGGACATCGTGGCTCATCCTTTGTCTTTGCACAACTTGTTCGCGTCGGCCCCCCAGCATTTGGGGGTTTGCGAAGGGCGGAACGGTTCTTCCTGATGATCGTCATGATCGTGGTCTGGATTATGATCGACGGTGGTCAAAGCCTGTCAAATGATGTACTCGCTTATGGTTCTACAAGAATGTCACTGGACACAAAGAACGGAATCCGTAGTTACAAAAAGGCATCGTCAATCGCTCTTCCATGGCGACTGCCACGCTGTCGATGTCCTGGAGCATTTGCCACTCTCATGGCTTCTGCCCGAGACTTAGTTTCGCCTGTCATCCGTTAAGTTTTTTTTATTAGACTCAGACAGTCCTAACTACTTAGCGTCGAACTAGTCTTGCAGGTTTTGGTTTCTCCTCGCTATTTTTGTCCCGTTTACTGGGACTTGTCTGGAGCGTCGCCACAGACCCTACCCATAGTGGTTCCATCCGAATAAGACATCGGGCGAAAGCAAGAAATAAAAAAAAAGAAAAGGATTATTACGAGAAAATTTAGTACTGTCAGTCTGTCACCATATCACTACTACTGCAACTAAGCCACTACTTACATCTTTGCTTTTAGAAGTCCAAGATCGCAAAGGCTGGCATTGGATGATTGATCGTCCCTTCTCTGATTGAACGCCAATTTTTCTTTTTCCCTTTTTCTTTTCTTTTCTCTTGGACTATTGCGCCTTCCTTTCGTTTATTATCATTCTTATTCCATTTCTTCCTTCCTCGATCTTTCTACACCGTATCTTCCTCTCGTTAACCTTTTTGACGGGAGTCTGATATCCCCCCCATATTTGGACTTCTCGCGGGGACCAGTGCATGGCACCGTCATGGTTCTCTGGAGATAGTGATTGTGACCCCTCAACCACCCAAGCCCTTGAGGGCGCTATCCTTTAATAGTATAATTTTTTCCTTATTTATTCGGTCTCTCGTTTACGCGCATTTTATTTCTGCTCGTCTATCTTAATCTCTAATCAAAATGGCCGAGATCCTCGACGTCTCACCCGTGGGGTGGGATAACATGAAGAAGAACTGGTGGCAATTTGTGAGTATCCTCTCTCCAATGAGAACTCTTTATACTAATAGCCAGTAGGTCTTCATTGGCATCTTGCTAGCTTGTGTTTCTATCGGTTCGCTCAAGCTTCTCTACTCGGGGGTAACGCGCCTCTGGAGCTATTATAAGGTAGGCACAGCTAAAATTCGCGATCAATGGATGATCTATGCGAGAACGTTGATCTGACTGCATATCCTTATGTCTTATAGACAAGACCACGATCAGAGACGATACCGACCAACGTCATCCAGCGACTTGAAAGGCTTTCAGACCAACAGCTGGTTTTGAGGAATTTTGAACGACGGAAGCCGTCTTCTTTTGGCGTCTACCTGGGTACTTTCAATTCACCCCCGACTCAGGACGAACTTCGCGTTTTGAACCAGTGGGATTTGCTGATCGTCGACCCTTCCCAACCTGGTACTCTCGAAGCGGTCACCACCGCGGAACGGAAACAACTGGTTGGCCGAGTCGACCTCGATCGCATCATCTCCAAGGATGATGCGTTGCTGCTGGCGATCGAAAAAATTGAAAATGTCTTAATGGGAAGTTTCAATAACACGGTCTTCAGCGGTATTCTGTTCGCCAACTGGGAAGACAAATTCACCCCGATTGTTTTCTCCAAGCTTATCGAGGTTGTCGATGAATTGTGCCTGGCGGTTTATTTGGAAACTGGTCCGGAAAATTTCTTGAAGGACCACAAAGCCCTTCAAAATGGCGCCATATCCGGTCTCGTCATGCGAAACGCCAGTATCATGCCCCAGGGTGAGAAGAGGGATTACTTCCAAATCGTGAAACTGCAGCCGACGATCAAGGCCTTCGTCTCCGAAGCTTGCATGAGGGACTTTGTGGTTCTGGCGTGGGAAACCGTGGACGACAATGCCTCGTTGTCCAATGCCGTGGTTCAGAGATCTCTCCAGTGGTGCAATTTCTACAGCGCCATCCCTTGGATTGGCCGGCAGTCTGCCTTGCAAAATGCCGCCCTGAACGTGAAGATCACCGAGCCTCTCTCTTCTTTCGGTTGGTTGAAAGACGCCGATGTTATGAAGGCTCACGATCGTTGGCGCTCCAACCTACACGTGGAAAATACCGTGGCAGACCAGCATGAATGGGACACCCTCGCTCAATTTTTCCCGGCTCTAAACGACGTCCTTGACTCCTCGGAAACTCATGCGGCCATGACCGACAGCCTGAACACGTCGGTTCGCGATCCGCCAGAGTGGGTTGCCCAGATCAAATCCCAAGGGAGTCCATTGTCCGTATCCATGGCCGGACTAGAATACAATTCATTGGGATGCTTTCCGCTTGGGTCTGAGGCAACGCCAGTTGCTTTTGCCGAAATTCTCCAGTCCCAGCTACGTCTCAAGTCGCTCGCACTGCTCCATCCGGTCCCCGCGACAACGGTTCCCGATATTGGTAAGGTTTTGAAGAAATTCCTTCAAACCTACGTTGCCTCCGAGTTGAATACTTCGGACCAGCTCGTTGCCTCACTCAGGGAGCTGTGCAATTTGGCCTTAAACGACTCTTTGCGAGTGAATCTTGCGTTGGATTCTGGATTGCGTAAGAGCGTTGACATGCGTTTCTGGGCTGTTTACCAGATGGATTCCGATGGGTTTGAAGTATTTGCTTCTAAAAACGCTCAAGGTTTGGTTGGCATGGTACTACATACATTCTTATCCGCAAAGGGTCATCCTCGCCATGTTTGCTTCGAGACAGAGATTGCCTTCGCCAAATGGTCAAATGATTTGGTCGATGACACGGGGCTTCCTCGTCGACTTGTTCAAGATATTGACGCCCTGAGCCCCGAGGAGCGACTCCTTTTGTTGCAGCACCTCTCCTTGACCGATTCCAAGAGCGAGGCTTCGGATACCATCTGTGCATATATCCGGAGACAGCTCATCGATGCGCCTTCATTTGTCCAGCTCAAGGAACTCAACACTATCTCTTACCTCGAGGGATCTGTGTCTCCCGAATCCTTGATCAATACTCGTGTGGCCTGGTATCAGGAACAACATTCATCTTATCCATCTGCCTCCAAATGTCTCGCTCTCTTCAATCAGACCGACGCTGTCTTCACTCAGATCTTGAAAGAGCGCCGTGAGAATGACCTTGCTCTGATTTCGAACGGTCTGTGCAAGCTTCTCCAGAATGATGTCATTGACCCGTATGCCGATATATTAGCGCTTTCGCTTTTCTGCGCCGCAAGGAAGGGTGCTCTGGATGAGATTTACGCCGAGGTGACCGATCGAAACCCCCTATTCAACAATCAATCCGACCAAGCGGCTGCTTTTGCTGAATCGTTTGCCCTTGGCTCGCGATGCGAGGCGTACTTTGACATCTCGCCCAGTGCCTTCGGAAGATTGCTGTCGAATCGCTTCAGAAAGCAGTACACGGATGAGAAGCTTCCGGATTGGATTAATGGCGCCCCTGAGATGGCCACGTCGTATGCCGGTGCACAGATTGACGTGAACCCAGACGATAAGGTCAAACCGATGCGCGGGTACCAGCGATTTACGTTCCTCAGTGTTTTTGCCTTCCCAGCCCTGATTGATATCCTTATGCTCACCATCATCGGTCGTGGACTGTATCTATCCGCGTTTATGACGTACGAGGAGCAGGAGAGTGCCACCATTGCCCTGATGATATCGCTTCTCATGTCTGGAGCCATCGGTACATGGATCGCATGCGGCGGACCTTATTACCTAATATCCATGGCATTCGCTGCTTCGAACATGTTTGTGCTGATCAGATTGATCGCTGGTATTGCATTCACTGTCGCCGGTGGTCTCATCGGATTCGTTGCAATCTCCGGGGTTAACGGACCTCGTGCTGGAATTATCTTTTACCTCTATCTCATTGCGCTGACGATCTACTTCTCTGCCTTTGCCTCCCTTGCCAGTTTCAGTTATCCCGGATCCAGCTTTTTGTCTGGCCGCACCGTTATCTTCGCTTGCATTCCCATTCTTTTCATTTCGCCAATCGTCACAACCTTCACTGGTCATGATTCGGCCATTTATCTCGCCGTCATTTACGTTTTCATTGGTTTCCTTCTCTTTGGTCTGCGAACGATCGCATCCAAGTGGGTGACCTGGTATCAACACATCAGAAGAACCGATGACACTGAAATCCGGAAATGGTACGTTGCCACCCACGGTGACGGCAACGAGAAGGTCTTCGGGAACTTGAGTGATCCTGCCGTTCTCAAGCTGTCAAGAGAAGCTCTGTTCAAGGATGTTATGGCGGAGAAGGAGCGTTGGTTTTTCACGAAGGCAACACCCGACACCCTGGTTCTCGAGCTTGCTCGGGATTGGGATTCCACGAACTTCCTCCTTGACTGGTACTGCCGCTACGCCGACGTCCCCCGTCCGATTCCCTTCAGTTCTGGGTGGAACATCCAAACCAAGGTGGCTCTCGACACGCTGCGCAGCTCCCAGAAAGGAATTCGTTCCCACAACGCTTTTATCCATTGGCGCCAATCCAGCAGAGAAATAGGCTGCGGTATTCTGTACTTCGTCCTGGCCCTGCTTGATAAGTGGGTGGAGCTGCTGAGCGGTGGACATCTTGTCGGTCTCTCGGCCGCGCTTACGGATGCCTACCGAATGTCTGTTGGTTTCGGTCTGGCGTACTACCTCATCGGTGCGGTGTTGATTGATACGAAGGCCCAAGAGCTCCATGACTTGATCGGTAAACACTCGGCTGTCGCGGTCGAAACCGCGAAGGATATCCGACCTTCGCAGAAGCGGGACATCAAATTCAAGAGGAAGGTCTATTGGAAGACCTTCGGTAAATATCTTATGTGGCACGTCTGGAGTCTTGCCCTGGCTACCGCTCTCATCTGGAGCTTCCAGTCATCCGTGGAGGCTATGATTATGTTCTTCGCCTACGTTCTAGCCTACACCGGTTTGCTTTGGTACCAGTATACGAAAATCTTCACTGGACCTCATGCTTTGAAACCCCTACTGGCGGGAGTCGTCGTTGGACTTCCAGTTGGTATTGCCCTGAAAGTCTGTCTCCCTGGGTTCTTATACTCTCAGGTGATTGGTCTGGGGTCCGCCACGTGGACAACTGCCATTCTCGCCCTCTTTGCATCAAAGATGGGCATGCCAAAAAAGGTCGAATCACCGGTGGAACTTGGCAAGACCTTCCATGCCTTTACTGCACCATGGGCGGATCCCGAGTGGTCTCAACAGGAGCTGCAAACATTCTTCGAGGGGATGTCTGTCATTCCCGCGGACGCCAGATTGACTCTTACTCCCAGTATCCATCCCGGCGTGGAGGTGAAAAACATCCTGCTCATGCGCAGAAAAGAGCCAAGAATCGAAGAGGCGTTTCCGCAGTCGCAGGAGCTGGTCAACAAGGCCCTAGGAGCCTGGGAAAAGGGACAAATCGTACTCGAGCTCGTTCCCTTAGGATCGCTGGGCCCGAACATCCAGGCTTTGAGCTGCAACACGTCAACCCAGCTTAGGATTGCGGTGTGTGTGGGACGCGGTCTCGATGAGCGAATCGATGTCAGTGCCAACTGTCAGGTCATTGCGGAAACTCTCCTTCACGCAGTGGCAGAGTGTATGCTGCGGATGCCGCACGACTATGCAGTACTTGCTGAATCGCTCGTCACTGCAGGTGTAACCGAGACCACCGCCCGACAGCTCCGCGAAGAAACCAACACGCCGCTCGTCGTGCGCTGGGCCAAGAAGGAGCTTCTGCGCCAACTTTGCCTTGGATTTGAATGTGACGCTCACTGGGAAAAGCTTCCGAAATCCGTGCGAACTGCCCTATTAGATCGCTGTCTCGGCAAAGAATCTCAGTTCCCAGTTCATAACCGACAATGGCTCCAGGAGAGCTTGCGACAGTTTGACACGAACGACTTCGAAGTGCACGTTGCGCGGACTAATCTCGGCGCTGCCACGGCTGTTAGCATCCTCGACTATGCGAACTACGGTACCGGTGAAGCTGCCATCATCAAGGATAACGAATCTCCAGCCTATATCCCATACATTCCGAAGAGACCCCAAAAGGCCATCTCCATGCTGAAGAAAATTGGGAACTCCTTCTATTACGCCCTCTCCTCGATGATCAAATTCACTGTCGTTGCTTTGGTGGCTGACCCTGAGTTCCAGAGGGAATTTGCCCATGTCATGAGTGATCGTCCTGCGTTCATTCGAGTGCCCCTTGTCTTTTTGCTGAATATGCTGTGGTCTTATGCAAAATTCTTCCAGGATATGTGCCTTACCTTTTTCTTGTTCGCTGGCCGGACGAATGTCAAACGGCTCTGGGACGAGACAAAGGGTATGACGATCAGCATCAAGAAGAGCAGGTACATCATCCGGAGTCTCGATGGAACTTTCACTGCTTTCAGACACGATGAGGCAGACGGTGGATTCAAAGTCTACATCTACCTTGGAGAGTCTAAGACCGAGCCTGAGGGAACGAAGCATCTTCGATACATCAACACCTACTCCAAGGAGATCTTGTTACATATCAGACAAGAATTCAAGGACGGCAAGCTGCTTAACGAGTACCACTATGACTACCGCGCTCCGACGAAAAAGAACTTTACGCTCTCGAAGACTTCGGACACCAAGATTCCGATGGGTAGGCGGTGCGTGCGTGGACAGAACAACCTCCAAAGCATCCAGTACAACCGCAAAGGTCTCATCGAGGCTGGTTCCTATATGAAAGATGGCAATCTCGTTCGCTTCAAGTACCACTACCGCAAGAATCCTCGATTCGGTGACGAGTTGCTTCGGGCCGAGTTTGCACTCTCTCATATCACCTGTACCGTCTCCTGGTGTGCACCTCCTCTCCGCCATGCTCAGAAGGTGGATCGATGGATTCCTCATTCCAAGGTCACAGAGGCGACTTTTGTCCAGGGAGCCGATGTGTATGAAGCTCGTTGGTTGTATGACCACAAGTTCCATCCGATGATTTTTACCACGCTCAATGGACAAACGGTCCAGACCCCGCCCATGATTGAACATGACTACCTGGCCGTACTTGCAAAACCCAAGCATACCAGCTTTGTGAATGATAACCCCCTTGTCTACTGCGAGAGTCTGAACTCAAACATCTTAACCCGGTCTCTCGGACTGACCACCAAGCGCTTCCCAGTGTCAACCTCTCGTGCTCGTTCACTGATCTGGAAGGCTTGGAAAGACCGCCCTGACTTCGATGGTATCATTGTTCGATGGATGGACGACCGGCTTCTGCGGCGAGACAAGACGCTTGCGCCTTACTGGCGTAGCCGGGATCGTGGAAACCTGGTGGCGGCAAAGAAATACTTGGATCTTCGTGCGGATTCCATTACAGCCAGTGCCGATCTGGACGACGACATCTCTAGCTGGACCCCCCTCGCGGTGAAGATGAGCGATCTGTTCAATTTTGGACCTGGAGGTGATGCTGTCGTCAACACTCGATCGAAGGACTTCGGCTCGGACACCGAGAAATCATTGCATGTCATGGCTGCTGATACCGGTACCTGGCCCAACGAAGGCGGTGGTGTCTCTGCCTGTCGACGTGATATGATCAATTCCCTGCGGTCCATCAAATGGCATATGATCTGCGAGTCGGCCAACGATTTCGGCGTACCCAAGCATCAGACCGAACAGAATATTCTGTCCTTGAAAGTGGTCCCCCTCTGGGGATTGGATTTCCTTACCCCTACCCATGGTCTCTTTAGGAACAAGCTCGACTCCGAGGTCGAAAACGTCACCTCTGCTAGTGACACCGACATCAAACTCAACTTCATTCCGATCCTCACTGCATTGGTCAAGGGAGCCCGCTCCGTCCATCTCTCAAAGGCCGACATTAATCAAGCCACTCGAGCCCTCGTCAACCTCAACACCTACTTCCAGGAATCGCGTCATTGGACCCAAGTGTGGAACAGTGACATTGTCAAGGAGAGCTGGCGTAATCTCTGGCTTACTCAAGAGATGCCCAACGCCGCGCCATCTTCCGAATGGTTCCGTACTGAGCTTCCCACACTCACCTCACTCGACGTCGCGTTGGAGCTATGGTACCGGTACTTGTTCATCTTCTCCATCCCCATCCCGGAAAAGATCCCGAGCGTGTTCCAGGCGTCTCACCACAGTGTCAGCGCCTCTTATGGAGTGGTCTGCAAGGTCAAGAAGAACTGCACTTTGCAGATTTGGGACCATGCCATCAGCTGGAGAGAAACCAACCTGTGCCTTTCGTCTGCCCTGTGCAAACTATCGCCGTTCGTTCGAAATGCATTGCTGGGTTTGATGCGCATCACGTCTGCTTTGACCCTGCACCATGCTGATATCATCCTCCCCTGTGCGGATTTCTTCAACCCCGGATGGGAGGCCGAAATCGGTACCTGCCAAGGAAGTATCGAGCATCGCAATGTCTTCCGCCGCAAGGTCGATCCCGTCGTCAATGGTATCACGGATATGCAGAAGTTCGCCCCCGTTAAGGAGATCAAGTCCCAGCGCCCCACAGTTACGATGTTGTCCCACGTCTGGTACGCCAAGGACATCAAGACGGCACTCCTCGCCGCTGACATCATCATTAACCAGTGGAAGTTCGACGATTACCACCTGGACATCTACGGAGCTATCGACAAGGCCCCGACCTACTCCACGGAATGTCAAGAAATCATCGCTTCCAAGGGTTTGCGTGGCAAGGTTACCCTTCGCGGCACAGCTGACCCCATGAAGGTGTTGGAGAACACCTGGCTCTTCCTGAACTCGTCCTTGTCGGAAGGTCTCCCGCTGGCCTTGGGTGAAGCTGCCCTGACCGGTGCGCCTGTGGTCTGTACCGACGTGGGTGCATCGCTCCGGGTTCTCAGCGACCCCGACAATTTCTCTCGATTCAGTGCCGTCGTTGCCCCCAACGATGCTCTGGCTCTCGCGAAGGCGCAGATCTCGATGCTCGGGATGTTGGGCGAATGGAGTCAGCACGCCGAGGACACGGAGCCCGCTCCTGTGCTCACCTCGTCTCCCACGCCGGAAGAAGTTGAACGGATCACCCGCCGTATGTACGAGAAGAGCGACCACCGTCGCAAACTCGGAATGATGACGCGCAAGATCGTGCAGAAGTCCTTCAGCGGTGATCGATACCTCCGTGAGCACGAGCAGATGCTTTGGATTGGCAAGTCGGCCAAGATCATGTCCAGCCGCCCCGGCGCCGGCATCAGCGACCCCGTCGACGTCGCCACGGCCATCCAACAAGCGCTGCCCATCGAAGAAGAGGTCATTACTATTCCTCGCAGTGCCGTCCACTCGTGGCGCTCTTCTGCTGCCTCCGGCATGTCGACCATGTACAGCAACGACAACTTCCCCATGCTGGGCGGCAACAACCAACGTGCCTCCTCCATCCGCTCCGGCCTCAGCAACGTCTCCACAGACACCGAGTCCTTCCTGCCTCTTCCTAGCAATGCCTCGCTTCCCGTCTTCGCCCCGCGTCAGGCCCTCTCCTATTCCGGCATGTCGGGTCGTCTGTCGCCTTCCGGACGCGCTTCGCCGTCCGGTCGGCTTTCTCCTCTGCCTCATCGCCACTCGCATACGCGCTCCATCTCCACTGCCGGCCGAGAACAGCTGCGCGGTCTGCAACGTGAAGACGCGCATCCTTACCGTAACTCGGATGTCAGTACTATCATGAGAGACGAGTTCCTTCAGTCGAGCATCTACCGCGGCATTGAAGGTGGCAACAAGTCGAACAATGTCTAAGAAATTGTGTGACAAGCTCAAGTCCTGATATATTTCCTTTTTTGGATATCAGACCTTTTCATTTACTCTTCTCCTCCTTTTCTCTCTCTCACCTCCTCTCTTCTTCTTCCTATTTCTCTTGGTTACGATCCGCCCTGTACATACCTACATCCCTTTCCTTTTTCTTTTCTTTTCTTTTCTTTTCTTTTTTTGGAACTATTTCCTTGCGTACCTACCCTCTTTCTTTCCTGGGTACTACTCTCTTTTTCTCTTGTTTCAAATATTCCTTTGTTCACTGTATCTAGCATGTCATCTAACGGTTGCATCATACGGCTTCGTTTTGTACAGAAATGGCTGAATTAGCACAGTCATTAATCATGTTGTTCATTTTTCTGTTGTGGATCTTTTTGACATAGAACCTTCCCTATAGACTGAACCAATCAAATGAATGATGATGACCAGATAATTGGCATTGCTTTCGTAACGCGCAATTTGAATTTCGGTTATCCTTTTCGTACGAACGCTCTTGTAGACGTAAACCTAAAACCATATTGATCACTCCTAACCCCCTTCAGCAACAACTCTTCACCTGCAGCACATCCTGCACCAATCGAGTCACTTCCTTTGCGGATCCAAAAGAAAGAGACCATCCTGCACCGCCATGGCCGTACGCATGCACAATCCGACTCGGTCGCGCCCGCGGCGTGAGCCTCCTCTCACGCTCCACACGCACATGGCCCGTTCTCATGGGCCGTCGCCCCTGCACCAGCGGACACAGCGGATCCAAGCGTGCCTTCTTCAAGCACGGCAGGAGATCCTCGCATCGGCGACGCATCTGCACGACCTCCGCGCACGACAGCGTCAGGTCCAGCTGCCACGAGTCCTGATGCAAGATCGACCCCAGGAGCAGGGTCCGGTCGTTCCGCGGCACCAGGAACGCCATGTCCTTGAAACTCCCGTCCTCGCGCGTCGGTGACGACACGACCATGCTGTTCTCGATCTTGGGAAAGTCCGTCCCGTCATTGATCACGCGCAAGAGCCCGCCCCGAAGCGGATAGACCGTGGCGTCGTTGGCCGTGTCGCCGGCCCACACCCCCGTGGCGTTCACGATGGCGTCGGCCTCGTAGATCTTCAGCAGGTGCTCTTCCTGGTCGAGGAGGTCCCCGTACACGGTATCCGTCTCCATGCGGCCACCCTTCCGGCGTACCAGGCGCATCAGGAATGACATGGCCACATCCGTGTCGATCACAGGCGCGAGATGCTCGTATGCATCTTCTAACCCTCCATGCGAGGCAGCGTTCACCCCGTACTTCTTAAACAGCTGCGTCCCGTGCGAGAACCCCTCTAATTCTGCTTCCTGGATATACCGCACCTTATCGCTCTTCACGATATCCTCGTCTACGCGGTTCATATGGAACGCAGTGAACATGCGCATCTGGACGCCAAAGGCCCGCGCCAGTTCCTTGCGGTCCGCGAGCGTGCGGTATATGCGGAGGCTTTCGAGTGCCCACCGCTGCGCCATGGGGATTTTCGCACCGTACATCTGGGGCCCGCAGCCAGCAGGGGGCATTTCCCAGAGAGCGCCGGCGACTTGCGAGGTGAGTCGCTCTTTGCTGTTGGCCCACTCGCGCGATATAATGGTCGCATGGTATCCTCGGTCCAGGAGGGTCCAGGCTGTTGTGAGACCGGTCACACCGGCCCCGATGATGAGGACTCGAGGGGATGAGGGGGTAGGAGGGGTCAGTGGGCGAGGGGAGGCAGAGAGGTGGGCATTTATGGGTTTTTCGGTGCTGAGAGAGAGGTCTTTTCGGGCCATGATTGCTTTTCGTGAAGTTGAGAGAGATGAGCAGAATAGTAGAGAGGTGGGGGTCAATTGATTATGTATTTGTGTTGAGTCAATCTCCTGATCCCAGATGATACTGTCCTATATTAGGCGAGGAGAAGACCAAGGGCTGATCGGTATTCACGATAAGGGCAAGGGTATGGTTACTAGGTTGTCAATGGCGGACAATGGCGGACAATGGCACATGCATAGAGAACCCATTCGAGTTAGAGAGATAATATCAAACCCAGCAGCAAGGAGCATACTTGCCGCCATTATATAGGCATGCTCACGTAGCGAAGGCCGCAAAACCTTTTCTGTCCGCTCATATATACTCCGCACCCAAACACGGGCGTTTTCTAAATTCAGAAGTCCGGATACCAGTATGACGCCACATTTCCGTACATATTGTGACACATCGTTCCTGCTCCTGTGGAACCATTGTACCACTGAGATCAACGCTGGCAAACCGATAGTGGTGGCTGGCAGCTATGACAAGCCTACCGGTAATGAGGCTTGCGGGCAGCTCAAATTTGGGCGAAAGTAAGCGGAGGAGGCTATTGTCAGGATGGGAATAGTAGCTGTGGCTGACCAAGCTTAAATCATGGGGTGGATCCGACAGTTTGATCGAGCGGAGGTGGTCGACGGAGATTTAGGTTAATGAGGACGAGCGGTGACCATGTTGGGCAATAGATAGCACTTGATCGTGATCATAGGGATTTGGAGGGATATGAAAGAAATCCGCGGAATCATGGGGCCCTTTAGATGAGCATCGATGAAGTTCAATAGAGGTATTTGGATGGAGCCAACATCCAGCTGAAGTAAATACAAGATTGGGGAATAGATAGTTCGAATTACCTTCGTTCGGGACACATTCCGCAAATCAGTAGAAACCTGATATTGGCGCGGGAAACGGTAGCAGTGGCTGGTTCTGGGGGTGCGCAGATCGAAGAAAGGTTGTGTCGAGAGGAGAACTGAGGGGGCGAGGAGAGCAGCAGAGGATACATACATATACGTCCTCATTCTTCAGGCAGGAACGACCGGGGGAACATGTGACTGGTATTGTGCCCTTCGAGGCACGATCACCTCTCCCGGGGGCAGAATGGCGTTATAACCGAGCAGAATGAGGAAAACGGCCTGCCCCTCGATTGCATAGGTATAAGGTCTCTAGGAACCCTACAAAGTGACCCTAGCTATGAATCAAATCATTATTCATTCTTCTATCCGATCGCCGTGTCCAGTCTATTCCCATCCGTCATAAACAAATATCCCATATATACATGCGAACAAAACAATCATTCATCCATCCCGGGAATTATTCATAAAGCCTACAAAGATAACAAACACATGCGATCAATCAATCAATCGTGAAGGCCCCCAGAAAACCAACAAGGTATCATCAAGTGCGCGACCTCGAAACAATGCGCCGGAATCTAGGAAAACAAAAACAGTGGAGGTCATTAAATGGCATCAGGTGAGGAGTGTCGAAGATAGGAGAGGGTGACCTCCGTGAAAAGGTGAAGGTGAGGTAAATAGGGAGAGTCGGTTTATAGAGGAGGGATCGCGGCGTCGTGGAGACTCTCGTCGCTAATCGACGTCGCCGGCGATGCGAGTCCCGAGATCACAGACGAGGTACCGCCTCGCGGTTCAATCTCGAGGATGGAATCGTCCAGCTGCGTTGCGGACATGATGCGCGGCTGGGTCGTGGTGATCGGCTTCGCCGCGCTCGTCATCAGCTCGTCAATACCCGGTTTCTCGGGGACGTGTTGGTCGAGGTTGGTGGCCTGATCCAGACTATCGAGGGCGAACTCCAGGAACTCGGCGTTCTTCTTACTGACGCTCAAGGTCCAGCGGTATTCGCACAGCCGGAGACGGTAGAACTCGCCCTCCTCTTTCGTCGGGGCGGTGATGCGCAGGAGCACTCCGAAGGAGCCGATCAGGGCAAAGTTGGTGCGCGATGTAGCAGGCCAGAAGGAGCGGAGATGCGGAGGTCGGAGACGATTGACGAAGTCCATCGCTGAAATCAACCGCGTTTTCGCAGCGGAGCGGCAAATGTGAGACAGGTACGCATCCGCTGTCTCCTGGCCGAGAGATCGCACGATGCAACGGTGAAGGGTGATTTCCGTGGCGAAATACGACAGATGCAGCGCTCCGTTGCGGGCGTTATCCTCGTTGATCGTTTCGAACAGGTCGCCGCCCGACTCCATTTTCAATTCGGCAGGAAGACGCCCAAACCACTCCTTCAGGCGGATCTGTGCCGGTTTGGCGCGTTCCAGGATCATCCGCGTACGGTTGTTGCCGGCTGATTTAAACTCCTCGATCGCCTGCAGGGTGTAAAAGCGGTCGAGGATATCGGAAAGGATGGTCGTCAGGGCCACCATGTGACAGAAGTAGAGAGGACCGTGGCCCACGGGAGCATCATCGGACTGAGTAGACGGCGAGGGGAATGCATCGGTGAAATCCTGCTCCACCAGATCCTTCACCGTCCAGTTGAAAGAAAAGATGTGGGACGGACGTCCGTGTACCAGCGCGGACCATTTATCCTGCATGTAAAGGGCCCAAGCGAGGCGCTTGCGGAGACCCTTCTCCCAGGTTTCCATCCGCCATCCCGAACAGTCCTGGTGCAGGCCGAGCTCGAACCCGGCGGTGACTAATTGAGCGTTCAATGCGGATGTGGCGATGGTGGACTTTTCCATGAGCAACACACCCGCCTGGATGGTCGAGATGGTCGAATGAGGCAACGACTCATTGAGCAGTCTCAGGGCCGTACTTTCCAAGCGGCTGACATCGGGTCGTCGGGCGGTTTGAGACGTCTGGACTCCGTCCACAAACTTCAAGGCCACCACGTAGACGGCACATAGCAAGAGAGGGGACATGCCTTGCCGGGAGCGATAGGATTGACGGAAGGTGTCCTCCATGAGGACGGGGAAGGTCGGATGAACATTTTCGAAGAATTTGTCGATCAACATCGAGCCGTAGGGAGCGACCAGGCTTTCAATGGCATCCAAGGGAGGGGGCGGCGGTACGCCCGCTTGGGAGAGGGTGTTGACCACCCGCATGAAGGTCCCGTCGTCACCGAACTTCCGGACGCGGGACGAGGCGATAGACCCTTCGAGGTTGTGATCCAAGGGGAGATATTCGAGAAGAGTGGGTTCCAGTTCGGTAGTTAAACCGATGTGCTGGGTTTGCTGATGCCAATACCCCGACGTGATTCGAGGGTGGCCGTTCAAGGGTGCACGAGAAAGTTCAGGTTTGGAAACTGGGGGGACGGTTGATTGCCTGTCAGCGGGGACAAGGTTAGCGTTCCCACGTCTATCTATATGCAATGTCCGAAATCGGACTGGGATGTCCACTTCGGGGCTCGATTCATACCTCTTGGAGGATTCTACATCATCCGGGGCGGAATCGTCCAGCTTTCGTTTCTTGGACTGCAGGTCGGCGGTGCCAGGACGGCTTGCCACCGCAGACAGGGTAAATGTGCAATCCTGACGATGGAAATCGCACGAATAGCACTTTTTCACCATTTCGTTCATAGCGCACCGGCTCTTTCTGCGCAAACAGGCGTCGCAACTGGGGCCATCCCGACCGGGTACAGGGACACGGGGGAGGGTGCCAATTGATGCAGAGGGAGAAATTGGCGTGGAAGTCGAACCGGGTACTCGGGGCCGGATGATATGATCAGAAGAGGGCTGCTGAAAAGAGGCCGCCGTGGCAGCCGTCGGCCCCGTCGTCGAGGACGACTGAAGAGTGATAACGGCAGCCATTCAAATCCCGGCCAGAAGGATGCGACCCAGATAGATAATGCAGAGGGTGAGATTGGGCGGAGTGCGAGAGATAGGAGATATGATTCCTCACAAAGGTAATCCGGGATGACGATATGATAGGGACCTCTCCAATGGCAGCGGGAATTTCTTGTCACGTAAATGACCCGTGATGTTCGGAAACTCCACCAAGGAGCTCCGCACTGAGCTAAGAAGGAGGGGGGGGCACAGAAGACCAGGCAGGTAGCTAAGAGTCAGATCCCCGAGATATGATGGAGGATCAGGAAATGATGAGGAATATCCGGGGTTGAGCTCGACCCTGGAGGCCTGGACGAAGCGGGAAGGAGAAGGCAAGCAGGAGGGATCTAGTGCGCGGCCAACGGACCAATGACCGGCAAGCAGATTGGAAACGGCCAGGGGGCTGAATGGACGTGCGAACCGCAGCGGAGAAGCTTATCAGGGCAGAGAGCAGTCGCAACGAGGCCGGCCAGAGGGCCAGAGACAGAGTCGGGGAGTACAGAGAACAGGCGCAAGAGACCACCGAGCGCAGAGCACCGACCACAGCGGAACCGGAGCCAGGCAGATCGGGGAGGAGTCTCGGCGCAATGATAAAGATAATACGATTTGACGAAAGAAATCGGTGATTAGGGAATCGGGGTGGATTCGTTCTCGCTGCGCTGCACGCGAGATCAACGACCTTCTTAGGTACCTACAGTCCTCCTACCGGACGGGTCATGGAGAGAGATGATCTGACAAGAAAAAAAGAAACGAGAAGAAAAAAAAGGGAGGGATGAAAGAATGAACCCGCCGTGGTGATTATGACTCCTGGGATGGCCATGATAATTCCCAGCGCAAGCGAACAGTCATCAGGATCAATAAGAGAAAAGGCCGGAGCTTCGAGGCGATGAGGTCCGGATCAGCGAAAAGAAGGATTTCCCACACGTAACAGATTGGCAGCGGTTGGACGTCACGAACAACCACCGCTTTGGTTCCTGCTGCGGTTCGAGATAAGCCTCGCCCAGCTGATTGGGTCTGCGATCTGATGGCGGCCGAACTGGGGCTTGGTATTACGTACTGGGAAAGGGCGGTGGATCGACTGATTAATGAGTATGGCAGGACTTCGGGAGTATGTACTCGGGACAGGTATGTCTGAGGGGAATGGCGAGAATCAGAACTATAGGAAAAAAGATTGAAACATAGAAACATAAAAAAAGATACCTAGTCCGCCGGCAACCCGCACTAGTCCTGTAAGATCCTCACGAACAAAGCCGCCCTGGAGGTCTGCCCGCTCTCCTCTCCCCAAAAGTACCGCGCAAAGCCGACAAACATGCCGAGCGCTCCAGTCACGGGCGATTACTCATCCCCTTCCGCCAATCACCAGGGCCCGATAACACCACCCCCGCAGCCAATCACACCAGCTCGCCTGTGGCCAATCTGGCTTAGTGCAAAACCGGCAACGGGGATCGGCCCTGCAGCCGGCGGCTTTCCCCACAGCCCTCCCAGGTCGGTCCATGTGGGTGAAAGGGAGAATTAGTTATAGAATTACAATCTCCGGAGCAGACTGGCCCTAGGGGAGTTCCTGCTGCGTTCAAGCTTGCTGGGAACTAATCTCCCCGCCTCCCATTGGTCAACCGCCCTTGGGCAGCACTGCTTTGGATAATGTAAAATGCTAATAATAACCTAATAAGAATGCATTGCTCATCGTCGAAAAAGAAAAGAGACAGCCAGAGCCCCACCTCTCTGGAGATGAAGACTGCTAAACTCCGTAGACACTAGTCGTCCTCTCGCTATGACCAAATCATGATTCATCTCCCCCGTCTTTCCTCTGCTGGTCCGGACGGGAAACTGGGCCGGGGTGACTCGGAGAGGCGATCGATCTCCGGAGAAATTGGGTATGCCAATCTTTTGGCAATTTCCTTACCGCGGACGGAGGCCATTGCCCAGCCTGTGTCCCCTCGCTATACTTCCAATGGGAGGGCCTGGTGGAATAGCTGTTATATAATGGATATCCTGATGGACGGTGGCACGCTCGGGTCTGCCGACCAGGCACTCTTTTAGGTAGTAGTGCTGTGAGCCCGTGACTCTGTTATGCACCCATAGCACCATAGTGGCATGTAGGTCCGATGTACTCTGTACCACCTTTTCTTTGCTTCCTGCGGGATGACTTTCCCCCCTCGCGGAGATCTCATTACTTAATGCAAATGGTTATCATGCATCCCATACGGATTTCCGCTGTTCAGACGACATCGCCCCAGTCCAATTAATATCTACAATGTTTTCATCATTATCAAATCCCTTGCGTCGCAGCCAGCTGTATGATTGCGACTTCCCACTGAGCACAACCACATGCCTCGACGGAGCGCAGTGTCACCTTTTCTTTTTCGTCATCATGAGTCGAGGCATTTTTTGTCTCATGCAGCCACCCCCTAATCGCACTGCCTTGCCCTTTTTTTTTGGTTTTTCAAAGATTCCCGTGCAACGTGCGACCCCTTCTATGTTATCCGTCGCCCGCTGATCTCGGGATGTAGTTTCTCCCAGATGCCCGATAAACTCCCAGAACTCCCTGCTATACTAGGCTGAAGCCGTCGTTGAAAATGAGACAAAGTCCACAGACAAAACAGATCATGAAATAAATGAAAAAAAGAGAGGCCAAGTTGCCAAGCAATAGATGACACGATCTAACTTGTCAACAATTTACTCGGTGAAATTCCGCAGCTTGGTCAACTCATCCAGAAGTTCTTGCAGATCTCCATCGGAGATTTTATGCTGCAAACTAGGAATGAGTGACTTGGCTTCTTCGGCATTGTCGCAACACAGACTCCCTGGTACAACGTTAGACTAGCCTCTGACATGTGATAACGACGGAAGAGACAATGACAGCGACAACGACAAATCAACAAAGACAGAGAACAAAAGAATCCAACAGAAGAAAAAGAAAGGATTATAATCATACCCAGCTGAGACCGTTCGAACATCTCCAACTCCGTGTGTGAATTCAGCAGTCGCTCAACGGCCTTGATGTTCTCCTCATCCTTGAATCTAGCGAAGACCTCCAAGTAGTCCAAGGTTTTGGTAAGGTTTCTGCATGTGTAAGCATGGGTCATTCTTTGTCCCGCAGGCGTCACAGAGACGCTTGCCCGCATTCCGCAGCTGCCGTAGAACTCACTCCGGCTCCTCGTATTTCTTGCCCCCTCTCCGTTTATTCTCCAGCACCTTGTTGATGACGAGACGCGCTTCGGACAGCGACAGCGTGTGGGTGTTCTGGTCCGCGCCGAGTTTCAGTGTCGAGGCGGCCTCGAGCTCGCCCTGGGGCAAGGTGCGTTTGCGATGCGTGGCGGGGGGTAACTGGACGCTCATTGTGAAGACCTAGTACAAGCCTGTGCACTTTGGGTAGGATCTCGATATTCGTTTCGATTGGCGATGGCAAGGCACGCGATGGTTCTCTCGGTATAATTCGACTGAACGGATTCCGACTCAACAGAGACAATGTTGCTGAGCGTTGAATGTGAGGTCCGCACGGCACGGGAAAACTCTCTCTATGAAGTTTGGTTCTGGCAGTTTCGAGGCGGTGAAATGGTTCACCGCCTTTGATATCAACAATAAAAGAGTCTACGGATCAGGAAAATCAATGGATAAATTGTTCTCTTTACCTCGATATGCAGTGTGTAAAAGTTCCATTAAGCAGGTTTTCATGCGATGCACAGTGGTAAATCCAAATGGGAGCACCGGAAATCATAGAAAAAGACTTGCTAAAATGGTGGGAGATTCCAATAACTATATAGCATCCTACAATACTCTGCAGTGTACAATTAAACTGAGCGAAGAGGGTATCGATTCAAAATTCACTATTTTTTCTTTCCAGGCTTTACATCTCATGTCCCAAACGCCTCATGCTATGCGACGATCCTATACCATATGGCCTGCAATCTATACTTTTCGGAATGCAACCTCTTTGGGTAGACGGAAACTGGCACAAAACATTTGCTTGTTGGGACTGACCAGTCTCACGTTGTGAATGGAGAGTTCCAATTCCTGGTTGCCACTGCCTCCAACTCGGTCCTCTAAATTGACGGGGTGTCCGATTCGTTCGGTAATGCGCTTGCAGATGTCGGCGTGGTCATCGGCCTCGTCTTCTGAATGACCAGAGAAGCAGTAGACGTGGATCATGGGAAGAGCCTGCGAGGTATGCGGCGCAAAGAGTGACTCCTTACCGGCGTAGAGCCCGGGGAACGCATCGAGGAATTCCAGAGCAATGGCGGGTAGATTCATCACGTAGTGATCGAAGACCGTGGGACGGGTCATGACTTCCGGAGGAGGCATAGCGGGTTGTTCCTCCTTTCTGGCACCTCTCCGTTCTCTACGCTTATGTGGGAGAGACACCTGCTGGGGGCCTTGCTCCACGAGCTCCTTAGCAGACCAGCGGATGAAGTCTCTGCCGTCCTGGTTGAACGGAGTCACGAATGGTTCCACGCGGTTCCTCTTGACTGCATCTTGCATGACTTCATATCCGTGCGGGTTGAGATCATTGGCCCAAACGAAGATCTTCTTTTTGCCGGCAGGGACCGCGAAGGGGCCAACGCCGGCCATGACATCGCAGACCATTTCGCCAGGGCGGAACTTCTGCACCAGCCGACGGTGTTCCGTCTCCAAGCGACTGTTCCAGTACACGCGCGAGTAGTCGAAGTGGAACACACAGTCCTGCTCGCTCTGAACCACGTTCATGTCATCCTCACCGGCCAGCAACTCGAATGGGAAAGTGCGGAATTGGCTGTGCGTGCCCACGTCTTCCGTCTTTCTGATCACCGTCTTGATGTTCACATTCTTGTCCATTATAACCTGCGCAATGATGTTCTTGTAGGGGAGATATTGTTCACGTAGGTTGAGATGAGCTAGATCACGTCAGTCTAAGGGCCGGCCATGTTATCCACGTCGGAGTCAAGAACATACCCACATGACCAACTTGTGTATATCCTTGCGGGAATTCCGCCAGCAAATCTTCCGGTATAATGGCATCCATGATATCCGCTACACAGACAATTAGTCCCATTCTCTCGTCCAGAGTCTATCATCATGAAAGTAACACTCACCATACGTCCAATAATCATACTCTAAGGTCAAATCATAACCTCTCATAGCGACCGTCCCCTTCTCCACAAGCTCACTCAGTGTCGGCGACCAAGTCGCAGCATCTGCCTCCTGTCAGCGATTGCCTGACACACATCATTCAGTTATAACCAACCATCATGCTTTACCCCATCCTTCAGCAGCAGACACTTCCGCACGGCGTCATCGACTTTCACCTCTCGAATGATGTTCAATCTCGGCGCCTCCATCAAGTCATGGCTCTTGTGCAGCGTCCCGCGCACCTTCGAGATATCCGAGTTCTTGAACACCGTAGCAGCCGAGAGCGGTAGCGTCTTCTTGAAAAACGATCGGTCCAGTGCCCGCATTGCACGGTTCACAGGCGGCCGAAACATGGTGGGGAGAGCGCTGTTCGACGGGTTCGAGGGCTCGGTGCCTTTTGTTTGGGCCATGGACTGTGGTGGTACGGTCGGAAGAGGTGAAAGGGTTGGATTGGGGCGGTTTATCGGGAACTGGGGTATCTGGTCGTTATTTGATCATAGCGTGGGGTTTTCTTTTTTGAGGATTCTCCGATTTGCGTTGGGTTCGCGATTTTATCAGCACGTGACAGTGGTGCGATAAGATCGGATCGCGATCGCATTCTCAAGCAGTTCGATTTGATATTCATTGATTATAAGTGTGGGTATTAACTTTTCAATTCGTAACTATGGCTAAATTTATAACAACTGGGCAGGCACACGCTATCCTGCATTTCGAAAAAAGTACTGCAGCATCAATACGAACATAACCGCTCTTCCAATAAAATCCCAGAAGACACCATCACCGTGCGAAGGACAGCGACAGGCCCAATACCCAGTTATGACGAGCTCAGCTCGTTCAACAAAGCTTGGTCCAGCTTGCGCTGTTTCTCTAAGACTTCAATCCTATCCTGGAGCTGTTTGATTTCTTCATTTTTCTTCTTTATCTGCGCCCAAGAGATCTCCCGCCCGCGGATGACCCCCTTCGTTCTCAAATCATGCTTGTTCAGTAGTTCGCTGACCTCTTCCTGAGCTCGGCGAGGTAGCACCGCATTATGGCTCTCGAGGATCTTCACCACCTGAAGCGCAAGGTCTGACGATTCCGCCCGCGGATCGCCCGATAGCGCATTGTGATATTTACTCGGCGTAGGGGTCATGCACAGCTCCGCCGAAGGTGGAGGTAACCGCCATGACTCGGACTGTGACCACACTGATTTCGGAGTTTGTGGGGTATCGTTTTGCATATCAGACAGCTTGCGTTTGCCAGGCGAGGTAAACGAATCCGTGCGGGCCGCCTTGCGTGGACTGGACTCGGATTCGAAGGACTGAGTTCCCAAAGTCGAACTGGAGCTACCGGCCGATGCGAAAAGCTGGCGCGGCTTACCCAGTGACTTCCCCGGTGACCCATCAAACGTATCATCCCATTCGAACTCAGCCGTATCCTCAGACATCATTTTCGCCTTGGCACTCTGCGGAAGTGCTTGTGCTCCAGGGGGTCCCATCGCGGGCGCGGTGCGGAACGGTCGCTCGGTCTGCGGTGTGAGAAGCCCGGATCTTCCATAGCCGGCTTGTTTCGAAGGAGTTTGCGGGTTGGTTGGCTCGGTGCGCGAGTTCGAAAGGACAGCCCTTTCTTCGCGAAGTTTGGCATCGGTTTCCCAGAGGAAGAATCGGCATTGTTGCGACGGGGGTTTCTGGCACTTGTAAACTGCGGTGTATGTTAGAAATCAGTCGCTATTGCTAGCGCCGTCGAAGATAAAAGGACGCCCTACACCATTTTCCGTGGTTCATGCCGTGGTTCTTGGTCTGCAGTTTGACCGCAGGGGGTCGTCCGGAACAGTCACAACGCCAGACCCCGTCGGCAAAGAGACCCCGCAATGGTACCGAGGTGCGCGGAGAAAGGCCTTTCGAAGGGGACTTCTGAGGAGAGAGCATTTTGGGATGTTCTGAGGGAGACGCACCCGGTGCGATCAAAGACGACCCCTCTGGTGCCCCGAACAATGGTCTTTGATATTTAGATGCGATGTCGCTATGGTAACTGCCTTCTTTGACAGGCTGAGTCAGCCCCATGAGGGGCGGCTACTCCAAAAGGGGTCTAGCGTCCGCACTCACCCAGCAAACTTAACTAACTTGTTAACTAGTTGGCTAGGCTCCTTATGTCATCATCTTCAGCGGTCAATTTGCTGCCTCAAGCACCAATTGTATTGCTTCATCTCTTGAACTGTCTTCGTCTTGATCTAAGAAAAATCCATCGGACTGTACAAATCTACTCCACACTCTACCAGACGTCTCATTTCACCAGACAATGCAATGCAGAGCACAAAGACAATAAGAAAGACAGAAGAATGGTATATGATGGGGTATCACAAGGAAACTACCGACTCTATTCTGCAAGAACCTGCCGCAGCATTATGCTGAACGAATCGGACAGCTTGAGAATCTCCTGGATTTCTGGCTTCACGGGTTCTCCAGCCGTGCGGCGGAGCTGATCCTGTTGCTTTCCCCGTCGCTTTCGTTCGGCGTTGATGGGGTCGAGGTCGTCCTCCTCATCGAGCTCCTCCGAGTTCTCCGATTCATCGTCAGAGATAACGAGATCCTCCAAGTCGCCCTAGATAATAAGTTAGAATCATGGTTTGGGACGATCAGCCAATGTAACGGATGACATACCTCATCTAATCCAAAATCGCTTCCCCTGAACGAGGCGCCAGGGAACGCTTCATTTCCGGTGCCTTCAGCCGCCATCTTTTGCCGGGTCTTGTTAAGGTGCCAACGTTTACGATCCTCGTGCCATTTGATCAAGGCATTGATCTCCTGTAGCGCCTTATCCTTATCGATTTGCCCCACATCCTTCGCCCCATGCAGGAGGGCGTTCATGTCTAATCGACCGCCTTGCGGTCCGTGGCGCAAAAAGTCCAGGATATCTTCGATCCACGACATCAAAGAGCCGAACAGACCATTGTCATGCAAGTGAACTTCATGCACAAACTTGTAGAAGCTGCTCTGGTGGCGTTCACAGAGATCGATGAAGGCCTGGACGGTTTGGTTTGGATCGGCAGACACGTCCTGTCGCTGGCACTTTTCGATGACAGCGATCGCATCGTCAGCGAACTGGGCAAAGTCCGTGATACTGTTGTAGACATTGGCCGACTTGTATACTCGTACAAGAGGCTCGTAGAAAATGGTGAAGAGATCACGGAATAATTGAAGAGTGACTGGCTCTTCAACGATACTTAGCATCATGGCCTTATCGCGCTGTCGCGTATAGAGCTTGAGTAGCTGTTTCAAGTGAGCAAACCACTGAGCACCCTCCCGCATCTCTTGATCCACGTTCTCGACCGCAAAGTTCCAAGCAACGTACGCATTGAACACTTTGCCGACTTGTTCGGTGGTGATCTCCGGGGCGATGTATTCGGACCGAAGGATGGCAACAATGAGATCCACGTCCTCCATAGTCGCCTCGTTGCGGATCTCATTCTTAACCGTTTCGTCGGCGTCGGTAAATGCCTTCAACTTCTGGCAGAGAATGGGGTCATCAACCTTGGCGGCCACTGCATCAATCGATTTCTGGAATGCCTTGATGCCGTCATTCAGAGTCATCGAGAAGATGCGCTGCAGGAGAGATCGCGACCCAAAGGGTTGGGCCAGGAAGAGATCTAGAACCCCGGTCATCACAGCGGCGGGATTGGCGATCCTGATCACGTTCTTCATCAACGTATACGGGACAAGAGAGTGTATCCGCTTAAATTGCGCAAATAGTTCCGGCGAGTTGTCTTCGGCTAAGAACAAATGGTACAGCGTCGCAGCAACCCTGGCTCTAGTTAGCGATCACATCAAGCATAGTCATTCTCGGGTCGTGTACGAACTCAATCCGAAGCCATTCGGCAAATTTCTGGTATTGAGGGCTGAGATCCTCTACTGTAGACTTCTCTCGAATCTCGGAGAAGAGCTTGGTCAAGCCATCTGGAAGGAAACAGGGATGTTAGTAAAAAGTGTGATGATCGGTTGGGCTGCGGCACATACTGCTCTCCACGATGTCTCGACGAAAGTTCTCCATGTAAACATCCAACTCAGCTGCTCGCTGTCGAGCAATCTCGTAGAAACGTTTCTGCTCCTCTATTCTGATAGCATCCGCTTCCTTGCGATGTTGCATATCTATCATCTCTTCCTCATTTAGAGCAATAGGTTGCGCAGTGAGAAATTCCTCGAGAGCTTTCGATTCGGCCGCCCGTTTGTTTTGCAGTAGGGTACGAAGGAAGGCTCGGAGCGACACCCGCTGTTCTTCTCTGTATAAAACAGTCTCGCGAGAAACCTCGCCTGAGGCTCTCGGGGACTTGGGGGACTTCCCCAGGGCGGATCTCATAGACGACCGTGATATCGAACGATGAAGATTGTGGTTCCCGGGGGTTAGGTTTCTCGAGCTCGAGCTCTGGCTTTGGTTTTCTTCTGGGGTACTTGTACTCTGAGTGGACAACGAGGATACGGAAGACGCATCGTCATCTGCCGAGGAGAAGAAGCTGGACGCCGTAGAAGTCTTGTTCTTGCGCGGCAGGGGAGGCAGTGGCTTTCCGGGGAATTCGGTTTGCAGCCGTTTTTGAAGCTTGGAAAATTCGCCATACCGCCGGGCCACGAAGATGTCAGACTTCCCTTCCCGCCGCACGCGAATAATGAACTCCTAGATTTGAACATTAGTTGTAGCCTTGGGTGCGACATGGACCAAGGTTGCTTACCGCATGTTGATGGTACCGTACTGTTCGCCTCACGGAAGCAACGCGCACCGCAGCCACATTGATGTCCCAGCCATGGATCGCATTCCCTTCGGGCATATTGACTAGAAGTCCCGACTCGTTGGCACCACGCTCAACAACCTCCATTTCCGAAAATTGTATCCGTTCTTCATATCCCGATGCTGTAGGAATGCCAGACACCATCATCAGTTCAACGAGCTTCTCACACTTCCTGGCCAGCTTTCGCCGTTTTGTCTCCTCCAATCGATCTTCCGACGACGACACATTCTTCTTGGCGAATGATTCAAGAAACTAGTAACTTGCAATCAGTGGCTGCGGGGAGGGGAAAGGGAAGAGGGGCCACACGTACCACCTGCAACTTGTCCTGCCAAAACTCCTTTTCGCGGGCTTTATCGAGAAAGGGGAAGTTCCGCACATGATGAACGAAGATATGACGGAGGATGGGGAGTTCTGAATCCACGGGCGCGACTTCGCCGAATTCCGACTTGAACGGGGCACCGAAGCGACGGAGGGCAGTTGGCGAGTTCAGCTCGGCGATTTCGCTCTGCACCTGGCGTGCGATGAGTTCGCGCTTCAGGTCTGCAACTGTTAGAGATGAGTAATTACGCCCTTGTAAATGAGAGACCAACAATGTTCTTGCTTTCCCGTCAGGATTTGCCCTGGCGGGGTAATGTTCTGGGATTCCGATGGAGGGCCGACCGTGAGGCCATCGGAGCTCTGGACAGGGTTCTCAGAGGCCATGGTGAACGACAGTTGCGTACGATCGCTCAACACCAGTCGCCCAAATGACGGATCATAAACTTATATAGAAAGAAGAGGGGAAAAAAACCCACGAGTGCCACCGTTAAAGATCGAGGGCGGTTCCTGAGTACAGGGCAGAATCCGTCTGCCTAGTGGCGTAATGCGAAAATGACGTTGATCGGGCCAATGCCGAGATACGATGGTGCTGGGGGGTGGCTTCTTGGTATTTCCCAGCGTAGGAAGGGGAAATGGTGCCGATCGGACGGGGGAAAGGAGGGAGGCCAAGGGAAAGAGGGAGAGTGAGGAGGAGAGGAAGAAGAATTCCCGGAGGAGAGTTGAGTTCAACAGGTTGGGCAGTCACGGGAAAGACGATGATCGCGATATTAATCTTTCCCTTCCGACCACTTCTTCCTCTTCTTTATAACTAAGACCCCGCTAACACTTATAATTTACGATGGAGAACCCCCCCCCCCCAATCGACAAAGCCACTCCAGCTCCTCCTTTCCCTTCTCCATGCCCTCTTTTCTCCCTTTGACGCGTCCATTGAGGGGGCTCAGCCCTGTAGCCCCGCAGGGTCGAGAGCGGATCGACCGCGGTACTATTTATTGTTGGCATTCGCAAAGATGATACCTCGCCAAGTCCCTCTAGTAGAGTCAATATGGCTCAGTTCGACATGCGCCAAGTAGGCAGCCACCAGACGATGGTCTCTGCACGCTTCCCACTTTCATCCATCGATCGTCTGCAATAAATCCCCGATTTCTGATGGTTGTGCTTTCTCAATCTAACTCACCAGATGGCACCAATTAGCATAGCCACTCTGGCCGCCCCTTAACTAAGGGAGTGGACCAAAATAGAAAAGGTTCACAACGGACACTGGCAGTCTGGCACTGACAACTGAGAACTGAGTCACTGACAAACAGTCAAGCAAACGTGAAAGAAATTTGCAGGAAGGAAAAGAATGGTGAAATTACTGGACTTATCGGCCCCATCGTTTGAACCGATGACCCAGAGATACTGGCTGGGAAATGGCCTCGTTCCGCGTCATATTTTGTTCAACTAACAGTCATATGATAGAAACCGGAATTGGGAGCACATAGGTTGATCGACTACATTTGATCACCTGTTGGTGCTAGGCTCCTCGGTTGCTCATGATGAACTAATCGATCACAAACAACATGAAGCCAAAGTCGGGAAAAGGCAACTAGTAGTTCGGGTGAATGCGTTGGTTGGCAACGGAATTCTCGTTTACCACGTTTTGATACTCGCGCCCGGAATTCCGTCTACCAACACATTCTGCCACCACACTCACATCATCATGATGTGAAAGCCAGTATTACATGTTCAGAAGTACCTGACTTGGGCACGAAGACCTTTGCCTAACTTGAGGGGTCCCTTCCTTCCAACTCACACCACTATTTTACCTTAATAACCTCACCCATTTCCCTCCACCCTAGATATCCCCCCCTCCCCTCAGTTTAGGCCAAGAAGAACTACAAATTAAGCATAATGTTATTTAGCAGACTAAGGAGATCTGTGCGAATCCAAAAAACCACCAGCCATGCTACAAGACATACTACAGCGCATGCGACAGTTACGCCAACAAAACCCGCTGAACATAGGCCGAGCTTCGACTCCGCCTGGACCCTCACAGGGGACAGTAGCCTGGACCTATGTGAATGCAAACAACTGGGTATGGAAATTCTTCATACCATTGCCGGCATCCCCTCCTTCTCCGAATTCGAGACCAAAGAGTCCGGCCTGCTCTGTCTTGAAGACACGATCAGCCTGTTGGAAAAAATGAGCCTTTGTCCAAAGTGCTCCGAACATGAACATTCTCCCGAATTTCTCGGCATCCTCTGCAACAAAGTCCTGGCCCAGTGTCAATTGTTTCGCGGGTTCCTAAACGAGATGTTAGAGCAGAAAGATCAGGACCACCAGTCCCTTTTACAGCGGGATTACGCAGTCGCCACGGGTCAGGAGCGAATGAGTCTTCTCTGCTCCCTGACCTACCTTCAAATGAAGAATCTCCATGGCTGTGTGGCTCGACTAAATGAAAAACTGGAAGAACAATCAACGTTCGACGAAGACTCCTGGTTGCATCTAAGGGGACAATGTTTCCAGCTGGCCATGGATTCGGCCACCCTCTGCTCGCGGGCGACCTATTTTAGAAATTCTGTGTTTTGGTGACCACAGTTCGACAATTGAAATGATTTATGATGTGCATGTCTGGGCGTTTTAGGATTGGGTTGATAGTTTTTCCCTTTTTGGTTCTTTGTTTTTTTGTCCCCCGCGACATGGCTGAAATTGGTTGCATGGGTTCTATGGCGTTAGGGCTGCCTGGATAATCTAGAGAACAATTGGAAAAGTCACAAGGTATCGGGCGAGGTGGATAAATGTTGCATCTCCCATATACCGTAGAGTGGTATAAAGCTCTGGGCTCTGGCACCGTAATAACTACTGTCGGTGAGCCAAGCAGCTATGCCGAGGTGTGCAGCGCTGCAACGAAGCTCTATTGCCGTATGGGATAACGATTCATTTGAGATGCGAAATTGACTTGGCGTGTCTTAACTAGGGTTGGGGTGCTGGTTGATGGCCGGGAACGGTGCTCAATAATGAGTCGTGAACAACGCCCGGAAGATAAGGCGGACTGCCAAGGCCTCGTCACCCTCCGCCCTGCTCCCTGTCGCCGCGTCTCACAACCTCCCCAACGTCCCTTTATAACGTCCGTGGTTCGACATGGCCCATTGCCCTTCGGTCTTGGGTCTCTCTCGTTTTCATTCTTATCTATCAGAGGCCTATGAGCCTTGATTGCCACACTGCACCCACCTGCGTCTGTCCATCGTGGCACCGATAATCCTCGAGCCTCGGCTGTCCTCCCCTATCTCAGCTGCCTAGTCCGAGCTGTAATCCGATATCGCGCTGTCGTTGCTGTCGTCATAGCTGAACCTCGTCAATTCGCTCTCTACATGCTGCTCTAATCATCATGGCCAAGTCAGACGCCGATGAAAATACAGAGTTCCTCCCCATGACTCGCCCGAGATCCACGTCGACCGCCTCTCAAGCTTCCTCCGATTCGGGTCTGTCCGTCGAGTCGTCATTCCTAGGAGAGAACAAACGCGATGCGACAATGACCGAGAACTTCAGTGCAGCGGAGGAGGCTAGATACCGCGATATGGAAGATGGGGACGCTGCCGCGGATGACCCATTCCTCCCCGGGTCCAAGAAGCCGACCACCTCAAGTCGTACCCGCCAGATATTCTGGGCTCTCATAATCCTCTGTGTGGGAGGCTGGGTGCTGGCGTTTGTGCTCTTCCTCACTCAGGGCCGGTCGAAATACCAGACTGCTTCCGATTCCCTGCAACTGCACGAACCGGATTCCAACTCGGGGAGCACGAGCGCGGGGAAACCAGTGACGCTAGATCAAGTGCTCTCCGGCGAGTGGTCGCCTACGGCGCATTCCATTTCCTGGATTGCGGGACCGGAGGGTGAAGACGGCCTCTTGGTGGAACAAGGCGAGGGTGGAAACGGATACCTGAGAGTTGAGGATATTCGCAGCCGCAAGGATGGTGAGGATACGCTGGAGGGAAGGGTGTTGATGCAGAAGTCCATTGTAAATGTGGATGGATATGCCTTTGTGCCCTCTAAGACCTGGCCGAGTCCCAACCTGAAAAAGGTACTTCTCATGTCCGACCGGGAGAAAAACTGGAGACATTCGTACATTGGGAAGTACTGGATCTTCGATGTGGACACTCAAACCGCCCAACCTTTGGACCCGAAGGTACCTGATGGACGGGTGCAGCTGGCAACTTGGTCGCCGACCTCAGATGCAGTCGTCTTCGTGCGTGAAAACAACATGTACTTGCGCAAACTGTCGTCGGATTCCGTCATCCCGATCACGAAGGACGGCGGCGCAGATCTGTTCTATGGCGTCCCTGACTGGGTATACGAAGAGGAAGTGATTTCGGGGAACAGTGTGACCTGGTGGTCGAATGATGGGAAGTACATCGCCTTCCTTCGCACCAACGAGTCGACGGTTCCCGAGTTCCCGGTCCAGTACTACCTATCGAGGCCATCGGGCAAGAAACCCCTTCCAGGGCTGGAGGAATATCCCGATGTCTCACAGATCAAATATCCCAAGGCCGGAGCTCCGAATCCAGTCGTCAATCTGCAGTTTTACGACGTCGAGAAAAACGATGTCTTTCCCGTTGAGGTGGCCGACGACTTTGAAGATGACGACAGAATCATTTTCCAAGTGCTGTGGGCTACCGAGGCGAAGGTTCTCATTCAGGTCACCAACCGAGAGAGTGACTACCTGAAGGTATTTTTGGTCGATACTAAGACTCGGACGGGAAAGCTGGTCCGAGAACAAGATATCGCCGCTCTGGACGGCGGGTGGATAGAACCGGCGCAATCCACCCGGTTCATTCCTGCAGACCCCAGCAATGGGCGCCAAGAGGACGGTTATGTCGATGCCGTGGTCCATGACGGATATGTGCATCTCGCTTACTTTACGCCTCTTGACAACACGGATCCCGTCATGCTCACGACGGGTGAGTGGGAGGTCGTGGACTCGCCATCCGCCGTGGACCTGAAACGAGGACTTGTGTACTTTGTTGCGACGAAAGAAGCCCCGACCCAACGCCATGTTTATCGAGTGCAACTGGACGGAAAGAACCTCCAGCCCTTGACTGACATCTCGAAACCGGGGTACTTTGATGTATCCTTTTCCGATGGATCTGGGTATGCGTTGCTCAGCTACAAGGGGCCTTCGGTACCCTGGCAGGCGATACTCAACACCCAGGGCGATCAGCCTATTCTCGAGAAGACGTTAGAGGACAATCCGCAAATTTCTCGCATGGTGGAAGCGTATGCGATTCCAACAAAAATATACCAAAATGTAACCATTGATGGCTTCACGCTTCAGGTTGTCGAACGCCGCCCGCCTCATTTCAACCCTGCAAAGAAGTACCCCGTGCTGTTCTATCTCTACGGAGGCCCCGGCTCGCAGACGGTGGATCGTAAATTCGCTGTTGATTTCCAATCCTACGTTGCGTCTAGCCTAGGCTACATCGTCGTCACCGTCGACGGACGAGGCACTGGATACATCGGTCGAAAAGCCAAATGTATCACCCGTGGAAACCTTGGGTATTATGAGGCCTATGATCAGATTACTACTGCAAAGATGTGGGCTGAAAAGCCATATGTTGATGAGTCCCGCATGGCCATTTGGGGCTGGAGTTACGGTGGCTTCATGACCTTGAAGACTCTCGAGCAAGACGCTGGGGAGACGTTCCAGTATGGCCTAGCCGTTGCCCCTGTCACAGACTGGAGATACTATGGTACGTCCTACCCTCTTTGGGTTTCGAATAAGCCATTACTGACCTATATTATTTCAGACTCCATCTACACGGAGCGCTATATGCATACACCCCAAAACAACCCCTCGGGGTATGATAACTCGTCTATAACCGATATGTCTGCATTAGAGCAATCGGTGCGCTTCCTTGTCATGCATGGTGCGTCGGACGACAACGTACACCTTCAAAACACACTCGTGTTGGTCGACAAGCTGGACTTGTCCAATGTTCAGAATTATGACCTGCATTTTTACCCGGATTCGGATCACAGCATTGGTTTCCACAATGCCCATTATATGGTCTACAGTCGTAAGTATACATCTACACTCGACAGTGTCATTCAAGCAAATGAAACTCACTTCTCATCCGATAGGTCTGTCGAGCTGGCTCATCAACGCGTTCAATGGCGAGTGGCATCGAACTGCCAACCCCGTTCCCGACGAATCGATGTGGGGGCGTGTCAAGCGATCGATTCCTTTATTTGTGCATTAATTTCGGTTTAGTGGTATTTTATGGAAATGTTATATAAATACATAAATCAATTGGGTTAATATATTATGATCCTCGAGTAAGGTATTCCTTTGCAGATCATCGTTATCCACAGGGAATTCTTCAAATGCATAAACATCACTATACCTATTTACAAGAACAAACAAACAGCAACAGTCTTCTAAGCTAAAACAGACCCATGGGCGCCGGATTCTCGTAATCGATATTCTCGTCCGCACTCTCGATCCTCGGACTGCAAGTCCCAAACACCCGGTCCCACACGCGCGTCTGCTTCCCATAGTTATGGCTCTTCTTCCACCCCTTCCGATGATGCAGATCATGATCCTCGATCACCAGCTCCGCACCAAACATCCGCATCAGCCACGTCAACGGATTCGGCGGTGACGCATGGATCCGAAGACCGCTGTGGCCCGCCAGCTCGGCGAACAGCACATACAGCTGACAGATATGCCACTCGTAAAAGCCCATCGGCAGGCCCATCAGGCGCATCGTCCCCCACGTCATCAGCGGAATGCCCGCGATATCGAAGAACTCCTGCTCGGAGTCCGCGTAGATGGTCAGGAGCGGGTTCGGGTGCTTCGTGAGGTGGTGCGTGCGGTGGTATTTCCAGAGCCCCGCCACATCGTGCATCAGTCGGTGGTACCAGTAGAACCAGAAGTCGAGGATAATCCCGTACAGGCTGATCTCGAGGGGCAGGTATCGCCAATCCAGGGACGCGGGGGCCTCGTGGGCCCGGTATGTGAGGAACACGGTCATCAGGGGTCGCACGAGCCCTGCGAGCATGACAGACGTGAGGGCCTTGCCGACTCCGACGTCTGGCACGCCGTCGCGCTCGTGGTTGTCTCCGTCGAGGAAGCCGTACTTGTGGCCCATTTCGCGCAGCTGGCGCAGCTCCCGCTGCGTGAACACCCGCGAGGCGTAGTAGTAGTATAGGAAGGCGACGATGGGGTGGAAGTTCTGGCCCGTGAGGGTCACGTAGAGTTGGTGGGCGAGCAGCGGGATGCTGCCGTAGACTAGCACCCAGCGATGGAGGTGCCAGTCCGGTACGTAGGGCACTTTCTCGCTTTTGGAGTGTTTGGGCACTTCGCGGTCCAGGTCGACGTGGTAGACGTTGGCCCATTCGAAGATCCAGTGCGGGAGCTTCCACTGCGAGCGGTCTTGTCGCCGCCAGGTCGACTTCATCGAGTCTTTGGGATTTGGATGGGTGCTCATCGTGTTCGGTGTGTTCGGTGACGTTCTGATTCCTGGTCGTGATAGGCGTTATTCACATCTAGTGACATCTCTCGATATGGGGTCACCGAGGTGGGAGTCCCTTGATATAAATACCACTTGTGCCTGGGGCCCATGACCAAACACTCATTCAAATACATCATCATGAACCGAGGTCATGCAGATCATTGCACCCGTTCCAATTCCTGGTGCCTGAAGGACTGGAAACTTGGGAGCTGGCGGCCAGTCGTTAGGGCTACGGACAGGCTCGGGAACCTCGACCGAGTCACCGTACCAGACGGGCGTCATAACGTTCAGCCTGCACATGTGATGAAGCCTGGAGCTTAGTATGGGGCTCGACCCCGTAAGCAGACGAGTGTTGAATAATCATATATCATTGTGGGTGAACACGAGGGGATGGGGTGGGTTCCGCGATTGTCCCAGATCGCAGTGACATCCGAGGAGGGAATAGACTGGACAAAGGCAATCCAAGCAGAATCGAACAAAGACGGAGGCATCATAAGTAATTCGCAACCCTTTCCCGGGCAGGAATAGTCGCAAGTTTCGGGCGTGAGTCGATCATCTCCACCTGATCCCCCAGACGGCCAGGGTCCAATTTTGGGCGCTTTTGCTCGGCTGTCGGCCGCTTCGGCAACCTCGTGGAATCCGTCTCGTCTGCAACTTATAAGACCGACCTGCGGTTATGCGAATTCTCAACGAATCCAAGAGTTGAAGATCGAGTTCATGGTCACGCATGAGGTTTATACACAGTTCTCACAGCCAGCAGTACGCTAAAACCGCATACTCCCGGTGCTGTCCGATTTGTTTCCAGTATTTCCTACTCACGTAAATCGAGATACTTGGCTTATGCAGATCTTACTCAACACTCAGTCCAGAGTAGTATTTAGCATTCGTCTTTGAGCCGTAAAATCCGGTTGGTCAACGTCTCCGCGGATCGAATCTAAAATTGATCTTACAGGTGCCCCTTCTCTGTTGCATCAACAATCTGGACTCTACAATTATATCTTCAAGTCTAGCAGAGGCCCTCAATATCCAAATTTCTTACCTCACGGCACAATCTGAGGGGAATTCCAATACCAATTCTTCATCATCGGGATCTCAGGGTATCCCCGATATAGGCTCTCGTCATGGTCTGATTATTCGTCTGCATGATTGCTTCGGCTGCCGGGTGGACTGCAGTACTGTGGCTCCGGAACAACACGTCTGGCACATGAACCACTGGACCTTTCTCACCGGCTTGGAAGACTTCTTCTCGACTGAGATCAATTGAATCCCTATATGTGTACCTAGCTGATAATTGTTATATTGCATGTGATTCACCCATAAGATGGAGGATTATTGCCTTGTTGCAACATGCATGACACTTTTAAGGCATGAGAAATCCGGAAAGTGCAGATGACTCGGACTATTGGCAAGGGAAATGCATGAGGCTTAATCCAATGGGTTGATCATCGCCTGTACATGGCAGGAGCAACTCCTGCTTTACTCCCAGTTTTCGATTTTCTTCCCGGAATGCTGTTTTCTGCCATCCCAGCATCCCAGCATCCATTCCCCTTGTGCTTTGTTTCAAAACCACGGGGGAGGAAAACACTTATCAGCATTGTATTCCCTTAATTTTATAGAGTATACGACCTTTAATATTCTGCTTCTGTTTGCAAGAACATCTTTCCATCATGCGCTTTCTTTCAGGGCTCGGCCTGGTGGGCTTTACAGCGGCCCAGTCAATCTCCCATCTGGACCTTTTCGACTATGGACAGCGCGGGCCTATTCTGGGATCCTCCTTTGGCAAGCCCGGGGCGAATGCAACCTATGACTATATGATCGTAGGAGGTGGCACAGCCGGGTTGACTATTGCCAGTAGGCTGGCTCTCAGTCAATCGAACCTGAGTGTTGCCGTCGTCGAGGCTGGCGGATTCTATGAGGTTGACAATGGGAATGCCTCCGTCGTTCCTGGATACGGACTTCAGTTTTCGGGACTTGACCCCAGAGACACCAATCCCCTCGTCGATTGGGGCATAAACACGGTGCCTCACCGGGGCACTGCCAATCGAGTCTTGCATTATGCGCGTGGGAAGACACTCGGGGGTAGTTCGGCCAGAAACCTCATGATCTACCACCGACCCACGATTGGAAGTATGCAGAAATGGGCCGATGAAGTGGATGACCAGAGCTTCGTTTGGGACAAAATGTTGCCTTATTATAAAAAGTCCCCCCATTATACGCCTCCGAGCCCAGGGCTCTTCTCAAATGTAACGAACGCATCCGTACAGGCACAAGACGCCTTTGATCCCGCCGGAGGGCCTCTTCAGGTTTCCTACAGCAATTTTGTCTCCTCTTTTGCCGGCTGGACTCGTCGTGCCCTCATTTCTGTGGGCCTACCACAAATCGAGGGCCTCAACAGTGGCAAGCTCCTGGGTTCTGGGTTTGGAACTTCCACGATCAACCCGAAGAACGCACATCGATCATCGTCCGAGTCTAGCTTCCTGCAAACGGCACTCAACAGTGGTTCCAATCTTGTGGTGTATAAAAATACTCTAGGGCAGAAGATCATTTTCAATGAAGATAGAGTGGCCACTGGCATACAGGTCTCGACAGCCGGCACATTCGGGACGCAACCCCTTACCTTCACACTCAGTGCTCGCAAGGAAGTCATCGTCTCCACGGGCGCCATCCAGTCTCCCCAGCTTTTGATGGTATCTGGCGTCGGGCCATGCGATGAGATTTCCGAGTTCGAGATTCCCTGCGTCAGCGACTTGCCCGGTGTTGGCAAGAACTTGCAAGATCATGTCCTGTTTGGCCCCTCACATCGAGTGCACCTTGAAACAACGTCCGTGTTCTCGAACAACGCAACCGCTACAGCACTCATCGTGCAACAATATCTCCAGGATGCCTCCGGTCGGCTCTCCATCGGTCTTCCAGGCTATTACGGTTGGGAGAAGCTGCCGGAGCCGTACCGCTCACAGCTATCCGATGAGTCCATTGCGGCGCTTTCAGACTATCCAGAGGATTGGCCGGAGATAGAGTGGCTCCCTCTCGACCTGTTCACGGGCGACAACTCCTTCAGAGCCGACCCGGCAGATGGACATAATTACGCCACGATTACTGCCGGGCTCGTGGCCCCACAATCGAGAGGCACTGTTAAATTGAACAGCTCGGACATGAACACTCTTCCACTGGTTGATCCCGCATTCTTGGAAGACCCAACCGACGTCGAGCTGGCCATTGCCAGCTTCAAGCGTTCTCGCGAGATCTGGGGAAAGCTCGAGGATCTGGGGGTTGCCGAATCAGAATACTATCCAGGTGGAAATGTCACAACCGACGAGCAGATCCTCGAATTCATCCAGCGAACCATGACGACGGTCTATCATGTGGCCGGCTCTTGCAAGATGGGTAGAGAAAGCGATCCCATGGCAGTAGTCGACAGCAAAGCTCGGGTGTACGGCGTGCGTCGCCTCAGGGTCGTAGATGCCAGCGCCTTTCCGTTCTTGGTCCCAGGGCATCCGCAAGCGACAGTCTACGCTTTGGCAGAGAAAATCACGGATGAGATATTGAGCGAGGAGTAGATTGGAGATGAGCTCTTGGTCACCAGTGCATTAGCGAAGACTCATACGCATAAATCATCTTCATAATATTGTTAGTTCAGGCGGTAAGCATACCATGCGGCTCAAATCAAACATTCAATTGCAATTATAGAGTACAAAATGCAGTCAGTCTATATCTGTACATGCCAATCTCAACCCAAGTATAGGATACATAACACCCTTTTGTTTTTATAACATATTTTCCCCAAAATTGTTCGTCAACTTCCTCATGTTTACTCCTTCTGAGCCATCTCCGCATCCTCCACAACGACCGCTCCCGCCTCCAACAACTCATCGGCCGTCTTGACCTTCACATCCATGACCTTCAGAATCGTATACCGATGCTTACTCTTCACCCGACGGATATGTCTCTGCCTCCTCTTCGTCTTCTCCTTGATCCTCAACGGCTCCGCCTCCGTCCCCATCACCCGCATCCGACACTCGAACAGCCGCTCATCGAGATACGGCGCGCCGCGCATCGTAAACTCACGCGAACCCACCACACTCGCGCGGTTGAACCGCAGCACATCGCCGGGCATCACCTTCGGCATCAAAAACGGCAGACGCAGCTGATCGCCCTCCGTGAGCAGGTAGGGCCGGTCGTGCAGGTGCGCGGTCACGTAGTGCGGTCGCTGCGACGTCAGGTAGGGCAGCTGCTCGAACAACGACTTGCTGATCTTCAGCGGGGTGGTGAATTTCGGCGGCAATGGGCTCTTGGTGCGAGGGTCCGCGTAGGTCTGTGTTTCGATAGGAAGCACCGGGGAGGTCGTTGTGCTTGGGGGTGGTGTGGTGCTGCTGGGGGTTTGTGTTTCGTGGGTGCTTGAGGCGATGGAGGTGATGGGGCGGGAGGCGGCGGACGTGCTGCGAAGGAGAAGGCCTTGTTGGAAAATGCCGCTGATACTGGTGCTGGTTGCTGGTGCCGTTCGGAGACTCTGCGAGATGGGCAGAGCGAAGGCTCGTGGCACCGTGGTGGCGCGGGAGAACATGATGGGTAGGTGGATTGGGGTCCTTGGTGCGGACTGGGTGGTTGAGATGGATTGATAGAGTTAATTGAGTTCCGCGGTTACTTGAAACCGGTGGAAGACCCGGGTGTGCGCAGGACTGGGAGAGTTGGGTGTCTGGTGAAGGTGAAGCGGTTTCCGAGTCGAAGAAATTCCCGATGCTAGGGTCACGTGATGTGGCTGGTGGACTGGCGGTGCGGGTGATTGATTGCAGAACTACACCGTAGAGACCGTTTTCCTCTCAACAATGGCTCGCAGACGTGGAATTTAGCTCGTTCATTACGAATCAAGATCTTGGTAGAAAGGAATTAATTCCCGCTGGAGACCATGAAGGAAAATACCGTGACACCTGACCGAATTCAGCGATATCTCGAACCGTGCATGGAGTACTCCGATGGCTACACAATTTCCTACTAGGCTCCCAAGTCTCAAATACTTGATAATAATTATTATATTCCAATATGCTCCACATATACCATCGCTGACGACAGCTTCCCATGCAACCCTGACGTATAAAACATCTACATGCAATGCTGAAACGCGACCACAAAACACCAAATCCCCGTAAGCCAAAAAAAAAAAAAAAAGAGGGTAAATGTATAGATCCAAAGTGGAAATGAAGTGGAAAAGGATGAAGAAGTACACAAAGGAAACCAATCCAAGTGATTAGGACTTGAACGCCGGATCATCGGATCATTCAGGATATCAAACGCATAATAAACCAAGGGCTAAAGCAAGAAAGAATTACAAAAGAAATGAAAAGGTTGAGTCCAGTATCGTCAGGCGTCTTCTTCCATGGCCGCTTTGATTTTAGCAAAGAACCCAGCGGGCCATGCAGCCAAATCTTCGTCTTTAGGTACACCCCGAACACGACAGTGGTTCACGACGTTGACCAAAATTCGGTTCAGCATTTCTTGGGTGATCGGGACAGTTCCCTCAAGCTGTGAATCGGGATACAGGAACGGGTCCCTTTGGCTGAGGAGCTCTTCCACAGTTGGTCGCAGTGTCTGGTCCCTTTGTAAACAACGCTTTAGCGTTCGAATCAACCCTGGGGGAACTAACACTCCCCCAACGCCGTACGACGGGAAATCGATTTTCACGTGAGGATTAGGGATCGCAAGGATGCGCTCGTAGTATTTGGCGATTTTGGCGAATGGGGGTTGGCCGTACACCATCTTGTAAAGTATACAGCCCAAACTCCACACGTCACTGGGTTTTCCAAGCTTCATCACCTTGCCCACACTAGCTGGCAAACCGAGAGATGCATTCGAGTCGATCAAGGCTTCTGGTGACATGTAATTGGGAGTTCCCACCTGCTGTTCGCGGTGCACATTGACTGTGTTATCCTGAATGGCATTCGCGATTCCAAAGTCGATCAATTTGAGTCTGCCCTGAACTAGCAAGAAGTTGGCAGGTTTGAGATCTGAATGGACGATGTTGTGGTTGTGTACTGCCTGGACGCACTCGAGCATTTCTTTCCAGTAGTATCGAGTGAAATTGGTGTCGAACACGGCATCTTCTGCGTTCAGACGATATGTAAGGATCTTCTCCAAATCTGATTCGCCAATCTCCATGAGAACACTGAGCGTATGCTTATCCGAGTTCAGTTCCCAATCGAACAGGCGAACCACTCGGTCGAGGTTTTCCAACTTCTTCAATAGGTCAATCTCGCCCTTGTAGCCAGTCAAGGTCACTGGATCCACGTCCTCAAGGTTGACTCTCTTTAGCGCAAAGATCTTGTAGTTCTCTGCCATGACACGGTACACACGCGAACTTCCACCACGGCCAATGCAGTCCAGCCGCGTAAATGGCTTGTGGTTTACTGACACTTGATTGCGCTTCCTGCGAGAATGAGAAGCCGTGGCCGCGCCTCCGGCTGTAGCCGTCTCGAGGACCGACATCTTGGGAGGAGGTGGTGCCGGTCTATGCGGCGTGTTGCTGCTCCTGGTGGCCAGAATCTTTCGCGGCGAATTTCCCGCCGGAGGGTCTATATTTTCTTTCTTTTCTTCTCCGTGAACAACGGAGAGTTTCTCGGGCTTATCGAGCATATCGAACCCTTGAGGTTTCACGCGCTTGAATGTTGGTGGTGGATCGTTTTCCTGGTCTCGGGCAGCAGGCAGTGTGGGCGGCGGGGGAACCTTGAAAACTGGCTGATGTTGTTGCGGCTGCTGTTCCTTCCCGCTCGGGGGCTTGGATGACATCTCCGAAGATGATCCGGGAGTTGTCTTGGAATATGATCCATATGACTTGGGCGACGAGGATCTGGAGGCCACATTTCCAGACGACGTGCTGATCGGTTCCGGTCGGTGGTCATCTTCCCTCTGCGGCGGGCTGGGGTCTGCCCAGGATACTTTAGGGGAGGATGCTCTCGCTGTAGTCTTGTAGTTGTAGTTGTATTCATCACCGTTGTCGGTCGGGTAGAGGTCTGAGTCCTTCACTCCGTGCTCGGGGAGATAGCTCTGCAACTCGTCGTTCTCTTCACTTTGGCGTCGCAAAACGCCGCGCCGCGCCGGTCCATTCAAAAAGGTGCCGGTGAGCCTTCCGACTCTTTTGACGCGCAAAGAGCTTTGGGCTCCGAAATCCTCCAGGTTACGGGTGCGGAGCACTGATGACGTGCCGATGCGAGGGGCATAATCATCTTCGTATCTTGTTTTACTCTCACTCTCCGATCGTTCCGCACTACCCTGCTCATCCGAAAAACTTCTTTCCGTCGATTTTTTTTGGGACGGCGATATCGATGCCGGGGACCGTGTTTGGCTACGCGACCCGTTGATGCGCACACTGCGATGTCTGGGAGCCGGCGTAATGAAGTCCTCCGATTGGGTTCTTGGTTCAGGCTCGACTTCTTCTGCGTTCTCGGCGTTCGACAAGAGCGACCCTTCCCTTCGAGATCTGGCGCTGGGGGCCAAAGCGGGTGCGATGCGTACGACTCGGGGTGCCGGGCTCCCATTTGATTGATCAAGGGGAGACGCTGTGCGGGATCGCCTTTCTTGACTTGTCGCGGCAGATCCTGCACGCTCGCTCGAGTAGCGATGTCCTTGACCGCCGTTCTGGAGACGTGGGGAAGTCTCCAGGCCGTCTTCGTCGAGAAGCGCCTTCACCGAAGCACTGAACTTGGGCTCTGGAACTTCGTCGTCGGAGCTATCCCCGGCGGAATAGCGCTTCGAAGCCGATGTACCATTGCTTCGAAATGCAGCTAGGTTCTGGAGTTCTGGCGAATTGCGCCTGGAACCGGAGCGAGAGATCGACGAGGCGCGGGACATTTGTCGGGAGGAAGGTTGTCGACGCAGGCCGCTAGTATAGGCTGCAGAGACAGAATCGGGGGAAACCATTATCGCGATTCGGAGAAAGACCGCATGGACGTGTCCGCCAATGCGTCGGTCCCAAATCCCAAACGGTAAGGGGAGGGCTGGCTGTCGGAGGTTAGTCGTCGAATTGTTGTATGCTGTTAGTTAGTTTTCGCCCGGCAAGAATCAACATCGCGGGTGGCTGGGAGGTCCGGGAGGTCACGTGATGGTGTCCATTGCTACGGCAACCGCTCAAGTCACAACAACACACCTCCACTTGTCTCCCTTCTGTCGTTCCGATTATGCGCAGTCACATCGCCGGAGGGAAATGATCAAGATTGCTGTTGACAGGTCATTCTAACTCACTCCACTGCAACACTGCATATTGTCATGTTAAAGACCTTGTTTCGAATGGTTTTCAGTCTGCAGGGGATCGGTGTGTCACTATCCTGGGTCTACTTTCTCCCCAAATATATATTAATGATTACTCAAGGTTGGGCGTGTCACCTAAATTGCCCAGTATGAGAGAGGGCGACGTTCAGAAAAATATACGCCAACAAGTATCAAGGCAAACTTGACAACAGATGCCCACCAGACCGTCTCACTAGGGACCAGTATTCTCTGGTTGAACATTATCTGTACCACTTCTCATTCTCGGGCGAAGTTGGGGCGTTACATCATCGATCATCTCTCCCGACACTCTACTGAGTACGCTACTAACGTTGTCCCCAGAGATCGATCTCTGTCCAACACATTGAGTCAAGACAATGAGCCAGCTAGATTTCCGGATAATATGTCTTGGTCCGTATGTTTTGCATGGCCACGACCGCAAGTGTAATGAACTCCACAATATTCCTCCGATTCTTCCTCAATCTCAGATCTCAAATTCCATCAACTTGGTTGTCCGGAGCCACATGGACCGAAGTGGCTGAAGACCATTGAAAAGCTATTGCCCGCAACCCACGAGGACTAACGATTAGGCTTTACTCTAATCCGTAAACCGTCATCTCTACACCCTATGTCTCGCGATATCTCCAAGTTGAACCGATCAATGCATCCAGACCTTCCGAAGTTCTCCCGCATACCTCCGTAGCGTTGGAGGCAGCTAACCGGTCCATCCGAATGTCACACCCCCCTACGGTACGGTGCACATACAGTGGCATGGATGGTACGGAGTACTCCGTAAAATTGAGATATGTGGTAAACGTGCTCTAGTTAATTATGATTTTGATATCAACAGTCTAGTAATTAGTATGCTTCATTCTCAAACACCGACAGATGTCAGTCGAGCGCTGGCACCTGACATCACCTGACACTGCCCCAACTCGTCCCTTCCTTTCCATCGTCCTTTCAACTCCTTCGAGTCCTTCGAGTCCTTCGAGTCCTTCGAGTCCTTCGACTTGCTGCTCATTTTCAAGTAGGCCGAGGGACGACCTTTCTCCCCATCCAATGAGATGTTCCGATCCATGGGCCGAAACACTGGCCAACTCTATTTCAATCCACTCATTCTTTTCGCATCGCTAGTCGAGTTCTCAAATTAGAGATCTTGAGACCTAGTGTCGAGCTACGAATCCGCTTCTCGTAGGGCTAACCATCGCAAAACCTCCGTCCTCCTTTCCAGAGTCGAGATCTGACTTTGTTAGGTTTGGTTTTTTTTGGGTGCCACTGCGATCTCGCAGGGAATGATCTTTTGGTGCCTCGCTGGGTGGGAGCGGGTTGCTCAGGCCACACTCACCGAGGGATGTGGAGTTGCAGGAACCATGGCTTCAAGTCAACTAGGCCAGGAACGCTTGTTCGGGCAGTGATCTCCACCTCCCCCGGTACCTGAATATCAACCATTATCAATTGAGCAAACATCGGCGTGGGCAGATTCGAAGTCTGGATTCTAGACTCTGGACTCTGGACCCTGGACTATTAGGACTTAGGAGCGCCCTGGATGCAGGTTAGTTTGCGCGGGTATGTGACTCGGCACAACTACTGAGGCACTGACTCGAAAAGTCAGCCACTCCGGCCATCCAGTGTTGTTGTGCGGTGGGCCGAGGACGTGATGGCTTCCGTGCTCGTCCCTGACTAAAGTTGACTAGTGATTTAGACGCATCCACTCAGCACTCCTTTTCCACCAAAATTGCTCCCCCTCTCCCCTGTTTTCCAATGCAGGCTCTCGCTTTCCGCCTCGACCGGAGAGAAGGAAAAGAAGTACGGATAGACCGGGGTTTCATCTTGCACAGGCAAACCCCAGCCTTTCTTTGATTGAAGCCTTGAAGGAGGGTGTTCGTCCCTGGGAAATGACAATTTCTATAATTGGATTCTAATGATAGTCTTCTGCGGCAAGCCGCCCATCATGACGAAATGAAATCGTACTCGTTTGCGAATACACTGAGCAATGCCGTCATCATGGGGATTGTGGAGGAAGGGTTTCTCCCTGTTCATGGCAACCGGAATACAAGAAAATCGTGCACTACGGCAGTGATAATGCGATCTGCCCGGATGCATTTGTCACCTCACATGCGCCCTTTTTGTTGCCTCCACCATTCTCACATACACTACACACGCCCTGAGAAAAGCAAAGCGACCAGGAAAAATCGCCAGAAAAATTTAACCTTTCGAAAAAAAATCAAAATCCGAAGTATACGAAGTACATCCGAAAGCAAAAAAGGCAAAATCTAGCTATCACAAAATCACAAAAGCCCATGTTTCAGGATATTTTTTTTTGGGCTCCAGGGGAGGGCAACCTCTGGAGTAAAAAAAAGTTGGGACAAAACACCGGTCATGATGATCATCCATGGGTCGACTCGGCGACAGACCGGACTCTACGATTATCATGATTTCTTTCCCAATGGAGACTGGCAGGCCATCTCATTATTGGCCCAGGTCGAAAGCAAAGCCACGATCAGTGCAGTTGGCACACCATCCCCTGGGTGCAGTTGCGCTCCCATGCGGAATGTTTTCCATGCTGACCTTCCTGCACGAGCTCCACCAACAATCCACAATGCTTTTCTCCCTCTCCTGATTTTGATATGTCTTGGCACGGATGGCCCATGAATTGGGAGTTTTCAACCACGCTATTTTGCGTCGGGCGGAGCATTTACCAGGGGATTGAAACGCCCAAAGGGTGCTTGCACTGCTTGGTCAATGGGACAAGACAGGCTAATGCCTCTCGTATGGGGATTCATGTTTGCAGGTTACCAAAAAAGTCCTAGGTGGCGGACCCATAGAGTGACCCGCAGGGCTCGGAACTCATACCTTCCCAGTTAGCAAGCTCCGTTGCTTGAAATAGTATTCTCATCCCGGTTGGACTGTTTCGAATGTTCCCACCATCAGCGTTGGCTCGATATCATTTGCCTTTCCAGTTTCCACTGGCAGCCGACGCTCCACCCGGGTAGCTTGGCCTTGAAGATCCGGGTCTTCGATCACAATGGCTCCTCTGCTCCAATCGTGGAATCCGGACAGAGGACTGGAGGCTCCATCGCACGAAGGCTGTGGGCACGGGGGAAGAAACCCTCAGGGGTATATAAACCTCGCCGAAGATCACCTCTCCGGACAAAACGTTCAAGCCTCTGTCAATCGCTTCATCATTTTGGTCTTGTCCTGTCGGCGGACCTGTCTTTCTTTTATTGTTTGTTTGATTGAATTATTTTCATCAGTCTATCGTTAAACCGTTTTGGCTGTTTACGGCCATAATACTTTCTTTTCTATCCCCAAGGTTTCACAGTCATTCCCTGACATCTTGTTGACTTAACATTTCTTTTCACTTTTACGCATCATGCGTTCCAACAACCTTTTGTTGCTCGCCGGTTTGGCGAGCTACGGTGTCGCCCTTCCCACTGCTGACCTGGAAACCCGTACCTTCGGTCTCATCCCCGGTATCGTGTCTGGTGTCGCCCATGATTTGACCGGTCTCATCGGACTTCTCCTCGGCGAAGGTGGCCAAACTCCCGCCACCATCCTTTCCGGTATCAGCGCTCGGGCAGCTGCGGCCCTGGAAGGTGGTGCTCTGGGATGCAAGGCTGGTGACATCCATGCTCATGCCCGTGCTGAGTTGGCCGCCTGGGTTCGCGCCCACGCCGAACTTGAGCTTGAGGCCTCTCTGAAAACCGCCCTCTTGGACTGGTGTGACGGTGAGGAATCCGCCACCCTGTCCGTGGGCACCTGCGCCGGTCTCTCGCTCTTCATCCCCACCTGTGCCGACATCGCTGCTAAGGGCGATCTGTACGTTACCATCGACGGTATCTTCTCCACCTCCGAGCTTGCCGCCGAAGTCGTCCTCAACGCCTCTGCTCAGACTCACCTGTCTGCTTTTATTAAGGGCTCTATTGGTGCCGCCCTTGATGCTAAGATCAAGGCTGGTCTCGGCCTTTGCGCTGGTGGCGGTGTTGTCACCGACCTGTCGGCGGACATCAAGGCTGCCCTGAAGGCCTGGCTCCACGGTTCCGACTGCTCTCTGAGCGTCTCCCTGAAGGCCTCCGTGATCGCTTGGTTGGAGGGCAAGCTCGAGGGCGACGTCGTTCACCTGGGCTCTCTCCCCACCGGTGGCATTGCCACCATCTCTGCCGGTGCTGCGGTCGAGGCTCTTATCGAGGAGAGCGGTGCTCTTGCCGCTAGTGCCCAGGCCTCCCTCGCTGCCTTCCTCAAGTCCGATGTCTCCGTCAACCTCGAGGCCGATATCGAAACCGCTCTCAACCTCTGCATCAAGGGAGGCCTCGCCTCCAGCCTCGACATCGAGGTCCGCACTGCTCTGGCCATCTGGCTCTCCGGTTCCAGCTGCCGTCTTGGAGCTGAGCTCAAGTCTGTCCTCATCCTCTGGCTCTCGTTCGGCGTCTCTGGTGACGTCTCTATCGACATCCACTCCGGCATCATCACTGAGCTCACTTCTTTCCTGGAGGGCACCGTTGAGACCACCCTTGGTGGTAGCATCCGTGGCATCATCTCTCTTCTCATCTCTGGCGAGAGCTTCATCAACCTCTCTCTTGAGGCTCGTGCCCAGCTCGTCGCCATCTGCGGTGGTGCCGCCAGCGTTGAGATCGACAGCCACATCCAGCTCATCCTCATTGGCATCATTTCCGGCTGCGACACCGGTGCCGGCACTGGCACCAACACCGGCTCTTCCTCCTCGGGTGTCCCCAGCATCCCTGCTGTTACTCCTTCGGGCTCTTCTCCCGTCATCCCCGGTGCTTCTTCCACCGCTGGCGTCCCTGGAGTCTCCACCCCTGGCGTTCCTCAGGGCCCTGCTCCCACCGGCACCGCCCCTGCTGGCGGCGACGTCCCCTCCGGCACCGCTCCCGTCGAGGCCACCTCCACCCCCTGTGACACCCTGACCTCCCAGAACGTTGTCCCTATCGTCACCGGCTCCGACAGTGTGCCCACTGGTACCGCTCCCGTGAACCAGCCTGCTCCCTCTGGCACCGCTCCTTCCGGTGGTGATGTCCCCTCTGGCACCGTCCCCGCTGGTGGCAATGTTCCCACTGGCACCGCCCCCGCTGGTGGTGAGGTCCCCTCTGGCTCCGTTCCCTCTGGCCCTGCCCCCTCTGGTACTGCCCCCTCCGGTGGTGAGGTCCCCACTGGCACTGCCCCCGCTGGCGGCAACGTCCCCTCTGGCACTGCCCCTGCTGGTGGCGACGTCCCCTCCGGCACCGCTCCCGTCGAGGCTACCTCCACCCCTTGTGACACCCTGACCTCCCAGAACGTTGTTCCCATTGTCACCGGCTCCGACAGTGTTCCCACTGGCACCGCTCCCGTTAACCAGCCTGCTCCTTCCGGCACCGCTCCTTCCGGTGGTGATGTCCCCTCTGGCACCGTCCCCGCTGGTGGCAACGTTCCTTCTGGTACCGCCCCTGCCGGTGGTGAGGTCCCCGTCCCCAGCGGCGGTGCCTCCACTACCCCCTGTGACACCCTGACTTCCGAGACTGTCTACCCCATTGTCACCGGCTCCGAGGGTGTCTCCACTGGTACTGTCCCTGCTGGCGGTGATGTTCCCGCTCCTACCGGCACTGGCCCCAGCGGTGTCAGCCCTACCGACTCCGCTAGTGTTCCTGAGGGACCTGCCCCTACTGGTACCGCTCCCGGCGGTGGTGAGGTCCCCGCCCCCAGCGGTGGTGCTTCCTCTACCCCTTGTGACACTCTGACTTCCGAGACTGTTGTCCCTATCGTCACCGGCTCTGAGGGTGTGCCCACCGGCACTGCTCCCGTCAACCAGCCTGCCCCCTCCGGCACTGTCCCCGCCGGTGGTAACGTTCCCTCGGGCACTGCCCCTGCTGGCGGTAACGTTCCTTCTGGTACCGCCCCCGCCGGTGGTGAGGTCCCCGTCCCCAGCGGTGGTGCTTCCTCTACCCCTTGTGACACTCTGACTTCCGAGACTGTTGTCCCTATCGTCACCGGCTCCGACAGTGTTCCCACTGGTACCGCTCCCGTGAACCAGCCTGCTCCTTCCGGCACTGCTCCTTCCGGTGGTGATGTCCCCGCCCCCTCTGGCACTGTCCCCGCTGGTGGCAACGTCCCCTCCGGCACCGCTCCCGTTGAGGCTACCTCCACCCCTTGTGACACCCTGACCTCTCAGAACGTTGTCCCTATCGTCACCGGCTCTGAGGGTGTGCCCACTGGTACCGCTCCCGTGAACCAGCCTGCTCCCTCTGGCACTGCCCCCGCTGGCGGTGATGTCCCCGCCCCCTCTGGTACCGCTCCTGCTGGCGGCGACGTCCCCTCCGGCACTGCCCCCGTTGAGGCCACCTCCACCCCCTGTGACACCTTGACCTCGGAGAACGTTGTCCCCATTGTTACCGGCAGCGACTCTCCCGCCCCCACCGCCCCCGCTGAGCAGCCTGCTCCTTCCGGCACTGCTCCCGCCGGCGGTGATGTCCCTGCTCCCAGCGGCGGTGCCTCCAGCACCCCTTGCGACACTCTGACCTCGGAGAACGTTGTCCCCGTTGCCACCAAGACCGATGCTCCCGCCCCCAGCGGCCCCACCGGTGTCTCTCCCGAGATCACCACGGCCCCTGTGCCCGCTGCCAGCTCCGGCCCTGGCCCCAAGGTGGTCACCATCACCACCACCGTCAGCGTCTCCGCCTGTGAGCTCTAAGCTCCTTCGGCCGAAGCCCGGGATAAATTACGAGATGAATCGCAATGCAATGGCAGAAATGGTGAATATACCTGTACATAACTAATTCTAATTCTAATTCTTCAGAACGTGTTTCCGAACTCTTCAATATCAAAGAGCCTATATCAAACTCATTACTTGGAACGCGTGACTTGCCTGAGGATCATGTACTGTTTTATATTATATTTCACCTATTTTGGTTCTTTTTCTTGATTCCCCCTTCAATGGAGTACATTCTTTATCCGTTTTAACAATGGGATTCAGAGGTCTTTCAATGTACAGTACTTGGTCTAGACGAGAAGTGTGTCTCTAACTAATTAGACGTTTAACGGCTCCAATCATGATATCGTTGTAATCTTGTTTCCACAGCTCGACCAGTAACTAGACTAGACCTCTATCAGAGGGAGTTCACATACTCTGTAGACTTCTAGACCGAATGGAAGATGCAAATGTACCAAGTAAGACCAAGCGATCACTACCGAAACGGGTAAATAAGCCAACAATCCTCTCGAAGAACACCACTAACAACCACATTAAAAAAAAAAGACAAACAGAAAAAGAAAAAAAGAGAAAACCAAGATGAAGGAGGGAAAGTCCCCCACGAACCTAAAAAAAGCAAACCAACAAATAGAATCCAGCTCTCCTAACGGTGTAGGAACGAATCTTGCTCCTTCATCTGACCTAATCGCTGATGTGTCGTGGTCGATCACAATAATCACTAACTGGGATCCAACGTTGGGGATTTTCCAACGAAGGAATACCGATCATCGCTTATCAGAATGAAGATCACAGAATAAAAAATAATAATAATCACATTGTCCGGTGTACGTGGTGGTTCTAGGATCTACGGGGCGGTTAAAAAGGGGGAGTGGAATTGATTCCGTTCTGACATTCATGTCTATCATCGAAGAATCAGGACATTTTTCTGTTTATCCTACTTCGTCGGCATTTGGCAGGGACGTGACCTCCGTCTTCTGCACTATTGAACGACTGACGTTCTCATGTGGATGGGACTATGGAGATTATAACTGAGGTCGAACCGTTATCGACGTTCTAACTTCTAGTCTTCTACGACCATCAATCATCACCCCTTTTACCCGGGTACTCCAGTCTAATTTGATCTATTGGATATTGGACTGATTTTCGGTCTGCGTTGATCGTCATTTATCTCGGTTGATTGTTGATTTAGTTCTTCAGGAGAGACACGGACAAGGAGAGTGTGAAAAGGTGTAGGCGGAGGCCGTCTTACTATTTGACTTTAGAGGAACCATGGGATGATCTTGGGGTTATTTCGCTTCCGGGGTCAATAGTGAGGAAATCTAAGGGAGCTAATCGAACGGCGAAACAAGGCCGAAAAACTGGGATCAGTATTTTGAGATAAGACGATCACTACATAGATAATTCAAGAGATGATTCAGAATTGAAAAAGGAAAATCAGAAAAACATCGCTGCAAATGTATTGTTCATTGTGTTGATGCACCCCTTTTCATTTGATCATGGGTGTTTGCATATTGACTTTGCGCTAGTTTTGGGCAAGAGATTCAAATCAAAAGTCAGATTGCTGACCGAGACTTTCCTGACCATCTTCATGCAGCTAGGAGCCGATTGAAATACAAGGTGGCCGTGGGTCTTCCTCCTTTTCATTCATTGCAAAGAAAACTACCTACTTCGATGACTGCGAGTGGCTACCTACCTGGTCAGTGGAGGTGTTTCGTCGCATGGCAACCAGCTTTTCGCGAAGGAGTTTCTCGCGCAATTCGGTGCTGGAGATACGGGCTCGAGTAGTGGTAGTTCGATTCTAAGAGGTTATCCGGTTAGCCTCTGAACAGAACCTCTAGGGTCAAGGAAAGAGTAGGTTGTGGACGATGTTGGGACACACATCAGGGTCATACGTAAACATTATTATCTCGGCGTGTAGAGTTTAGAGAATAGAATACCTTCGAAAAATTTTATTCACCCACCTCTTCGGTATCCTTGGGCTTCTGATCCGCCGAGCTTGATTTCTCTGGCGGCGGAGGCGAGGACGAGCCTCGTGCGGAGGGTTCTTCCTGATCAGTCATCCTCTGTCGTTTATCACTACGGACGGATACGGAAGAGGTGTTACGACGACGTCGAGCGGCAGGGGCATATCGTTGCAAGGAACGACGTCGCTTCCTGTCTCTGGGGCCACGACTGCGGCTGCGGCTGCGAGTTCGACTGCGCGAGTCTCCCCCTCCCCGTCTCGGACTGGAACTGGCAGTGCGAGAACGGCCTCGACTGCGACTGCGGCTGCGGCTGACGCTTCTAGAGTATCGACGCCTGCGGTGGTCGTCGCGTTCTCTGCTGCGACTCAAGCGGCGGTGGTCACGGGACTTGCGGGCCTTTGCAATATCAGCGGGGGATTCTCTCTTATCAGCTCGTGAAGAATAAGGCGAAGATCTCCTCCGTCTAGCGGCGCCCTTCTCTGACTCTGGCGGCGACCGGGACCTGGACCGGGATGAACTGTGGGAAGACACGGATCGGGGCCTCCGTCGGTCGTCTCTTCTGGGAGAACGTGAGCGCGATGAATCACTGTGGGAATTGGATCTAGCTCGATCACCGTAAACCGGACTGCGCCTTCGCGGCCTTTTGTGGCGGTCTGCTCGATCCGGGGAGACAGAGTTGCTCACCGACCGGCGGCGTCTGGGCTTGTCTCTGTTCCTGTGTCTGTCTCTGTCTCCCTTGTCCCTGCTTGCGTGGCGCTGCCGACGAGGAGGGGGCGACCGAGACGAGGATACCGATCGCGAGCGCGAGCGCGACCGACTTGGCGAGCGTGAAGGGTAGCGACCGCGACGGGGACCCGAGGGAACGTAGGAGTCGAATTCGCGGCGAGCGGGCGGCTCCCGGAAACGCTCTCGACTGTGCCTCCGCGGCGGAGACCGACGTCTGTCAAAGTCGCGCCCTCCGCGGGCCCCGCCCCTTCGGCCTACCCGGTTGCGATCGTTGCGCTCTCTTCTCCGCAGCTGTTCCATTTCGCGTTCTCGTGTCCGCTCTTGCTCTTTCTGCCGACGAGCCTCTTCCGCAGCCTTCTCCGCTTCGATCTATGTAGGGGCAACGGGGTCAGTAGATGCAAACGAACAGGGAACAGGAACAATAATCTACCTTCTCCTGGATGAGTTCCAGCTTCTTCGCCTCCAAGAGCTCCTTGGGCACACCCTGGGGGTTCTCCTGCGCACTCAAACATAGCGACCAGAGCTCCTTGCAGAATTTCGCCGTATCCTTATCCAAGAAGCCCGTAAGCTGGATCTGTAGGGACTTGATATCGGGCTAACCAGTGGGCAGACGGTATCGTTAGCTGAAATCCCACAATACAGAGACCTAGAGACTAGACCCCTGGTAGACAAGACATACATAGCGGGACCCCTCCAGCAGATTAAAGCACAGCTCAATCACGACGTCATCTTCATTGCCTAGGATATCTGAGATTTTGCCCGCGATCCATCTGCAGAGCGTCATGAATTGTCAGTAAGATATTCCCACCGCCCACTTCTGGTTGGAGAAAGCCGCGACACTCACTTCTTCATCACCTCGATATTGACCTTGGTCATGTCCACCTTCCGACTGAACTCGGGAGGGAACTTGGTCTTCTTCAGCAGCTTGGCATCCACGGTAGTTGCCATGGTGTGTTTGCCCTGCCAGCCAGATGGGAGGTATTTGTAATTTTCAGGAAGCAAGGTGACGCGTGAAGAGCCGGGGGTGAGGGGGGGAGGGAGGAGAAGAACAACCGATCGCTGAACAGGATTTGGAAATTCTTCGCTTTGGTTGATCGCGCCGGACGAGGCTGCGCGGTTGGCTGGAATGCCTCGCCGCACTGCATCGGACATCGGAGGAACTGTCCGCCCGGGGGTCCGTGATGGCTTCAATCTTGCCTGTTTGGGCTGGTGGCTCCGTTTCTAGGTTAAGACGGGTTGGATTGCACAGATCTATGCTTTCTAGGGACACAGAGGGATAGTCATGTAGAATCCCAAATATGTAAATATGAATACATCATGCAGAGAGTGGCTAGCAAACCACCAAACAAACACCATAACAATAGTACCACGAATCAGACCCAACACCGGAGACCAAACATCCCGTAATCATACAAGCATTCTAGCGACAGTTTCGACAAAGATCAAGAACCCAGACCAGACCTATCGCCCCAGATCTCTCAATACCCGATCTACCCTCTCCCTCGCCTGCACCAACTCCCCATCCACCCGTCCATCAACATGTCGCGCCTTGATCTCATAATGTAATTCCACCAGCTCTTTGGCGCGTCGAAGGTCATCGTCGGCTGAATCTGTCGGGTCGTCATCCTTTGACTTCCCGGATGGAAGATTCTCGGAAGGTAATCTCGAGGCGGAGATCCGGTCGTTGACGGTGACTAGCGCGAGGGCGTCATGGTGATCCTGATCCCGTTAATTGAATGAGTCAGTATGTAGTGGGTGTAGATGCCAATGTGGATAAGATGGAATGAGTGAGAATGAGATCAATATGTGCGCAGGTAGTGAAGTACTGGACGTCATATGACATGATAGGACTGTGGGGGTGGGACATGATCTACACGTACACAAACTCGTAGGGAAGTCAGATCGGATAGAATTTCGGCAACTTGCATTACTCCTTAGGGTCTGGACTCCAGTTGGACTTGGGATTCAAGGACGGGAGTCAACTGACACAATGAAGTGATCTGAAAAGGGAGGCACCGAGGGATGCAGGGGTGAGAGGAAGTGTGCATGCATCCGTAAAGTGTAGAGTAGTTATAGACGGTGATTAGTGACGTAACGCCGTCCGACGAGTTCACAATGCAGCCCTGCAGTACAACTACACATACAGCCAGCCTTCAATGAGTTGAGATAGGAACTCTAGTATACATTCTCCTACCTAGGTATCTCAACACATCAACAAAGACCTGCAAAGGCAATGACCGGCAAACGCGCCGAGTTCGGAGAAGCCGACAGCACCTCCGCAAAATGCAGCGGGCCAGCGTCCCGGCGCATCGGCTGCCTTCCGACGCTCTGCCCTTTAAATTCCCGCCTTCAGTCATCGCTCGCTCCTCCTCCCCTCCGCACTCTCCACTCTCCCCAGTCTCTGCCCCCCGACCTAGACAAACAATTGAATAAAACACAATGGCGGCTGCATTCAAGGCTCAATGCCGCAAGGTCATTTGCATCGGTCGCAACTATGCGTATGTGAAGTCCTCCTAGGAGTCTTGTCCCCGCGGAGTTCAAACGTTCCCCGGCTAATCGTAACTCGCCTGTCCGCAGCGACCACATCACCGAGCTTAACAACACCAAGCCCAAGCAGCCCTTCTTCTTCCTGAAGCCGGCTTCCGCTATCCTGTGTCCCGGCGAAGGCCCCGTGCTTCGACCCCGCGGCACGAACTTGCATTACGAGGTGGAATTGGGTCTGGTGATGGGCAAGACCGTTCGGGATCTGGACCCGAACGACGAGAAGGGCGCCTTGGATGCGATTCACAGTCAGTGCTTCCCACTTCCGGCGTAACAGTCTCTTTATAAGCGTTCTGTACGGCTCTAAGACCACACGTGCTAACGGGTTTCCTCAATTGAATTAAAATCCAGGCTACCTCCTCGCCATTGACATGACGGCGCGCAACGTGCAAGACGAAGCGAAGAAGAAGGGTCTCCCCTGGTCGATCGCCAAGGGTTTCGACACCTTCCTGCCCATCTCGCAGCAGATCGCGAAATCGCGCATCCCCAACCCTCACGACGCCTTCCTGCGGCTGAGCGTCGGCTCTCAGCAGCGCCAGGCTGACTCGACCAGCCTGATGCTCTACCAGATCCCGCGCCAGCTGGCGGAGATCTCGCGCGTCATGACGCTGGAGAAGGGCGATCTGGTGCTGACGGGGACGCCGAAGGGTGTCGGGGAGGTGAAGTCGGGAGATGTCATGCGGGCATCGATCGAGGTGGGGGGTAAGGAGATTGAGGAGGGCCGTATCGAGGTCGAGGTTAAGGATCGGGAGGGCCGGTATGTGTATGGTGAGACTTAAGAGGTCTACTAGACCGGGTACTTCAGTTATGATGCGCGTGAGTAAATAGAGTTATATACGTATATACATACCCTTGCAATGAAACAAAATTCAATAGACAAATGCTCATCTCTATGCAGATACTAGCTACTGACAAAAACTAACACTAGTCTAGTCATGAAACACCGGGCCATCCCCGCCCATACGCATCAATCACGAGCTGTTCATCCTGGTCAGGCGGCACAATGGCAATGTATCTCTTCCTCTTCAGTGTCGGCTTGGCCGGGTTGCCATTCCCCGTGGTAGCCTGTTGAATGTCAGACCCAGGCTGCATAGCACGCTCACCAACTGCAGCATCATCCTCGCTCTCGCCGGTAATCTCATGCACCAGAGCCTTTAACCCATCCCACGAGCAACATCCCGTATCACGACACCGTGCCTCCAACAACACCCTCGTATCGGTATCTTGGATCGACCGCACGAATCCACGCACGTAGCAATTCTCGGGGAATCGGTACGGCCGGGTCATGTATACAGAACTGATGCTAGTCCAGAAATCAGCAAGACGGCTTCGCTTCTCCTTCGTGAGTGGATCAGTCCGGCCTGTTCCACCCTGGTTTGAATTGGTATTAGCACTTCGCGCCTGCACTATGTTGTCATGCGTCCCTCCGTCTCTGGAGACGTAAGAAGAAGTCAAGGTTGTTTCGGAGAGCGAGCGTACGAAGTCCTGCGGACGCAGGAGCGGAAGAGGCGAGGACTCGTTGGCAGGCATTGAGTCGGGAGCGAGGATCTCCGAGTCTGTTAGTGGTTTCGATCCTTTGGTGTCTACACCTAGATGACTAGATCAGTGACCACTTAAAGAACAGACATACCGAAACTAAAGAAAACCCGTCCTTAAACCGAGTATACTGACCGGTATTTGCATCCGAATCTAACGACCCACGACTCCGTGCACGCTTAAACACCCCGTTCTCGCATGCGATTCTCAAGACCGTGGGCTGTCGAGCCGTCGTCGTTTTCTGCCTCTGGGACACTATGCCGCTTGATTCGCGCTCACGGTGCTCCCCTGCATGCTGACGCTCAGCTTCAAGAACCTCGACCCTTGTCTTCAGAAGCCCGTTCTCCGTCTCGAGGCCATTCATCCGCTCGAGTATTGTGTGTAATTGTTCATTCAACCGATCTTCCAATCGAAGAAGAGTCCCCTCTACTTGAGCATTACATTGTTTAGTGTCCTCGACCTGGCTGGTGAGTGCCTCAAGGTCATGTCTCAGGTCATTCATGGTATCAGTAGCGACGGCGAGATCGGCCTTCAGCGTGTCGATCTGATGGACGAGGTGGATGTGTTCGCGGCGGATTTGGTGCGCCCAGAGGAGAGAGGAAGGATTTGGGTTTGGTGGATGGGATGGCTCCATCGATAGGTATGAAAACAAATGTAGATGGGTATTGTAGAGGGTGTGATGGTGAGACAAAGTGGTTGATGAGGAAAAGGAGGAACGATGAAAGCGGAGGGGGACCCTCATACATCTCGATCATTCGAGTAAAGGGCATGACTATAAAACACATGGACCTACGAGGAGTGAATAATCAAAATGAAATGGCATTCCCTCTTGTCTATCGTATTGAAAAGCAGGTACATCACCATCCCAATGTCATGGGCACATTGCATCCACCCAGATCGTGTCGAGACCAGCGTTTTGGAACGAACAAATCACATTTTTTGCTCGACCTTCTGGATCAGCATGAAAGACATCCATAACCAACCAGAGCGAGCTAGGTACAAAATGGGAGGAAATATAGTAATAGGAAAAGGGTAAAAAAAAAAAAAAAAAAGGAAAACCGATTCCGGCAGAGAAACCATGAATTACAGCAATCATTCGCACAAACATGACGCATCTCCATAAGCACAGCAAACAAAGGAAACCATTAGCGAGAACCAAGAACCTGACTAGGGTCAAAACACCATGCTAGCCTTTCCTCGATAACCCCCGCCAGTAAAAAGAAAAAATGCTGGAGATACAGAAAGCCACTTTTTGAAGGATTCTCCTTAGCCAAGAGAAGCAACGATGATGTTAGAACGCCTTTTCCACCGCAACTTACCCTTGGTCCGTGATTGGCAACTGCATTCGTAATCCGCATCGAGAGACATAAGGTGGCTCGGAATTGAGAAGTTTAGATGAGGTCTGCAAGGAATCAAGGTTAGCCAGTGAATAAGGATGAAGGAGCGAAAAAGTTGAAGACATACCAGCAACGTTCATGGGCATCTCCTCAATCTGGGTGCTGTAGAACTGCTCGATCTCACGCATCATGCGGACGTCATCAGCGGTGACGAAGTTAATGGCAACACCCTTACGACCGAAACGACCACCACGACCGATACGGTGGATGTAGTTCTCACGGTTGGAGGGGAGATCGTAGTTGATGACCAGGGAAACCTGCTGGACATCGATACCACGGGCCAGCAGATCGGTGGCGATCAGGACACGAGAAGATCCGGAGCGGAACTCCTTCATGATGATATCACGCTGGGACTGCTCCATGTCACCGTGCATGGCGGAGACAGTGAAGTCACGGGCAGTGAGCTTGTCGGTGAGCCAGTCGACCTTTCTGCGGGTGTTACAGAAGATGACAGCCTGGGTGATGGTGACGGTCTCGTAGAGATCCGACAGGGTGTCGAGCTTCCACTCCTCCTTCTCAACAGCAATGTAGAACTGCTTGATACCCTCCAGGGTGAGTTCCTGCTTCTTGACAAGGATACGGACGGGGTCGCGCATGAACTTGGTGGTCACCTCAAGGACATCCTGGGGCATGGTGGCAGACAGCAGGGTGACCTGGGTGGACTGGGGGAGGAGCTGGAAGATGTCGTAGATTTGCTCGGTGAAACCACGCTGCAGTCGTCGTTAGCATCCATGCGCCAGGTGGACTTTTCAAGGGGATCACTTACGGACAACATCTCATCAGCCTCGTCGAGAATGAAGAGCTTCATCTGGTCGGTCTTGAGGGCACGACGCTGGATCATATCTTGGATACGACCGGGGGTACCGACGACGACCTGAGGACCCTCACGGAGGGTGTTCATGTCCTCACGAACACCGGTACCACCGATACAGGCGTGGCAGGTGATGTTCTCCATGAAGTCACCGATGGCGACGACGACCTTCTGGATCTGCTGAGCCAACTCACGGGTAGGAGCGACAATCAGGGCCTGGCAGGCCTTGAGGTTGGGGTCGATCTTCTGGAGGGCGGAGATGGAGAAGGTGGCAGTCTTTCCAGTACCGGACTGAGCCTGAGCAATGACATCGTTACCTGTGAGGCAAAGCCGTTAGTCTCAACTCTGGCGCCCTCTTGATCACTCCTTATCAGAGTAATCAATCCCGAGAGAGAGAAACCTACCCTTGATGATGGGCATGATGGCACGCTGCTGGATAGCGGAAGGACGCTCGAAACCATAGGCGTAGATACCTGTAGACAGTCTTATCAGTACAAAATTTTCTTTTCCACCAGTCCGACCGCACTGTCGTTGGAGGGGAGTCACATACCGCGAAGGAGCTCGGCCTTCAGGTCCATGGAATCGAAAGAGTCGGTGATCTCATCGTAGTTAGAGTCGATCTGTCCTGTTGTTGGCGATAAAATGACATTAGTTACTGTATCTGAAGCCTTTGTGTGGTGCGTTTGTCTCGAGTTTTCTCTTTTCTCTTTCCCTCCGGCGTTGGGCAAGAATACCGCCACAAGGTAATCAAGACGGAGAAAAAGTCGAAATCCAGAACAAAACAGGGAACAAAAGGGAAGACGAGCATACCCTCAGGGATCTCCTCCAAGCCCTTGTCGTTAGAAGCCATGATTGCGGTTGTAAGATAGAATGATCACAGAGCGAGTTGTGCCTGTGACCGGAAAGAAAGATGGTGGGGTTTTGGGTGAGAAGTTTGTAGAGGTTTTTTTTCTTAGCGACAAGACGATTCCCAGTGGGGGTTGGTCGCAGCGGCAGAAAATCACAGTCAAGAAAAAGGACGGGAAAAAAAAAAGCTGACTAGTCCGAGCAGTCAGAAAATTTTCTAAGGGAATCTACTAGTCCGTGGGCAGCAGTCGGTAATCTGGAAGTTTGGTTTCACCGAAGTGTGGGTTTTTGGAAATGGGGAAGGAACCGATGAAAAAATTGATTCTTGGCGCCCATTCTGCCCTCACTCAGACCTGACCGCTTGCTCTTTCAAGGCGGGCTAACCGGAATTCGCCTCGTGGGGGTTTTTTTTGCCATCGACCATTTGTATACGGAGTAGGGTTGTTGACCGGATGCTCGCCGACGGTCGCTGTGCTGTTGGTTTCTTCTGATTGAAGGATTGCATGGAACTTGTCGCTCTGGTTGACGCTCTGATTTGACTCTGGCAACCTCCGCGACTCTCATCTGTGGGTGACATCTTCTTTGAGAGAGAGAGAGTGTGTGTGCGTGTCATCAGGATCCCCCCACCAAAAAGGGAAAGCCCTGGCCTGAGGCTGCCCAAGCCATGCCTGACATCACCTCCATCGACAGCCACTCGGAACATGGCCTACTAGAGGATGCCCCTGGACACGATACAATCCCCGGCCATCCTATGGGCGTGAAGCCCAGTGGCAATGCTTTGCTTGCCACGGAGAATCTCCGAAATGCCATTGGCACGTTCCAATTACTGCCCGATGAACTGATCTTGATGTTGCTGGAGGGCCTGGATGGCCCGGCTCTGCTGAGTATAGGACGGACGTGTAAGGCTTTCTATGCGTTTACGCGCGCGGAGGATCTGTGGAAGGCGCTCTTCATCCAGTAAGACATCTTCGTACCTGGCTATACTATACCTACGTACTCGGCGGGCGCAATGGCCCCTAAACACGTAGGTAGTTGATTTGCTCCATGCCGTACTAAACGCTACGCCAGGTCGCCTCCCCCTTCGTTTGCCTGGAGAGGAACGTGGCGGTCAACTTATCTCAATTTGCCTCCGACCAAGGTCGCCATCCTGGACTGCTCGAGTCTCTACTCCGACGCCCTACACCGACCCTTCTATTGCGCGCACATCTCCTTGGACCCCTTCGTTCGCAACATCCCGACGAGAAACCAGATCGCTCGGCTGCCGGACCTATCTCCAGATGAGTTTCAAGAGAAGTGGACCGACACCCCGTTTATCCTGACCGAACCCGTCAAACAATGGCCGGCCTATCGAGATTGGTCCGTCGAGTCGCTGTTGTCGCGACACGGCGACGTCGAGTTCCGTGCGGAGGCGGTGGATTGGCCCTTCAAGACCTACGTGGATTACATGCATCATAACTCGGATGAGAGTCCCCTGTATCTGTTCGACCGGGCGTTCGTGTCCAAGATGGGGATCAAGGCCGGTCCGTTAGACCAGGAACCCGAGGCGACGTACTGGCCGCCACCCTGTTTCGGAGAGGACTTCTTCTCCGTTCTAGGAAACGACCGTCCGGACCGACAATGGTTGATCATTGGACCTGAGCGATCGGGGAGTACCTTTCACAAGGATCCGAATGCCACCAGCGCCTGGAATGCGGTCGTCCGAGGCTCGAAATACTGGATCATGTTCCCTTCGTCGTCCAAGCTGCCCCCGCCGCCCGGGGTCTACGTCTCCGATGACCAGAGTGAGGTGACGTCTCCGCTCAGTATCGCGGAATGGCTGCTCGGCTTCCACGCTGAAGCCCGACGCACCGCGGGTTGCATCGAGGGCATCTGCGGGGAGGGCGAGATCTTGCACGTGCCTTCGGGGTGGTGGCATCTCGTCGTCAACATCGAACCGGCTATTGCGGTCACGCAGAACTTTATCCCTCGTGCTCATTTGGGCGCTGCGTTGGACTTCCTATCCAACAAGGCCGACCAGGTGTCTGGATTCCGAAAGGACGTGCACGATCCATACAACCGATTTGTCAACCGGATGCGCGAGACTCACCCGACTATCCTTGAACAGGCCGAGGAAGAGTTACAAAAGAAAAATGACGGCAAGAAACGGAAATGGGACGAAATTGTCCACGGAAAGCCGGATGGCGAAGGAGCCGCAGACGCATCGGAAGGAGGAGGATTCAGTTTTGGCTTCGGAGACGACGGAAGCGACGTGGAAGTTCCCTGAAATTCAAGCGGCCAATCGTGCGACATGCATGGACATGAGACTGAGTGAATGGAAGATTCTCGGATAAGATTGTGGAAGAAAAGCAAAATATACTATCATGAGAAAGCACACGCCGGCTTCCGCTGTTCAGTCTTGATGCGCAACTTTCATAAGCTCAACATGGGTCTCGAAAACTCAAATACCGGAAACCAATCTCCAAACATAAAGTGCATACGAACGCTTAATGACAAGCCACCGTCTTAGAAGCCGACGTATTGTCCCCGAAGACCAGATATCCTACGAAGGCACCGACCGCCACGGAAAGCATAACCCAGCCGTTATAGGTCATGAAGAGTAACCTGGGAAGGGCTTATGAGCGGTCTGCCGAGTACGCGGAGAAGGCAGGTCGGAAGCACTCACATGATAAAGAAGCTATAGAATACCTGCACGGCATACAAAAGGGCCATGATGATCTTGCCCCTCTGCTCCAGTCTCCGGCGATTGTCGCTGCCTACAAGTAGCGGTGAGCTCGCGTCGGGAAGATGAGTCGCTGGATGATGAAGGGGGCCATCCGGAGCAGAATCGTCGGCGAAGTCATTGCCTTGATGGTGTCAACGAGACTGGACACGAGTCCGGTGCGATGTCTTGACCTCCGATGGGGTTCCCATTACGATACAACCATAGCATAATAATTAAAATAATACATAGCATGGAAATGGAAAATTCAAGATGAAAAACAGACTTACCCCCGGTCGTAGTAGACGACGAAAATGCATTCAACCGTCTTGCATGGGCCGCCTCAAACCGCCTCGTCAGTTGACGAACGCCCTCGTACCCGGCCGTCAAAAGTACGATCACAACCAAGGAGACCAGAAGAGACGCAAGCCCGGTTACTTGCCACCGGCGGAAGACGATGCAGAGGCCTTTGCTGGACCAAGTGAATAGCATCTAGCGGGGTTTCATTAGTACCGCCGTAGATAGCATCACACGAGCATACCCAGAATCATAGATACGACTCTGACGATGCGTGCCATCTTATGTGGGGAGGATAAATCTGGGGAAGACTTCATACATTCATACTACATTGTCCTTCGCCCATATCCATATCCCCATGACCACCATGACCGCCGTGGTCCATGTCCATGTCATGGTGCATTGCGTGGTGATCCATGATGAAAGCCAAGGAGCCTAGTAATGTCTATGGTCGCGGGAAAATAAAAAAGAATGCAGCGCTTCAAGAGTATAGACAAGAATATGTGAGAATAGATAAACAAAAGTGTTCTCAGAGTGCTGTATACAAGTGGGGGAGATAAAACGGGGGATGAAAGGGAGGAGAAGTAGGAGGAGTAGAAGTAGGAGGAGTAGAAGTAGGAGCATGAGAGACGATCGGGTTGCGCCATCATGCAAACCAGACAAACACCCCGATAAGATGCGGAAATCCAACCAACACCCACCCACGACTTCCAGTACCTCTGCAACCGCCAACCCATCTTCCAAAGACTAAAGCAGACCAGATCGGACCCGACCAGACACGAGAAGACAAGAGGAGAAAATAAAGACATTTAGACACCGACAATGAGCGAATCCGCCCCTCCAATCCCCAACCCCAACATCCAGGGCACGAATTCCTCCGTCGCGGTGACCGGCACAGGTACTGGCTCCAACGCCGCCAGCAGTGCAGATCAGACCGGGAGTCGCGGACTTCCGTACTACGAGAAATTGAGGCGCGAGCTACGCGACACGTTACAGAGGAAGCGATTGATGGATAAGGGCATGGTGAGTCTTCCTGCCTGCCAGCCTGCCTGTCCCACTTCATCCATCCGTCGCCTCGGAGATACGACAGGATGCGACGATGGATGTCTTTCTTCCCAATGACATACCTTCGCGCATTCAGTACATTCACATTGAAACCATCCCCCCTCAGTCATCGCCAAAACCACATACCACAAGGACGAACAAAGCTAACCAACCAACCCCTCTCAAACCAAAAGGCCCAACTCGAAGACCAAATCTTCCGCTTCGAACAATCCTACCTCGAAGAAACCACCGCCGGAAACATCATCAAAGGATTCGACAACTACATCAAGGGCTCCTCGAACACGGGGGTCAGCGCGACCTCGCTCTCGTTCTCCGGTAGCGTGGGCGGCGGCGGCGGTGGCGGCGGCGGCACAAGACGCAAGGCCCAGGTGACGGACGCGGATCGTGTGTTTTCGAGAAGCTCGGCGGGGTTTATGCGTGTATGTTTCTCTCCTTCGCTCTCCTGTTCTTATTTTTGTCTTTTCTCGCTGTGTATGAAACTGCGAAGCTTACTATGGTTTGCTATAGGACTCTACGCCCTCCTCATCCCAAACGACGCCCTCGCATGCACCGACGCCAACGTCCACATATAACGGATCCACGGGGAAACCGAACGGCGAGACGGGCTCAGCATCCGGCAGCGTGAAAGGGGGATCATCGTCCAAGAACAAGAAGAAGTCCAGCAATAACAACAGCGGAAGTAACAAGGATAGCAAGAATGACGAGGATGAGGACGGCGGAGATAAGCCGCCCACGAAGCGGTTGAAGATCAGCTATGGGAGGGATTGAGCGATTTGCCTGAACTGTTTTTGGGAGTAAAAAAAGGGCCTGGAATTTTGTTTGTCTGGGGGCTGGGTATCTAGGGCGTTTTGTTTTCCCATAATATTCTCTGGTGTTTGTGTATGATTATATGGGTACAGTTTCTCTTCCTATCTCATGATATCCTTTGTCTTATTTCTGCGAGCCTATATCATAGATCATATCAGACCAAGTCGATTTTGTCAGAAAAAAAAAAATCAAAATAAATTATAGCAAAATGAGCTACTGTTATATATACGATCCATGCCAGGTGGGTACTAGCTAATGGGGTAATATCCTGAGATTACAGCTGCAAGCGGTAAGTAGCTACTTCATATGCCCTCAGCTCGATGTCAACATCAATGGAGTCGTCTCTCTTAGAAAGTGGCAGCGAGATCTCGTTATCCTCAAGCACATTACACTTCCAGACCTCTTTAACGGGGAGCTTGGTGCGGATAGTTCCCCGGCTTTTACCGCCGAGAGACTCGTAGATGCGGAGGATGATGCTTTGACCTGGACGGCGAGGCAAATTGTCCCGAGACACGTCTTCATCATCTTCTCCGCGTTTTACCGCGTCCAGGATGAGAGACGGTGACCCACCGAGGGAAACAGATGTGAAAACGCTAGCGTTTGCTAGACCAGTGGCTGGCTCCAGCACCAGAGGGTGATTGAAATTGTATCCAGCCCGAACAATACGAGCATCAAGGGGACCGGCATGCGGCACGATAGCATAACGGATGTGATGGCGGCCCATATCGGCATGAGCATCGGGTGCTTTCGGTGCACGAAGCAAAGAAAGGCGCATCAGGTTACCGCAGGTTGCGAAACCGTACTTCGAATCGTTCAGGACAGACACGCCGTACCCATTCTCGGACAGGTCGGCCCATTTATGACAGCATACTTCGAACTTGGCCATATCCCAGCTAGATGACATCAGTGTTATAACTCATTGGGAGTAGTTGAGCTGACTTGGGGATATACCTCGTGTTGTAGTGAGTTGGACGCTTGATCATTCCATACTGAGTCTCATAAGATGCCTCCGTGTTGGTAATGTCAACAGGGAACTCAACCTTGAGAAATTTCATATCTTCCTTCCACTCGACCTCGCTGTGGAACTCCACGTACGAAGGCTGATCTTCTATGGCAGCGGCAAGGCTGATGGTAGTCTTAACCCAGCTCTTGTCACTGATCTTGGTTTCAGTGACGACACTGGCACGGTTGGGGTCTTTCTCGGAAATGCTGCTCTTTCCGGATTGTAATTCTTTCCTCGATTCCAGATGGAAGACCTCCACATCCCAGGCCTGCCAGTACAATGGTTTATCGTCAAAAATGACCAGCTGTCCAGCCTTGCCATCCTTGGCAATCACCTCACGGTCTTCTTCGACGTCGTACAGTGAGATGATCACACCATTGTGGATATCAACTCTCAGCTTGAAGTTTTCAAGACGGAACGTGCCAGGGCTGATCTCCGATGCTGTCACAGCAGAAGCCGGACGCGTGACGGAGGGTTTACACTCGATAGGCCCAGTTTCACCAGTGACGAGGGCAAATTTCGAACCCGTCGAGGCAATGAACTCATTGGGGATTCGGACTATCTCAGAGCGGCGCCAAGGCAGGGTATTGATTGCCTGAAGAGTCTGGCCACTGCCTGTATGATCATATCCAAGGGCCTCGAGCGCTTCTCGCCTGGCCTTCTTCCCTGTCTTGAAAATCTCTGCATAAAGCTGATCGGAGTCATCGTAGCACATCTCAATACAGCTTCCGGGAAGACAGTCATGGAACTGGCACAGGAGAGTTCCCTCCCACATGTCGTCGATATCTTTCTTAGGGTATTCGTAGTGGCTAGTCTTGGTGATGGATGCAAGAGTGGCCAGATATTCAAGCTCGCGCAGCAAGAACTCAGCCTTGCGATTGTTGCGCTTGTTGTTTGCTTGAGTGGTATATGTACCGCGGTGAAGCTCAAAGTAGAGCTCGCCATACCACGTAGCGAATTCAGTGCCGTTCGCCGCTTTCTTTTCTAGCCCTTCAAAGAAGTCGTCCACGGACTCTCCCATCTTCACACGCGGGAGTAGGCCCACCTTGTCACTCAGACCCCGGCAGCGGCGGAGCTTCTCGAGATGCTCGAAAGTAGGCCCTCCACCGCCATCCCCCTTTCCGAACACCAAGAGTGAAGTGTTGTCTTGGTCCATCGACTTGTGCTGGGTCACGCTACGCTTGACATCACCGAAGTGAGCACTGGCAGTGTATGTCTCCGAAGGGGACATATGACACATGACCTGGCTGCCGTCCAGGGAAACCCATTGGAAAGTCGTATGGGGAAAGTTGTTAATGTTGTTCCAGCTGAGCTTCTGCGTAAAGAAGCGACTCATTCCCGCCAAGCGACAGATCTGAGGAATTTGAGAGGAATAGCCAAATGTATCTGGCAGCCAGAAAGTTGTGGACCGTTCTCCGAAGTGGCTTTCAAAGAACCGCTGTCCGTAGAGAAACTGCCTGACCAACGATTCTCCGCTGGGCAAGTTGGTATCATGCTCGACCCAGCTCCCGCCGATGGGCTGGAAGTGTCCTTTCTTCACCCAGCCTTTTACGCGGTCAAAGACGGTAGGATAGTACTGTTTCAACCATTTGAACTGCTGTGCCTGTGAGCAGGTAAATCGGTGCTCGGGGTATCGATCCATCAGGTCACATTGATTCGACCAGGACCGGGCCACCTTGCGCTTGGTTTCGGCCCAAGGCCATAGCCAGCACGTATCGATATGGCAATGGCCAATACCGTAGACAATCGGCTGCGTCTCCGTGTTGTACACATCGGATGAATCGACTTTACCCCCGAGATACTTCTGGGCAATTTTGCGCGCCTCTTTGATCGCTTCATTGCTTCCATTTCCGGCAATGAAAGCATCCATGATGGCATTGCCGACCATGTTTGCCTCGTGAGACTCCCAGCCATCACCGGGGAACTCTCTAGCCGCATCTGCATTACCCATCAGTGAGCCGTACTTCAACAGACCCATTTAGGCGCATAAAACCTACCTCCAATAATCCAGAAATCGTAAAAGAGAGCCCGCGCCTCAACATTGATGGCAGTGATGCGGGCCGTATGAAGAGTATAGTACTTATCTGGGGCCGGCGGTTGGATCGAATCACCTCCGGGGGCATTGCCAAACATGCCATTGCAGGCCATCTCGATATAAAACGTATGTTCCTTTCCATCGCGCCAGGCGTCAGGGATCACCCACTCAATCCGCTCACCTCCGCCCGTAAGACCCTGCAACGGCCGGCCATCCTCCGTCCACACCAATCCCTCATTGTTGGCATCCCAATGGAACTCCAGCCGTTCCTTCCGGCGCAAATCCTCAGGGATGGCTAGTCGGATGCGAAACCAATGTGTAGACCAACTAGGACCAAAGGAGGCGCCGATATGAGTGGGCTTGAATTCGTGGGAAGTGGCCTCCTCGAACGAGGGACGCTGCAGGTCGGGGACAGAGTAGACCTCGAGTTTGACATGGTCTTCGTCGGAGTTGGTGGCTTCAAAGAGCTTCCTAAGTTGGGGTTAGTGAATGAATATCGATAAGAGATGAATTAATAAAGACAAATAAAAACCTACGAGATCAAGTTCTGGCCGCTGTACTGGCCAGTTTCGGTGAATTGTTTCAACCGATCGGTGTAGATGCTCTTGATCCGCTGGCCAACGGGGCGAGCCGGAGTCCGGGGAAGAGAGCTTGGAGCTTGTCGGAGCACGTCTCCACCCATGGTTGCGCGGTGGGTACGGGGGTGGGCTAGAATGGGTCTGTGTGTAAAGCGTAGGCCCGATGATGGCATCAACAAGCAGATGAGAGATTGAAGGGGATGGCGATAGAAGTGGGTTCAATGAGGAATGGGGGGAAGGAGGAGGAGAAGAGGGAAAGAAAGAGAAGGCTGGAAGTGCGGAGGAATGCAGGAACGGAAGGGGGGAGCAGGTGACGTTGTTTGCGGAGATCTGATTTACTTAGTCATTTCAAGGCGGGGGATCGTGAGAATTTGATCGGTGGAGTTTCAATTCACACCGTTTTGCATGCAGGAGATCCGGGAATAATCCCAGACTTCTTCCATCAGATGATGTCGACTTACACCGTACAGTAGTGGCTAACGGTCACAATGTTACATCCTGCCCCTCTCGGCCCTTGCAAGCCTGCATCTCCTCGCAGGGGTGCACTCGGATGATCTACTTCGGTCGAAGGCAACATCTCTACGGAGTACACGGTGTAGGATTCAATGTCAAAGATAGATAGAAATTCATTCTGGTGAGAAAGTAAACTATATAATCATGCACGCCATTGACCTGGATATATTGTAAAAATAAATATTCACTGACGGAACCAATCCGTCCGAGGAGCCGTCCTTTCAGCTCCCATAACGCCCAACGCACACGGCCTTGAAACCTCAAAGATAGATGCAAAAAGAGATGAGAGAGCGCAAAAAAAAAAAAAAAAAAAAAAGAGAATTGACGGAATAATATTTGATGGGAAGAAAAGCGCTTGCAAAACGAGAGTGCCAACCGGGACAAGAAGAGAAAAATCAAGAGGTTATGATAATAATAGTAATAGTAGTAATAACAATCCAGGATGAAAGGAAGACAAAGAAACTCATTCATTCACTAGATCCAGGGACCTAATCCATCGCGTCCGAAGGAATTCGGTGGACTGACCGGTCCGACTAGACGGATTTGTGACTTCAACTCCATACGTTTTCGATCCACGCGAGCTCCGATCATCTTCTGCTTCGCTGCGACTAGGACTTGACTCGTTCCATCATGAAGGGCTTTCAGCGGGTTCTGTTGGAGCGGTGAGCGCGGTGGTGGTGATAATGGAGGCGTGGCATTCGTTATCCCCTCTGGTATAGAAGATGAGGGCTTTTTGTGATATCGCGGGAATCGCACATTCTGGCTTTGTCGGTAGCTGATTCGCTTCTCGCGACCTGATTTCTCCCAGATGGCTGCACCATACTTTTGATACGGTGACAAAGGTACGGCCAGTTGTTTTCGTCGATGGAAAGCGATCGGCTCCAGCGGCTTCCCCCGACTGTCGGAGCTAGAAATGCTTGATATGGATAGTCGTGTCAGATTCTCAGCCGAATCGACGCCGTTCCCCGGGGAAACGATGCTCTCATTGTCGGAGTAGTTGCTCGACGGTACTCGCGGTGTCGGGTGGCATTTCTGCGTGTATTCAGAGGGGGCGGTAGCGGGTCGTGTCCGCTTTGCTTTCTCTTTATCGACGGAGTGCTTCGAGATCCTTCGTTGGACATACGACCGGATCGACTTCCGCATGTCATGTGCTAGAGTGAGTCCACCTCGTTCGGCGCAATTCCAGCGATTTCCCTTCTTCGTAAAGTCGAACGTTCCCAGATTCAATCGGCTGGCATCTTTCTTCCGTTGCTTGGACGGAAGGTTGGGAGACTTCGGTGGCAGCTCCGACGGGATGGCCAGCTCCGGGAAGAAATCCCACTTCTTCTCTCGGAAATAGTGATTGGGACGCGAGCGATTGGGAGTCCAGGGCTGAGAGCTGGCATATGGGTCCTGGGATACGGGTGCGAAAGCCAAGGGTGCCGGACGAGGTTTGGCGAAGGGCTCGATGGGTGACGAACGATCTAGATTGGAGGCCGAGGTATGGTCGACTAGTTCGGCCAGATCGTCGGAGGGTGACCGAACGACGACCGGATAGCTGACGGTCGATGCATTTGAGGGGCGTCGACTCTCGAAGCTGTCGGCGAGGCTGCTGTCGTCACTCCATGCCGTCGAGACTTCCATCGACGGGGTCGCCGGCAACGGCTTCAAGGGCAGATCGGGAAGAGGCTTGTCCAGCTTGAGCGAAGGACGAGCAGGCGATACGGGCGGGATGACCCGCTCCATGCCCTCGAGGGAGCGAGATGGCCTGACGGGGGGAGCCTGCCGGGATACGGCAAAGGACGTTGGCGACGGCATGTTGGAAGGACTATATGGGATGGATATAGAAGGTATCGTCGAAAGGGATTCCCGAACAATACGCGGGGGGAATATCTAAGAACCCTTCCCCCCGGGGGACAGGGAATTGAGGAGATGGGAAGAAGGAGAGTAGAGAAAGGAAAGGAAGGAGGAAAAGAGGAGAGAAGGAGAGAAAAGAAAACGAGAAGAGGGGAAAGAGAACGAGGGACAAATAAAAAAAAACGGCCGACGAGACGACGGCGACGATTGAAACGATAAAAAAAAAAAAGGCAGAGTGCTGCGGCCACTCACAGCCTTGTGTCACGATTGGAATGCTGGGATTTTCCAGGAAATCAATCCAATTATATGAAGAGGAATCCGAGAAATAAAGAATCGCGATGCACTTCAGATCCTGGTCTTCCTTTGCTCGTTTTCTTTGGGCCGCTGCGATCACAAGACCCCGCCAAGTGTCGCTCGAGCCCTAAGTCTGGCCTGCAGAATCCGTTCGTCCTGCCAAAGACCCGGGAATCGCATCGTTTAAAGAATGCAGAGAAGGTAACCGAAGCAATCAATGACGACGACAAAGAAAGCCTCGATAACGTGATATAAAGGGGTGGATCATGCAGCTAAACGAGGGTCTCCCCCTAGTTAGTTGCGAGAGAGAGAGGAGTGAGTGAGAGAGAGGGAGAGGGATCCGAGATGGTGGCCCCCAACAAATGAATGCTCAGAGAATAAATAATAAATGATAAATAATAAAAACTAAAAAATAAATATAAAATCGTAAATCATGGATCATATAAATAATAAACAAATAATGCCAAACCCACCCGAGCCAGAGCTCGCCGTCCGCCGGAACGGGCATGGACTATGGAGACAGGAAAAAGAAACGAAGAGTTTGGCTGCAGGATCGTCATCATCATGGGCGGCGATAACCTCATGGACCGGCCGAGTGACACACCTCCATGCAAGGGATGTGCCAAAACAGCCCATCGCAATCATCCCTGGAGGAGTTCGTCCTCGGGAGGAGGGATCTCTGAAACATGGCAAATCGTGGGTGCAATTTCGCCTGCTCTCGCCAATGGCTCCTTTGAATTAAATCACCAGGAGAAGAGGTGTCGCGGTGGAATGGGGATGTAGATACCGACCAGGCTGTAGTCTGGAGCTGAACAAATCATCGGGTTGTCGTGGACAACTTGATGAGAGAGTGGAGCTGGGCCAATTGACAGTTCATAGTCCACACTCCGTTAGTCTAGTCCTCCGTAGTGCTTTATGATTCCATGGAATTTCCCTGGGGCAGATCAGAGCGCAAAAAGTGGAGCCCCCGTCAGCTCCCAGAATAGCGAAGGAACAATGATGAATCAACTGCGATTGATTGATTGATTGATTGCGCGGGATGGCCATCTTCGCAGGAACAAAGAAATGCGATAATCCTGGTCGCCATGACCCTGCTAAATTCTTATTCTCGCTTGGTTGCCTTATGCGGCCGATGTGCAAGAATTACACCGTACGGTGGAAAGGACAAAGATTGATTCCTGCACGGGGAAAGGAAAGCCGTCCGGCCGAATTGACAACGCGACCAGAAGACTTTTTGGGGCTTGGGAAATGGCGTGCAGTTCGGATCCGTCACATTCTGTTTCTAGCGGTGAACCATTTGATCTCATTTTTATTCTATTAATTCAATTTACATTTTATTCTCTATGTTTGGGAAATTCTTCTTTCACATCATCTCTCGCCAGGGGCAAATTCTCCTGCAACATTCCTCTGGCGTCAGAAGTGCATCATCCATGGCCAGACCCCGATGAGTGCCACCATCGTCAACCCTAAGCAAGATCTGGAACTTGGTAGCGAGGCGCCGTTCGCCGAGTCACTTCTTACCTTTCCAGTATCTACCTCTATCCATCCTTGTGTACAGGATCTACGGTGCACCTGTACTCCGTACACCCGACAAGTTTCGCAAGCAACGCGCAAGCAAACAATTGTGTAAAGTGAAGCCCGAAGCATTAATTAAGAGTGTTCGCAGACTAGCAGTACCTCGACGCCACATTGGCCATCGCTATCCACCCTTCAGCTCTCTCTCTCATTCTATTTCTTTCTTTTTCGCTCAGTCCCGTTCAGGAACTATCGACGGAGTGAATAATAACGAGCAAGCAAGGAAGCACAAGTTCAGCGGCAGGTACGGGACAGCCACGTACGGACTCGGACTCCGGGCCATCGTCGATGCTGCACGAATGCAAACCACATGGCAAAAAATTGGCAGTCCATGAGGCTAGAATCTCGATAGCCTCGACCCGAACCCTCGATCCTCTGGTCTGAGTGGGGGCGTATTTCTCGCCTCCTCCATGCCCGGACTCTGGTACCTGCTTATAGCCTATCTAGAGTAGTTTATCTACTTAAGGTCCTATTGACCTTACCTACTTACTTCCAGAGCTACCTAATCTTACTCGTAGTGGTGAATAGTCGAACCAGGTCTAGCCCAGTCCGGACAAGTCTTTCTCGTTTTTCTACCGTAGTTCGTCTGAGCTAGACCATCCCCAGTCCAGGTTCAGGACAATTTGCCCCCACTTGAATCCAATCTCACTCTCGGCTTTCCCCCTTCCCCTCCTCTCTCCCTTTTCTCCTCCCAACGTGTTGTCCGTCAGCATGAAAGGGAATTAATTAATCAAGCCCTTTTCAAAAAGTAGAGATTCTACTGTAAGAAGAAAAAAAAAAAAAATAGAAGGAAACTCTATAACGCACCATCCCTGGAACTTAGGTCCCAGACTACCGGAAACCTCTCTCGGACCCCCCCTCTCGGGTGGCCACTCCCTGTCATGCCCATTACTTACATTGTGCACGTTGCAGATGCAGGCAGACAGGCAACCTAAGAAAGTAGACGGGCTATCTACGTACATAGAGTGACAGGTATTCCACTGCAGAGATTCCACTGCAGCGAGGTCGCTTCGTAGAGTAACTCCGTCGTTCGCATCGACAGTGCAAGTCTATCTAGATCAGATCTATACCACGCGATGTGTTCCATCCCCACTCTCGAAAGAAAAAACAAAAGGAAATAAGGTCTCTTTAGTTAGTTCGGATCTATCTAGTTGACACTGACAGATACCGTTCTGGATCTAGACTCGCCACTAGTCAAAGGGCGACTGAATCATTCAGTTCACTCGTTCCTTGAATCGTTCCCCGGGTCCGTCCGTCCCCTTGGGAGTACCGGCCGAAGGGAAAAACAGGAAGGATTGCAAGCGGCAGTCAGCCAGGGACTCGTCCCCGTCCGATCTGGCTAAATCATAATATGTACATAGTCAGTTTACCTTACCCACTTGGGTAAAGCCCACCAAGCAAAGTAGACTAGTCTAGGCCACTGAATCGGCCATCAACCCTCTTGACCACAGTCTCGGGCAGCGACTGGATGATCCGATCGCAAAAAAAACCGTGGCTGGCGTCGTTGGAAACTTGAATGTCCTTCAGTCCAATCGGCGCAAGCCGTGGATGGAGAATGCCAGCGAATGGCTCTAAATTCTCGACTTGAGATGGGGCATTCCGGGGCCTCGTGGAGTAATACGAATGAGGGGGAGCCGCACAATAATGCGATTGACTTATCTGGCGTGGTCTTATCCATGGGACTTGGTCTTGGGGTTTGTCGGACATCCCGAGAGTTAAGAATCGACCAGGTAGTTGGTCGGTGGCGAGTTTGAGTTTCGTGGGTTTGACATCGCTTATTTGGGCCGGAAGTTGGGATAGGGCATGATGCTGGCTTTGTTTATCGCTGTGTTTATTGTTATGGCTATGACTGTGGTTTACGGACTCATGCCGGGAGGCGTTACTCCGTATTGCTGTCTGCATTGAGGCGGATCGCAGTAGATATTCATGGAAGGTGCACTACACCTGGGAGCAATGGCTCAAGAAACCCCGAACAATTCAAAAGAAAGTATAGTATCCAGAACTGCTAAAAAAACTACCTATATCGTTGCTTATTCCGAATCTCAAATTCTGAAACAGTCAGTCACCCATGCGATAGCTACCCCATCCGCGCCCAAATCTCACTCCCAACCCGTGTCATCCCCCAAAGCGTAAATAAAGTTATCATCTCCATGGAAAATCCCAAGATATAGATATCCAAAGAGCCGAACAGAAATAAAATAAGTCCGGACTATGGCCCTTCAGCCACCTCATGCCACGAGGCTGTCAGACCGGACCCGTATAGATCCGGCCTGATTGGTTCGGGGACCGTGACCTGGGCCCAAAAGGCTACGCCTGCTGGGAAATGTTTGTCATGATACATATCGCGGTCAGCCAAATGGGTCAGGGATGATATGGGTTGATTGGTGGCATGTCCTTGTCTGTCTTCAGGGTCTGTGGTGGAGGGAGGGCAAAGTAGGCTGAAGCTGAATGCCGTTCGGGGTAATTGAGGCCCGTTTATTTGCCGAGGAATTTCAGCGTCCGTATGCAAGGGCTTTTGGTGTTTCGGGGTTGCCGGGATGGGGAGATGGGTATACGGAGTTGAGATTGGTATGATTGTATGATTTGGATGCTTGGGGAGGGTTTGATATGTTTCTGGGTAGAAGTAGAATGAAAGCAAGATTCCATCGTTCTATGGGTTGCTTGCTATTATCAACGTTCAAACAGGTCTAATAACTGTGGATTGAGATACCTAGGGTATATCAAGCATATAGACACCATCCAACTAAATCACTCATAGTATATCCTAGTTCAACCTGGGTATCGATGTTAGCTCAACTTCGCTGCCTTCTCCATGTCCTCTCTCGTCAGCACATCGCCCGACCTCCGAATCGGACTCAATCGTCCCAGACGCCGCAGCCTCGCAATCATCTCCTCATCCCCAAGGTGGCTACTGTGCTCGAACGCTGGTTCCCGCTCATATGCCACCCGGGCCACGTCCACCAACATACGAGCCGTCATGCCCCAAACGCGATACCGGACCACCTCGCCAGCCTTCTCCTTCTCCTCCAGCTCACTAAACGCCACTTTCAGATACTCAGACCTCGTCCTGGCCCGCGGCTTCACCACCGCTTCCGGCCGAATCGGCACAAAGAACTGGTGCATCCGCCAATTCGACTGGTGCCACTCCGTCCACGCCCCTTGGTACCAGTCCTCCGGCTTCACATGATTGCTACTCCGGTCTCCCACCACCCATTCTTCCTCGTCCCTCATGCTTAGAAAATTACTAAACGGCGCTGTGAACACGGCCGCGACTTCGCGCGCATCCAGTTTCGGAATCAACGACACCTCCGGGTCGGCGTTGGAGTTCGTCGTCTCGTCATAGGAATGCAAGAGCGCCACGCACGGTCGAACGACCAGTTCCGTGCGAGCTAGGTTGGCAGGGAACTCGCAGAGATGCTCGACGGAGAAAGGATGCGGTAGGGTCTGTCCGATGTCCGCTAGGCTGATTTCCTCATGTGCCTCGCGACGCGCGGTCTGGAACGGTGTTTCTTCGACCGAGTCCGCCCTTCCTGGATTTCTTTGTGTCAATCTCACAGTCATTGGGTTCTTGGTGTTCTCGCACGGTGATTGGGATCACGTCATCTCGGGAACCTTGGGAACAGCTGAGGACGTAGCTTACCTCCAGGGAAGGCCGCTTGACCGGCATCTGCATGGAGACGTTAGCTACTTGCTAGCTGCGGGTTTTATCGTCATCCGATCCATTCCACCAGAGCGACGCTATCGAGTCAAACCAACATACATGAGCTCAGGGTTTTCGCTCGCATGGTCAGAACCACCCGAAGGTCGCCCTTCGAGTCGGCATAGAGCAAGATGAGAACAGCCGCTCGGCGCGACAACGGCACCAGATCATAGCTGGTCGCCGGGGGCTGATACGCTCTCAGCCGATCGATTGCTTTCTGCAAATGAAATTAGCCGATGTGCTGTGGTGATCTCCATTGGTGCATTGCATGAAACATCGAGGATGACGGGCATGCGACGATATCATATGCCAAAAAGAGGAGCTTCAGATCAGTACCTGAGAGGTTGGGTTTAACCGCGGCATTTTCTGCGCCAGGCTAGAGGAACGTTGGGTACTGAAGCTGCGGTTGATCGATAGGAGCGAAAGAAGTCGTGGGCTCCGCATGGCGGTGTTCCGATGGAAGACGGCGTTGGTGATGCATTGTGGTAGATCCGAAGTGGTGATCGGGTCGATTGCCGAGGTTAGATCAATCCCAGCCGGGGCCGATGATTATTCACCGGTGCTCGACACAATTATTGTATGATAATAAGATACTGGTAGTTGATCAATCAACGCTTGCATTCGAGATTCAAAATAATGGGTTCTATTTGGTTTTCAGGTCCTCCCTACTATCATAATACACAATAATCGCACCACCCAAAAACATATCACGCCGGGAAATTGTCCAAACTTCGGCCAAACTTCGAAGTATCAGCCGGGTTGATGCACCACAAATCAGAAACATGAGAAGAGCAAATATAGTAGTAAACAGGAAATCATCAGCCCAGGAAGTAGCCAGTAGCCGCAATCCGTCAGAGAAGAGTTATAAAGAAATCTATCGTATCAACACTAAGACAAGTCAAGAAAGGGAGAAAGGGGGGAGAGAAAATAGTCTATAGCACAACCATGTCGCAAAGGAAAAATTACTGAGAAGGAGTCTCCTTCTTTTCGGTCGGCGAAGCCTCAACCTTGTCACCCTCCTTGACGGCCTCAACCGCCTCGTCGGACTGCTTCTCGTACTTGGCCTCGATCGTGTCCTCCTTGTCGTCAATGTCCTCGATGTCCTTGGGCGCCGACATACCCTTCTCTTCATTCTCGCTGTTCTGTTCGTTTTCTTCCTCAATGAGTTCTTGCTGTTCCTTGATAACCTCGAGACGCTGCTTGTTCGTGGCGGCACCCTCGGCATTGTGCACCTCTAGCTCGATTTCGTGGAACAACTCCTCAGGAATGCTGGACAGAACAGACTGGAGGGAGTCGATCTGGGATGACATTTCCGCCTCCTTGCCCCCCTGCGCGTAGACGTACGCATTGCTGAGAACCAGGAGCGTGGACGGGACGCCCTGCTTGAGACGAAGGTCCAGCCACATAGAGAGATCCTCACGCAAGCGAGCGGGAGAAACACCGTGGGTGCGAATGCCGCGGGAGGCGCAGGCCATCTGCAGCTCAGGAACCGAAAGCGACGCCACTCCTTCGTAGAAGATGGCGCGGTCATCGCGCTTGATCTGGCGCATACGGTGTCGAATGTTGTATCTGAGCATGGCGTCGGTTCCGAAGGAGTTGAGGTTCATATACTTGCAGATACCGACAAGCTGGGGACGGGACAGGTTGTCTAGGGTCAAATCATCCTTGAAGATCTTGCAGACCTTGATGACATCCTCGGTCGACGGCGTTTCTCCCGTAGTCCGGATCTTCTTGAAGAATTCGGTGAACTCCTCGTTCTTGACGGTCGCAGCCGTCACAGGAAGACCGCTTTCTTTCAGTGTGTCCTTCAAGAAGCCAGAAACCTCTTTCCGCGTCGAACTGAGACTCAGCGCCTTGGTTTCACGGGCCTTCTGGCCCTCGTAGGTGCTGGGCAGCAGGTTGGGGAAAAGCTTAAGGGCAACGGGAAGGAGCAATTCGGCAAAGGGGATAATGATGAACATAGAAAATGGCACTAGGCGACCGAGGTCCTTGACGGTTCTTTGCAACTAAATGACAAAAGCAGTTAGCATGTACCGGAGCCAATCAAATGCGCGGCAATTGACTAACCTGACGGTGTTCACGACGACTGAGCTCGTACCCTCCGGCCATTTTCAATGCCAGCCTTGAGCTGATCTTCACCTCTGTCGCAAGAAGCTTAGTACCATCCCAGTAGTGCTGGACTTCCTTCTTGATCTTTTGTCCGATTGTCAATTTCTTCTGCTCCTTTTTCTCTTCTCCAACCTTTTTGCCATCCTCCGCGGACTTGGCCACTGCGACCTCGCCCGTGTTGTTTGTGTTAGTAACTGCCGACTCGCCTTTAGTAGCAACCTGCTGAGTGGTATTGGCGCTTGCTCGTTGCGCGGCTTCGGGCGAGAGAGGCTTCTTGGCCTGTTCTGCGTTGAATCCTGGAGGTGGCAAATTGTCGGAAGATGAAGAGGTGGACTGCTCCGTGGCATAGCCACGCTGAGAAACTAAAAGTGCGATAGCTGACACCTGCGATGGAAGACCCCGGCCGTTTAAACGAAGGTTTGCGGCTGTAGAGGCGCCCAATGCCCCGGAAAAGCGCGGCCGGGCTGCGTAGAGAAATCCCATGTTAGCCATCCGCATTGATCAACGAAAGCAAAATATGCTCGAGCTTTCAGGTCTATAGAGTGAACGGAATCTGGTCACTTACCAACCAAACTCGACCGTAAGGCCGAGTTGTTGCGCACAACTCTGGCCGATCTCATCGAAACGGACATGGCGGATGACTGGATAGGAGGTGCTCGGGAAAGCGAGCGAAAAGATAGAGAAAGAACCACTATTTAGCGGTAGAAATAAAACTAGATCTGAAAGACCCCAGGGGACCAAGACACAAGATGGAAAAAAAAAAAAGATTAAAGATTGACCTTCGGAATGATGGTCACAGCTCGCCGCTGTCGCTCTCCGAAGGACTGTGAGGAAAGAGGTGGCCCTGCACGTGATCTGACCGGCTTCGGCATTTGCGGCCCGTCGCCGCCGGAGATAACAGCGCCAAGCTTTCTTGTCTGCGTAGACTATTTCGGAGCAATTTTGACAGGCTTTATTGTTGTTATTGATAGCTGAACAGTCACATAAAATAACAAGATATCGCATTGTCCAGCAACCACATTCAGTCTATATAATCATATTAACACCAAAATATATTTACCTAACAGACCAAAAACCAGAATCTCCAGACGCGAAAACAAAGAACGACTAGTGGTAAGGTTGGGTATCAACGCAGTTGAATGATTTGAGCCAAGTGAAAAGGACAGGGGGCGAGAACATGCAAAAAGCTCCAGCGAAAGAAAATACTGAGTGGCTTTAAATAAAAAGAGCGTCCAAAAAGTCAAGTTGGTCATTATTTCCTTTCACGAATCGATGAGTCGCCCGCGGAGTTCGGTTCTTGCACGCCCGTCGAGGCAGCGCCGGAGTCAAGAGGAGGAATCTTGTCAATACCGGACTGGTCGGATACCATGCCTTTCGAAGCTTGCTCTCCTGTTGTAGCTTTCTCATCGAGCCCAGCGACCGTGGCGTTGTTTTCGGGTGACGATTGCCAGCGTGCAACATCCTTCTTCAGTTCTTCCAATTCTTTCTGGAATCGTTTGCCAAATACATCGATATAATAGGTTGCGCCGTTATGGATGCTCAAAACGAACAAACAGGTCAAGAAGATCCCACTGGCCCACCGGTACCACAGCCACAGCGGACAAGGGATCATAGTCAGCATCGCGTAGAGGTATTGGATCAGCATGAACGCGGGAGCCTGTAGTGACTCCGGAAGGCTAAGCACGATTTTGCCAATCCAGGCTTTCGAGTAGGATTTGCGAAGCCAGGTGAAGCTGGTCGGCCGTCCAGCAGCGATCTGCTCTGCTCGACGGACAGTGATGAAGCAATGATAGGCAAGCTGCCAGACAATGTACGGTACGGTCGCCCAGCCCATCATAGAGAGAAGAGAAAAGTGCTCTGGAGACCCAGGGTCACTAAACTTGATGCTATACACGGCGGGGAATCTATCCTTCAGTGTTTCGGCCGAGGTGAGGTGAACAAGACAATGCAAGGTCATCGGAGGCATGATGTGAATGAAAAGGCTGCAACCCAGGTTAGTTGGTCGACAGTTCAGAATTGTTCAAGATGAATGTGCCATACCTCACAACCTTATCCATGCTATGGAATACCATGGAGTTCCGCCACATGGCAATTGCAACCGCATTATTCCCGAACACCAGGCAGAATGTGCTAATAAAGAGTCTCGGCGATCCGGGAAAGACCCAGAGACTCAACAAACAAAGCACATTGGCAAAGTAGCACAAGTCGGCCAAGAAGTAATGATACCCCTTCTTGTGATATCGGTAATACCGAATGGGCATGAAGTACGCCAGCTGCGCGCTGAACCAGATGTAGAAATATTCGGGGTGGGCACCGATGAGATAGCCACTGATGAAGATGTTGAGGACACCGGCAATGAATGATACCTTTTCACGCAGAGTGACTGTGGCCGCTTCGTTCCATTGCTTGCCCAAGCGTTCAACCCCGACCTTCATCCGCCGGCGATACTTGTCCAGGCGCTCGTCGGCCGTGGGAACCCGCTTTTTCCATTCGCCCACGACGCGATCCTTTGCATTTATAGAAGTATATTTCAGTTTCTCGCGTTGTTTGCGCACTTTCTCTTTCTGCGCATTGATCGTTTGCTGAAGCTTTTCGAGCCGTTGCGAAAGGGAAAGATTATCGAGCAAGTCAAAGACCGACAGCTGGTCAAGGGATGGAAAGGTCTCCCAATCATCTTGGTACGAGAACGAAGGGCTCCGGGACAACCTTCCTGGTGAGGCAGGTGGTGAATAGTAGTTGTCAGAGTCTGTGAGCACGTCCACATCGGATAGGTCATCGTCGCCTGCGGCCGCGTGCAGTAAAGGCGAGTCATTTCGCACCGGGAGCTTTTGGTCGGAGCCACCGTCCTCCATGATGAGTTTCTGTTGGAAGACAAAAAGCGTAGGACCGTCACGGCGATGCGGATAGGGTCGACTGAGGAAACGCCCAAATGTTAGCATCACCATTGTTTCGGTTATGAGCCAAGCAGCAATTGCCCGAAGCTGGGGAGACCGCTGAATCTCGAGCGCAAAGGATCAAAGATAAGAGAGCAAAGAGCGAGGGGCCTTAAGGAAATAAGAAGGCAAGGACTGATCGACTCACCAGATCGAAAAGCGATACTGCCAAGGAGATAAGTAGAGTATACTACAGACGTGCTATCTCCGATAGGGAAGGAATGGAATGAAGGAACCGTGGGCCAAAGAACTCTGGAAACGATTAGGTGGAATTTGCAACGATTCAACGGACCAGTGTTCTTCAACGGCCGCAGCGCATGACAGAGGAAGATGCACCCGGATGAAGTTGTGAACCGACAAAGATAGACAAGTGGGAAGGAGGAGGTTTTGCGTGTGCACGCGTTGCAGCTGGTGGTTGGCCAGTGCGGGAGGGTCGCGTCAGAGCACGGGATCGACAACTAAAAGTAGCTGGGCCAGTGAGAGGGTCGAGTTGGGGAACATGGTCCAGACTACGGAGTACCTTACTTTGGGTTCTCCTTCTTTCTCGGAATGCTTTACTGAATAAGTCCAATGGCAAATGCGGACACTCTATATCAGTGTAATATTACAACACAAATAACACAACCGAAGCAACAGGCTCTAAGAATTTCTAGGGAAAATCATATCACACGCCTAGAAAATGCAACCAAAACAAGCCAGGAAATCTTCAAATCGCTTTGGGAAAAAACATAAACAACACCCATAACCTATCCGTACACCCGGGAGTTTAGAAAAAACAAATGGAATGTGAAGAACGAAAGCGAGAAGGAAAATGATGTTGACCCCTCTCAATATCCTTGAAATCCAAGTGGCTGATGGGAGTGTGAAAGTTGACCCCAGAGTCCATTTTGAGGGGGTTGCCCAGAAGGCTGAGGAGTCGACTGCTGTTCATAGTAATTTGCCATGGAAGGCGGTCCTGAGGGCTGCACGGCTCTAATGGACTCATTCGTCGCCAGCCCACATGGGGTCATATTATGCGAGTAGCCCGTCATGTTGCTTTCTAGCGAGCCTCGTCGGCTGACGGCTGGCGACGTGTTTGGTGTTAGTATAACATTGGAGCCCTGGCTTTGTGTCTGGCCCGGTGGAAGGTGATCAGCACCTGGTACCGTGTCGTGGTTGTTAGATACGGCGATCATAGGAACTGACTGGTCGCCAACGCTGTCACCAGTCAATTGCTGACTGGGCACCGAGGTCAAACTAGCCTCAGGCATCTGCACTTGAGAGACATGTATCACGGTGCCACCATCTATATATGAGGAAATGAAGCTCAGTCTGAGTTCTAACTCGAAAATTAGGCCACGCTCAAGGAAGCATACCGATTTTGCCGTCCAGATGTAACTCCTCCATGTCTCGAACATAATAAATCTCGTCAAGAACTTGCAGTCGTTCTTCAGGCACAATTCCTCGCCTTACATCCTGACCGGCGTCTTTGAGTTTCTCCGAGGTAATGTTATGGCTCTCTCGGAGCTCACACAGAATGTGAACGAGAAGCCGAATTCGCTCTGTGTCCATCATGTTAGTAAGGGTGATCTGCGTACAAGCTACGCTTTTCAATCGCGGTATCTCACCAAATTTCAGAAGATGATCAGGCTCTCTGTGTCTGATTCCTTCAGGCCACCATTGAGGCTTGGTCAATTCGGGGTCCACTCGTTGAGACATTCCGGCCGCGGTTGATCGTCCATTGTAAGGATGGTTCACCTGCTTGCGGGGCTCTACCAATTTGACGAAGGCTTTCGCGATTGCTCTGCAATTCAGCTGCTGGAAGTTCTCAAATGCCATCTCGTAGTAGCGTCGCAAGAGGTCTTTATTCCCGATGCGAAGTGGTGTCCATGTGATTGCTGGCGTAGGCGAAGGAGAGTCCGGGCCAATTCCCGAATCAACGCGCCTCAGACTTCTCCTGTGGCGCCTGTTCTGTACCGATTGCCATTCAAATGGGATGAGCCCGTGCTGATACCAGCCCGAGCCGTGGTGCAAAGTCATGAAAGAGTTGCCTGTGGTCGGGAAGGCCTGCGTTCTCCCCGTGACATCGCCTTCCATGTGACCACCGGAAGCTGCTACCCGTCAGTATCAAGGCCTGGCTAGACTCTGTTGCACTTTAAATTCATCCATCCATCCGTTCACGTTCACTTACTGGACTGGAAGTTTGGCATCCCTGGATGCCAGGTAATCTTAGCTGCTGCCCTCACAAATCTTTCCCTCACGTCCGGAGTGAAGATAGCCGGCTCGTACTCCATGATGGAGGGCGACGATTGAACCTGAGTCTCGCCATTGCGATCGATATACATCATTGTAAAGTGAGGATATGGGAATGCATCTGTTGTTGATGGTGGGGCTTCATGTTCCTAAGTCATATCACATCTATCAATGACATGTCTGACGGGATGGAAAAGTGCTGCCTCATACCGTTGGCTTTGGACGAACAGTCGCATCGTGAAATGGTAGCATCTGAGGCTGCCCTTCCTCTCTCATTATCACAGACTGACCTGTCGTATCCATATTCAGGGACAATCTCTTTGAACAGTTGGAATTCGCAGAATCCCGGTAGGAGAAATCACAAAAAGGCGGCCGCTGGCCTGCAGGATAAGATTGTACCATCGATGAATTTATAATAATTCTCAAGGGCCGGTCACGATGGCTCGGCGATTGTCAGTTATAACGCACTGGCCAACATAAAACAATAACTTCAACTGGCATGCGCAGCTAAGAGGGAGAAAAAGTACGTTCTCCGACATCCTGGCCAACGGGTCATGTCATCTGAATGCTACGCAATGTGTGGCTGTTACGACCTCAAACTAATGCAAGGAAAACAAATACATACAGAAACCAACTACTTGTTTTTACAACCAAGGTGAGTCTTCTCCATATCTGTACGTCGATGGGTCCGTCGTCGGAACCTCCTTTTTTTCCTTTTATTTTTTATTGTTTATCTTTTTTCTCCTTTAACTAAGACAATAGAGAGAAAAGGTCAAATGCAGAAAAAAGTTTCCAATTTTGGGATGATCATCTTAATTCCCAAGGTTTTCTATTTACAGCTCGGCAATCGATCGGATTATCGACTAGGAAGGCGACATTGAAAGGCAGAGATACTGTACACTGTCCCTCTAGAAGCGAATCTAGGCCGAGAGTTCCCGATAAAGCCTTATCTATACAGGAATTAGTATTGCGAATGAGCTTTCCTGCCTTCATCGGAGAGAGAGCTATCTACGACCATGAATGGAGGTTGGAGTGGGATGTTCATAAATTGTCAAAAGTGATGATCTTGAGTTCGGGAGCCTCTAGAGCCCCGAAACTCTGTAATGGGCTGACACGGATGACAGAAAAAGCTGACTTGCAATCTATCTAGACCCTACATCGTCAAGGATTGACTTTGGGAGTCGGGGTTTGACAAGGTGGTGACACCTGTGCGCCTCTGAAATCATGCATTGCGCACGCCCTGGTTTGCGAGTCCCACCGCCCCTAATTAATAGCTATACCATCTCTCGATCAACATTTTAGAGAGCAATACGAAGAATTGTTTGGCGGCGAATGCGGCTTTTAATTCTCGCGAAAATCTCCCCTTGAGACAGGATGAAACTCATTATCATATTGACGTTATAGACCGTTAGCCTTTTCTCCGTGATAACGGAATCTGTAGACACTGGAGGTGCGGGTTTCAGTCAAATTGAGAATCATGGGACCCTCAGACCCAAATCTGAGGCTATTTTAGTATAGCCTGCTCCTGTCACTTTTCCCGCGCCTAACGACAGGATGAATATTGGTTATTCGAAGTAACTTTACGGTCATGATCTGAATCCGGCCAGTGGGATAGCCCCCTCGATGCTCCGCACTGACCGAGTCATAGGTATAAAAAGGAAACGAAAGATGAAAATATGAAAAAGAAAAATAAAGAAAAAAAATGGGGCCTACAGTCAAAGCGCGAAATACATAGACATGGGCGCCCTCGCAAAGGCCATGCCTACGGCTTGACCGCTGATCGCTGTAACGCCGTGACAGTGGCACCTCAGAGTCTCAACAAATAGAGTTCAACTGTACACAATGAAACGAATCCACGCCGTCATGCCTAGGCCGATGGCGCGAAAATCTACAGAACTCGACTATTTTGACACGATAAGGTCCGAACGGGTTACATCCATATTAGAATCGGGACGAAAGGGCTACTATTTGCTCCTATAGACCACTGGACAGACCAGAAAGCATCACTTGCCAATGCGGATAAGGAATCCGCAAATGACCATTGGGTCTCCTGATTTTATTCGTGCAACAGCGGAGACTCATATGGGAAATGAGGGGGAAAAGGTGGGCGAAAGCAAACATTTCGATCCTTCAGGTCTCAAATGGGTAAGCCGACAAGTGGCCAGCCGCGGAAGGCTGCCGATATTGTTGTGCAGCAGAGTCTCAGCTAGCGCCACAGTTGACATCGATGCCAAACCTAATATCCACCGGGCCTTTGGGCGAATGAGCGAGACCAGAGGCGGGTCACTATGGCTCTCCCTCGCGTCTATGTATGCGGGGGAATGGATGCCTTTCGCAGTTTCCTTCGGCTCTGACCCTGCTTTTCCCTCTTTCTGCTTAGTTGGAACGATGGAAAATAGGGCCGGCCCCGTCCCGATTCCCGAGAGACCTGCATATTACAACTACGGAGTTCTGGCGACGGTGAACCAGGAAAGCCGCCACGTATTCTTTGAATAATGCAGGAAAATCAATCGGGTACCAGGAAATTGCTACATGATGGCTTGCAGTCTGGGGATCCGAGCGAGACCCGTCAGTGGCGTTGAGCGAAAGGGACAGCGGGGAGCCAGAAACGAGGTAAATTGACAGCTGAGCATTATGGTGAACGTTGGGCTTCCATTTGGCGCGACAGGCCCGTCGAAAGACTATCCAGCGAATGACACGACGCCCTACGAATACTGGTTGCCTGCATGAAGGACAAGCGTGATGTCCGAGCACTGGCAGAAATGGATGAATCCAATAAGAACCTGCTACCTGTACAGAGACCGTCAGCCACTTGGATTCGGTGGTCCGTGAATCGATCAGCGATCGAAGATCCGATGGTTAATTAACCCCACAGTCCACACCGAATATTCGATAAATAAGATCCAGACTGCTGTTGTCCCACTTCCTCGACGACCTAGTCTTGTAGGCGACGCGCATGAAATCTTGCCTCTCTGGCTCTGAAAAAAGAAAAGAAAAAAAGAAAGGGAGACAACACTAAGAATGCGGTTGTTTCAAGAAATATTTTGCCACTGTTGCACCATAGTATCGATTATTTCTGTCTCGCAGCGCACTATTGGTTTTGTACTTGCTAATATTGATGCAAAATGCCCGGCCGGATTTTCAGCGTTTCCCATCGGAGTACGGAGTATGATCCTCCAAATTCAATGTCGTCGCGCCGTGGCTGACGCAAAGAAACTCTACAGCCATCGCAATGGATCATAGAAGCCCATTCGTTCCGTTTGACAAATGTGAGCTATCATCGGAATAGAGGGTTGACAACTCCCGAGCGTCACGGCGGATAGTGTACTCCGCAATCCGGACTATGAGATTCTTGTTTATTTAAGTTTAACTCAGAGCTCTTTGAGCTCGCTTCCCCACTGATTGACGCTGCTTAACACTGTTCCTGAAGAGGTCGATGCTTTGCCTCGCGCAAATGGGAGGCTCACCATCAGGCCCGACGAAACCCTTTCAAATGACGGCGTGTTACGGGCCGACTCGTTTTTAGGCATCCAAAATTTCATGTCTTTCAAAATTCGGTCGAGATAATCAGATGGGCAGCGAAATGGATACATATGCTGTGGGGGTGTAAGTTATATTCGGATTCACCGTGCATATGTATTCATTCCCGACAACAACCGTCCTCGGACAACGTTCCACGTACATTTCCAACAAATGAATGCTCTTCAAGTTCAAGCTGGTACCACCGGAGTAGGGCACTGCAATCTCCACTGCCCCGTTCTTGCCCACTGACACCGGTTTCCTCTTTCCCAGCTCATACTTATACGACCTGCCACCCAAGGGGACCTGGTGGTGGCGTTGGCTCCATTGGCTAGCCACACAGGCGCTGAACCTAACCCTATCGGGGAGATGTCGACGGAGGCAGCTAAAAAAGATGAGAACTTCTCGTGGATCGACGGAACTCCTTCTTTTCCGAGTCAGTCGAGTAGTTCAATTTCAGATTGACGATGTTAACCCGAGCTAGACTTCTATTCACAGGGGCGGCACATGCAAGCTCTATCTCACTAGCCACCGGCGGATCGATATGATATAGAAGCACAAATAGGTGACCGATATGACAACGTAGTTGATGAAGACGTTCGCGGTTGTTAGGCGAATGAGCCAGTTGAGGACGGTCATGGAGTTCCCTGACACCTGCATGAACGAGAGGCAACCGAATGCCATGGCCACGGTTTTATTGATGTGTGTCCGCATATTAAAATTCTTTTTTAGCAGTGTTAAAGAGGTTGGTATTCTATATTTTTTGTGGAAACTGTACGCCATATGGGGAGCAAGGTATCTTATCTAGGATACCAAAACTGCGCCTTCCTAGAACATATTAGGACAAGATATAATGATCGAATATGATTGGAGAGGAGATAACGCCTTCTAATAACACCCTTGTCATGCTAGTCTTCTTTAGTTTCGACTTGAAAGCATATCCGTACGACCGAAGGCGAGCCCATTATCAGATTACATAGGTAGTTATCTGTTCAGAGTGCAGGACCAATTAGACTGGCAAGTATAATCCTCATCCGGGAAACCACTGCAACCGGTTTATCTCTGTCTGGTTGATGGCAACTGTGTTCCAGCCAGTGCGAGTATGGGATTTATTATAAATCACTTACTGTACGATCAATTCGTTTATATATACTTGCACTTGTATGACTATGATATAATTCATGTTTCTTGACTTTATGACCCCTAGGTTATATGCACGGTCTGATATACGACACCTACGTACCCGCAAAAGAACTTATCTAATGGGCTTTTGCTACATCAAGCAAGGCTTTAGAACAATGACCACGGACTGGGTCAATTTGGAGAAATGAAAGGACTCGAGACACAGTAACTGAGATCAGGCTGCATAGGTACATCCGATCTTGCTTAGCAAGCGCAAACCCAACAATATAGTTATCGACCCGACACCAAACTGGGGGTCATGAACAGTGGCAAATCCCACTCACGATGCGTCTGCAATTGCATCTACCATGATCTCCACCAGCATCTCCGGGTCCGAGAAGCTCGAGATGACAAGCAGGATGGCAGTAGAGCCAATGTCACCCCCGTGTTGGCGGCCCAGGAAATCAGTAAATCCTTGCATAACCGCCGGGGCGTCTTCATGTTTTTGACTAAATAGCTGAGTCCTCACGATACTCTCCGCACCGCGACTACCTAGGGTCTGGATGGCCTTGATGACCTCGTTAAAGGCCACTCGATGTAAGTGCGGGTTCTATGACTCTGTCTTCCTATCTTACGGTCTCTATACTGGTGTCTTCTGACCAGCCCCAGAGACCATTCGTTGCCATTTGACAGGATCCTTTCTGCAGGCGTTGCCAAGGGCACAAGTCCCGTTTCCAATGATTAGACTCTATGAGTGTACCCACGTGGTGGGGTTGTCTCTATAGTGCCTCATGATATTCCACTGACATTGAGTGTGACGTGGGAAGGTGAGAAATGGACTCAGATTATGAGGACATGAGGAAGGTATACATGATCGAATCAGTTTCCTTAGTTTGTCTTTAAACACTACAATTAATTCACGGAAAAACTACTCAGACATAAGATTGACTTGGATAACATGTGGGGGCTCTAACTTTTATTGGATATCCTTTATTCTTTCATTTTGGCCATCACTCCATAGCCGGGAAAAGTCAAGACCGGCTGATCTCGAAAGCAGCTAAAATGGCGTCCCTCTGGCTAGATGATATCCATTGTAAAGGAATCCCACCGCACGAGCCCTCCTGGACCTCGGCCTTTGTGGCCCAGAGATACGCCTGGTGCTCGCGTTGGTCAATCCTGACGTGCAGATTGCCGTCGTGGGCTTCAACCATGACCAAAAACATGAATATCTTCCACGCCGTGATTGGAGAAGGACCACTGACTCCTGACTTAGGCTCGATCCATTCAAATTCGCCAATCATGTCCACGACAGCAGACGCTGCCAAATCGGCCTCCTTTTAGTTCACGGACGGCGCATTCAATCGGTGTTTCGTCACCCATTGCTCCGCCATTGGGGACTTCCCACACATCTGGACACTCATCTTCAGATGCTCGCTGCAAAATCAGGACTCGGCCATTGTGGATAATGATCGCTGCACCAACAATGCCGGTGAATTCAGCTCGTTGAGATAGATAGCGGTCAGCAGTCACCTCATAAGCTGCGAGAGTGGGAGAAATGCTGTAGGAGGGACGTAGAGGTAGATCGGCCATGGCGGGGAGGGGTACTTGGGAAGGGTACTTGGGAGGTATCTTCTGAGAAGGGCCTCTATAACTTCACGTTTGATGAACGGAAGCGGTATATCTGAACAATCCGAATGACGATCGAGGGATGCGCCTTCCGACGACATGCGACCCAGCGCGGCATTTGCTCCGGTCAGCGGCGACCGAAAGCGGTGTTTGATTGCACTACGAAATTCTCTCGGACCATCGCCTCGCCTCGACTGCATCACCAACAAGGCAGGATGTATTCGACTCCGAGAACCCCCAGCCGAGCTGCCTGTCTTGCCTGGTCAGTTTTCTCATCTACTGTGGCATTCTCCCGCATGGTAATTAACTGGTCCTGTTTAGTCGCGCAAAATTCGATGCGATGGACGGAATCCTTGTAGCAGAGTAAGATCTCTCGTTGTCCAGTATCTCCAAATTCTCGCCATCTTTGAAGTAACAGCAATTCCACTTCTAGGGCTCCTACAAAGGACTGAGCTGTGCCTATCGCCCTAGTCGTCGAGGGGGTATCCGGCGCGGTGGGAACAAGCCCGTCACCGAGTCTCCGTCTCAACCTGCCAATCTCGCGCTTACCCCCCTTTGTCACTCATCCTATCTCTGCGCCGGCCAATGTGGGGGAAGGGGATGATCTAGATAGCATTTCCCATCTGCTAAGTCCCCTTGGCGGCATTCGAAACCTGGATGTGGGTGTGATCGACGGGTCGAGACAGGAAGGTTGGGGCGGCGTCCCAGCCACCGGGAACAATGCTTGTGATCCCACCGGCCTTCTGGGGTCCAGTCATGTCCCTTTGCGCACATACGCGTCCGATGAAGACATGTCAGTATTGACATCGGAGCTGTAGTCTGAGTGACCGGTGGTCCGTAACTGACGTTGATTTTAGTCTGAATGCCTACTACGTACACATCCATCCCTTTCTGTCCATACTCCCGCCTCTTTTATCAGACAAAATCAGTGATCGACCCATATGGGTCGACGTCATCGAGGTTGAAAAGTCCTCTCTGCCGCACTGGCCGGGCTCTGCATTCACGCTGGCAGTTTCTGCTATCCTGGCTTCAATTGCACTGCCTCAAGACTCTGATCGATTCGCTGAATCGAGGATCTCTAGGAGACGTTCGGCTGCACAACTTTTCGCAGGAGCAGCCTTCTACGAAGTAGACAACGAGATTGATCGGATATCTCGAATATCGATTCAAACAAACCTCTTTACAGGGCCAGGCACGGATGTCAGTGTCATTTCACCACTATCGCCTGCTCTTGCTCTGATAATATTAAGTATCCATGAATACTGCCAAAGAGGAAATGTATCCTGCATGCGAAGTCGCGCCAATCAGGCTATCACGGCAGCTATAGATCTTGGGTTGCACAGCCTAGGAGCTGCAGCGACCGAGGCACAGCGTCGGGCATGGTGGAGTGCAGTGTGTTCCTCTATTGTCGCATACCTATCATAGGGTTCCTGACGAGTTCTGCAGATGTTCATGCTTTTTCTATCGTCCATTGATCATGAAGCCGTTAGTGCCTCAATAGATTCATACCCTTCCCTCCCTTGTCATTTCTTATTGCCAACCCTTGTTCTGACAATTAATGCTAGCCACCTATAATTGCTCTTGATGACCAGAGAATGACCACTCCTTATCCTTCATTTCACAATCAGGCAGAGGTATAGTCGGATCTGGATAAACCTAAGATTCAGCATCACTGACTTTTCTTCCAGCTGTGGCCATTGCTGCTCCAGGCTGAAGCGGCCATTCTATCCGTCTCGCAGATTCTGCGTAACCACAGCACCCACTCAACAGCAGAATCATCGTCATCGCCGAATATATCTGCCAGAATCACACAGCGTGAGTCTGGTTTGTCCGAGCTAACGCGGGAGCTAGACAGCTCGCCACAACCTGACATGAGGAGTGGTGTCGACGCACAAGGCTTGCAAACGATGTGGGCAATTGCCTAGGCCCTGGCCTATTCGTAATGATCCCAATTTCCCTAGGCAGTTGGCCCGACATGCTGACTTTCCCAGGGCCCGTGTACGACTACATCGGATGCGTGCCTTCACTGACATCCCCTTATTCTTCAACAAACACTGCGATTTGAATTCCTATCAAGGGACTAGGAATCCGTCCCAGACAATCTCGAGCGGGATCTTTGCGTCAAACACCTTCCCATTCACATAAGCGCAATCCTCCCTGATCTGTCTCAAAGCATCCCTGGCCATGGCTCGTGCTTATGAAAGGGTCGCAATATTTGCTGAGGGTGGTCCTACTATTACTGCTTGTACTACGATTAGCCCACCCCAACCGCATATTGTCCTGCCATTTTTCATGTGCGGAGCGCTGCAGGCTTCGTATGTCTTGCTTATGACACACTACCGACTCCGAGAGGCGCTGCGGTCGGAGGTGTCGACATACCGCCACCTGCTTCATCAGCCCGAGCCGGGGTTTGAGGTCCAGGATACGGAGCGATTACTGCGCGAGCTGCGACAAGGTATTGACTCGATCCTTCGGGTGATGGGGCTGGCGATCATGTTTGAAGGGGTAGGAGGCATGGGCGGGGAGATTCAAGCGGCGTATCACGGTGTTTGCGCGGGGGAATTCTTGAGACAGACCCCTCGGTGTTTGTCGAATACGCGTAAGGATGGATAAGGGAGCCAGGGGTGGAAATTTTGTTTGAGAATCGTGCGGGCGAACGGCGTGTCGATGCGGCGATTGATCGGTCGCCGCGGTAGGGCCAATGTGTGGGCATCAAAGCCCGCAGTGGGTCCGTTCCGTTTTATACTCTTCACTCTCACATAGGAGTACTGACGAGGGATTATCGCGGCGAAAAAGGGAAACTCGCTGACGATCTAATTTATGTCCAATCTAAGATGACTCCGGACTTCACAAACCGCGTGAAAAGCCTGCAACAAGTCCTGCTTCAGGTCTTCGACATCCTCCAAGCCACAGCTCACTCGCAGCAGTCGTTCATCGCAGCCCTTGTCACTCATTGCCCGCCACTCGATCAGACTTTCCACATCTCCCAGACTGGTCGCATGCTGAAAGACCAGCATCTGGCTTGGCAGCTGCTTCGCCTGCGCCGCGCTCTTCAACCAGATGGAGAACAGCGGCGCAACCCCCCCCCCCCTGGGGCATCTGCCGGCGCAACCAGCCATCCTGCAAATCCTTCGTTTGTAGCGACGCATGCCGTACGCTCTCCATCACCTGCCCGACTACTGAAGAAACTCCCTTGTGCATCTCCTCCGCCAGCCAGGCCACCAGCCGCTCCGCCGTCTCTGATTGCCGCCGCACGCGCAACTCCAGCTTCCGTAGCGATCGGAGCCCAAGCCACCCCTCCAGATTCCCCATCACAGCCCCCAGCACCAGCCGCTCCGCGTACAGGGTCTCCAACTACCCCTCACGGACCCGATCCGGATGCACGACCGGAATTCCGCACATCAAGTCCGAGTGGCCGCCTATATACTTGGTCCCGCTATGCAGCACGAGATCGGCCCCGAAGAACAGAGGGTCCTGCAGCGGCCGCGGCGCCAACGTCGAATCCACCACCAAGTACGCTCCGGTTGCGTGGGCCCGGGCACGGTAGTAGGCCAGGTCCCGCACCTCGCCCGTGGGGTTGACGGGCGTTTCGATATGTACAACGTCGCCCGGGCGCAGCTGATCCAAGTCTTGATCCTCCAGTCCTAGTTTATGTACGCCGCTCAATTTGCCGACGAGCTCAATCACGCTGTGCACGCCGTGGTAGCCGGGACCGACGCACACCTTTCGCGGGTTCAATAACACCATGGCGGCATGGAAGGCGGCGAGTCCCGTGCTGTAGGTCATAATGCTGCCGCCGCCGAAAAGGTGCTGGAGGACGGTTTCGAACCGGCTGGCGTTAGGGGCGGAGTAGCGTCCGTAGACATGGGAGCCTACGGGAGCATTGGGCTGATTATTTGGTCATCTTTGACTGTTTTCGGAGAAATCGGACTGAGGGGAGAGATGTATAGGGAACTTACATCTTTATTCTCCATCTGGATGAGCTGGGAGGGCTCACGTGCCTATCGATATGTGACGGCCACATGCATCGCCGGCGCTATGGCTCGGTGTGCACTGACACTGTCGTCCGCGTGGATGGCCTTGGTGGCCATCGCCATGTGCGGCAATGCTTTGGACAGGTTTTCCGAGGCGGATGTCATGGCGATTGGGGTAAAAGCTCAAAAATCTGGGCTTGAGTCTATTCCAAAGGGAACTAACATACTTATTAGCCATCATCGCATGCAATGAAAACCATGAAATTGACCTACTTCAAACGCCGCTCCGATTTTGGGTCGCCGCTCTGGGCAAGGGCTTGCGGTGTTTTGCCATCTGTTGACTCAGACTTCAGTCGATCAAGTTGGAAACCACCTAATAGACTAGATAGGAGGGTCTTTTTGGCGTGCACTATATAACTCCTCAGGTAGTGCTATACCTTCCCCTGAGTTAGTTTCATATCCATATCTGCAGGCCTAGTCCCCGAAGGAGATACTTGAATCTGTACCGTTGGCACATGGTTTCGACTGCCTACCAGCGGCTGTCGTGCACCTCGCTTATCTGTCGCTCTAGCCATGATATGATATCTGCCAGGATGGGTGATAGACATCTGGAAGCGAAACAGTTGCCACTCAAACTGCTTCCGCGGTGCCACGCTCGCCCCAATCCAACTATCTCCCTGGTCCAGACTGATCTCGACGCGCGCGATCTCTTCTGCCCCCCATGCCCGTCCCCAGCCCTCCACGTAAGCAGGACAGACAAACGCTTCCTGTGGACGAGGTCGTACAATGATCGAGTTCGGCTGAACCGCCCACACAGGCCGGGTACGGTTACCCTCCAAACCCACCGGATCAAGTTCGTTATAGAAGACGGTCGTGAACGGTCCTCTAGCTCTGACCTCCTGCACCGACAAACGACACAACCACTTTGTAGAATTAGTCCCAAACCATCCCGGCACGACGAGTCTAACCGGCCCACCGCGCTTCTCACTCAACGGCTGCCCATTCATCTCGTACGCCACCAGAACCTCCGAACACAGGGCCTTCTCAATCGGCAAGTCTTTCTGATACCGCTCTACCTCGACCCCAGCAAACGTCCCCGAGTCCAACCCATCCGACCAAACAAATAACCCTCGACCAGCACGTGGCCGCGCAAGCAAGAGGAAATCCCGCAACGGGACCCCCGTCCATTGCACGTTGCCAATTCTCCACACATTCTTAGTCGGGGGAGGGTTGAGCGGACTTCCGTAGCATTCGTGGAACGAGATAACTGACTTAGCAGGCATCTGTCGTAATTGTGCCAGATTGATGGAGAACGGACGCTCGACAAGCCCGTCGAGGACTAGTCTCCAGCGACTCGTGTCTACCAGTGCAGTTCCCATGTGGATGGTTTGGAAGAGACGGGCGTCCGGGGTCAGCGTCTCGTCCAGCTCATGCGGTGTTGGAGGTGGACGTATGAAAAAGCCTTTGGGTTGAATGTCGATTAGGGCTTCGCGCGCCGTGTCCATGATGATGTCATCTCCACGAGCGATGAAATTGACCGTAGCCATATCACAGACGGTGAGATTGTGAAATATCTTCTAATGGCGTAAAATCACAAGATGTCTGTGGCAACAATTGCCCTCCCTTGTCTGATGAGGAAGTCAAAAAAATTTTGCTAAAGTTTGTATCTTTTTCTCCGCCGGTGCCGCAATAACCGTGCGCCTTCTCCGAACATCAAGAGCAAAGGCCGTAGCAAAGGCCGTAGAGAAATATCTTGAATAGGAAAGGTGCAAGTAATCTCTCCGAATCCTCAGGATCAAGCAACACAATCAGCATGGAAACTTTTTCTGCACGAGGGCGATCATTCGCAGCACAGCAACAGGCCTTTCGCGATGTCTTGAGTGACTCGGGGGAAAGCTCTCTCTGTTCGGTACTGATATTAGCACCCACCTCCTGTACTTATATGTCCACCCTGAATACAACCTGCCTCGGTCTCAAAAAGGGAGAGCGAAGAAGAGAAAATAAATTCTATGCAGTAAGAATTCCGGCTAAATGACTGATAGAGATATATTGGCTAGCAAAGGATACTGGACCTTCATATGCAAAATCTATACCCTGTGTCTTCTGAATGAATCTCTGCAGCCTCCGGACAAAGACTCAGGGCTTAGATCTCACGGGTCAAACACACCCAGCTCTCCCAAGGGTTTCCCACATTCCCCTCCTTGTGTACTACTAGACTTTCGTTCACCAAGGAGGCGTGGAACCTAGACTGATGTCTATTCGGGGTCCTCCCACGAGGTACTGCTCACCGCAAGACAGCTGTTTATAGTGGTATCTACCTGGTTTTCTGGAAGGATGAGCCTGAGGCACAACCCGTTCGGTGCCTTCCTCCGAAGACTCCGTCATGATGATATGCGCGGAGAGTGCAACACAGCAAGGAGCAAAAAACAAATGAATCAGGGTGGAGTTCGAACCGTGAGCCTTGAAAACCCCCCTCGAAGAAAAAAAAATCGGGAGCTTTCCTTTGTGAGCTTTCCTTTGTGAGCGTTTCTTAGAGCAGGCACCAAGCGCACCGGACGGGCCTTGCCAAATAGACCACCAGCCCGCTCAAAGGAATATTAGGACAATTTTAATGAAAGCCTAGAAATTGGAAAGTCGGTGAGTGCTGGTGGTACCTGAGGCCTTTCTAGATATCTATGCGAAGCTCAAGCCAGCGCTAACCTCCAACTGCGTTGTTGAATCGGCGAAGTCCATCCGGGCCGCTCACAGGCTACCCGAGAATTCCAAACATCTTCCGGAACCAAAAGAGCTCTTGCAATGTTTCCAAATCGCAGTCTGTCGTAAAGACCTTCCATCTGGTTGCGCATGAAGGTTTGCTGGCCTGCCGTGGTGGCGCCTACCCCAGCAATGAAAAGAGGGAACACCAGCGCCAGTCCGAGAGTCGAACCGAGAGACACGCTCTCCAGATAAAGTATTAGGTTCTCATGACAAACATTGCCCTTTATTTTTATCGTGTCGATGAGCGGTGCGGATGTTTCCAATTTCTCGAGTGTTCGATACAGCAAGCATAATGCCGAGGCGCGATATATTCCCATTAAATGTTCGAACAGAAAGCCACTCGAGCTACAGGCCTTCGCGACATGAAGCTTTTGTTCGATATCATTGGCCTCGGTATAAAGCGGATCGAAATCAACAGGTGTGTTTCTATTTGTCGTTGCTCGCAGTCGACAAATACGAGCTACTAAAGTCAGCAGCATCGAATTTGCTCCCGCAATAGAATGTAAGTTCTCCAACACAGTCTGTTGTTCTTCCTGTTCGTAAAAGACTGGATCCAGTGTGGTTGATGTCGACAAAGCAACGGCGGCAGTAACATCATGATAGATGAGAAAGCGAGTTAAGAAGCGATGAAACATGACATTCCGAGGATCCAGTTTGTCGCGAACCCCATTAGCGATCGCAATAGCCCCTTGCAGATGATGATACCACTCGCTGGTGCCGCCTAAAATGATGTCCGTAAATGTTAAGAGTACGGCAGAAGTTGTCGCTCTCTCAAAGTCGACAGTGCTAGTCTGCAAGTATTGGGAAAGACGGCTCAGAGCATTTCCGTACTCTCGTCGGGCTCTTCGCTCGAAAAAATCGCTGGCGTCTCATCTGATGCGCGGATGCCGAAGCTATGAGAGCGGCCATGAGCTCTGGCTGGTGGAATGCTCTCGAAATGAGCATGTAAAGTCCAGATTGTTCCACTGGAATGACTGTTCTTCTCGAGATCAAATGGTTGATAAAGTATTGAACGAGTTCCCGGACTTCTCGGCGATATCCGGGTTCTATTGTGCTTAAAGCTGGACGTAGGATGCAGCCAGCACTCGTGTTGGGGCTGCTCAAGCATCGCACTTGCTCCCTCGGATCATGGCCAGGCAAAACCCGGAAGATATTCGAGACATCTTGAGCGTGCTCATACTGTACTATATCCGAGTTGTGCGGCCTGGCGGCCGTGAGATGCGCATTCCTTGGTGCATGGCAATCTAGCTTGAGTCGAACACATGTCCGACATGACCCACTCGAGTCGAAATTCTCGTCACATTTTTTCTTTCTAGAGGGTTCAGGGTTAGTATGAAGAGCGCTGTGTGACGCACTCGGCCACTATACCTTTCGCGACAGGTGTAACAGCCTGTGCGACGTCTGTGGTGTCTGGGTTTTGTCCTGGCGCTCATGAGGCGCTCATTGGGCAATGACCAGGTTAAGCCATCTGTATCGAACAAAAATGGGCAACGAACATGCTGGACGATTGAGGGTTCAAGAAAAAGCAGCCCAAGAAGAGTGTGAAGACGGTTAGTGAACATCAATTCCGGAGTCCTGCAAAATCTCCGGGTGGCGGGGGTGATGCTTAGTCATGAGATATGGCGCATTGCTCTTCTAACTATACTTGTTTTCAATTTGATATTCAAGGTTGTTATTTCTTTCCTATTCATGTTTTGATGTCAATTATGAATGCTATGTACTGCTATAAATACCACTGGCCTGTCGAGGGCTTCCGGCGACACCTCGACGGCAGTTAACACCTAGAAGACTTCAAGAAGTCGCATACCGCTGATATAGCACATATAGTCAGTACCATGTCTGGCATCAAATGTTTGGGCTCCTTACTCTGTCTAAATTCTTCCGGTTTTTCTTGAACGATCCAATGCCCACAGTCCATGTCGACGATTTTCGAGCATGGAAATGAACGGGATATTTGTGGGAAAGCACTGTCCGATATATAGTAACTGTGACGAGCCCGAAGGAACAATGTGGGTTTGGGAAACTTTTTAGAGTTGGTATCATACGGAAAATCACCTAGTGGACCTAATGCGGTCTTTAGGGTGCCGAGGGGAAGACGTGACCTTAGGTAATTGTGGTGGTTGTCCTTGATAAAGTTGCTCAGCAGAAATAGTCGTACAACTGGGGACTGTCGAGTAGTCAGTCAATTGTCAATGGGCATCCTAGACTGGAGGAAAGAAGAAAGAATAAAAGAAAAGAGACTGTACTTACCTCCTCGAATTTTGCAAGAATCCGCTCTCCCTCCGTATGAGTTCTAATCTTAGCCTGTTCTACCTCTTCCAGGCCATCCATGTACTTTTTGAAGTCGTTCGGTATGGGCAGCGCAATTGGACCGTTGTCGACCGCAACGACATCTGACACAATGTCGGAATTATGCAGAGCGAGGGTCAACGCTGTCTTAGCGCCCCTAATATCAAAGATCAGCCTTTAGCCTGACAAATGCAATAACCCTGGGCATGTGTCTTACATCGAATGGCCGATGACTGTTGCGCTCTCAAACCCATGATTCTTGATAAATGACTCAACGTCCAACGCCATCTCCATGTAGTCATGTCTCCGGTGATGGCCCGAGTCACCATGGTTCCGGAGGTCCTGGTCAACAGTCAGCTCTTGAAACTGATGTAGTCAAGTCATGGCTACCCACCAGAGCAAACACCCGACGTGATAGATCTTGCGACAAAAGCCTTAAGACGTCAATTAGCACGATTCACGGGAGAAAGTTGAGGATTGTAAATCGGAATTATACCTGCTCACTCGCGCGTTCTCCCTCTTGGATCCGAGGAATCCATGGAGGAAAATGATCGGGGGTCGATTTTCGTCTGACCTTTTGCTCTTTGGCTTATGCACTTCATAGGCCAGTGGGACCCTGGAAGTTGCATTGGAAGCGGAGGTGTGCATACGTCGAAGGTGACTTGTCCAATGTCTAGCGGCCATTATTGTGCGAATTCCCCAAGATCAATGGATGATAAATGATGCTATCGCATGGTCGATCGGCAATCAGGACAAAGCCAGCCTGACATTCCATACTTCGCCCCTTTCAGCTGGTTTTCTCGGAGTCTTGCGGTGGACTCCGGCATGCCCAATCACAGGGCCAGAGCGGCTATAGAGTTCGAGATCCACAATGGATATTGAGCTAGTCCTAATATAGAATGGATCATCGGAATATACTGTCCACGCCCTCCTCCCATTCTCATGTTGCTTCATACATGCATACTACGACTATTCTGGCTGACTTTGACGCTGTTGACTCATTACTCTCTGATTGTCGTCGCAATCATACCATGACTAGGCTCTACAATAGCTGAAACGACAGATAACTTGCAGTTGCATGCAACATGATGTTTGAACATATAGTAGATCGAAAGGCCCAAGTGCATGCGCCCTACGCCCTACGCCCTACGCCCTGTAACGTCAACTTCATCTCTACTCCATGGAGACTAGATGAGTGGAGTGGAAATTTGGCAACCGCCCAGATGCTATGATTTGATAAGATCTTAGTATTGGATCTATTAGATCCACTGAAGACAATTATGCAGAATGTTTGGAATTGATGCCGAACACCCCGATGACGCACAAGGGAGTGCAAGAACCTCCCATAAAATCTGAGTCGCCCCCCAATATGCAACATGCTGTTCGTGAAGCACCATCACATAGTACACCTGCAAAATGGCTCCTACTACCGCAGCCTCCCCTGAGGCATCGTGCCTTGACGCCTCCAAACTGACCTACTCCTACACAACCGCCCCCCGCGATGTCCCCTCCGAAGCCACCATCAGAAGCAGCGACGAGACAGTCTGCACCGACCACATGATAGTCGCATCATGGACCGCCAGAGAAGGCTGGGCCGCGCCCGAATTGAAGCCCTTTGGTCCCTTCAGCCTCCTCCCCACGGCCTCCTGCCTCCACTACGCTCACGAATGCTTCGAGGGCCTAAAAGCCTACCGCGGCTACGACAGCAAGGTGCGCCTCTTCCGACCAAACCGGAACGCTCGCCGTCTGCAGATGTCCGCCGCTCGCATTGCCCTACCGACCGTGGACGATGATGCTCTTGAAAAGCTCATGATGGCCGTGCTCTCCGTCGACTGTCCCAAATGGCTGCCGCAGGACCGTCCCGGCAAGTTCCTTTACGTGCGACCCACCATCATCGGCACGAACTCGCAGCTGGGCATCCAATCGCCTACTAAAGCCCTCTTATATATAATCGTCGGGTATATGCCGCGCATGGACATGCCGGCCGGCGGGAAACGTCTGCTCACGTCCCCCGAGGACACGGTGCGTTCGTGGGTCGGAGGGTTCGGGTATGCCAAGGTCGGTGCGAACTATGGCCCATCAGTGAACGCGACCCGGGATGCGTATAATAGCGGCTTTCATCAGATTCTCTGGCTGTATGGATCGCAAGGCGAGTGTACCGAGGCCGGCGGCAGCAACTTCTTCGTTGTGTGGAAGCGCAAAGACGGACGGAAGGAGCTGGTCACGGCGCCGCTGGATGATCGACTGATTCTAGACGGAGTTACTCGGCGAAGCTGCCTGGAGTTGGCGAAGGAGCGGTTGGGCGATCAGGTTGAGGTCTCGGAGCGCAAGTTCACCATCGACGAATTGTTTGAGGCTGCGGCTGAGAATCGTATCGTGGAGTCGTTCGCTGCTGGCACGGCTGTAAGTTTTCCCCACTATACTTCGTTTGATTGCACAGAGTGCCCCTGAACATAATCCACTAATATATTATCGATTTGATTCGCAGTGGTTCATCTGCCCCATCTCGTTGATTCACCACCGAGGCCGGGAGATCGCTATTCCCATGGGACCTGATGATACGCCGGGGGAGATCACGGGCAATATTAAGAACTGGCTCGGTGATATCATGTACGGACGAACCGAGCATGAATGGGGAGTTGTGGTGCCGGAGAAGAATTAACGGGATCGAATCTATGTAATGCAGGACGAAGGTTGGGTTTTGTGCCCTACTGATAGAATATGGGTGAACAAGAGAAGTTTCGGCCTTTATGAATGAATGAAGATCGAAAGGACGATTCACATAGAGAAACGACGGGTGCTGACCTGTATTAGTTGACCCCATGGGTGGTCATTGTAATCTTAACCACCGAGCTCGATGGCAAACATGTCCTACACATACAGATGGAAAGAGTTGGCCAGAATGACTGACAACTGCAGGCCAGATGCCCACAGCAGAAATCCATTACCCCTCACCAAAGCAAAGCAAGTAAAAATTACCCATAAAGAGATCATATCATAAGCGGGCAACGTAAATAGCTATTCTACACGCACGTCACGAGAAGTAAAAAGGCAAACCCGTAGGCTAATCGCAAAAAATAAAGAGATAAAGAGATAACATTCCTAGCCATTTAGTTATATTTTCGCAGCTGCAAGTAAACACAGAAGTCAGTAATCGGCTCAAGTCACCCAAGGAGACGGAGTTGCTCACATCAAGCGTCAATGATTTACTGCTGTTTTCAGTCTGGTCCCGGTAGATACCCACCAGGGCCTCACTGTTCTGGAACAGGCCAGTTTTCAAACTGATCACAATGAATTGCATGCCAGGGGCGGCGTGGTCATGGATGTAGTTTGCAATTCGCGCCACGTTGGTATTGTCCAAAGCTGCATCGACCTCGTCCAGAACGAAGAACGGCGATGGCTGATATGAGTGGATTGCGAACAACAAAGCCAAAGCAGCCATGGTCTTCTCACCACCGGAGAGATGTTCCATGTCACGGAAACGCTTAAGTGGGGGCATCGCATGGTACTTAATACCGTCCAGGTAGGGCTCATCCGAATCCTCGATATCCAGGTAGCTGTGAAGCGCCTTGCATCAGTATACGGGTAGTTCCATCGTAAAGAATAATGATCAACTTACGCTTGCCCACCCAACGGATAGTTGGCACTCTTCGTCAACTCGCGGTAAATAGGGGCGATTTGATCAGAGATATGAGTGAAGGCCTTGTTGAAAAGGTCGGATCGCTGGCGCATGACGTCCTCGAAGTCTTCCTTGGCCTTCCGAGCATGTTTGCGGGCGTCGTCAAAGTCCTTTTCGGTGCCACGGAGTTTGTTCTCGACAGTCTCCAGACGCTCAATGGCTCTCGTGTTGGGCGCCATTTTGTCGAGTTCACTGCTGAGGTTTCGTACTTTATCCAACAATTCTTCTTCCAGCTTGTCATCGTTCTCCTGATCTCCAGTAAGCGTCAATCTCCCCGGAACCAGAATCATATCTTACTCACCTCCTTAAGAGTCTCTCCCAACGAGTCAAAGTCGACCTCAATACCGTAGTCTTGCACAGTAAACGTGTCGCCTGCTCCGGCGCCATCCTCATCAACGTCCATCGCATCGGGATCGGCTGCTTGAATAAGATCATCAATGGGCAGCTGTTCCAGAGAGTTGGAATCCTCTGTCAACGGGATATCAATGTCTTCAAGCTTGCAGCGCCGGAGAAGAGCATATCGGCTGGATGAATTGCGTTGTACGTCTGTTTCCAGGGCGTTAACATTCTTCAACGTCCCTTCCACTTCTCTGCTGCGCTTTTGAAGATCCCTGCGGTGTTGGGCTAGATTCTCGGCGGAGTGCCCATAGGCCTCCTTCTGATCTTCAAGTCGCTCCCGGAGAATGTCAAGTTCAGCATTGTATTCGTCCAAACGGTTTCCGATTTCTTCCTGCTCTGCTCGGAGCTCCTCGATCAAGTCTTGATCGCGCTGGTGTTGGGCTTCGAGACTGGCAATACGATCACCAGTTGCCTGAAGTCGCTGTTTCTCGAAGCTCAACTGATTCTCGATTCGGCTCTTCTGTGTCGTGAATTCCAGCTTCTTTTGAGCAGCCTCTTCATGTAGAGAGCCCTGCTGGACTTCGTATTCGCGGATGTTGCTATAACCAAGACGCTTGCAGAATTTGCGGTAAATCTCGTCCTCAACATTGCTAACCGATTCCTGGGATTCAGTGATGGTCTGGTCGAGTTCTTCCAAAGCTTCTTGCCGCTCGAAGTACTTCGGCCTCAGTTCTTCCAGCTGACGCTTAACGAAGTCCAACTCCGTGTGTTTGCTCTCGAGGTTTCTTTCCAGAGCCTTGAGCTCATCTCGAGCATAGGCCAGGCGTTGCTCAAGGCCGACGAGCTCACCCTGAAGGGTTTCCTCCTCAGTTCCGCGGCGGTGACCCTTGGGAAGATTGGTAAGATCGGCCAACAGCTTGTCCTTGAGCTTGTAGAGATTCTCCACCTCGGAGTCCTCCCACCGTTTCGAGTTTTGCTGGGGACCTTTACCACCGGTCATCAACCCGCCCTTATGAATCACCGTTCCATCGAGAGTGACCGCCTTCGCGTCCACGTGTTTGTCGTAGCAGAGATACTTAGCCGTGGCCAGATCGTCGCAAACAATGGCGTTGCCGCAGGAGTAGCTGATGGCTCTCGCAACCGAGTCATCATAGTCCACTGTTTCGATAGCCGGGCGCATTCCCCGGTGCATTCCCTTCAAGTTGGAATTGAAAGCTTTCACTTGAATGGTTTCCAAAGGAATGAAAGTAGCCTGTCCGGCTCTCTGGTCACGCAGGTGCTGAATGCACTCTTTGGCTGTCTTCTCATTGTCAACGACGATTGCATCGAAGTGTCGGCCAAGCACGGTGCTAACAGCTTCGGCGTACTTTTTCTGCTTCGGTTTGCAGAGGTCACTGACTCGGCCTTTCACACCCGGAAAGATACGTCTTAAGGTCGAAATCAACTCCTTCGCTCGGAGCTCCCTCTCGCTCTGCTTCTTGCCGTCGTCAGCCTCGAGGAGCTTCTTCAAGACCGCCTGGAGCTTCTCCTCGAGTTCCGTCCTCATCTGAGAGACACGCAATCGCTCGGAAGTCAGAGTGTTGAGCTCCTTCTTTTTACGGTCAATATCCTTAGATGTTGTTTTGACCGTATCATTGAGAGATGTTTTGCGTTCAGCCATAGACTGGGTGTCAGTCTCTAGAGACTTGAGCTGCCATTCCGTGCCCTCGAACTTGGATTTGAGACTGTTGCAGGCCTCGGCTTCGGTCTTTCGCTGGCGGCGTAGGTTGTCGAGGTTCAGCTGTTCGGCCGAGGACCGCTTGTTGACCTCTTCCTTAAGCTTGTTGTATTCTTGCTGGTCGGCCTCACTCAACTGGCCACCCTTTTTGCTAATCGTCTTCTGCCATTCCGCTTCCCACTGAGCCTGAGCTTTTTCGACAACCTTGAGGTCCTTTTCCAATTGTTTGGCGTTAGACGACTGAGCCTCACGTTCTTTACCGATCTCAGCAATCCGAGATGCAAACCGTTCCACCTTCTTCATGGTGATGTCGACTTTTTCGTCGACAGGGACGAGTGCGTTGGTAGACTCCTCGATATCCTTTTCTTTCTTCGTGATGTTCTTCTCGGCCTTGGCCACGTCCCGACCAACCTTGGCGTGTTCTTTCTTAGCCTCCTCAACATTGTGCTCGAATTTCTCAACGTTGCGGCGGAACTCCTTGAGCTCGTCCTGGTACTTGAGGATCTCGGCGCTGGACTCATCGATCGTGCGCTGGAAGTGGAAGAGCTTCCACAGGATATGGGTGATGATGGCTTGGTCGCGCTCCTCTGCCTTGCGGGCATAGTTCTCGGCCTCGCGCTTCTGCTCCTGGTACTGCTTAATTTCAGAATTGATACCTCGGCGGCGGTTGAGCTGCACAGTCTGTTGTTCCGCAGCCTCCTCCGCCTCGGCCTTTAGGCGCTCGTATTCGGCCTTGTATTCGAGACTGCCGGAAATCTGCTCGATCAGGCGTGTAAGGTCCTTCGGGGACTGCGATGCGATCGCTTCCACATCACCCTGGAAGACAAGGAAGTTGCGCGCCTTGATGAGGATGTTCTCGGCTTCGAGGGCCTCGTTGTACTGTTGCGCCGTCACCGTGCGGTTGTTGATTCGATATTCGCTCACACCTCCGCTGGTGATCGACCGTCGCCATTGCTGCTCCTCGCCCGCATCATCCTCGTAGACGGCCATAACCCAGGCCGTCCGTGGGTCGTTGGATCCGCTCGGGTCCTGCGATGGCTCGATGTCGTCGCCGTCCTGCGCATCCCCATTGGTTTCTCCATCGATGGCATTTCCATCCGCATCGACTCTGGATGTGCGCAGTACACGGCCGCGGTAAACAAGATCGCGAAGATTTGTCGATCGTAGATGGGAGGACTTGATACCTAAGACGAAAGAGATCGCATCCATACTGGTGGGACGCATTAGCGCAAACAACACTTGCGGGCTGAACGGACTGGAGGGGGATGTGGACGAGGGGAATAAACGCACGAGTTGGACTTTCCAGACCCGTTAGGTCCGATAATAGATGTGAAGTAGGCATCGCCGAACAGGAGAGTATGGTGGCCCTTATAGGACTTGAAGTCTAGAAACGCCCGTCAGTCATGATCAAGCGAATCCACAGGACGGGGATCACCGCGTACTGTACAGCTCGAGGCGAATGAGCTTCCCCATCTTGCAACAGTCCGGTCGCTTTCTGGCGACCACAGCAGCAAGAACGGAAGAGCTGGGATGTCGGCGAGGTCGGTGCCAGGTGAAAGTGGAGGCGCTGTTTGGAGGGGCCCGCGCGATAGAGAGCTCGAAGGCGCGTCTTCCGCCGGCCGATGGGAGGACGCGCTCCGGTCACGTGGCACCCGCGGGTTTCTACAACACACGATCGACCTTCCTTACTTTCTTTCTTTTGTCTCTCTATTTATAAGAGATCCTATTGATTCTACGAGCTGGTCAGATTTTCGAATAGGCTTGGATCTTTGGAAATGGTTGATTTGTAAATGTACACGGGAATCTGCTGCAGATGCTATAACTAAAGTGTCGCGGCAATGAAGTACAAATGAGTAATTAAACATCGACAGAAGGAGAGACAGGCCTTAGTTCTCCAGGCTCAGCGCCGGTGAGAAGGCGTGACGCTCAACGGGTTTCCAACGACCAAGAAGTCTTCCGACACGAACCCCGTGGAGTTCATTCGGAAAGCACCCTTCTGACCTTCCACCTCGAGAAGAATGAAATCCTCGCCTGTGAAAATCTGCCGCACGGACTGGAAAAGACGCCAGAACATTAGACTCGACCTCTTCAGGGGCGCCCTGAAGAAACTCGGCTGAGACGGCGGTTCGATCGAAGTCATTCCACCCTGTTGCATACGAGCGACTGACTCAGGCGTGACTACCAGACGGCGGGAAAAGGCGATCTGACGAGGCACAGCATCGAACTCATAGGGCCGGCGGAAGGGGATCGTGCTTCGGACCTGGAACCGAAGCTGAGCCCCGGTAGTGGTGCTGACGGCTGTGACTGTCTTGATCAAGCGTTGGGTTTTCATAAGGAAGACGGTGCCCATGGCGCTCATCACGATGCAAATTCCGCCAAATAGAGTCTTTTGCCACGTGGGAAGCGGCACGATTGGGTCGTGGAAGACTATCTTGGAGTTGTACACCGAGTAGGCAAAGCAGAATGCGGCGATACCGTAGGCTCCTAGAACATAACTGCGATGCGACGGCGCCCGGAAGAGGAGAATCTGCCCTTCCCTAGCAACCTTGCGTTCGAGTTTTCCAAACCCCTCTGGTCGTCTCCCAGCAAATTTCAGCGTCTCCTCATCATTGGCTGTGGGCTTGGTCCGCGCTGTGGGCTTCGGGGGTAGCTGTGGTTGCTTGCCCTTGGCCGCGTGTTTCGTTCGCGCCACGCTCGAGGCAAAATGTCTCCATATCGAGGTCGAAGGAATAGTTCTCGGTGACACCGGACCCCTAGGGCACTGGTGATAGAAAGCCTGAAAGGCAAAAGATCTGGCGAACATGGTGCTACCTGCTTATCATCAACGGGTTATTAGCATACTCTGAATGAAAGTGAAGCAATTGGGTCTGCGCCGCTCCTGGGAGACAGCCAGAACATCTCTAGGCATGGATATCCACGATCCATAAATCCAAGACGTATCAGAATCAACAAAGGTCATACAAGAACGTACCGGAGTTTCAATTGGAGAAGCCGATGGCCCTTTTTAATGTCGTGACGGGTAGGAATCCCGATCTTCTCCGCGGCAGAAAAATGTTCCCGTCCGGGCGGCCGGTGAAGCTCCCAACAACCTCAACATCTCCAAAGCAAACGCCTTGCTCTCACGTCGACGCAGATACCTTTGGCTTGGATCTGTCAATTGATTTCCGACTGCGACTCCTCGACTCAACTATTACCGACTAATCTGGGATTTCGACCCCGTCGCACGTGGTGGTGGGCTCTTTGATCGACGTCCCTTGCCCGCCGAGTCCGACAAGCATACCGTTGCGCAAAGAACATCGATCAGAGAGAACTCTCGGTTTCATTCCTCGTCACCAGACCCTCATCCACTACCGTAAAAATGGCCGCTAGCTTGCGTCAAGTCCCGGCAGTTCTTGCCAGACGCCAGCCTCGAGTGATCGGTACCACTAAGCGTGAGTTTGGCCCGCGGAGAATCTTTTTTTTCTGGCGAAGATAATCGCCATCTCTATCTCCTTTCCCAGAATACATCCCGCTAACAGATCATATTCGCTATGCTAAACAGGCCTGGCGTCCACCTCGTCCATCCAATTCCAGAACCCCGCCTATCCGCTCTACCCATCTGTCATCCAACTCCTCCACGAGAAGGGCATCCCGGAGTCCGATGTTTCCAAGATCCCCGCCTCCGGCCCCAAGGGCCGTCTCCTGAAGGGTGACGTTCTCGCCTACCTGGGCGCCATCGCCTCCGACTACCCTGCGACCCAAGCCGCGCGGATCGCACAGCTCGCCCACCTCGACCTCAGCAACATCAAGATCGCCGCGCCCGAGCCCAAGGCTGCCGCACCCGTCGTCGAGGAAGCCCCCGTCGCCAAACCCCCTCCCACCACCTCGGTCGCCGTCTCCATCTCCCTGGCCGCCGTGCTGTCCGCGCAGAAGAAGCTGCAGGACTCGCTGGGCGTCAGCGTCCCGCTCTCTACGTTCCTGGCCCGCGCCGCCGACCTGGCCAACGACGACCTGCCGCGCTCTCCGCGCGCCACCCCCTCCGCCGACGAGCTGTTCAATGAGGTTCTGGGTGGCGAACCCGTCACCACCTCCCGGGGCGACTTCGTGCCGGAGTTGAATGCCGTCGCGGCGCCCGTCGAGACCCGGTCGGTCAAGTCGGTCCAGGAGGATATCATTGACATTCTGAGCGGGAAGGTGTCCAAGGTTGCCGCTGCTGGCCGACGAGCGTCCCGGGCAGAGTCGGCTCCGGCCGAGCAGGCCGCTAACGTTTTCAGCTTGACGATCCCCGTGGGCGAGGAGAAGCGGGCTCAGACTTTCTTGGACCGTGTCAAGACCCTTTTGACAGTCGAGCCTGGCCGGCTTGTTCTATAGATCTCTCTCCATTTCACATTGTAAGTCCGCATTTGGTACTTCCGCGTGACTGGAAGACGTGGTTTCTTCGTTGATTCATTGGGGGCTAATTCGTTAGTATAGTTGTAGCATAAGTAATAAACTACCCGCGGGAGCCGCTTCGAGCTCCAAGATTTCAACGGGACTTGGTCTTTTCTTCCTTTTTCTTATATAGGAATGTACTCGAGCGCTATACGATTGTTTTAAAATAACATCTGCAGTTTCATTCTCATTATTGAGGACCATGCGCGAACGCTATCGTAATTTGCAAAGATCTCTTAAGTACCTAGTAATGCAGTTCCCCTGAAGCCATGCGGCGAACAAGAAATAAAATGGTGAACAAGTCATCTCATCATAACAAACAACACGAAGAGAAAGAAAGGAAAAGTAGAAGGAAAAAAGCATTCACAAGCAGGAAAAAAGAGACACATGCCATGTATGAAGGGGAAAGTTCAAATCATCCTTTAGCCAGTTATGGAACAACATGGCCTTCGACCACCTCTGATAACACCAGGAGCGCCATGGATTGGTAGTCGTTTCGCAAAGAAAATCAATAAGTCAACGCTGAATGCCGACAGTCCCGATTGCCCGAATGGACAAGCACGGGGCAAAAAGAACACAGATGGGATGAAAAGACGAAACAAAGAAAAAAAGAAAAGGAAAAACTGAAACGCAGGGAAAGGGCCCAAATTACATGTCGAAGATCAAACGGAAATAGAAAAGGAAAATAAAGTAGCCCACCTATTAATCGCCTGCAAAATGCTGTAAACCCACAAAATGCAAGAGATGCCAAATTACACCCTGATAAAAACCCTGCTTCAAACCGACCAAAGATATACCCAGGTTTGAAACAACGCCAAATGCCTGGAACGCCACGTCTAATGCATATTGCAAAGCATGATAAGAAACCCAGTGACGCCGTAGCATCAATCTCATCGAGACGATCGACGGCCTCTATTCACCGGATGGTACCCCATTCGGCCAATTTGCTACCCTCGCGTTCCTGATTTCGTCCAGGCCGCCTGTTAAATATCTTCCAGAATCTCAAAGTCTCGTCTCCAGCTCCCGTGACTACCGTTTGGCCGTCAGGGCTCATGGCTAAGTAGAGGACACGGAAGGTATGGCCGGTCAGCGAGACAACCTGCTCCATGCGCGGATACTTCCAAATGACGATCTGGTTCTGGCTGTAACCATGGGTGCTGATGATTTCATCGGAGTTCTTCGACCAGGCCAAGTTGCAGACCTGGCTGCCTGTGTCGACCTCCTTGATCATCGAGCCAGTTGATGTGTTCCAGAATTTGATCGTTCTATCGGCCGTTCCTCCACCCGACGCAAGTAGATGGTGCTGGTGAGGTGACCAGGCTATGGCCTTGACGGCAGCGGTGTGGTCAGAGAACCGATAAAGAGGCGTTTCGTTTAACTTGTCCCACACCATCAGTTTGTTATCATTACCGCCAGAAGCTAATTGACCGTCTTCCGTGTTCCATCTCAACCCGCAGACCTCCTGCTTGTGACCGGAGAGCCGGCGCAGGTATTGGTCTGGAGAACGGACATCACGGTGGAAGATTAACCGATCTCGGGATCCAGACGTGAGGATATGGTCGTTCCATGCGAGAGCTCCCACACGGTTGGTATGTCCAACCATTGTTCGAAGACGTCGACAACGTTCTGCATCCCAAATCTGCACAAGTCCCTTTCCGGTTCCGATAGAAAGGTGTGTTCCCTGATTATATATCGGTAAGCCGTCACGTTGTGCGTAGGAGCTAGATTGTCTGACTTACCCTCTGAATCCAGCTGACGCTAGTGACTGTGTCGTCCTTCAGTTCACAGAGTTTAGTGACTCGTCCCGACTGGGAGTTCCACATGTAAACCGAGTTGCCCAGTCCCACTCCTAGAACGTTACTACTGCCCCAGTCCACCAGGTTAAGATAGAAATCATCTTGCAAGTCGGGCGCATCTAGCACCTTATACGGAACTTTGTTCACGTAGCGCGGTTGCTTGCGCGGAGTTTCGAGGATGCGCTGACTATCATAGCGGATGGGAGAGAGACTGTAGAGTTCGGATCGGACGTTGAGGTTCGGGCCATGTTGGCTGCGAGGCGTCTTCGAAGGTGTGGGATGGGCGGAGCCAGTGCGAGGGGAGGCGTAGTTGAAGAGGTTTTTGTGGGGCGTGGAGGGGGTGATGCTAGCGGGGGGTATATTCGACACGACGTGTGAGGGAGGAGTGTGAGAACGAGTTTTGTCAAGGATACCGCTGCCGAGTCCTAGCAATGGATCTGGCGATAACGAGTCGAGTTCTGCCTGTGGCACAGTATTTCCGAACAGCTCGCTGCGCAAGACTCGCGAATACATTCTATTTGCCTCTTCGGCTGGGGGACAATGTTAGCTCTCAAGTGTCGGGTCGGCGCTATCGTCCCCAGGGGGGTTCAACTTACTCTTTTGGAAATGGAGTTCTGAATGCGGGGTTCGTCGTTTCGACTTCGACGGGGTAGAAGGACAACCGTCTTCATGAAGCAGACTATAGGTCGCTTGAAGATCCTGTCCGTCCCGGTTTGGGATGAATCTGTGGCAAGCGCCTTTGAATCAGCCATCGTCTTTCAAGGACACACCCGTGGCGGTTACTCGCGACGCTGCAAGGGACCTTTCCGAGCGACATGGACGAACGCCAGAACAGGGCGCAAATAAAAGAAAAAGACTAACCTATCACCATATACTCTCTGTCTCTTTCGACTCGGACTCGTCCCGGGCGTTCGTTCGCGCGGGTTGCCAGCATCCTCATATTCTTTCAACGCCTTGGCTAGCGCATTGGGATCAATGGGCTCGGAGCTATTGCGACTTTTCTGTTGGCTACCCTGCAGATCTGGATAAAACAGGGTCTTTTTCGAGGGCATGCTCGGTGGTGTTCTCGACCCGGGCGGGGAGGCTAGGTTCAGTCCATTCGCTGCTGTAGAGGTCGCCTTCTTTGCACCCCCCGCAGCACTGCGACCGGCGGCAGCATCGGGCTCATTCTTGCCCTTGCCCATAGCTGCTAGGTTGGCGTTTTTCGAGATGACTGTAACGGCGATCGAATGTAGGAAGATTTTGAGGCTCAACTGAGGGATTGCGACCCGAGTCTGGGGTTGAATTGCGAAAACGGCGGGGTTTAAGGTGGTGATCAAACGTGAGATTCTTTCACGGACAGAAATGACAGCACAACGGTCCTGCGTGGTTGCTCGGTCGGGGAAATTGATCGTGGGATTGGCGAACGCAGACGTTGCTGGGGAGCTGCAACCGGCTTTGCTCCGCTCTCCGGACAATAATAATCAAATAAACGAACTGGGCGGGAGGGGAGCGACAAGAGGGGGAAGGAGAGAAGACAGAGCAATGACTCTCACCGGGCCCAGTGCTAAATGGAAAGACACAGACAACTCGGGCAGGTCATTTGAGAGTGACCTGGCCACCGTCTGGTGAGGAAGAGAGAGGTGAAGGGACAAGGAGGGAACCAAGGGCTGGCGATGGGATCGCCTTGGGGGTGACGGCCCTGCGAAGGGGATTCCGCCCGGTCACGCGTCGGCTACGCTAAACCCTTCCGAGACACTCTGCCAGGGAGGTTGGCCGTTGCTTTGTTGTGATCCTTCCTTGCAATTAATTTCCCCCTCATCATTAATTCGGGATGCATCATCTTGGATTCGGTATTTTATTGATTGCTGCTGACTGGGTCCCCGTTGGAGTCGGTGCATGTGGGGTCTGTGACTATCTCTGGCTGCCGGTCATGAGCCAGAGGGACCTCGCGCTTCCAGGCTCCATCTGATAGCCCGACTGGTCACTTTTACCAGTCAGTTACATACAAGCACCTGTCTCAGAAGTTGGGGAACAGGTCAACTTACCCTGTTTCTCAAGTATCAGATTTTCCTCTGTCCGATCGAGTAGATCTCTCACAAACTGAGCACAATGGTTATTATGATCGTGAACTATACTGTTATCCTGACACGCCCGTGACGCGAGCTGCCACCGTTGCACGCGGGAGAAACGCGAAAAACGCTTGGGCCACGGGAAATGTTCCCCGGCGATCGTGTCGGTCTCGGTCTGTTCACGGAGTTTGGGCTGCCTGCTGGGGCGGTTTGGAATTCCCCAATCCCCGTGTTTCTTTTTCATTTCTCAGACATGGGCTAAAAGATGATCACTGGGGTTGGTTTCTTGATTAAGCTCTTTAGTTTCCAGCTTTCTCTTGGTCGCGTGGACCCGATGTCATCCGGCATTGAACTATGTTTACCATGTAACAGGCCAACGGCTTCTACTCATCCAGGGAAAAAGGCTGTGAACACATTAAAGATTCTATTAACCTCTCGCTATATTTGTAGACCTAATATCACACGGTAATTGGTACTATACTTTACAAGATAATACTTCCAACCCTGTATAGTGTTGCTGCAACAATGCCCGTAAGATTAAGGAATAACTCCTATATACTCCGTAAGCTACATAGCGTAAAAACTGCCAAATGTGCGAGACATATCACCGACAGGCTCCCCTGCATGATTTGAATAATCTCACGATCATGGTGACCGAGGGCCAATTCTCCCAGCACGAGACTAAGTTGTCTCCGACGGCAACCACTAACTAACTACGGAGTACTACTGAAAAGCCGGTCGACCGCCAAGCACCGAGTGATCTCATGCCAACGGATTCTCCTCCACTCTCCGAAATCCGATTTATTATCCTCTGGATTCCTTCCCCTCCTTAGCTGTTTCTCCACAGTCCCCAAGGTCCCGAACGATGACTTCCAAACTCGCCCAGAACCTTAAGCAGCCGGCTTTGGACTTCTTGTCCTTTGTCAATGCCTCGCCCACCCGTACTGTCCCCGTCCCTGTCGCTCTGCTCGTTTGTTTGCATGGCTGATCTAGTCCCCATCTAGCTTTTCATGCGGTCCAATCCGCCAAAGACCTGCTTGCCAAGGCTGGTTTCCAGGAAATAAAGGTTCGTAGACCAGGGGAAGCTCGTTTTTCTTTTCTATCGCTGATGGCCTTCTTCAGGAAAAAGATTCCTGGGCCTCCACGTGTCGGCCTGGCGGAAAATACTACTTGACCCGCAACCACTCGACCATTGTCGCTTTTGCTGTCGGTAAGAAATGGAAGGTAAGTCGAGATTGCAATGTCACAGATGTCACACACATGCCCAATGATGCTAATAATCCCCATAGCCTGGAAACTCGATCTCCATGATCGGTGCCCACACGGACTCTCCCGTCTTGAGGATCAAGCCGGTGAGCAACAAGTGCGGGGAAGGGTTCGTCCAGGTTGGCGTTGAGACCTACGGAGGTGGCATCTGGCACACATGTAAGTATCCAATGGGTCCGTCTGCACGCCGTTGCTCAGCAATTGCTAATTCTTCTCTAGGGTTCGATCGTGACTTGGGTGTTGCCGGTCGGGCTATGGTCCGCACTGGTGATGGCTCCATCACCCAGAAGTTGATCAAGATTGACCGCCCCAGTATGATACCTTCAAAATGATATCGCCGACAACCAGAACCCCACTGACGACCCATAGTTCTCCGAATCCCGACTCTAGCCATCCATTTAGATCGCCAGGAGACTTTCGCCTTCAACAAGGAAACTCAGCTCTTCCCCATTGCCGGACTTGTTGCCGCCGAGCTCAACCGCACCGGTGCTTCCAATGACGCCAAAGACTCCAAGGCTGGCGAAGAAGAGAAGGGAAAGTTCTCTCCTCTCAAATCGATCACGGAGCGTCACCATCCCTACCTTGTGGAACTCATTGCCGCCGAAGCAGGAGTCAAGCCGCTTGACATCCTTGATTTCGAAATGATCCTGTTTGACACCCAAAAGTCTGCGCTGGGTGGACTGCTTGAGGAATTCATCTTCTCGCCTCGCTTGGACAACCTCAACAGCTCTTTCTGTGCCACCGTTGGCCTGATCGATTCGGTGGCCGATGCGTCGGTCTTGGATGACGAGCCTTCCATCCGTCTCATTGCACTCTTTGACCACGAGGAGATTGGAAGCCGTACGGCGCAGGGTGCCGACTCCAACATTCTGCCCGCCATCATCCGCCGACTTTCCGTCCTGCCCTCTTCGAACACCGATAATGCCAACCTGTCAACTGCCTACGAACAGACGTTGTCTACCTCCTTCCTCCTTTCCGCAGACATGGCACATGCGGTGCACCCCAACTACTCGGGCAAGTACGAACCCGATCACCGGCCGGAGATCAACAAGGGACCTGTGATCAAGATCAACGCCAACGCTCGTTATGCTACCAACTCTCCCGGCATCGCTCTACTGCAGGAAGTGGCCCGGAAGGCGGCCGAGGACGGCGGAGAGGGCGTTCCGCTGCAGCTGTTTGTCGTGCGCAACGATTCCAGCTGCGGAAGTACTATTGGTCCCATGCTGTCTGCAGCTCTTGGCGCTCGTACCTTGGACCTGGGTAACCCGCAGCTGAGCATGCACAGCATCCGCGAGACCGGAGGTACCTACGATGTGGCTCACTCGATCCGGCTGTTTACCAGCTTCTTCCAGCACTATTCTAAGACATCTCAGACCATCTTCGTTGATTGAGTCAAGGGCTGTTCCCTGTAAATAGCAAGCTCAATTCCACCGTTCTCAATTATCTCTCCTCGTAGAAACTAGAAGGCGTATCTCGGACCACTTGCCTCCCCTCCCCCAGTAGACGGATCGGGCCGAGGAAAGTCCGCCGCCCGCTCGCTCCCACCTGACGTTCCATCCGTTCCATCCTCTCGCCGCAGACCTCCACACGACTGACTATCCTTGCTTCTTCCTCATCTCCGCCGTTTGTTAGCTCACGGCTCTCCCTTCGTTGCGTTCTCACTCTTATCCCTCCTAATGCCGTTCATGCCCTCATGACCCTCTATGACAACCCCAGATGTCTTTCGAGATGCGGAATACATCGCTGACGTGTCCGGCTTATCATATGGAAGCGTCGCGGACGTCCCTGGACGACGGTCGAGCTCCCCCAACCCTCAGGATGGGCGTATAAAGAAGCTGCAGTCGGCCGCGAAGGTCGCGCTGATCGACAGGCTGCTCCGCGACCTTGATATTCTCATATATTGTCAACTTTCTGCGCTGTATTATATGGAGTGAGCATTCCCCTGAATATACTTTCTCTCCCCTTCCCCACACTCGATACCCCGGAGAGCTGTCCCCTCCCCGACCCGGCTCTCAGAAACCATGCTCACAGCTTCCAGTTGCTCTATCGTCCTTTTCGCCGTCCGTTCCATCATTCAATTAATCTTCTTCACCCCGAAAACCCCCCCGTTCGACCCGACCCGGAACCAACCCTTCGTCGGCGCCATCTTCACCAGCAACTTATTCTGTATGGTGTTCCACTACTTCTTCATCCACCCGGACGCGGGGGAGTCCACTCGCGGCTACCTGCACGGCGGACTCTTGATCGACTTCATTGGCCAGAAGGCGCCCGTGCCGGTCGCTCGGCTCCTCTCTTTCGATGTGTTGGTCATGCTGCTCCATCTTATCATGCTGGGTCTTATTGTGGAGCGGGTCAAAACTACCGAGGCAACGGCGGCCGCCAACACCACCGCCGCATCACCGTCGCCGTCGTCGACTGCGCAATCGCCTATTGCCGAGCGAGATCAGGACCATGATTCCGAAGAACGCGGTGTTCTGCACAACGACAGTAATCGCAGCAATCACACCTCGAGTTCGTCGGAGGCGGATAGTCATGGGCTTGGACTTGGTGACGCTCTTGGATCCCGAGAATCCGGGTCCCAGTCTCGGCTCAACCTGGACGAGGAGTTCGAACGGGACGAGCTGCTGGCGGATCCCTTGGAAAGCGGACATACATCTGGCAGTAAGAATCACCACCCCGTTGACTCGTTTGCCTCGGGAGAAGCGGTAGTCATGGATCTCGGTCTGTTCGACGTGATTCGAGACCAGTGGCGGTATAGTCCCGTCGCGGCGAGACGCACCTCCGCATACGTTCCCTCCGACCAAACTGCGGCTTTTCTTCGACAGCGATTCGGACTTCAGGTGCGGCCGGACGGACGGGTGGAGAGAATCGCACCGGGAGGCTCTTGACCTTCCCTCTGCTTTATTTTTAGATCTTACAGTTCACTGGCGTTGGAGTTGGTATTGGCGTTTCGTGTACATATGGCAATACGAATATAAATGATCATGATCTATTGTTCCTCGTCTCGACCCAATCCTTCCATCATGAAGAAGGTCAGACCGTCTCCCCAGCGATCATAGTTATACAAACACATAAAACAAGAAAAGGGTATGCCAAGAACCATAAACCACAAACACACATACTCGACTTTCGAACCCCGTGACCGACTCAATCACTCCTTCTCCCCCTGAACCCTCCGACCCAAGACCTCATCCACGATCCCCATCTCCAACGCCTCCTGCGCCCCCATGAAATAATCCCTCTCCATCAATTTCTCGATCTCCTCTAGCGACATCTCCTTCTTGCCCGTCAAATGGCGCTTGTAGATCTTATTCAGCTGCTCGCGCACCCGCAGGATCTCCTTCGCGTGGATGGCGATGTCGCTGGCCTGTCCGAAATATCCGCCCGACGGCTGGTGCATCATGATGGACGAGTGTGGCAGGCAGTACCGTTTTCCGGCGTGGCCGCCACATAGAAGCAGCGAGCCCATAGAGGCGGCTTGGCCGACGCAGATCGTGGAGACCGGGGAGGCGATGTAGCTCATTGTGTCGTAGATTGCGAGACCTGTGAGTTTGGTTTGAATATGGTTGTTAGTGGAAGGCGGGGAGGAGGGACCGCTTCGTCGGAGGGGAGGGGAGTGGTACTAACCAGCCGTGACTGATCCTCCCGGAGAATTGATATACAGGTGGATGGGCTTCTGGGGGTTATCGGCTTCGAGGAAGAGGAGTTGCGCGACGATCGACGCGGACATGGATTCGTCGACTTCGCCGTTTAAACAGATGATTCGTTCCTGGACGGTCAATTAGCACGGTCTAGGCTGGGAGTATCTATCCGGTTATGGGAGATACCTTGAGGAGTCTAGAGAAGATATCATCTATAGTTATTCGGAGGAAGTAGTTAGTTATCGCTGCGGTGAGCGCTGACCGGTATCAGGATCTGATTGATTGATTCACGACTTACAAGTGTGCCAACCACCTCCCTGGGATAATTAGCTTCTTTCTGGCCAATGCGCAGGAGAATCAAAAACATACCACAGTCTCCGTGACGAACGGCGTAGGGGTCCATGCCCGCGGAGAGCTCGCGCCCTTCGATAATGACGGAATGGAGCTGGCGAAGCTGCGCGATGCCGCGGGAAGACCGGCCGCAATGGAGGAGCGAGGGAGAAGGCGACTCAGTCGCGATACCGAGCGGGCCGGATTCATGCTGTATAGGGGAGATGTATTTATAATTGAGAGAAAGAGGGGGAGGGGTATGTGAAAGAGGGAAGTGGAGGGAAGTAGATCGATAAGGTCGGGGCTGGACGAGAGCAAAGTCCCGCCAAGCTTTCGGAGCTTCTTTTCTTCTTCCGTCGCGGTTCTTCGCTCTTTCCCTCTACTACTACACTCGCTTCAGGGCACAATTCCACAACATGCAGTGTTTGCGTCATGTTCCATACGCATCATGGCGTTTGACGGTGTACCGACAGATTTTCCCGTCCCCTCATCCCAATACCTTGTCTTTCAGTCCTCGACGTACCATCTCATCCACGACGACTCAATCCCAAGCACAACAGCACCACCAAGACGCAACACACGCAGAGCAACCCAACAATGACTCCCCAGATACACCTACGCCCCGACCCTCCGACCAACTCCCTCAATCCCCCCTCCTCACGCACCCGCATATCAACCCCGTGAAGAAGCACAAAAAGCGCCCCCCAACCGCCGAAGACCTGAACCGCCTCCGCAAGAATCCCTGGGCGCAAGCCCTCGCCTCGCCCATCCGAATGTGCACCATTACAGCCGCCCGATCGCCCCGGGATCTGCTGACCACATGGGGCCTGGTCCAGCGTCCCAATTCCAAGGGACTCTGGATAATGCCCGTGGATTTGCTAAAGGATGAACTGAGCGGGCTCGAGTCCCCCAAGGGCCAGAAACCCGCGCCGCCAACCGAATCCTCTCAAGAACCACAGGACTCGGGGTCGGGCTCATCTCCGTCCCGGGCGCTGCAGCACCTGTCGGTGCGGGTCATCGATAGTATCCAGCTGATGCGGAGGCTGTGCCGGGCGATGGCGTCGCATAGCATCGGGTATTACTCGGGCCTGATGAAAGCCATCCCGTATCGGTATAAGCATCCGATAGGCCCGCTGACTCCAAGCCACGCGCGTCAGCTGGTGTGGAGGCAAGATATGCCGACGTTTGTACTGAAGAGAATGCGAGTGGAGGCGGCGAAGCGGTTGTTGAAAACCACTGGCCAGAAGCGTTCAAAGCTTGGTCATCAGAGCGGAGTGTGGCAGGCGGTTGAAATTGAGGCCCAGGTGTCGGAGGAGACCCTGAAAAAGGGGCTGGAGGGGATGAAGGCGTTTGAGCGCATGGAGTGCGGCGCCGTGATCGTTATGAAAGAGCAGGAAATAGATAAGGACGCGCTGCCGCAGCTGGTGACTCTCCCGCAGACTGGATCGCGTGTCCCCGTATTTGATCTGTCCGTGTTGCTTTCAGAATCGGACCGAGAGGCACTGCGGAGTGCTGATCCGAAGTTCCAGAAAACAGGTCTGTTTTTCAGACCGGAGGACCTCAAGGAGTATAATGCGTTTATGGCCTTGTGGAAGCTGCAAGGTTATCTCAATGAGGACGCTCAATTTGGTGATGCGCATAAGGTCGATTGAGTGCAACCGGGCTTTGACCATATACTGCGTTGAATGCATATCTATGAAATATCTCAAGTATAATGTTCTATCAACAAATGGCATGTCATATACATGTCCTCCAAATCGTTACTCATAGCCCGTAGATCAGAATGTTGCGCTATCCCCCACGTCTATCTCTATCTACTGCGACTCCAGCAGGTCCGACAACTTATCCAAGTAAGCCGCCGGTCTGACTTCACCACTCTCGAAGTCCTCCTTCGAGCTCACACCCGTAAGCACACCCAACGTGCCACCCAACTTGCCCTCCAGACCAAACCGGATATCAGTATTCGCGCGGTCCCCAACCATGCACGCGCGGCTGCGATCGAATTTGAACTTGCCCTCGATGGCATCCATCATCGCCTGATTCGGCTTCCCCAGGGACACCGGCTCCCTACCCAGCATCATAATCAGCGGCGCACTCATCGACCCAGCGCCAGGGAACAGCGTCCCAGAGTTCGGCAGCGTCGAATCGATATTCGTCGCGAGGAACACCGCGCCGCGCCGAACATAGTGAAACGCCAGCGCCAACTTGAAGTAGTTGATGTGGAAATCCAGTCCGACCAGCACCACTCCGACTTCCGGGTCAATCAGCGAGGAATCTCCCGCTGCGATTTGCTTGTAATCTTCGGGCGTGATGTCTCGTCGATACGCGGGGTCTGTGCCCCCGATGAAGGGGACGTTCTCGGAACGGAGTTCCTGCTCGATGCCGGTTTCGCCGAGGACGAAGACCTTAGGCTTGTTTGGGGGGAGGTTCAGGATACGGGAGATGTAGATCGAGGCGCTGTAGGAGGAGGAGAAGATTTCCTCCTGCAGGAGGGGTTTAGTTTACCTGGCTAGTGGCGAAGGAGAGTGCTGTAGAGTGGAGAGGAAGAAGCATACCGTTGAGGCGGGGATGCCTAGGGACTCGAGTTTCTTCTTGTAGTCTGCTCGGGACTTAGTGCTGTTGTTCGTGACGAAGACAACCTGCTTGCCTGGTGTTGGGGATCAATTGCGTTAGCTAGAGTTAGGTTCGCTGCTTCGTCTTCGAGTGGTGGAAGGGACTCGAGCATGCCGTACCTCGACTTCTCAACAGTTCCAACGTCTCATTCGTTCCGGGGAAGAGGTGATCGCCGGACCAGAGGACACCTGCATAAATGATTCTCAATTAATATTGCCATTCGCTATGATCCGTTTGTGTCGAATTCGATTCGAAGGACCCCGGAGAGAACTCCGAGAGAAGAACGGGGGGCACACACCATCGCAATCGAACAGGAACACCTGGTTTTTGAATGTCAGTCATCTATACACCTACACAGTCGCATAAAGACGTCACCCGGTAAAACTCACATCGAACTTGTCCAAGAACTCACGAATTCCAGCTCCGTCGCCGCTCAGATAGCGGGGTACCGCGGGGTTGGTCTGCAATGCTTCTGTGGCGGTCATGGCTTGTCTCGGTCACCCTTTGCTCTGCAACCAGGCAAAGAATATATTCAAAAGATGGTCTATAAGTCTTAAAAATAAAAATAAAAAAGTCAAAGAATTGGAGGAGAGTTCATCGGGGTGGCGGTCGAGCCAAACCAAAAGTTGTCGGAGAGAGGCGGTCCCGCACGTGGTTTGGCTTGACTCAGGCACCGCATCGGCGTTAGTCCGATCTGATATACAACAGTAGACCGGGGAATAGAGGCAAAAAAGGGTATGGTGATACAACTAATATTATACAACTTACACTAGATATCATTAAGCTTCATACAATCGTGACTTTTTCGCAGGGCACTTGAAGGCATGGCAATATCTCCAAGACAGTCAGTCACATCTCAGCGCCGGAGCTCTGTAGTCCTGATCCGCTGCATACCCAGCATGGGTCGACCCTGCGATGTTCAACGGCGAGAACCTCTCAGTTTGACAGAAACAGCATGGATCAAAAGACCAAGTAATCAAGGCCATTGGTATAGCTCCGTTGCTACGTCTGACTATCACCGAGGATGCTCGTTGTTATGCCCAAGAGCTGCAACCCCCCAGTATTCCTATATCCCTAGGTGGTTAACCATTAGGATTCACCGAGAATGCCCGAGATCTTGAGGGAGGAATCCAACACTGAAAGGTGCTCGTCGGCACCATCAATCAGTCGCTTATCCATCTCCGAGAACACCATAACAATCTTGTTCTTCTGGCTGTCAGGAATAGCATCGTTATAAACAACTCGTCGATACAACTGTTAACAAATCAGCCTGGTCCAATGTGCCAGTAAAGGACAAAACCAATCTCACCTGTAAGAGAAGCTGCGTCGCGCTCCACCCATCCGCAATAACATCCGTAATCACCTTCGAGACAGACTCGTACGAAGAGCCGAATTTCTTAGGCTGCATAGCTTGCACCAACCGGTCCAGAACGCTCTCGGGCACCACACCAGCAATTTCTTCGATCATGGTCACAGTAACTGCCTGCGAGCCGGTATCCGTCATCTCGGCATCGTCATCGCCGTCCTTCTTTCCGCCGCCGCCCGTAGCACCGACCAACCGCGCCGCACTCTGTAGGTACGTAATTGCGCGTCGCAAGTCACCCTCACTGCATTGGATGAGTTTGCCCACCACCCCTTCTTCCACGTTTACGCCCTCCAATTTGGCAATGTCGCTCAGCCGATCACCCGCAGCGGCATTGTCCAACGGCTTGAACCGGAACTTGCTGCATCGACTCGCGAGCGGCTCAATGATGCGAGTGACATAGTTGCAAACGAGACAGAAACGCGTGATCCGACTGTACTGCTCCATGGTCCGTCGGAGAGCTGACTGGGCGTCTTGGGTCATGCTGTCGGCTTCATCCAGCACGATGATCTTGAACGGCGGGCAGGGGTATTGATCGAAATACGATTTATCCACTCCGGTAGGTTGGCTCAGTTGCATGCGGGCGAAGTTCTTGACCTTCTCACGGACAATTCCGATACCACGCTCGTCTGAGGCGTTCAGTTCGAGGATTCGCGAGCGGTAGAGCGCTGGGCCGAATAGCGACTTTGCGAGGGCGAGGATCGTCGAGGTTTTTCCGGTACCTGGAGGACCGTAGAAGAGCATATGAGGAAGCTGTTATCATTAGCGACATTAGTACATGAAGCTGGATTTTGGAACCACAAGAAAGCACATACGTTGGATGCCTGCAGTGTTCGCTGGAGAACTTTCGTGGTATGGTCTTGGGCAGCGACATCATCTAGTGTCTTCGGGCGGCTGTTTCTTGATATTAGAAGGGTAGTACGTCAATGGTCTTGCAAATTGTGTCCTCGTACTATTTCTCGACCCATGGTTGATTTTGTGCCTGCGCTTCTTTGTCTGTGCCTTTGGTTTTGGAGCTGCTTGACGTCCCTGCAGCTGCTGCTGCTGCGCGGGCTTTGTTGTTGAAGAAATTAGAGGCCATAACTAGCTGTGTGATTGGGCAGTCAATTTAGAAGTGAAATTCCTTGATTCATGAAAAAAGAGTCAAGAATGAGTATGCTCAGCTAACGACCGACGACACCCGCAGATGAGGTCGTGTCGAGACGCGTCCCCACGTGATACGCGCATACCTAGATGCCAAGGCTTTTATTGTTCTATGACCCATGCGGTCTACAGAGCACGAAATTATCACAGGTATTATTCTGTAATACTACTGATATTCTCGTAAAACATTATCTCATCTATCTATAGCTCATCCCTTCTATTCTCCAAAACCTCGGTGGCCTCGTACATCCGCTTTTTGGTATTTCGAGGCGGTTCATCCTGTGTCCGCGACTCTTCCGGCAATGGCTCTTCTTGGATAAAGGTTTCTTCTTGCTCGGCACTTGTTTCCACCATTTCCGCAATCTGGTCGATCATCCGGTCATTATCTGACTCTTCAGTTGCAGGGGGCTGGTCCCAAACGGCTTCGCTAGGCGCAGTCTCGACGCTGGGCTCTGCCCTTGGAGTTACAACTGGCGTTTCTTGCACAAGCGTCTCACTAACGGGGATAGAAGGAGATGGTTGGACGGCTGTGCTTGAGATGCCAACAACGCCCAGAATACCGAAACTGAAACGAAAGACGAGCTTAAGAGGCAGCCACAGCAACCACCACAAGGGTCCGTAGAGTATGCGACGGAAAAGAAGCCAGGTAACTGTGCCCACCAGGATGTAGAAAGCCGTCTCAAGGTACCATGTATCGGACTTTTGAGAGCGAAGTAATGAGCCGATAAGGTTGCGTGACGACGATAGAAGTGAATCGAGACCAGTGTAGGACTCCGAAAGAGATGAAAGGACGGCGGTGGATTGTTCTGTTCGTATAGGTCAGCAACCGCTTCAACTGACGGCGCGCTCCAACCTACCTAGCGTCTCCTGCGCAAATTGGCTGCGGGAGAGTTCTGCTTGCATCAACTGATGTGTTCTCCTCAATGCCGCGGTCACGTCGTTCGATGCGTTGACGGTGATATCATCTTGTGTCAACTTCTCATTCGACTGCTTCTGTCTCTCTCCGCTGTGCGACCTGGAGAACAGCAGCTCTCGTTCTTTTCGTTTTGCGAGTTCGGCATTTCGTTTGGCTTGTAGCTGAGCATTTCGAAATTCGCCTCGCGTTCTACCGGAAAGCATTAGCAAACCCTTCACCCGTTGACCCGGACAATCGAAAGGCACTCACTTCTTCAAATCATCCGTCAACCTGCCTGCCCACGCAACAATTCGCTCCCTCTCCAACTCCTTCTCGTTATCCACCGTCTTTCTCCTGCTTTCCGAGCCAGACTCAAGCGCTTCGACATCCACCTTCAGCAATTCCAGTTGCTCCTCCGCCTCTTTCAGCAGGCCGTGGATCTCAGCACCCAGCTCTAAACGAGCCTCATCGCCCTGCCCAACCGCAGCGGTGAAATTGCCTAGCCGAGAAACAAGTGGATGGATTCGACCAAGAGCTGCCGATAGCTCTTTCAAGCGCGAACGTAGTGCAGAAGTAGAAGACATCGTATGCGGTATGTTCGTAATGATCGCAGCCGATCAAGAGTGGGGGATAACGAAGCCGGCGTGAATTTCGGATCCGGAGGTGTCGATGATTCAAAACAGATCGCACATCGACATCCTAGGAAGATGCGGACGGTTTTGCAACAGTGTAGGAAATGAACGAGACAGCCGACATCAAATGAGAGGGATTCTGCCGATATGGTCGAGCTGGCCGCAACAGCAGCGTCATCGGGGCCCGTTCCGTTCCTGAGGCCAGCCAGGCCGCCGATCTGTTTGCATCTCTGTCAAACACACCCAATCCTTCTTCTCTTCCGCTCCCCGACAGGCGATTTTCCCGGGCGATAGTTACCAGGAGCGACAGCTTTTGCGCCAATTGCACCTCCTCCTTTGATTCCAGCCGGTTTGCAAAGCCTCGTGCCTTTAATTTTCATATCTCCTATTCAGCGTCTAAAGGCCTGGCCTATCGAGTTCACGAAGGTGAGTTGCATCCATCCTCTCCAAGCCGATCATTTGGCCTCTCCCTCCAACCACTCTACCATGAATCCTGAACTAACATTTACTTCAGAAACAAGATTCATAACTACCTAATCCATTTACACAAACCCCAAAAGTCCGCCCACCATGACGATCCCCGTCCAGACCATCGCCAGCCTCCAAACCACCTTCAACCCGTTCCGCGCCTCCTCTCGGCCCTGCAGGCTTTTACTCTCCCTGCTGCGCAACCCATCCACGACCCCGACGGGCAGCCCTACGCATGTCAACATCAAGGTGAACCAGCTGCCGCGTCTATCGACCCAGGAGCCCGAGATCCTGGTCGGATTCAAGGGCGGCAAGGAAGTCAAGATCGAGGTGGGGAAGCGGAAGATGAAGATTGGCGATGTGGTTGAGGAACTTGCGCGAGTGGGACGAGCCATTGAGAGAGAGGAAAGTTTGAAGGGTTGATTGGATTATGTTTCTGCGTTTTGCGTGGGTGCTGGCATGCCTCGACTGAGGCGGGCTCGATGGTTCGAGACGGGATGGATATCTCTATCCTATCGGTTGGATCCTGTTTCGGTGCTGAATTCTTGGGGATGTTGAGGTTGGTGGAGAAGACTGTTTACTATCTGTAGCATTACGATACCTTCATGTGTATATACTAACATAGCTGTTGAAAGATACTTTCATGTTTTCATATCTGTCTCTATGCTGTGTTCTTCAAGGGCATTTGTAGGTCTACACAAGCAACCAGCTTTAATTATATCTAGGCTTGCAATTGCATGTAGACCTAAATTACGATTCCTGCAGTGCGCGGCTACACTAAAAAAGAAGCTAAGTTCTCAAGTATTCTACTACATGGACGAGGAAAAATGTTGAAATGTGTTCACCCACAGGGCGAATTAGGAGAATTTGATTTTCTTTTTTATGATTTTCTCTGGGGGTTGATTTAGACGGCAGCACCAGAGATGAAGAACCACTTGTCAACGCTGCCATCGATAGGGGCAGGAGGCAAGTTCTCGCCCTGGGGAATGGCAGCGATCTGGCTGGGGTCAGCACGGTCAGCGGAGCCCTCAACGGTAGAGTTGGCCCTACACATTTTTTATTAGCATCCAGAATATTCGCAGGCAATGACAACGAGGGGTTCTTACAGGCTGATCTCGCCACGGGGAGCCTTGCCGGAGATGAGCTTCTCCCAGGCGTCGGCGCACTCGCGGACAACGTCCAGAGCGTACCTAGACAAAAACAGTCAGTTCTGGTTTACATGACACCACGCTTCGGATAATGAGCTTACTTCTTGTTCTTGCACTCGCCGGAGAAAGCGAACTGGTTCTCGGGCTTTCCGTCGGGGATTTTGTAGATACGGAACCACTCGTTGGTGGCACGGAGAAGGCCGGGGAGGTGGCGCTCGACATCCTCGATGTCGTGCAGCTTAGCGGCCAGAGGGTCGTTGACGTCGACGACAATGATCTTCCAGTCGGTCTCCTCCTCGTCGAGCAAGGCCATGACACCGAGGACCTTCACCTGCTTGACCTGACCGGGGTAGCCGACGAGCTCACCGATCTCGCAAACGTCGAGAGGGTCGTTGTCACCCTTGGCCTTGGTCTCGGGGTGGACGGTGTTGGGGTCTTCCCAGGTCTGGATGAATACAATCGGCATGGTGACACAAAAACCAACAGAAAGGACATGCGCGTGCTTCAACATACCTGGGGGAAGGCACCGTAGTTCCAGAGGTAACCCTTGTGGGGGAAGCAGTTACGGACGTAACGGAGCTTGCCCTTCTTGGTGTCCTGCTTGATGGGGTTGAGGAAGTCCTCCTTGGAGATCTTTGTGTGGAATATCAGGTCAGCATGTCGAGGTCTCGCCACGAGCCAAATCGGCGGTTGTATCAAATCGCAGTCGGACGGAGTCGTACCTCCTGCTTGGCGTTGGTCCAGCGAGGGATCTCAACGACCATGTTGAGGATGGTCTGCTGCTCATTGGCGTAGAGAGGGATGTCGTGGAAGGGAGAGACGGGCTTGCCATCGCGCTCGATGAAGACACGGTGCTCCAGGGTGTTGGCCTGGCCAATCTTGCGAACGGTGTAAGACATGTTGGATGAGGGTGGCGGGGCAGTAGAAAAATGTCTAGAAACAAGAGCAGCACGAGTTGACGCCGAATTAAGCGAGCGATCAACTCTAGGAAAGGAAGAAGAGGATGAAGAGGGAGACAAAACGGCAGAAGGAAGAGAGGAGGAAGAAGGAAGAGAAGGAGGGGAGAGAGAAGAGGAGGGAGGGGTGGCTTGTTTAGTGGGGGGAGCCAGCGTTGCGGATGTGCGCGAGAAGCGGGCGAGAATCGGAGAGGCGGTGGGCAGCAATCGGCTTAATGGAGCTCGTCTGGGCACCGGTGACGACCCCAGGGACATTTGAGTGTAAGACGGTACTCTGTAAGAAGTCAAGCACAAATTGATTGGCAGAGGCAATCAAAACCAATTGGTCACGCTCGAGAGATCTCGTCTTTGCTGGGCTTCAATGGATGGCCAAGTGTCTTTAAACTCCCGAGAGAAAAGGAGAAAGGGAATTTGTCGGGAGGAAAATCAGTCTCCCGGCATGTCCTTCCGAGGCTCCTGATTTCCGTCTGGCTTGCTTTCAGCCTTTTTTCTTTATTTTAACCTAGGAACTACTGATGCTCGGTCTACAACTCCTCTCGTGACTCCGGATAGGGTAGATCTCAATCCCTACCGTCATGGCCGAACAATGTCCATGAAGATTCGGATTGCCACCTTCGACCAAAAGCGACTCCAACTCCTTCCGCCAGGTTTTCACCTTCAATTTGGACTGGGCCTGTCCTACCTGGTCTTAGGCGCATTGTCAATCGTCCTCTTTGTGCTCTCTTTCGGTGAAATCTTCTGGACGAGCTCCACCGGTCTGACCCGTTCCACTCACATGAGCTGACGAATCGATGAGGTTCGGTAGTTTGCCATCCTTCCTTAGTCTCGGATGGTTGGATTAGACTTTTAACTTTGTAGTGGGAGTAAAGGTCCAATAACCAATTCCTGTAGATGCGGACAGCAGGCAAGTTGAAGGGCCAGTCTCTTCTCGTGCCACCATGGAGACTATCGAATACTCCGTAGAACTTCGTAGGACAGTTATACGGAGTAGACGGCACGTGCGCAACGAATGCCCCGAATTGCATCATTACGGTTCCCCAAGTCTCCAAGACTCGCTCTGCTCTAAATGGCCAGAAACTAGTCAGAACATCTCACCTAGGTACGGTTGTCTAGTTTACGGTGTTCTGAGAGTGTTGGAGTGTTGGAGTGTTGAAACAAAGAATCGAGTCTTGGCAGGAACGGCGTCACGCAGCCGTAACTTACGGGGATGTAATCTATTTTATATCTTCTTATCGGCTATCATCACGTGCACTCGACTTTTTCTCTCCGCCTCCATGACTAACAATTTAATTAATTTATCCCTAGTTATACCAGATCGTGGAGTATCTCCAAATAACCTCAGGACCGACAGATCGGAGTCTCGAACTAGACAAGTCCGTCTGATCCTTCAGGTCGTCTCTCTTATCACCTCCTCGCCAAGCTATGCTATGAACAGGTTCCTTCGCACCGCCATGACCTCGCTCACTGCACCACCCCGTGTGCCCATCCCCGCCAACGGGGTGGACTACCGTGGCAAGCTCGTTCTTGCGCCGATGGTTCGATCGGGAGAACTTCCCTCTCGCCTTCTCGCCCTCAGATACGGCGCCGACCTCGTCTGGGGCCCCGAAACGATTGACCGCGCCATGATCGGAACCACTCGTCGAGTCAACCCCCGCAACGGCACCATCGAGTTCTTCAGGCGGCCCTCCAACGGCGGCCGCCCTGACCGACCCATCTACGACTCCGTTATCTACCGCATCGATCCGGTCCGGGAGAAGGGCAAGCTCATCTATCAGATCGGCACCGCCTCGCCGGAGCTGGCCGTCGAAGCCGCCAAGATTGTCGCCGGCGACGTGGCCGGCATCGACGTGAACTCGGGATGTCCCAAGCCGTTCAGCACGAGTGGTGGAATGGGTGCTGCGTTGCTGCGCACGCCGGATAAGCTGTGCGCGATCCTCGAGGCGCTGGTCCGCGAGGTCGGAACCCCCTTTCAGATCAGCATCTCGGTGAAGATTCGCATCCTGGCGCAGCCCGAGGAGACGGAGCAGCTGGTGACAAGACTTGTCAAGACGGGCATCACGGGTCTGACGGTCCACTGTCGGACAACGCCCATGCGACCTCGGGAGAAGGCCATTCGAGAACAGCTGCGCATGGTCGCCAACGTGTGTCACGAGGCCGGCGTGGCGTGCGTCATGAACGGCGACGTGACCTCGCGCGAAGAGGGCCTCGCCCTGATGGAAGAATTCGGCGTGGATGGCGCAATGATCGCTACGGCCGCTGAAACCAATCCTTCCTGCTTCCAATCCGAAGCCGAAGGCGGTCTCCTCCCGTGGAGGGACGTCGTCCACGAATACGTGCGATTCTGCCTGGAATCCGAGAACCGCTTCGGCAACACCAAGTACCTGCTCAACATGATGATCCCTGGCAAGAACAAGGAGTTCAAGATGGCGAAGAACGCGCGGTCCTACTGGGATTGCTGCCACCTCCTGCAATTCGATGACCTCTTGCCTCTTGCCGAGCAGGTGGACCAGACACTCAACATCGCGGACCGATCCGTCTACAAGGAGGAGGCCCGCAACAAGGCCGTCCAGAACGCCCTCGAGAACAACGAAACTGCTCGTGCGGCCGGCGGTGCCCCTCGCTCCAAGCCCACCTCGCCCGTCGTCGCCGCTGCCGGAGGTCCCATCCGCACCAACTCCATCCCCAAGCCGACGGCAAAGCCCGAGACCATGGCGGGTGTTGAGGCCACTCCTGTGCCCGAGCAGACGACTCAGCAGCCCGAACTTGCGGCTTAACTTCTTGAGCCCATTTTGATATTCCCTTCGTATACATATTCGCTACTATGCAGGGAAACCAATTCCCCCGTTGCATTTCTTTCCATCAAATTCCTCACTCTTCTGGTCTCTTACGTCCAAAGCGCATTATCCTGGTGTTCAAATACCGGTTCGGTTTTTTTACTAGTTTGGAGGTTCTCATATATTCCCAGGGTGTTACTCAGTTTCTTTCCCCGCCTATACATACACACAAAGTCCGCTTAAGTTAATTTCAACCACATATGTCGATCAAATTCACGAAAATAGAGACAAAGAGTTATTTATCTAATTACCCCCAAAAAGAAAAAGAAAAAAAAGCCAAACTCCCGTGCAATCAACCCCGTTCATGTATAGTACAGTACTCCGTAGTATCTTTCCAGGCCAATAAAAAACGCTCGCTCGCGAGTCCCGGAACAATAAGAACGCAAGAGCCAGATCTTGTGCGATAATCTATTAAGATTTCCATCTTGTCGTGGAAAGGTAGTGTCTCTAGCTAAAAACCAGTCGGACTCCTTTTTCTAAAGAACAATGAACAACGGGGGAAAAACGAAAGAGGGAGAGAAGGAGGAATTGGAAATAAACAAGAACAGTTCCCAGTACACGGTATAACACCAAGTCCCCTCTTGCTCGGACAAAAAAAAAAGGTTCAGAAGAGACTCCGCTGAGGCAATGGAAGCTTCAACAGGATGGAATTTCCTGACAAAATCAAAGGCGTGTAGATATCCAACCCGCGGCGTTGTAGATGAATGACATCGATGTAAATGGGGATCATTGAACAGCTCCAAGACAATCAAACATGCGGTATGTTCATAGCAAGAGGGATAGTGGTTTTCAAGTGTGTTTATAAGAAAAGATCAGTCAATGACAGAAATATTAGATCATGTGTTTTTCTTGTCTTGGTTCATATCAGCGAGGACCATGTTTTCGACAACCTTCATGCCAGCCTCCTCAGTCTTCTTAGACTCGGCGCCATCTTCACCAGCAACTGCTTGGTCGAGGGCAAGCTTGGTCTGACCAAGGGAGTAGATTTGCTCTTCAATAGTATCCTTGGTCACTAGGCGAATGACCTCAACCTCCTGAGTCTGACCGACACGGTGGGCTCGGTTCTCGGCTTGCACGTCTTCCTGGGGATTGAAACTGGAGTCGAAGATAATAACTTTGTTAGCACACGCCAAGTTGATACCAGCGCCACCGGCTTTGGTGGAAAGAAGAAAGACCGGAATTTCTGTCCGTTCATGGAAAGCATCGATGATTGACTGGCGATCTTCAACATTTGTTCGTCCGTCAATTCTGACAAACTCTATTTGTTGGTGTTCAAGCACGTGTTCCAGGATATCCATGACCATGGTGAATTGGGAGAAGACCAAGGTGCGATCACCCTTCTCTTTGAATCGCGCAAGGAGTTCGCAAAGCTTATCAACCTTGCCCGAATCCATCCACTCGTCGTTCTTCAAAACGAACTTTCCTAAGGATTTAGGATAGGTGACGCACATGGTATGGCATTCGAAGTCGTTGTAAGCTTTAAGCTCGTCGAAGATGATGTCCGGGTTGGACATGGACCATTGCTCTTCCTTGAGACAGGCCTTGGACATTTTGCTCAGGGTGGTGTCATTATAATGACGTCGATAAAGAAGGGAATGGATGGCCGCTTGGCGCAACTTCATCAGAATGTTCGCAGACCGGTTGCCGGTCTTCTTGCCAGCTGCTCGGTCAGCCAAAAGCTGGCGGACCTCCTCCTGCTCGTGCTCGTAGATTTCTTTCTGGGAGGCATTGAGCTCGCAATACTCCACGTGAGATACCTTCGCCGGCAAATCAATGACTTGGTGCTTCTTCCGTCGCAGGACAAAAGGTTTGAGCATAGACTTGGCACGCTCGATGCGTTGAGCAGACAGAAGCGCAGAGTGCGAATCGTCGACAGTCTTCGCCTTGTTCGCAAAGATATATTGGAGTTCCTCCTTGCGCTCGTGGAAAACCTTTGGCAAGATAAAACCCAGCAAGGAGGCGAGTTCCTGAAGGTTGTTTTGGAGGGGTGTTCCCGTCAGGAGTAGCCTGAAGCGGGCCGGAATCCTGATCAACTTTTCATACAAAACAGACGTAGAACTCTTTAGCATGTGTCCTTCATCGTAGACGCAGACACTGAAATCCATATGCCGAAGGAAATGAGCATCGACCTTGCCCTTCGCGATGGTGTAGGTGGTGATGATAACATTAATTTCGTCCCTGTTATCTTCGATTGTCTCCCGAATCGCTGCCCGCTCGGCCTGACCAGCATAGTAGGGCATGACCTGGAGGGTGGGACAGAATTTCTGGAACTCTCTAAGCCAGTTTTCGATTGTTGATGAGGGCACCACGATCAGGTGAGGGCCCTTGATGCCCTTCTCAAAGAGGTGGGCTAAAAATGCGATAACCTGGCAAGTCTTTCCAAGTCCCATGTCATCCGCCAGAATACAACTAAGCTCCTTTTCGAAGAGCAGCGAGAGCCAGTTGATGCCGACGATCTGATAGTCTTTCATCTTCAGGTCTTCACACATGATTCCCGGTTGCGAGATGAAGCGCGTCTTGCGTGATCCGGAGGCAGGGCCATCGCTGTCTTCCTCAGAGCGCTGACTAGCGGGAGTTCCAATGCCGGAATCGTGGGAAGCCCCGGGGTCAATCGACACCAGCTCCAGTTCCCCATCGCGCTTGCCGAAGATATCCACGCCCCATTTCTTCATCTCGGTCGCAATCGGCTTTCCTAATGCTTCACACCGAGCGACCAGAGAGTCCACGGCGTCGTACCCCACCCACATATCCAAGCACTTGTCAACAATTTTGTCGCCAATCGGCTTGGGTGTCTTCCGTCCACGACTCCCTTTCGGTTTCGCGGCCTGGTTGGCTGTCGGCGCAGGAACCACGCGTACCTCGTCAAGAGACGCAAATGGTCGATGGGAGATGATGTGCTCGGCAATATCTTCGGTGATCGCGGCGATGTCTGCAAGGTCCAGCAACTGGCACTTGTTGAAGAAGTGCAACACCTTAGTTTCCAGCGGTCCTCCCTCCTCGGGAGCGTCCTCGACTGCAGAGTCGGAATCGTCGGAAATCTCCAAGGGCGCCTCCGGTGATTCGGAGCGCTCAGGAGAGACCCGTTTGCGACCCTGGATCAGTCGACCAGGCTTCTTCTTCGGCGGCGATTCCGAGCGGACCGGGCTTGGAGAAGTGGCCCGACTCTTCGGTCCTCTCATTAGGCGTCTTCGAGGTTGCAATTCCTCCTGGGAAGGTTCGGTTTTCTGGCTGTTCCGGTTTTGCAGGTTCATTGCAGCCCATTTGTCTTGAATCGTCCCACGGGCTTTGATCTGCTGCTTCACCGGGGCCGACGCGTGTTTATTCATACTCAACTCATCGTCCGACATACCATGCGCATCCACTTCTTCGCTATTGACCAAATGATCCAGCGCATCGTCGTAATTCCCGCGCTTGAAAACGAGGGCCTGCAAGCAAGCCTGCACAGACTTCTGCGGCATCACTTTCTGCATCCTTTCAACCTTGACTCTCATCTGGTAGTCTTCGATTTCTTGTAGCGATGCGATATTCGAGGACACGGGCTGCGCGCGGGAGGGGGCGTCCTGGCGAATTTTTTTAACCGGGATCCCCTTGGGCGCAAGGTCCATTTGAGCCGCAGGGCGTTTGGCGGTCGTAGGGTTGTACACTGCCGATGCCGTGATTTCTTTGAACCGATTCATGGAATCGTTGCCGTCTTCCGGAATTCGAGCAGATTTGGTAAATGTGGAGGGTTTGATGTCCGTATTCATCGCCATTTGAGCATCATCATCGGAGGAACCGCCTCGATACATCGGGACGTCGTCATCGAGGTCAATCACCGGCGCACGTTTGGCCGGACCTGCGGAGACAGGGGGACGAAATTGCGTACCGTTGGGCGCCATGACGCTCGAAAGGCGACCACCGACCGGGGTCGGTCGCGAGGGGGACGAAGTAGGGCCCAGAGGAGAGGAGGCAGCGACCTGGACGACGGAGTTGCTTTTCGCTGAATGAGGGGGCTCGATCAGTTGGGTGGGTTGCGTTAGTCGCTGAGAAGCCGGGGTCAATTGGGTGGTCGGGGGATGGTGGAGGTTTCCCAGTGGCACGGTGGCAACCGTCTCATATTCTGCGTCGGCGGGCGGAGGAGTGCTGTGAATGACCTTCTTGTCGCTCACAGGCGTATCGGGGACGGTGTCCTCCATCTTGAGGGTATGGAGGGAGAGGAAGGGGAAAAGTCAAAGTGAAAGAACACAGAGAGTGAGAGTGGGGAGAGCCCAGTCAGGGAGGACCTGCTCGGTTGACTGAGTGAAAGGCGTCCAACCTCTTCAGATCGGATTGGATTCTCCGCAAAAGAGAAAGAAAAAAAGAAAAAGGCGAAAAAGCAAAAACGCGCCCAGACGCGCAGCCCGTCACGTGGGTTGGCGCTTCAATTAAGACCAACGGGGAAAAGTGCCAGGGTTGGGGAGGAAAAGGGAAAGAAGTCTTGGTATTCTTTCTGATTGACAAGGAAATCAAGGAGGATATAGGAACCGTGCAAGAAGCGTTGTTCTAGAAAGCAGAAACCCGCGCCACCGACCGAACGAGAGGCTCTTCGTCGTGACCGTCCAAGCTCCGGGGCCAATGAGATCCGCGTCTTCGTATCTCCGGCCAGATGAATACATCAATCAATCAATCTACTTCCTGCCGAGAGACCTTTCACTCCGGTCGTCTTGAACACGGGCTGTTTCCAGCCTGTCGAAATCTTCTGGCCTGACTTTCACTGTCAGCTGTATTCTCTGTACTTTGTGTTATCGCAAGAGTTCCTCCAACTCCCCGAACTCCTCCGTCCTGGGTTCTTATTGACCACGGAGACCCCACGCATTCAACATGGCCAGTCGTCGCCCTCACTCCCAATCCCCAGCAGATGCTGTGCCCCCGTCAGCATCCGAGAAACCCTTGGACTCTGACGTTTCGCCCGCAGTCCCCACGTAGGTGCTACCCATCTCCTGCCTGATGCCACATGGCCACTGCCCAATGATCACGGATGAGAGGTGGATGGTCAAGCCGTGCAACCACGTCGAATGCGCATTCACCAACCCATGGAACTATCACCCTCGCGTATAACCTCGTCAATTGAATCTCCAAGACTGACTCGTCTTCTTTAGTCATGTGATCTTCAAACTGCTTGGGTTCACGGCAGCCATGATCTCCGCTCCCCTTGGCATGTATTTCGTGTCGGTATCGTTTGGTGGTGAGTAGTAGCATTGGGCTCCTCATCTTTACTACAAGGTCCTCGCTCTAACGTCTGCACAGCGAGTCCAACCATTTCCGGTGTCTTTGCAGCTATTACTGCAAATATCGTGCTCTTCGCCTACATCTTCGTCGCGTGGCAGGAGGATCAAGAAGAGCGGAACGCCTTGGCGAAGAAGAAGGAAAAGAAGGCCCAATAGGCTGGTTTCGGTCTTGTCGACCACATTCACTGGATTTCTGCTCCATACCTATGTCCTTTGTTGTTTGTACTCGTGGGAATTCGGGTTTTTGTTCTACGTTTTCAGTTGATTGGGCGTATTTAGGCTTATATGGCAAACCTGGTTGTGTACGGGATGAGGCATTTCCTAGATTATTGAACCAGATTATCGATCTTCTTTGTTGTTTGATCTTCCTTCACCTAGCAATCTCGAGTAACGCCGCAAATTGACAATCCAAGCATCCTTGCACGTCAGTACTTCAATTACGATTGCATAAACCTTAGAAGTATCAATCTATTGAATTTGACATAGTATATTTAGTCCATGTTGAATAGCTGCGCCTGGAAATGCACTAACGATATGTGTATCAAGCATGTAACATAATCCCAAGAAAAGAAAACCACACCCTAGGCACCAGCACGCAATCACGGCCGTCTCTTGACAAACTCCTCCAGATCAGCCTTCGTAGCCACGCCCAGCACGAACTTCCTCGAGGCGTCTGTCACAACGGCAAAGCCCTGCTTCTCCCTCTTCTCGCCGCTGGGGCCCGCCTCGCTCTCGAAGAACTGCTCCAGCTCCTCCAGCGGAGTCTCCATGGTGATCACCTGGTAGGTGCCCCGTTTGCGGTGGAAGCGCTGCATCGCGGCGGACACGGAATCCGATTCCTTCACGGCGCCCTCCTTCAGTAGCTCCCTCAACCGGGGGATGCTGAGGTATCCGATCAAAGATCGTTTTGCCGAGGAGATCACGGTGAGGTGGGTGTAGTCGCGCTCGTAGGCGGCCATCAGGGCGGAGGAGATCGGGTCGTTGGGGGAGACAGACAGGGCGAGAGGGGGGTCGAGGTCCTCGACGGTAGCCTGAAACCAGCGACGTTAGTATGGTGGGTTTGTGTCGGTTCCCAGCCCCGAAGGATCGTTGGGCCAGGATCGGAGAGACAGTTAGATTAGTAGGGCAGAACTGACTCCGCGGTACTTGTCGGCCCAGGAGGCTTGCGATGTAGATTTGTCGGCATTGGGGGAGAGCTTCTCGCGGGCAAAGGCCTCGCTGGCGGACTGGTAGGAAGCCATGATGATCGGTTAAGTCGTAGGAGAGGCGGGTGCGCGAGAGAGGAAATTGAGTCGGTGGCAGCAATGGCAATTGGAGATACAGAATATGTCGGGGTTCGGTATGTTAGACTCCGTCTCCGTCGAGAGAGAGGTATATCCAGACGGGTGGGAGAGGGAAGATTGAGGGGTGACCCAATGATAAATTTGAGGCGACCCACCTCGGGATGTCACGCTGCGACGTCATGGTCGCTGAGTCACGGGGTCCCCTCGCCTGCAACGAGGTATTTATTTACTTTGCGTGCTCCTTCACCGGTTGGCCCCTGATAGCAGGGTTTCATCGGGTCCTGTCAGAATTAAGGTCAGTGAGATTCTCAATCTCTTTTATCCTGCTCCTTTCCCTCTCCATTGATTGTTTCTCCATGTCCTTCCGGAATACCTACTCTTACTTACTATAAAAGTGGAGACGATCTTCGGTCGCTTCTAAAGATAGATAAGGAACCATCAGCATTACGCCCATCAATCTCGGACTCTGTTTACTCGGAACAAGATCGTCCTCATTGCGATTGAGTTGTATCAGCGGTCATCGCCATGCTACCCTCCGAGAGCGTCGTCGCGAGCGCCTTCTCTCACCACCCGCTGCGTCGGGCTGAAGAGCGTTCGGCTGCTCCGGCACCGAAACAAAGGAACCCTTTCCCCGCATGGAGCGTTATTGATGACCCCAAGAAATCGGCACAGTCGTTGGCAAAGGAAGCAACACGCGAGTTCAATGTCGCCAGTGAAAAGGTGCAAGCTAAGACAGGACATATCGAACCGTGGACTCCCAAATACTATGCGGCTTGTACTGTCGGTGGACTGCTTGCTTGCGTGAGTGATCCTAAAACATCATTCGGATCACGCTACTAACTGTCTATTCTGCAGGGCCTGACCCATACAGCAGTAACCCCGCTGGACTTGATCAAATGTCGGCGACAAGTGGACCCGCTGCTTTACAAGAGTAACGGGGAGGCATTCCGCAAGATCCGTGGTGCCGAAGGCTTGAGAGGCGTCTTCACTGGCTGGAGTCCTACCTTCTTCGGATACAGCGTAAGCTGAGGGGATCAGAGTGTTGACAGATATTCCCATCACTGATTTACTTTTCAAGGCGCAAGGAGCGTTCAAATACGGTGGTTACGAGTACTTCAAGAAGTTCTACAGCGACTTGGTCGGTGCCGAAAATGCCAATCGCTGGAAGACCTCCGTGTACCTGGCAGCTAGTGCCTCGGCTGAGCTCATCGCAGATGTGGCTCTCTGTCCTTTCGAAGCCGTCAAGGTGCGCACGCAGACCACGATCCCGCCGGAATTCAGGTCAACCTTTGGCGGAATCTCCAACATTGTCTCGAAGGAGGGCGTGGCAGGGTAAGTATGCTCCGGTCTGATACGGCTCCATGACACTGATTGGGACTAGCCTCTACAAGGGTCTGTATCCTCTCTGGGGTCGTCAGATTCCTTACACGATGATGAAGTTCGCTTCTTTCGAAACCATTGTGGAGATGATCTACCATTACCTGCCCGGTCAGAAATCCGACTACAACAAGGGTGCCCAGACAGGTGTTGCTTTCACTGGTGGTTATTTGGCCGGTATTCTCTGTGCCATTGTGTCCCACCCTGCCGACGTGATGGTGAGTAAATTGAATGCCAACCGTCAGGCGGGCGAGGCTTTCGGTGCAGCCACCAGCCGGATCTACAAGGACATTGGGTTCAAGGGCCTGTGGAACGGTCTTCCTGTCCGAATTGTCATGATCGGAACTTTGGTGAGTTTTTCTAGCTCGTTATGGGACTGTGCTTTTGCTAATCATTGGACATTGTGACAGACCGGACTGCAATGGATGATGTATGTGTCGCCTCTGCTCTGGTTCGATTCCTTTGCGAAATCATGGGTGCTAACGGATGCTAGATACGATTCATTCAAGATCTTCATGGGCCTTCCGACCACCGGTGGAGGTCCTGCTCCTGAAAAGAAGTAGTTGTGGTAAGAATGTTGAATGTCGTGGTCGGTCAGAAGGGTTCGCGACGGATATATTGTCGTTGTAGCGCTGTAGGGTCGTAGTATGGACATCTGAACAAAGTAGACTGGCCAAAGGCACGATGGGGTTTCAATGATGAATGATATGACACTCTCCTCTCTTCTATTCATTCCTCATCCCTACTATCCCTAAGATAACCAAATGCCATGACTGACGAGATCCTCGCCAAGAATTGGTTATCAGCAACCCTCGTTAGTCATGGGCGGGACCAATCACCCGCCGAGCCTTATCTTATCATCAAAGGAACCCGACGTCATTCGTCTTCCCATTTTCTTGTCGCATCGCCTCCAACGGGGGTTCGTCCCTGCGATCACCTGAGGCTGATCTAGTCTCGTCTGGCCGTCTGACTCTGGGGGACAGAGTACTGGGTTTAATATAAATCCGGCTCTTTCCTTTGATGCCCGAAGGGCTGCATCTTACGATCTTCGTCTCCATACACCACTAAACAGGCACCTAACATCTGCGATCCATTCATTTCAGGTACGCGAGCAGTCTGCTTATGCCATGGATCGCTTTCATTGTCTCCTGTGTTCTCTTATATGACTGTGCCACGAGCCGGCTCTTTATCTTTTCCCTTTCTTTGTCGCATACTGACTCCGACCCAGACCCCCACCAGCGTACAGCCCCACGATTCATCATGGGCGAACATGAACCTGTCGTATCCCATGGCCGAGGAGGTGCGCGAATTCCTTGAATTTATCTATCCCGGAACCTTATGCTGATATATCACCTCCCCAGGCCAAGGAAATATCGGCGCCGACTCTACTCCGTACACCCCCTCCCTTCATTTCCTGTCGTTTCCATTGGAACATTCTCCCATATTTCTAACCTCCCACTAGCTACGTCGATGGCGGTATAGTCCGTGAAGGAGTCTACGGGGACCAGGGTGATGGCGCCTATTCTGCCGGTGTAAGTATTAAAGTCCCGTTCGGACCGCGCAAAACCATACCTTCGCATCCCACGTCCGTCCTCGATTCATTCCGCTTCCCATAGCCCATATATCACAAGTATCCCATCTAACAGATATCTAGCGAGGCGGTGCGGGCAACATCGGCTCTCCACACGTCCGTCCGATGGGCAAATCACCCCACGACGCGGAAGTGGTTCCCGAGCTCGCAATCCGCAATTCCGGCGAGGGAGATTACCACGTTGGGGTATGTGATTCCTCCTTTCCACTCATCCAGTTCAAGACCTATTGTTCCGTTCGTCTGTCCGGTATCCATATCTAACATGAGCATGACCAAATCCAGCGCGGCGGCCAAGGCAACGTGCACCTCGACGAAGAGCACAAGAAAGAGAAAGAGGAGAAGAAACATCAGAAGTCGCTGGCTCATGAGGGCTTGGCTGATAAACTGAAACATAAATTGCTGGGGAGGAAGTGAACTTGACCCTGCCTACCGTGTCTGGGTCTAGATATTGTTAGGTTTGTTTATCCCCGTTCAACTGCCACTCTGCCTCTCTGTATTTGCCTACCCACTTGACGCGTTGAATTGCCTTTGATGTATCTATGTATGTATTTGTGCCTGTATCTGTTGTGCCTGTGTCTGTTATCCTGTTCTTGTGATTCCCATTGTCAGTTCATTGGTCCCAATGCCTGCTTCTTGTCTAATAGTGATTATTACCTTGTAAATGCCCGGTAAATCTACAATATGTTAGTGATCAGACCAGCTAAATTTATTATCCCATGTAACACAAACTCGACAAGATGAAGATCATCGCTCCCTATAATCTCTATTCGCATTCTATCACAGATCGACAGTGAGCTGCCAACTGACTAGTTAGATCATCTACATTGCAATTATGACTTATCACATCTTGCAGTTCCATGCCCCCATTTCATGATCAAAGAGTTATTTTCAATTTGAAAATTAATCCTAAATATATCACTGGAAAGGCAAATAGAAAGAAGAAAAAACCAATAAACCCACCCACCCATATTACTAGACATGATCAAGAATGAGGTTTATGAAAACGAAGAAGAAACAAGATAAAGTAGATAGATTCCATCGTGCATCCCATGTAAGTATCGTGGTCTCGTCAACAGAAAATCAGACAGAGAACAATAAACATAAAAAAGCTAATAAATAAAAGATAATCATGGCAAGCTGAACGCAAATATTATTCCCAGGTTATCCCGTCCCGAAGTTCCCGTTTGCTGTACTCGAGAAAATGAAAGAAAGAAAACAAGAAACGCCAGGTCAATTATTACATGGGTAGAAAGATAAAAAGGGGTGGGGAAGAGGACAATGACCACGCATCGGGGGAGAGAAAGAGAGAGATGGAGAAAGGTGACAGGAAGGAGGGGTAAAGGTAGAAAAAGGAGGTGTGGAGAAGATCGACTAATTGTTCTTGCTAAAGCGTCGCTTGAACCAGCTCTTTCGTTTTGTGTTTGTATCGCTGACGTCCGAAGCATTGGTCGCTTTGCGCAGATGGCGACGAGTGGGTGCGTCAGTCGCAGCTGGTGGTCCACCAACAAGCCCGCCCACTGGGCCGCCAGCTGTCGGATCGGTGGCTGGGAGATCTTTGCTCAGGTTGATCCTTCCGGGCCCCGGTCCAGCCGCCCCGGACATTGCCTGATGACCATCCAGGTTGGGCCCCGGGCCAAATCCCTGGAATCCGTAGTTCTCTGCCATCGCCCTCTCTTCCATCCGTTGGATCTGTTGTTGCTGCTGAAGCTGGTCGATAGAACTGTTCACGGAGCTGGGATCAGTCGAATTGCCCAATTGGTCGGTGTTGCTGCCTGAGCCTGACGCCGCCGTTACGTTCTCGTAGGATTTGTGGTAGCCGTTCTGGGGGTGCCCGTTCGGAGCATATCCGTTCTGACCATGATTTTGCCCGTACATTGCGTGCTCGGAATTCATGCGAGGATGGCGTCGCGGTCTCCTGCCACTGCCACCCTGATTATAGGGATAATAGTTCTCCGGAGGGGGCCCGTCGCCATAATTGTCGACGAAACTATCCGGTCGCGAGTACGTCCCTCGGCCATTATAGTATGCGCTTTGGTCGCTATAGCCCCGATTGAGATGTCCACTGGGTGCTGCACATTATCAGGTTCGTCAGCGATACGACTTTAAAGCCAGAGCAGGAACCAGGATCAAGAATGGGATGAAGTACCTCCAAAATAGCTGCTGCGTCTACTGGTATAATCGGGTCCGGGTGTCGGTCCAGGTGTCGGTCCAGGTGTCGGCTCAGAGTCTGAGACAATTATCAGCAATGGAAATGAGGCAGCCGAAGGGCTTGTGTCTCACCTGTTTTCGCGTACGAAACCGGTCGACTATTGTAGGTGCCGTATATTGCGGCCTCGAAGGACCGAATGGTGTCCAACGGGCGCTCAAAACGAGGACGGGTTGGGTTGGAAAGATCGGGTTCGGCTAGATTCAGGAGAAAAGGGGGAGAAAGTCAGTATCGAACTCAGTTACCAAAGATCCCAACCGATCTCAAATAGGGGGAAGGGGGGGGGGAAGGCGCCAACGAACTTATTGGATTCCCGAATTGATCTTTGTGCTCCATGTCCCTCAACGAGCCTAGGTTCGATTTCTCCAGAGCAACCGTCACTAAATGAGATCTGTCAGTCGGATCATGGGTGCAAATCGGTCGGAAATTTTTAACAATGCGGTGGGGGTTGGACAGGCGATAGCTGGATTTAAAAAGCGAAAGAAAAGGAGAGAGCGCGACTGCCAAAAATGTGTGGAGCAGGGTAGAAAAGGGTACATACTGGGTTGCGCTTCGCTCATAGCAACCATCGGGTCGGCTTTGGTATGTAGATTTCGTTTGGCCTTCTCCTCGGCAGATTCGGTGCGATGATGGGTTTTATTCTTGCCAGAGTTGCTGGAATGATGGGAGTTCTCCGACCTCAGACTGAAACCTCGACTGCGCCTAGGAGACGCGACCGGTTGGGGGGCCGCCATTTTTTATTATCACCCCGTTGTTTTTAGCGCCTGATAAAACGGGTTTCCTTGGAATCCTTGCGATCTGCTAGAACTATGGCGGCCGTTGTGGAGCGCAACCACGATGGGGTGGAAACTGCCAAGGAATGTATGATGGTGCACACTGATTGATCGAGTATCAGGCGCTTCGAGACATTCACTTTCACGACTCTGCAGCGCTCGAAACTTTGAGTGTCAAGTGGGGTTGAATGGGCTCCGTTGCCTGAAACTGGCTCGCACGTGTAATTTGATTGATCTAACTAGAGAGAATACTGAAACCGATGCTGAAATTCGAGTCAAGTCGATGAGCTGATCTTGGTGAGTTTTGGTTTTACATAAGTCGTCCAAACAATCGGAAGATGCAATGACAAGAACGAGGGTTGCCACCGCAAAACGAGAGCGACGATGAGGTGGTCGTGGTCGGACCACAACTAGCTGCGAATGAACCCTGCAGCAGGCAGGGAAAAAGCGATGGTTGGAGGGGTAGGAAGCCAGTGGCAATAAGCAAATTCAGTAGTGTAGTAGTAATACAACTTAAGAGAGCTGAAAGAGAAAGCAAGTTCAGCAAAAAAGTTGTCGCTGTCCAAACGAAGGTGAGATGAGGAGGTAGAGGAAGAGGAAGAAGAAAGAAAAACCACACAGTCTTGAGAGGAGGACAAGAGAGGCTTTTTGACTAAAAGAGGACCATGGTGTTGACGACAGGCGCCACGCAATGGGAGGGGACCGACAGTCGATGAACAATTGGAACACCTCCTATCAGCTTTGGGTCGGACGGCGGCGTAAGAGCCGAAGCCACCGGACTAGAAGTCAATCGGGTTCTTTTTGTTTGTTCTGGAAATAACTTCGCCAGTTTTCTTAGAGAACCGGGATAATCGACAGCTGGGAGATCAGATCAAGAGGATGATGATATCTATCAATTGGTGTCTCTCTACCTACCCCAGAAGTCTCGTGGACTCTGCTTCCTCCGGGGGAAGCAATCATATCCACCTTTGCATCTGTCATTGACTCGTGCTCGTTTGTTCCAAAACGACCAAAAATTGAAAATAAGATAAGAAAAAAAGAAAATAATAAAATTAAAAATTAAAAAAAGCGTGCATGCGCAGCTGACGGTACCGATTACAGAACGCAGGACCCGGAAATAGAATAGATTACGCCACTAGCCCAAGCTAAGAAAGCAGCCAGGCCCGATCAAGACAAGCGGCGGCGATAAAATACCGCGGCTGGCCAGACTTTCGTCGACGTTACGCAACTTCCCCTCAGTGGCAGAGCGAGCCAATCGATCACGAGGGTCTCCCATGGTTTGGCCTGCGCCGGTTACTCAGGCACGGGTGACTTCTGCGCTGTTGCCTTCTTGCCTTCCTCTCTTGCTCTCTTGCTCGTCTCGGTTTTCACCACTCAGCGGTTCTAGTCTAGTCTCGTCTAGCCTGCGCACTTCTGCTGCTCCTCCCATGGACGTGCCCAAGACATGTCCTTCCTTAGTCGGACCGCTAAAAGGTCAACTAACCCGGCGCTTGGCTCATCCGTCTTCTTCCCATTGGCTATGTGGCAGTTGGAATGAAACAGGATTTGTCTGTCGTCCAAAATTTTCAGATGGATGAGTGGCTCGCGGCCAATCCATTATACAAGCACAAGCCGTTGCACAACAATCTCTGCTGCAGGAGTCCAAGGTAGGCTTGCATCGTTGCAGTCCAACCGGATTCTAACCTGGTCTGATGAAACTGGTGACGAGCTGTATGCATCACGTATCATTAAACTGAACCAGCCACTCAAATTTCCGCCTAACTTCATTTGCTGCAGTCGGTGTCGGCGATCGCCTACACCGTAGCAAGAGTTAGTGGAGGCCGCGGGATCTCATTCATCGTATTCGCAAAGCAGCCAGGTGGCTCTACTCTGTTTTTTCTGAGCACACGTTGCTCATTTTGTGGCCAATTGACGTGCGAACGACGGAGTTGATCAGCTTGACCACGTCGAAACCGCTAGTCGATCAAGTCGGCGGCTGGCTGTTGGAGGATCCGTGACGATCAGCAAGGTATCTCGGTGGGTCATCGCGGTGGGGGATGGCGCCTACTTTAATCCCTATTAACTCGGGGTAAACAATGCAAGGAGTCCCCTTTCCAGAATCTTTTGTGCCCCCTGCTTCTGATTGCGGGGTGTCGTCCGATCCGGATGGCTTTTCTGATCTCATTCTGCTTTCGATTGAAATAAATTTCTTAGTTCTGGTGCATATTCGGGCCCTAGGGTGTTGGTCTAGAATAGGGCTGCAATTAATAGTTCATGCGTATTTTGGACTGAACAATCACATTCAAAATTTCATAATGACAATGCTGACATTCGGCTCGAGGATTTTTATCAAAGCATACTATCTCAAGACCCAGGTGAAATAATGATAGTCAACCCTTTCAATACAATCGCACCACTCTTCTTTGTGGTGTTTGTCTAAGCTGCCTGGACACGCAGCGTCAGGTTCTGGATCCAGGGATACTTGACAAACGAGCCTCAGTTTCTCTGGTTATACCTCGCCTATCGCTATGAGAAGTGTATTCTGCGACTATCTATATTTAGTTTCCTATAACTTAACCTTAACCCTACATCAACGTAAAATGAAGGCAAAGCTAGATCTTCCCCATTCGAGGTATTTGTCAATCATCACACCTGAGATTATGACCGTGCCTGGCATGGGTAAAACTCAAACCCGCGCCTCTTCTCCGCCTAATTTCATGAACCGAGACCCATCCCGATAATCTGAGATATACCGACTTGTGTCCTTTCCCCGGCCTTCATAAAGGAATGCTTCTCAAAGGCACATGTATACCAATGCAAGGTGCGTGCCATTATATATTTGCAACTGAACAACGTTTGACAAATAACGTATGTCACTACCGAGCGGCGCACCTGTGTATCCCATACTAATCCAGCGTTTTTCGACCTCTAATATCTTAACTAAACTTTGTCTAATCTGCTTTATATTTGTAAATTAATATATTGGGATAAAGTAAATTTAAATATTAAAATTATATAGGACATACTTCTCTATATCTTCTAGTAATATATATTACATTGTATTTTACTGTATTTTATCTTAACCTAGTATAACAGATCACATACTGGTCTATATATAACCATGTTAGAAATGGATATTCAAGAAGTATATATATAGCTGTTATCAACATATCATTACAATGGGGCCAATGGTGGTCGAGATATTGAAGATCGAAAAACGCTTGATTAGTATGGGATACACAGGTGCGCCGCTCGGTAGTGAAATACGTTACCGAATATTGATTATATAAGTCGAAGTCACGTTGGCTTAATCAGTTCAGCGCTCTCGACCTTAATTTGCCAATATGAGCTCTTCCCTCAAATTAGTAGTGCTATATGCTCAATGTACGAAATAGGCAGCTGTCCCTTGCCCAGAGGTCTAGAGAGCACATTGTTTGTTTCCCTTGAGCGGATTCACGCAATGAAGCAGATTCTGGATTGTGGAATTTGTAAGAGCAGAATATGCTCTGGAGGGAAACGGATTATGTTATATAGATGGACCATGCAGCTGAACAACACGAGCTTAAAACTAGGTATTTCAGGTATCATTATCATATTGACAGTATCGTATCAACTTCTAGCCAGAACAAAAAGCTCAGCTGGCTGATGGTCAGTCCTTGCCGTAAATGATATGTCAACACAATTCACACAATACAATTTACCTGAGTCATAGGAGGCCCAGGCTGGGTATAGCTGAGAACTTGGCTTCTTCCAAGATCGAATAGAAAGCTAGCTCCGCGCTTACGAACTATGAAATCTGGAGCATCTGTTGGAACTAAGCTGGTCGAGTTCTCAAGTCATGTTGATGCCGACGATCAAAACCGAGCCAGAACGACATATACTCAAGCTGCCTACAACCTCAGTTTCAAGCCCAGGAATGAGATGCTTCAAACACCGGTTTTAGATATTCCTAAACAGACGCCTGAAGAAAGGTGTATCTGGTAGCATATGATAACCGTAAAATAGCCGAGAACCGAATGTCGCATATGGAATGACTCAGTATAGAGTGGGCTTGATACAACTGGTTGAAGTCTCACTCAAAGGGCGAGCGCGATGCCGAGATCCCAGGCGCCACTTATCAATCGATGCCAATTATTCTGGTAAATCCTGTACGGTAGCACGAAAACCCGAACTTTGTTGAAATGGTATTCATTGGTGTTTTGATCATCAGTACAGATAGGAGAAGCCACGTTGTCAGACAAGACATATGATGCTCGCCAGTACCAAAACAGGTCAAGCCTTTCTAAATGCCTAGTAACCGACAAGAATAACCATGCTGTAAAGAAGACAAGAGTTCTTTTATTTTAATTCGTAGGGCTGGATGGCCCTGCCTCTCCCACGAACATTATCATCAACCCGCCAACTCCATCTCAACATCGGCTCATACCGTCGACTCCTTGCCCGACTGTCTGCGCGAAGATTCCGGAGTGCCAACTAACACATGAAAAGAAATTCGACTCGTTTAGATGTTGGAGGGGTAGAGCATGACGCGGACAGTAGCACCGAAGGACTTGGGGGGGAGGTTGTGGCGGAACTGAGCGCGGACGACACCGGAGTTTCCTGTTGCAAAGGGAATCACTTGTCAGCCTTCTCTCCGACCTCGATTCTTATTCTCGCCATCGACGATCGCATCTGTTTCGCTGGGTGTGTCGAAATCACGTACCGTGAGAGCGGGTGACCTTGCCCCAGATCACCCGGATGTTGGAACCCCGAACCTCACGCTTGGCCCGGTAGACGAAAGCGACCTTCTTGCCCAAGTAGAAGCTGCGAAAAAAAAAACAGTCTTAGTAACCTCGTCCATCTCCAACACGGCTTTCCAGATGGTACTCACTTGGCGGCCTCGGTGTTGTCAACACCGTCGATCTGGATCAGACTGTACCAATTGTCAGAATCCCTGTCCCGTTTTCATCCTGATATCACATGTAGATCCGTACCTGGTGTTGGGGTTGACCGCGCGCTTGGAGCGCTGGTAGCTCAGGTGACGACCCCTAGAACAAACGATTCGTATTAACCCTTCTGCTCTGATGAAATGTCGCAGCTCGATCCATGTCCCGATCCCTCATTGAATTCGAATTCGATCATTTTCGGACGTGCGCGACACGACGGTGTAGACAATCAAAACTTACTTGACATAGACTGTAAGAGAGAATGACTGTTAGCCTGAACGTTCTTTGTGGGTGTGTAAAAAAATCCCAATCGATATTCGCGACCGTCCCCGGATCTCTTCATCTCCAACCGCCGAGATCCCCATCGCGCTCCTAGGATATCGAATGGAACCACGCAAAAGAAGTTACTCACGTCTGTGACCTTGTTCCGAAGGCATTCTGACGGCGATTCTCTGAGCAACAGCGGGCAACGCAAACAAGTCGAAGGAAGGCAGATATGACCCGCAAAAAGTCGTCCGGGTTGTCGTGGTTGTCGTCGCTTCGATAGGTATCAGTCGACGCACACACAAGGCTTACAATTTGCGAGAGTGTGTTCGGTGCACTAACCTAAACGGGACGCTTAGCGATCAGGGCTAAGCGAAGTCCCGTGATGAGTGATGGAGACTTCCAGGAGCAGGGGACCGAACGCGCACTATTCCACATTGGGAGATATTCTCGGAAGAACTACAATCTCCGGAATCCGAGATAAATGGAAGTTCCGAAGTTGAGAAAATCGTTCAGATCCCAAGACCGACCGACCGCCAACCTCCAACCCCACCATCGTCGCTATTTTGCCGTCGGGCTACTGTAGTCCGAGAGCGGTTCGCCGGTTCCTGCAACGGATGGGGGAACGTTCTGTCTAGAGCGTCTTTAGCTGACAAAACTTGCTGATTCATCCCTCCATGACGACAAAGGGCTCCATCATAGTGCATCGTGATGATACTTGTCACACTGGGGGATTTTTTTTTGGTCTTTTCCTTTGGGCCCTCAATGACTGCCAGGTGGGTGAGATCAGCCAATTCGGGGCGCTTGACCGACGTACACTGAGTAACCGCGTATCTTCATCATGAGGCGTTAGATAATATGCCGAGGAGTATAGTCCTACTGCCATGGGTGTCCTGCGTACGGAGTATATAACCCAAAAGATGAGAGTCCCTTGGATGCTATCATACCGGGAGCACATATTTGGAAATACAGCGAGTTCCCCGCCCCACCCTCTAGGATATCGGCAACCAACTTGACATGGCGCATAGCACGCAATAGTGCTTGAAGCTCCAGGGAAATCCCATTGGAATGACCCTGAACCTTTAGATCAAGGGAAAAGAAGGAGGGGACAAGCAGAATTTAGTCAACGAAGCAAAAGAGGAAAAAGTACTAAAATCTAATCCCGAAGGTCCTGGTCAAATTCGAATGTCTTGTTGATATTCCTCACATTATCCAGAACCAGGAAACCCCTTCCTCGGGATGTAATCACTAACTCCGGACTGCACTGGGCCGAAAGATTCGGTCTGAAGCTACGGACTATATTTTTTTTTATTTCATTTTTCATTTTTTTTTCTTTTTCTTGTTTTAGACCTCCGGGAAAATAGAATCCGTATCGTTCTTTCCAGATGACAAATCCGCCGATCCATCTCTCCACGAGTAGGGTCACCGGGAGGCGCTTCAGGAGGCACAGTAATCTTCGCTGCAGCTTCTGGCGCGATCTCTGCAACAGTCTCATGCGTGGAGACCGTCCGAAGTCGCTGTTGTGTACCGCTCCGGTATAGATACATCCGACGGCAAGCGAACGCAAGCCGTCGCAAGGTTTCATGGATGTACATACTTCACAGTACAAATGCATCAAAACAAATGTCGATCATTTGATCCCCTTGAAAATTAATCTGTCGGTCCTTTACAATGAACGGCAGCAAGTGGCCGGCTTCTCCGGGCTAAACTGTGATGCTTCGTAGCTCCACCCTTCAAGCACTGATATTATCTCATTGAACGAGGTAACATTGACATAAACTGCCCGCACGCCGCGGATTCGCTGGGAATCCACGATAAGAAGCCATAAGCGCCGTTAATTTGTCCTTCCCCTTGTCACGCGGACCAACTTGAGTCAGATCATCGTTGGGAAGGCGTCGAGTTGCTGGGTTTAGCGCACGCGGGGTCGGCCATTCCAAAACGTGCCTTGAAGGGGACATCCACTCGATGGACGGTTCTCGGTGGAGCGCGCTGGGATGAAATTTCCAGCGTCGGTGGTTCGGATAATATCAGTAATAATAGTTACTAGTTAGTCTCCTCTCACCCAGACATTAATCAGTCAGGAGGTACGACGTAATTAATGATTAGTTAGGTACTTATTGAATATTATTAAGATACGTGAGGGGAAGGGACTCGGAGTTACAGGGTATGATGACGAGAGAAATCCCATGCATTCTTTTAGTCATTGATGTATAGAATTGAGCTGTTTTCCCTTGCAGTAGAGGTTGGTTGAGCTATGATATAATAATGTGAGACGTTTCCACGATAGGAGATAACTTAATATCCGGTGAAGAACCAGTCCCTCCGGAGAACGGATGGAAAGAGACCTAAAGACAGCGGAAAAAAAAGGGCCAAAAGAGAAATCATATAGGAGGATCCCATGACCTTTGATTCAAACATCCAAAGCTATTTTATTATAAATCTTCAGTTAAATGGCAAGTACCGTGAAAAGAACAGGAAAATGAGGAAAAAGAAAAAGAAAAGAAATCATCCACCGGAATTAATTAGATAAAAAAGAGTCGAATCATCTCGGACGGGGTCTGGCGGCAGCATCGACGTAGTGGAAAGAAAAGCTGCCCCACCACGCGCTGGTAAGGAAAGTGCTTCGCCCAGCTCCCTCACGGCATTAAAACGTACCCTGCTCCGCCGGAACTGTTAGCCATTTTCCCAACTATTCTCTCCTCTCTCTCTTGCTCTCTCACTCTTTCCCTCCTCCTCTTTCCCTCGTCTTTCATCATTACCATTGTTCCATTAACCTTATCCACAACCATGGCTAGCACGATAGCGAACACTGAGGAACACCACAACGCTGGGTGAGTGCGAACACTGCCGTTGCCCTCTCTGACATCACACCCCCCCTCCTCCGGTTCTCTGTCGCCCGCTTCTTGCTCTTTGTCCACTTCGTGCGGGATTGTCGGCCAGCACCCCTTTGCAAAACATCCCTACTTCATATTTTTGCATCTATTTCATATTTTTGCATTGAAATCACCCTGTTTTTAAATTGGTCATCATACACCAATTGGACTGCGCGCTCAGCATTTACCCCTCTTTTGGTTGCCCATTCATTTCGCCGCATGCAGATTTTGTGATCGACAGCCAGCAAACTACCCTGCTTCACCAGTCCCTGCTCGATTCGCTGCTAACATGGATGTCCATCTTAGCACCATTGAACTCAAAGATGACACCGTCATTGTGGTACTAGGTGCCTCGGGAGATTTGGCAAAGAAGAAGACGGTAGGTTTATCCCGAGTTGAATCTGATGCGAGAAAAAATAACGTGGATGAGAAACTGACAAACTCGATAGTTCCCTGCCCTTTTTGGCCTTGTATGTTCCTACTGAAGCCTCTAGAACCGGGATATACCATGATCCCACCCCCACCCGGGATGAACTCATATTGACCATCCAAACAGTTTCGCAACAAATTCCTCCCCAAGGGTATCAAGATCGTTGGATATGCCCGGACGAGCATGGACCACGAGGAATACCTGAAGCGTGTGCGATCATACATTAAGACCCCCACGAAGGAGATCGAGGAGCAGCTGGACAGCTTCTGCAAGCTCTGCACCTACGTCTCTGGGCAATATGACAAGGACGAATCTTTCCAGAACCTTACGAAGCACCTTGAGGATGTCGAGAAGGGACAGAAAGAACAGAACCGAGTCTTCTACATGGCTCTGCCCCCTAGCGTCTTCATCACCGTTTCCGATCAACTGAAGCGAAACTGCTACCCCAAGAACGGCATTGCCCGCATTATCGTAAGTGGCTTCATTGCTGAATTCTGGGACGGACACTTGCTCATGCGCACCTCGTATTATCTTACAGGTTGAGAAGCCCTTCGGCAAGGACCTTCAGAGCTCTCGCGACCTCCAGAAAGCCCTCGACCCCAACTGGAAGGAAGAGGAGATCTTCCGTATCGACCACTACCTTGGTAAGGAGATGGTCAAGAACATTCTCATCATGCGTTTCGGCAACGAATTCTTCAACGCCACCTGGAACCGCCACCACATCGACAATGTACAGGTACGATATCATCATCTCCATCCGAATTCGACCAGATCATTCTCTAACATGCGCTTCTTCCGAATATAGATCACCTTCAAGGAACCCTTCGGCACCGAGGGCCGTGGCGGTTACTTCGATGAATTCGGCATCATCCGTGACGTCATGCAGAACCGTATGTTATCGGCTCCTGATCCTCCATCGGAGTCGCGTGGCTGATGTGTTTATTATCACAGATCTTTTGCAGGTTCTTACCTTGCTTGCGATGGAGCGCCCCATCTCTTTCTCCGCCGAGGACATTCGTGATGAGAAGGTGAGGATTTCGGTGCCTAGAATGACGGAGAAAATGAATATTAACATAACCAGGTCCGTGTCCTGCGTGCGATGGGCGCCATTGAGCCCAAGAACGTCATCATCGGCCAGTACGGAAAGTCCTTGGATGGTAGCAAGCCCGCCTACAAGGAGGACGAGACTGTCCCCCAGGACTCTCGCTGCCCCACCTTCTGCGCCATGGTTGCCTACATCAAGAACGAGCGTTGGGACGGCGTGCCTTTCATCATGAAGGCTGGTAAAGGTATGTTCTTGCAAGTGTCGGAGTTAGCGCCCAACATACTGATTCATTCTATCCAGCCCTGAACGAACAGAAGACCGAGATTCGCATTCAGTTCAAGGATGTCACCTCCGGAATCTTCAAGGACATTCCTCGCAACGAGCTCGTCATCCGTGTCCAGCCCAACGAGTCGGTTTACATCAAGATGAACTCGAAGTTGCCTGGTCTGTCCATGCAGACCGTGGTGACCGAGCTTGATCTCACCTACCGCCGTCGCTTCTCCGACCTGAAGATCCCCGAGGCCTACGAGTCGCTTATCCTGGACGCTCTGAAGGGCGATCACTCGAACTTCGTCCGTGACGATGAACTCGACGCCAGCTGGAGAATGTTCACCCCTCTCTTGCACTACCTCGACGACAACAAGGAGATCATCCCTATGGAATACCCTTACGGTACGTTTTGCAACTATAGAGACAAGCCTCGCATGCTGGCAGTGTTTTGTTGACTGATGATTTGTACAGGTTCGCGCGGCCCTGCCGTCCTTGACGACTTCACGGCATCATTTGGCTACAAGTTCAGTGATGCCACTGGCTACCAGTGGCCCGTAACAACCCCCACCCCCAACCGACTGTAGACCGGGACATGGGTATGAGACAAGAAAAAAAAGCATTAATGATATCACCACTGAAGATTTTTGTTCCGTTGTTATGGCACGATATGGGAAATTCGGATTGATATAGGTGTGCGACGATATCATGTATCGGACAACTAGGCTACTATCTACCACGGAAATTTAGAAACGAATGCAGTGACCGTTACGAATCCTACGACATGGACCCTATCCTATACCTTAGAATTCATCGCATAATAGTAATTAACAGAAAAAGAGTGGGGCGGCCTGGGCACCGCTAGGCTGACGGCCGGGGGCCCGCATGCGTGTGTTTGTGTGGGCTCAGCCCGGCTTGCTTCCTCGCGGCTCTCCGCCCCATCCCATTATTCCATCCCATTCTTTTTTCTCTCCCCTTTCTTCCTCTCTCCGACCCCTTTCCATTGATCAATGCCAGTCTCGTCCGGATCGCGGAGATTTCTTTCGTTCCCATCTTGCAACAACCGAGAACCACAACTGTCTAGCCAACGGTAATAGTTTCCGCTGCATCCCTCGCATCTATTTTTAAATCAGAGACGGACCGTGCGACGAGCGCAATCAAATTACCCACCCTCCATATTGCTGGACCCTTTTTTTTGTTTCTCCAACCTCGAAATCGTTTCTAGCCCTACCCGATACTTCAATTGCCATCGGGCAATCGCAAACACCTCTACTACAACGGCGCGTTTGTCGGCCTGATTCGAGTCACGAGACCCGGGAACCCGGCGCGGTTCATGGAAAACGAAAGACAGTGAAAGGCGTCAAGTGCATGCAGGCACTTGGAGGTTAAGGATGCCACAAGCTGCGAGATGGGCGGGGTCCCCTTCTATCAAAGGACGGTCAGAGTCGGCGCGCATGGCGCTGTTGACTTTCAGTTTGGTGGGATTACAGTACGTGCTCGATTTTTTGCTTTTCTTGGGTGACTGCCTTGGGCGGCGTTGGATAGTTCCTACGGACAAGAGATGCGCTAACTTATTGTTGTTACATACATATAGGTTTACCTGGGGCATTGAAATGACCTGTGAGCGACAGACCCTTTGACCTTGACCAACCGTCCGTATAGCTCTAACAACGCGCTCGCGATAGATTGCACGCCGTACCTACTTCAACTCGGTCTCACCAAATCGAAAACCTCGCTCGTCTGGATTGCCGGTCCTCTATCGGGATTAATCATACAACCGCTGATCGGTGTTATTGCAGACCGATCGCGATCGAAATGGGGACGACGAAGGCCATTCATGGTGGTGGGTTCATTTGTTGTCACATTGTGTTTGCTAGTTCTGGGGTGGACCTCGGAGATTGTCGCGGTGTTTGTCAAAGATACAGAGAAGGTATGGTCATTGCCTACAATATTACGCAAATTTCTGGGCCATTGGCACTCACGCGGGGGTTCCATTCTGCCAGGCTAAAAATGCGACGATCGCTCTGGCGGTGCTCAGCATTTACGCCGTAGATTTTGCGATCAACGTTGGTGAGTACCCTACCTGAGGAAGCCGTTTTCTTACAGCTCTCTAACTTGAAACCAGTCCAAGCATGCTGTCGCAGCTTGATTGTCGATACATTGCCTATTCCCCAGCAGCAAGCTGGGTCGGCATGGGGTGAGTATTCTATTCATTCTGGGGTTTATAAGACTTGGGACTGATGCCATGAAGCTTCTAGGATGTCGGCTATTGGCCAACTTATTGGGTATTTTATTGGGTCACTGGATACCGTTAGCATTTTTGGTACCATAATTGGTGACACGCAATTCAAGCAAATGACGGTCATTGCTGCACTCTCCCTGATAGGAGCGGTCATGGTCACATCTTACTCCGTCAAGGAGAGAGTCCTGATCACTGCCAGGTGGGTCATAGTCAAGGATGTTCGCAGAATCCGGTGCTAACATTCTTACAGAGACGCGGATGGTCAGGCTGGAGCTCTCGAGGTGCTTTCCCAGCTCTTCAAGACGACGATGGACCTACCTCCTCGGATTCAAGCCATCTGTTGGGCCCAATTCTGGGCCTGGATTGGTAAGGGACTCTGTTTACGCATGATTATCCTTCTCGATGCTTATTCCTTCTCTAGGCTGGTTCCCCTTTCTGTTTTACAGCACGACCTGGGTCGGAGAAACCTATTTTCGATACGAGGTGTCCAAAGACGAAATCCAACAAAGCGACATGCTGGGAGAGGTGGGCCGTGTTGGTAGTCTGTCCTTGGTGGTTTTCTCATCGGTAACCTTCATCGGCTCGGTTCTCCTACCCTTCTGCGTCCAACCGCCGGATAGCAAACGACTCCGATTTACTCCACGGCCCCCGCCGGGCATGGCTGCGATGCTCACCAAAATCACCTCCGTTCGGCCAGACCTGCAGACGACCTGGCTGATCTCCCACATCATATTCGCCGCCACGATGGTTTTCGCGCCCCTGGCCCGATCCCGCGCCGTCGCCACCTTACTCGTGGCCGTCTGCGGCGTGCCCTGGGCAGTCAGCTGCTGGGCCCCATTCACCTTCATGGGCGTGGAGATTAACAAGCTCGCCACGGGCGCCTCCCAGCCCTCCCGCTCCTCCGGAGTAACCATGATCACCTCCTCCAGCGTTCGCTCCGGCGCCTACGACCCCAACGGCGAGACCGAAATGGAGACGCTCCGACTCAACCACCACGATCCCGACAGCGACAGCGATCTCGAAGACGGCGCCTCCAACGCGCCCTCCACCGGCGAACTGGCCGGCATCTACCTCGGCGTGCTGAACGTGTACACCACCCTCCCCCAATTCGTCGGCACCTTCATCAGCTGGATCGTCTTCAGCATCTTCGAACCCGCTAGCACGAAGCGCGACGAATCCGCGTCCGAGACCCAGTGGATGGATCTCGACCAGGACTCTCCCAACGCTATCTCCATCTGTCTATTCATCGGCGCCTTGAGCGCCATCGTAGCCGTTGAAGCGACTCGCCGACTACGCTACGTTCTATAGCAGCATCCTTTCCTTGTTCTCTTTTTCTTTTTCTTCGTTCTTTACAAGCAAGCATCAAGCGATTGATCACCCGGCATCTTTGCACTATTTAATCTCCCCTGAGATCCAATTGGACTGGAGGGAAAATATTTGATCACGAGAGTATATTGATTAAGCACATATCGACGACCATGGCCACAGACATGGAGGAAGAACCAAGACCAGCTTGCTTTTTGGAACTTTTTTCTTGCATGCATATATACCGGCGTTTAGACGATGGGTACATACATAGTCTACATTATGCATTGGGTTAATGATAACTAGTTAATACCAACAGTTCTAAACCACAAATATGTCCTAGTACATACATCAGGAACTATGTACGCAATAACTGATTAACTGATTGATTGATTGATCTGGTTTCATAGCGAGAGTCTGCTGAGGTATATTGCATATATCAACAACAACATCAACAAAAAAAAGAAGTACAATTAAACAGATATCGGGCGGAAAAGGCAGTCAGCACGAGCGAATGGGGGAATAGAACAAGCTGAACGGCGTAGAGGAACAAGGAGCAAGCATAAAAGAATATGGTGGTCTGATTCTCCTTCACTATTGGGATGAAGGACGACGGCATTAAAACCACCATTGGTGAATACGAGGAGACATGAATCCGGGCCTGAGCCAGCACGGATTCGGAAAGGGACCTCCTGAAGTGCAAGGGATTAAAGGGGGAGAGTCAAAAAAAATTTCCATCGAACTGAACAAGCACAAAGGTATCAAAAAGGTGGTAACGCAGATCGGACGAATTTGAAATCGGACTTGGGAAGAGGGGAAGGAACAAAGGAGGTATATTAGGCTTGCATATTGCCGGTCAGCTCGGCAACGCGGGCCTTGATACGAGCGGCACGAGTCTCAAAGCCTAAGGAGAAAACAAGACGTTAGCATGAAAATGGCTGGATGAACGAAATCATATCTGGATTCACATACTCTCTTCTTCGCTGGTATCATCGCTGTCATCAGCCTCACTGGGGCGAGAGTGTTCGCCGGGGGCCGGACCTTGTTGAGCTCTTTCCGCGGCGTTCTTGCGGATCTGGGCCCAGCGATCGTAGGAGGGATTGGCCTGTGGACTAGGAGCGCTGGTCTCAGCGTCATTGGCCTGGGGCTCGGTGGGTGCCTCAGGAGTGGCTGAGACTGCAGGCGCAGCGTCTTTCTTCTCCGGGAAGTCTGGAGAGACCGGCGAATCCTCTGGGGCGAATGCCGGTTGTTCCATCAGGGGCCCCTGATCAAACCTCGAAAATTCACGGTCAGCTGCTGCCCGTTCATTGGTGTCGACGCGTGAGAGAGCATCGATTTCGGCTTCCCGTCGGCTTTTGCTGTGGTAGCCGTTGGCGCTAGGCGGACTGGGGACCTCATGGGACGGCTCCTTGGTCTCTTGAGGTTGGTCTCGAGTTTCGGCGGGCTGAGTCTCCGCTTTTTCGGGCGCCTGGGGTGACTGCGGCGCCCGCGGTGTAGTAGCTGCATCCGCATTAGCCTCGCGAGACTCAGCAGTTGGCGTTCCTGGAACAGGTTTCTTCTTCAGGGTCGAGGGTCCCTTGGGAGAAGACCGAGGGGGTTGCTGCTGTGCAGCCATAGCCTTGCTCTCCAAAGCGGCGCGGGCTTGGGCGACGGCTGACTTCTCGGCACCAGTTGCTTTCATTGCCGGTCTCGGTTCGGTGTCGGGGTTATTCTTCTTCTTGACCGTTCCAAAGAGACCCTTGAATCCCGTATTTCCGGCCTTCTTCTTCAACTTCCGGCCCGAGTCGTCTGCTGAGTCCATAGATTTCTTGGGAATCGACTCGGCGGCTAATGGGTCACTCGTGCTATTGTTAGGGGTGCTGGCGGTCTCCTCGGGAAACTCCTTGGACGCCCTAGGTGCTGGGGAGCTAGGAGCCGAATCCTTCGGCAATGGCGGAGGAGCCTGGCGGGTACTAGTCGTCGGTGATGGCGGCCCGTTGTCTCGTGCAAGTTCCTTCATGCTGTCCGACGCGGTCCCGGTTCCCGCATGATCATTGCTTAGATAGGCCTTTCGGTACGCATTCTTGTCGTAGTTGCTAGCCCATTTCATTGCATGCGAGGCCTCGTTCACGATGCCAGGTTGCAAGGTCAGGACCGAATTAGTCTTGGTCGAATAGCGATTATTTGCGAGGTTTGTTTGAGATCCATTCGCAGACTCCTGCTCCCGATGCTTTCTCTGGAGAGCGGCGGCGGCAGCCTGGATACGCGCATGCTGGTCAGGAGCAATGCTAGTCTTGCTCTGTGGCGCCTGGTTGTCGGGTCTCTTGTAGGCATCCTCGACCGCGTTAACCTTCTTGGTCGAGGACTTGCGCCGTCCAAGCCTTTTGCGCGTCGAGAATCCGAAGAAGCTCTTCTTCTCGACGATGTGCGCGCCGGCCTCGGGTTCCGGGGCTGCGCCCTTGACCTGCTCCTCTAGAACAAGCCACTTCGCACCCTTGATGATAGTCTCAAGCAGTGCGCACCGTCCAAACACCGCTTTACGCAGCGGTGACTCTTCACCCGCAAGACTGCTAATCCACACCCACCAGAAAGAATCATCGAGGTCGAGAGTGGTGATACTTGCTAGCTCGCCCGGATCAATAGACGTTTCAGTATCCAGGGTGCGCTTATGAGACTGCGAACTCTGACCGCGAATGGTTGCAATAGGGGGCAGAACTTTGTCCGGGGGAAGTAGCACGGGAGCAACAGGAGACTTGAAGACACTCTCGTCATTGAAGCCTGATGACATGAAATCTGCCCATGATGGAGTGGTAGGACGCCCCAAATCCCCTCCGCCGGACTGGGGGGCGGAACGCAGACCATCCCCGAATTCTTTTCTCGAGGCAGGACCCTTTGCATCATCCACGTCATCATCCAGCGCACCACCGAAACCGAAATCCTCGAATCTCGACCACGAAGCTTCCCGGTCAGACTTGGTCGGGTCCGCTTCGCTAGATTGATTGGTGGAAGAAATGCATTTCAGCACGCGGAGACACTCATCGGTTAGAGCGCGAAGAGGGTCCTCGAGATTCGAAAATTCCTGCAGATGGTGATCGCTGTCTCGGTACTCAAAGTTCTTTGCGCGCCGGAGAAGAGCAAAGGGGGTAGGCGAGACCGTGTCAACAATCATGACGACTCTAGTAGTCGAGACCTGAAGAAGGGCGGGCGTCTCCGGCGGGTACTCTGTGGCCTGAATCAATGACTGCAAGGTAATAGGCAGGGTGGAGATGCTGCCCATCCGTCGGGCCTCCGGAGACAAGGAGCGCAGGTAGGCGAAGAAGAGATGGCTCGTTGCGTCCGCAGCACTAGATATAAAATCAGTCAATGAGTTTATTTCTGGGATTTGAGAGGTCCCCAAAGGAAGTCGCAAGGAAGCCCACGTACGCCATCCAATTTTTATAAGCGGCTTCAAAGCCATTCCCCATGTCCGTATGCTCAAAGGCCCACCATCCGGCGTATCTAGAAAGCTTTCGTCCACCCAGGCCATTGGATTTCCCGTGGGCTGCGATAGCCGTCAAGAGGTCGAAGAAATCGAAGATGATCTTGGTCCGGGCGTCTGAATCAACACTGAGCGGAATGAAGGTCGTGAACGCATCGCGGGCGAATTGAGAATCTAGTCTTATCAGCACCCACACCTCCCCAACACCATTACTGGAATGCGATGCTGAACCGTACCTTGCTCGCCGACCTTAAACAATTCGTATGCCTCCCAAGTAACAACTCCACCAGGCAGTCTAGCCCAACACCACTTCATCACACCGCATAGGACCTGTAGAATGTGTAAGAGATTTTCTCGAAAACCTCATGGCGCTTGTTCGTTGGAGGGGGTATTCCGCTCACCATGGGGTCCGAAAGCCGTAATTCTTGCGACAAGGCATCTCCACCGAGAGGCGAGCCTCTCTCGACTGACTGGTTGAAGTAGTTGCGAATGAAGGTGCGAGCGGCCGTTGAATCGGAGCTGGGACGGAAGGGCAAGAGAAGGAAGGGCGTTTGTAGAGCTGTGCAAGAACAAGACGGTGATCAGCAAAAATGTCAAGATTGCGCGGACCTCCGATTTCCACAATTGACGTCAATTCTGGCGGGACAAGCATACCTCGCGACTTGAGTTCTTGAGTACAGCCCCGGAGCAGGTCTTGAACTTCCTCGGGGGCCACCTCCGTTCGTTGCCACGCGTCGGTCCATGTTGGCTTCGCGGGGCTAGTGTCCTCCGCGACGGGGGTTTTGGTCGCCTTCTTCGTAGAATTGGCGTCCTTGCCCCGGAAAACACGAGTGAAGAAGGGCATTTTGGTTGGGGTCTCCGAATGCCCTCCGCTAGCAGGCGCGACGAATCGATAACCGGTGGGGAATGTGGGAGACAATGTCCACAGGCGCCGTCAAGATCGCGTCTCTTTAGAGAATCAGTCGATCTCACGAAGACCCTAAGATTCAACGACGAACCGTGCGGGAGCCGACTATCCAGGAAATCGGCACGATATAGGAGGGATCAGAGAGAGAGGGGAGGGAGCAAGAAAAAAAAAAGCCGTCGGAGAGGAGGGGAGAAGCCGACGTGCCAGCCAAGGTGGATTAATTAATGATCGAAGGCGTAAACAATCGAGACCAAAAGAAGAAACCGATCAAGGAAAAAAAGAAAAGAAAAAGAAAAGACCAGCGCTTTTCCAGGTGGCCAGAGAGGATCGCCTGCAGCCCAGAACGGGGCAGCACGTCTAGCGTGCAGCAGCAGTGACCACGGTGGATGGCGTGGACTAGAATTTGGAAATTGCAGAACGAATAGAATCCGATCAAGGTAGTATTGGCAGATTGAAACAACCTAAAAAAAAAAAAGGTCCAGGGGACACAAGCGAGAGAAGTGGGAGATAGGAAAAGAAGAGAAAAAAAAGAGCGAAGCCCAGGGAGAGATGGTGATAATGAGGATCTACTGGGCAGCTCGTTTCAGGGGTGAAATAATAATACGCGTGCAAAACACGCCAGGAGCCATGGTTCTGCGGCCGCGACTAATCCCAGCCGGAGATCGATTCCCTCCATCGAGCAGGCCCAGGGTTGGAAAGGAGGGGCATTTTGGATCCATTGTTGCAGGAACGGAATTCCCCCCGTCTCTGAGGGCACTACAATACAATGTAGTCGGAATATGATAGTATCATAGCACGGATCTTCGTCCAGGAGAAGGGCAACGGTCAGCATGACATAAACAGTCCCAAATGCTGGAGGGATCCATCGTGGGTACCGGATGGAGAGGTACCGGGACTATGGCCCTTCTAGGATAAAGTACCAGACCCTCGAGTCCCTACTAAGTTACTAAACAAGTGCCTTAACTAGTTAACCTAAATCATCCTCACCTGGTTCAGTATTGTAAGGCACCATACGACCCGTTAAGTTACCGGATACCCAACCAGCGTTTCATGCGTTGGTCGTCGTGTCGACACTGCTGCTATCTCTGCCCAATGTGTATTCTGCTCGTAGCAGTAGTATACCGCATTTTGGTCCCGACTTACTATTCCCTAGGTGCAGGGCTCCTACCTGCATACGTCCATGCGACCTGTCGCATGTTGCTGCATCGACGAAGCATTTGCCATGCGCTGGAAGTGGTGGCTTGGCAGGTTGCAAGGGCAAAATGCAATTTGTTTGCGTTCAAACAAACAAGAAAATCAAATAAATCAAACAAAGGAAATGGAATCCAGAGCGACAGGCCCAATAATTTCTGACCGATCATGGATCTGAGGCCAATCAGAGCGGCATCGGGGGCCAGTGGGCCTCAGGCATTCCCGTCCCGGCGGTAAACCTTTTCTCTGCTTCTTCGGCTGCTTCTTCTGCCTTCCCTCTGGTCGCCAATCTGAAATCAGATTCAATAGACCGTTGAACGCCGAAAGAGTCCGGAATTATTGATTAAATTCAATAGAGCACGACGGACGTTACTCAAGCCCCAAATAATGGCCGGATCGGTCCGAAGAACCACCAGAACGCTCCCCCGTTCCTCCAATATATAAAATCATACCTGGGATCTATCCAATCCAATCCTTAAACTAAGCAACAGTATGGTATGGCTTTCGGGGAACCCAACCGCAAGGTTTACTCTTTCCTCTTTCTATAACCGAGACCTCACCCTACCCCCCCCCCCCCCATTCCAAATATTCACTGTCCTATCTTTCCAATACCCTCCCACTTCCCGCGATGGCTATTCAACCATTGAGATTAGTGGGGAGCTAGTCAGATTGTTCCGGAAGAAGCTCTTCGCTACCATTCGCAGTAGTTACTGGAGAATGTTGGAACAAGTGATACCGGATACCGGATATCGGATATGATAACGTTCTATCTGTGGACCTGCACATACATCTCTTGCGGTGTGTGGTGGCAGCGCGATGCGATATACCTGGTTCACTTCAAGCGCCCCAACACCCTTCTGCAGGGTATCCAGCTCTGCAATCTATCTCATTATTGTCAAAATTCGACGACAACTACAAGATTCAAAAATTGGGGCCTATTTCAGTGAGCGAGTTATGAGGCTTAGCTCGTACTTTGGATGACAGGTGCCTGGCGCCTCGCCCTCTCCACGTCCTCTGTCACCACCCTGACTATCTCCCCGTCTACCCCAAGAAACCGTGAGGGCACATAACATCCCACCTTACAGATGCCGAAATATCAGGTAAAGTGTTTGTCAAGATGGGAGATCCTGTGGTCCGTTCGTTGTTTTACCGGTCGGGATTCCAACATCACTGGCGCGGTGGAAGTGCCAGGCGAGGGATGCGATCGAGGTATGTACGTAGTACGGGAGGCAGGGCTTCTGGAACACAAGTGTCTTGGTGTATTCCTGGGTTTTATATCAATGGTCCAATCGACTGTAATGAACGGAGTATACCGAGCCCTTCTTTCTTGCTCACCCCTACGAAGGCGAAATGAAGGTATAGCAGAGCCCCATGACGCGATGATGCGCTCTGGAGAGAAATTTCCTGTTGTGCTGAGCTAGTAGAAGCGAGTCAGATGTCAATTCCTCTGAGCAATTCTGCACATGGAAATTTAGACTGACAGGTGTCGATCTAAAAGATTCATATGAGTACGAAAGCAGCGATGGAGATTCTTGCGATCACGTCGATGAACTCAACATGATGATGAGACCCCGGCACTGCTTAGTTGATGGCGAAAGTAATCTATGGAATATCCAAGTTGAACGGGGGAGGCTGGCAATAAATAGATTGAGATTACCCCTCAAAGACCAAGACTTTAGCCTGTCTAATGTCTCCCTCGCGTTCGTATTCTAGCTCGCTACGCGATGACTCGTCAAGGTTTGCACTCTGCCTCGGCCCCACCGATGCCCTGCCCTGGGAGAACCCGTAAGGAAAGAAGTTTAATTATCAGATCTCGGAAGGTGTCCATGGCCTATCAGAGCACGAGCGTATTCGTTTTTGGGCCCTGTGGGGAACCAGGAAAATCTGAGACCCCATTGCCACGAGAGCACTGGAGATACTCTAAGTATAGGAGTCATCGCCGCGGTGGGTCGATTTTGCCAAGGTAGGAGAGATATTGAACCTCCTCTATGCATCCATCTTATTTTTCCCTGTGACTAGAATGGATAGCGTCGTTTAGCTTGTCAAGGATTTCCAAAGTCCCTGGACCATTTTCTGTAGTGCTAGTGTCTCTAGTAATAATAGATCAAAGTTGTCAGCGTCTAATAACAAAGTCCTAGGAGACATGTGGATCAGCTAGTCTAGAATAAATAACTTAGATGAGGAGAATGGAGCTTCGGACAGAGAACACAGGCACCTATAAACCTGGCCTGATGCGTAGGCGATGGGAAAAGTTACTTAAGATATGTGATCTGGTCTCGGAGGAAGCGTTCTTCTGTTCATCACTCATTTTACCCTGTCAGCAGATCAATTCCTTTAAACATGGCTGATGCATCAAACGAAGAATACGTAACGTTCTCCTTCTACCACTATGATCCCACCAAAGCAGGCGCCATTGTCTTCATCCTGTTATTCATCGCTACGACTGCGATGCATACGTTTCAGATGATCAAAACACGAACGTGGTTTTTCATGCCTTTCGTTATCGGCGGCTTTTGTTAGTATAGCTCGTCCTCAATTGACTTCTCGAAGGCTAATGAATCTCTGCTTCAGTTGAATGGATCGGATATATTGGACGAGCCATGTCCAGCGACGAGACACCCAATTGGACCCTGGGCCCGTACCTGCTACAAACCTTGCTCCTACTCCTGGCACCGGCATTGTTCGCCGCATCAATCTACATGTTGATGGGTCGCATTATCCTTGTGCTACAAGCCGAGTCGCATGCCATGTTGAAGAAGAAATGGCTCACGAAGATCTTCGTGACAGGCGACGTGCTCTCTTTTCTGCTCCAGTCGGCCGGTAAGCTTCACATTACACTGCAGCAAATTGACCGAGACCTAACTCTATCTGGCCGATACAGGTGGCGGCATCCAAGCCAGCGGATCCCTCAATGGTATGAAAACGGGTGAAAAGGTCATCATCGTTGGGCTCTTCGTACAATTAGCCTTCTTCGGATTCTTCATCTTCGTGGCATTCTCTTTCGATATGAAGTTGAAGAATTATCCCATTCCACGCTGCTTTGCGTCTGACATCCCCTGGCGTAAGCATCTGAATGTGCTATACGTCTCGAGCGCGCTCATCATGGTCCGCTCGGTTTTCAGGGTGATTGAGTACATCCAGGGCAATTCGGGATATCTACTGCAGCACGAGGCCTATATGTATATTTTTGATGCCTGTCTTATGTTTTTGACGATGGTGATTTTTAATGTTGTTCATCCGAGCGAGATTGGGAAACTGTTGGATGGGATGTCTAAGGACACTGAGTACATGGGTACACCTATGGTCTGATGGAATTGGACACCATCGGAAACGGTCATTTCAGCATCATAGAGTTTTAGATAGGAAGCTTACAGAAAGTCTGGAAAGTTTTAAAAGTTTAACCGTTTGCTCTCCAATTGCGGAATGATTCTAGAATACCCGGAAAAGCACCGTTGGGAATCGATTTTTGCAGCTCACCCACGAATAGGTAACTTAAAATCCAGCGTGAGGATTCGTTCGCTGAACATCCGCTGCATTCTGAAGAAGTAATTCCATGGATCCTTGCGCCAAGTATGCCGATCCAACGGCTAATGCCTGTGGGTCAAGAAAAAACACGAATATACGAGGATACGACAATGCGAACACGGCGGCAAAAATGAATACGAAATTAATATATACTACTGAAAGGAACGATGGAATGAAAGTAGATTCACAAATAATACTTAGGGGTCGACAGAAGTCGAGAATTCTTAACCCATTCATTCATTCATTCATTGTTGTGTCTACTTCATTATGAGCTCCGACGACCAGTATACGGGCATCAGCTTTGAGCTCTATCGCTACACGCCCTCTCTGGCAGCCGGGATTCTATTCCTGGTCCTGTTCACCCTTACCACTGTATACCACTTATACCAGGTTATATGCATGCGCTCTTCATACATGCTGGTATTTGTGACTGGAGGTGTCTGTAAGTATTATAGGCCCCAAGACTGGCGCATTGAAATTGACTGACTGACACCCACCTAGTCCAAATTATAGGGTACATATGTCGGATCTTAGCACATTACGATAAAGAGTCCATCCCGATATATTCAATCGGAACGATCATGATTCTCCTCGCTCCACCACTCTACGCTGCGTCGATATACATGACCCTAGGCCGACTTATCCGGTACCTCGACGCCGAGTCGATCAGTGTCGTGCCCACCAAGTGGCTGACCGGGATATTTCTCACGGGGGACATAGTTGCATTTGTTATGCAGGCCGCAGGTATGATTGGCAATCAGCTTCAGGCGTCTTCCCTCTCCAGTACCTCCGCAGCCTCTAACCAAGACATTTAATCTAGGTGGTGGCATCATGGCCAGCGGCACCATCAGTGCCATGCACACAGGCGAAAAAATAACCATCGTCGGTCTCTGCATCCAGCTCCTCTTCTTCAGCGTCTTCATCATTACCTCGACCATCTTCCATTGGCGAATTTACAAGCAGCCGACTCGCATGTCCCTCGATGGGGGTCTGAAAAGCTGGAAGCAAACTTCCTGGGAGACTATCATGGTGGTGCTGTACGCTTCCAGCGTATTGATCCTGATTCGGTCAATTTTCCGGCTCATTGAGTACGCCCAGGGGAATGATGGCTATTTGATCAGCCACGAGGTGTTCATGTATGTGTTTGACGCGATGCTGATGTTCTTCACCATGGTTGTGATGAGCATTTACCATCCGTCTGAGTTACTAGGGAAGAGAGCGAAGGTAGCGCTCTCCTGCGATTCACGGGAGACAAGCACCGAATTACAGCCTGCGGAGTCTGCATGATGGCTTGCTTTGGTAACTAAGGGGCGTTTTTTTTTAGGACAGCGAATTTCTTTCTTTTTTGTATAGCGTTCATCTGTATCTAGAACTTGGGCAGACCTTTATTCTAATTATGCAGACAGACGCTGTTGCTTCTTTTTTTACCCAAAAAGTGAATAGAGCAAGAAATATTATAAGCCAAGTGAATCTCTGAATGCGATCAAAGCATTTGAGAACCGCCGATTGTATCAGTTATTAAGTATTCAAGCGGAAAGAAATAAGACTCATGGCAACTAAACCTCCCATTAATCATCGCGGGATTCTTCCAATGGCAGAGGCCTTCTGTCAGACCCCTGCCGCAATCTAGGCTGTATTGCCCACCCGTAAAACCAGTAAATACTACCACACGAGAGCACCAGGACTGACGTCACGGGAGTCAACCATACTGGTAGGTTTGAGCTGCTTTTGGCCGAGTTTGAGAATGTGGAAAAGAGCAAGTAAATCTGAGAGGCCATGAATATCAATGCCACGCTCGTCCAGACCCTGAATGTCCGTTGTGGGTATGTCATTCTCCTTCGGATGATGAAGAGACCAATAACGACGAACAGTTGGACAATCGCCATTGCGTACTGGCCTACATCGAGAATGAAGTTGTAAACATCCCCTGTATTTTCGCGTCAGCGGTGCTCGATGGGGAGGAGGGTGAAAGGCGTTTGTATGTATGTCGTTTGAACAACATTGGTGACATGTACTTACCAAACGGAACACAGATAATCATAATGAACGAGGACAAGAAAACCAATAAGAAGGCAGCGGCTGGTGAGCCAAAGCGTGATTTCTTGGCAAAGAATGAAGAGAACGGCAGGACTTCCTCCTCTGCAAACCCTTGAACCACCCGCGAGATTGAGAACGATGCCGTCATTAAGTTTCCTAAAGAAGATAGGGCCGCGAGGACGGCACTCAATGATTGCATTTCCTCCCCGAAAACCTTACCGATGAAGAGCGCAGCTACCGTGACACCCGTCTCGCTCAGTTCTTTGGGGGTTGCGGCAGCAAAGTATGCCACATTTACCATAAAGTATAGAAGACCCACGGAGGTAAGCCCTAAGATGCCAGCAATCTTGAGGGTCCGACGGGGATCTTTGACTTCGTCCAGAACATAGCCGGCATTGCACCAACCCTGGTAACTAGCCAGGACTTTATATAGAGCAAATGTATAGTCAGTGACGCTCGAAGATGATCCCGAGAAGGGATGCTCAAAGCTGGCTCCTGGATGGGGTACATTTGACACATCCCCATGGAGAACTATAAGGCCGGTGAAGATGATGAGAACAAGGACTATTATTTTGATCGAGGCGAGCGTATTCTGGAAAATCAAGTCATTATTGGGCACAAATACGGCTGACGGTTGTTCCGGATCACTCACCATCAGTTTGATTCCCCAGTTCTTCGTGTAAACATGCATTGCTGCTATACATGCCATGATAGCGACCGCTATACCACGTTTCACCCAGTCATTTGTTGTGATCCCAAATGCCAGAAGCATATTCTCTGCAATAACAACAGTTCCAATACCTACGCGGGGGTCAGCAACTCTGCGTATTTGATGGACTGGGGGCTCAGGAATAGATACCAGTAAAGCCGAGAAATATAATATGCGTTGCAAACACCGTACTCACTAGCAATGGTGGTCGTGGATACGCCGCCTGAAGGTAGACCTTCTCCCCACCATTGCGAGGCAACAGATTACCCAGTTCAAGGTATATGAGAAATCCACAGAAAGACAAGAGAAACCCAACCAGCCATAACGTCAGGGCTGCACCAGCGCTCCCAACGGATTGTGCGATAGATGATGGCACGGAGAATATTGCGGTGCCAATCATGCGGTTGGTTCTGTTCGAGTGAATTGTCAGAAATTTACACATCTCCATTTGAGGGTTGTATAGCCACTTCAGGGCCACGGTTTCATGGCACCCACGCACATCAGAAAAGTTGTGGAAAGAAGACCAAAGCGACGATGCGGCTCCGCCGGTTCCCGAATCGGGAAGGCTTCATCATCGGACTGATGAATTAGAGATGCTTCTTCATCTGAATGAATACTCTCAGCCTCATCATTGGCATCTCGGCTAGAATGGAGGGTCCTTCTTGTTGGTCGGCCTTCAATCTCACTCTCAATCGAGCCAGGATAATCCTCCTGTGATCGTTGTGATGTCATGGTCCAGAGCAATGAGTCTGACAAGATACCGCAAATTTTTTTAGACAATTAAAAAGCACACTTCGATGATTCAAGTCAAATGGACTCTCAACCTATCATGCTTTAGCAGGAGCTTGTTAGAAGAACGTAATGATGATCTTGATTGCATTCACATCCGTGAAGGAATGCCAGAACGCTAGTTACTCCATGGTTTTTCTGAGCTTGTAATTGTGTAGCTGTATCAATGTGACCAGAACTGCATATTCTGTACAATTAGGTCTCGACAAGTAAGGTTGCAATCGCGAAGGTAAGGATGTTGTTGGATTGCCAAGGGAGACAGACGGTCAGCTAGCATTAGATAAGCAGGCTTGGCATGTATCACTTTTCTGAGGGAACCCCTGGTACAGCTCTTTGTCAATTCCTGAATTCCCGGTCTTTTCGATCTAGCTTACACTGATATTATGCTATTTATAACTCGAGGTCAGTGTTAAATAAAATCATAACATTGAAGTAGGATCTTACGAGATTCTAAAGTAGACGGGTAGCATGTACAGTAGTACGGAAGGGTTACTTTGACAGCTATCACGCCATTGGCAATGAAGCATCGACTCCGTCCAGATAATGAATATTCAAAACATTGGCTATGCTTCACTAGGAAAATGCAGCATGGAGCAGGAAAATACTGAACACTGAACAGAGGACGTTACTCCGTTATTCAGGGCTGATCAGTGGCGGGGTTGCCTGCTATCGCGTCCCCACCAGACTCGACCTTATCGTCAATCGTCCCATTCTGGTTTACGGAGTATGCTCGCTTTAGCCTTTTAGGTTTCGGATCTTCCTTCCCCACCATCCCAAATTAGAACTTTTTTTCTTTTCTTTTTCTCTTATTCTTTCTCACCTTGCTTTTCCGGTGTACGAAGGAATCCTGATATGCCCACGTCGATGACATACCTAACCCCTAACGCAAAAGCCTGTCTAGACCCGGTGATGGGCGATTGAAAATTTTTCTATCGCATTATCATCAAGTCCCACCAGATTGAAAGGGACCAAGGTATAAACACCCCGCCTATAATAGTGCTTATTATCGACGTGTCTTGGTTGAGTGAAAGTCAGGATGATACCGCCCCTCCTTGTAAGGATAGCTAGTCTTCGGAATTTTCAGGGTCAATTAAGATATCAGAAAGTGGGCTACGCATTAGAGTGAATGTAATTGGATTGACGCCATTGGTAAGCAGGTTCAGTGCACAGTTTTGATGATCCCAAGACCCATAGAAAGAGAACATTTTGATGCCCCTTGATGCCTCGAAAAATTAGCTACGATCAATGAAGGGAATCTAAACCGACTTCCTTTAGATCTAGAATCATTTCTTTCGATGGTTTTTGCTGAGAGAAGCCCGAAACCCCGGCCGGATAATTGGACTAATGTAACCCTAGACAAGAGAACGGCACAGGGCACAAAGAAAAAAAAAGGGGGGATATAGCCTGTGTGACATAATGGCCTACAAGACCAGACATTCAAGGCTCAATCAATGGCTTTTACGGCATAGTTCCAACTTCCTAGTCAAATAAGGGATTAACCCTTGTTAAGCTGGCTGATCATTGATCGGTCAACAATCCTAACGCAATTCAAGAAATCCCCAACAGCCAAGCCACCTTGTGTGATAGATTCGACGAGTGGACACTGGACAGAGTGAAGGATTTAAAGCTCTCCGTAAGAATGATGCAATCTAAAAATAGCGGACGGCGGCTACGCGGCGGCAACGGCGGTAGGGCGACAAGCGACCCGTCTATCTTTAGAATCTTCTGCATCACCCGCGTGTTCCAGTCCAGTCTTTCCCATCCATTCAACCCAAACTCATCCTCCCATCGCCATCCCAAGAATTTGACTTTCGCCTCCATCTTATCTTCTTTCCCTTCGTTTTTTCCCTCCTCCCTTTTCTTTCAAGGTGGGTGTTCCTGAGGCCGCTGCGGTCGGCGTTTCCTTTGTTTCCCCAGCCCCTTGTTCATTGCTGGCCCCCCGACCGGCGCCGTGCCCTCGCTCTACGCGCCATCTCCAATCTCACCCCTCTCTTTTCTTTCTTTCGCTGTCCTCTCATTCCTTTCCCTTTCTTTCCCTTTGTACCCACTCTTCTGCAACTGAAACGTTCGCTTCTCGGACTGCGGGAAGAATTTTCTTCTTTCAATTTTTTTTTTTCTCTCTTTAATTGCTATTTGGGATTTCTTCAAATCCACAAAGTACTAAAGGTCAAGCGCTTATTCTGCGAACTACAGTCGCTGCATTCCAGTCGCATTTCTGGAATTGTTTCCCCTCGGGCGGTGTCTCCTTCGATTCTACTCGCGCCACTCCTCGATCCCAAGGCTCCAAAAGTTTCCACGCCTAGTCGCCGTCGATCCTGTTCATCGTTCTATCTCGTGCTTCACCGACGGTTCATATCCCCGTGTGAATCGGTCACACTCTGCCCCTGATGGGTCGAAGAAAGATCGAGATCAAGGCGATCAAAGATGATCGCAACCGCTCAGTGTATGTTTTAACCGCTTGCGTGCTCCCCTGCTGCACCGTATAGGAGCTAACTTGGGGTGTGTTTCAAGTACGTTTCTAAAACGGAAGGGTGGTCTATTCAAGAAAGCGCATGAGCTCGCAGTTCTATGCTCAGTAGATGTCGCCGTAATCATATTTGGCCACAACAAGAAACTATACGAATTCTCATCATGTGATATGCGCGAGACGTTGCATCGATATCAATATGTGTGTTTTGGCGTCCCCCTAACCTCAACCTTGGACATCGTCAGCAGCTAACCTCATTTTAATTTAGCTCGGACCACCGCATGAGCATAAGGGTCCGGATGATTTTAACGGCAGACGTGACGACGACGATGATGAGGATGAAGATGGAACCACACCTGCTCCGGAAGATATGCATCCCACGCCCCCTCAGAATGCCCCCCCGATGATTCCGCCCCATCTCCAAGGCCATCCAGGCTTCCAGCATGTAAATCACGCACCATCTGCTTCTCCCCCCATCGGCAACGGCATTCCTTTTGACCCCCGCCATGGGACACCCCAGCCGCAAGGAGTTTCCAGGCCTTCCTCTCGAAATCACCTTCGACGGGTGAGCTCAAATATCGGCACTCAGTCACATCATGCTACTCCCCCGCCGCCTCCGCCGCCTCAGAATGGATTCGCCTTCATGCCCAACCCATCCGTATATAATCCCAACGCCCACAATCTTAGCCAACCGCCCCGGCCCGCTCAGTTCGCGCATTTTGGGCCTCCGCCTGGAGCGCAACATCCCCCGCCGCCTCAGCATCAGCCCATGCCTGCGCACTCTTTGCCACCGCACTCCATGCCTCCTCAGTCAATCGCCCCGCACCATCAGACACCCCCGCCGCACATCCAACACCAACATCATCTTATGGCTCCGCAGGCGCCTCCAATGGGTCTTTCGCAAGCGCCGCATGCCCCGGTACCGCAGGTCACTCAAACTTTCTTGCCTGATCAAGGAAGAAGCTCGATGCCGCCAACATTCACGTCGGAACACCAGCAGCCTCCCCCTCGAACGGTCTCCCTATCCGAAGCGCCCTTGCCAGATCAAATACCTGGTCCCATGAAGACGGAAGGGAGTCAGTCGCCACCTCACCAAAGATCACTATCTTCCAAGTCGCGGAGTATCTTCACGCCAATAGACGATCGTGGTTCGGTTCTAGCGCGGCATTTTGGAGTCGGTCCTCCCGTATCACCTGGCTCTCAAGCAAAGCTTGAAGCGGCACAGGCCGAATCCGCCGACCTAAAAATCATGGGCCATCCAGTCGCGCCTCCGCCCCCACTTCGCGCCGCGACGGAGACACCATCTTCGCAATCGGCCGCCGATCTCAAACCGCCGCCGATACGAACAAATAGTGGTCAATTGCCAAAGCGCCCACAACTCAAAGTCCAGATACCAAGTGAGAACTCGGATCGCGGCAGTGCAACGGCGGAATCATCCTCACGCGACTCCGCGGGAAACAAGACGCTGACGCCGGCTAAAGCCAATCCCGATACCAATCATTCGGGAGTAGTTTTGCCTCCACCATCACCATCGGCCGGTGCAATTCTCAGTGCAGGGGCCCAAGGACCTCCAAATCCATTCGCGAGGCCACCGCCTCCTGCTGCGGCAGCGGCAGCGGCAGCCCAAAACAATAACGCGTACAATAATAACAACAATATAGAGACACCGATATCTGCACTTCCTAGTCGCTTTGTATCGGATGCACTCCTTCCGTCACCGTCCAGCTTCTTCCCGGAATGGGGCTTTGGCCGCTCTGGTCCGGACAGTAATATGCTTCCAAGTCCTCTCACTTTTCCGACGCCAGCGGTTCAAACGGGTCCTAGTTTTGGACGGGAAGATGAGCAAGACAAAAAGCGCAAAAGCCCAGATAGTGGACCGAATGCCGAAGGAACCACGAAGAAAACAAAGACCTGACCTTTCCGGTAGTCTCCTAGAGTGATGATTCTCAATATATCTTGACTTGTCTTTACTATCTTGGCATCTGTGGCGTTCTAAAGGCAGCCGTGGGTCTCTGCATGCATGGGTCGGGAAAGTTGAACTACCTTTGTCTATATTCTTTCATTTCCCCTATCACTTCCTCTATCATTTCTCCCTCTCTTCTCCCTTGCTCACCTGGGCCTTGGCTACTTGATTGGTATTTCACTTAAACGAGCCTCGTTTTGATTGTCTCATAGCTGCTCTTTTTTGTCAACTTTATACCCCTTCCTTTTCTTATTGATATCCATTTGTGAGTCCGCAATCCTGTCATTGAACTCTATAGTCAATGCTTTTTGTATGTCTTTTTTTCTCCGGAAAACTAAAAAGAAGGAACGCTCTCATCTTCTCTTGGAGAGAAAACCAACTTCCTCGATTTACCTGGCCACATCCCTCTCTCACATCTTGACCGTTTTCCTTCCTTCTCCTTCTTGGGCGGGACAAAAACCAATCTTTTCTCTTTTCTTTTCTTTTCTTTTCTTTTCTTTTCTTTTTGTCTATTGGTAGTGATTGCTTCCTGGTGATGGCGTTTCTACAATGTCTTCTTTTCCTTTTCCTTTTCCTTTTCCACCTTTCTCCTTTTGTTATATAATGTATATATGGTTGTTTTATTAGGAATATATTGGCGATGGTGATTGGCTCGATAAGTTATCCATTTGACATTCAGATGATTTCGATTAATTAATGCTTTCAATTATGCCGGGAAAAAGTTGATTTTTGACCTTTCTGTTCTCATTAAAGGTAGACACGAAAGAAAGAAAAGAAAAAGAAAAGTATCTACAAAGGCTTTTTGTTCAAAGCATGCGTGACAGGGCATGTATATACATGCAAATCCCAAATCGATGAATGTCCAACTCCGCTGGTATGATTATATTGGGGGTGAAGGTTGAAGATTTCAAATGCGTGTTGTGGAATACTGATCCGCAGCATCATGAGTCATTTAAAAATAGGTCGAAATGGTAAAAAGAATTTCGATAGTAAACGACAGTCGTTAGACGTCTTGCTTCTCAGGCGAAGGCTTGTTCTTGTTCTTCTGAGCAGCCAGAACTTCTTGTCTTGCGCGCTCCTGTTCTTCGAGGCCGGTTTTGGTGAACGTATGCGCTTTGCTGAGCTCCACAGGCCGAATAAAGAGACTGACTATGAAACCGAAGCCGGCGACTGCGCAATAGAAGATCCACATGCGGCTCATGGTGAATGTAAAAGCTTTCAAGACGACAATCTTCTGGTCTTCGGGGAGGTTCTTGACTAGATCTGTTTGAGATCCGGAGAAGGTCTGGGCCACGGCTCCAGCCTTTTCGGCACCCACAGCGGCGGTGATGGCTGGCATCTGCTGGCCAAGGACATTCTGGTAGATCACTGTACCGAGGACAATGGATATAGCGGCAGAGGCCTGGCGAAGGAAGCTGAAGGTGGCCGTTGCGGCGGCGACGTCGGCGCGGTGGATGTTGGCTTGCAGTGCGACGAGCGGGGCCTGGAAAATCGGACCTGTACCGATGCCACCGATCAACTGATAGATGACGATGCGAGACCAGGAAGCGTAGTATTTCAAATCGATAAGCAGACCATAGCCGAGCGCGAAGAGGCACATTCCAGCCACAATCAATTCATGGTAGCGACCAGTTTTTTTGATTATAAAACCCGTGGCCGCCGACGTGAACGACAGGCTGAGAACCATTGGGAAGACATAGACACCGCTCATAATGGGGTTGGCAAGAAGAACGGTCTGGAAATAAAGCGGCAGGTAGTATGATCCCGCGATGAAGACGAAACTGTGACAGAAACAGACAAGAAGCACCAGGACATTGTGCCAGTTCTGGAATAGGCGAATAGGAATCAATGGATATCTGGCTATTTTCCACTCATTCACCATAGCTATGACCCAGGTTACTATGCCGAAGACAATAAGACAAATAACCGTTGGTGAGTTCCATGGGTGACTGACACCGCCGAACTCCAGACCGAAAAGAAACATGAGAGTTCCGCCGATGATGAGGAGGGTACCCGACCAGTCGATAGATCGGAGTCCAGCTAAGAGAGGGGTCTTCCCTGCTTCGATCTTGAGGAAGAATAGAAGCATCACAAATGAAAACCCGCCGATAGGTACTGCGTGATACACTGTCAGTATAAGAAATAGCCATAGATGATAGAAAGACGTACGGTTGAGATAGAAACACCAGCGCCAGCTGACATCGGTGGTGAATGCACCTCCAATGATAGGGCCCAAAGCACCTGCGATCGCCCAAACCGAGCCAAAAAGGCCGTAGTACAGAGGTCGGTCCCTGGAGAAGGTTTATTAGCGCTTATCAGAAAAAACAATCATATGTAGGGGGGACGGTACCTAACACTGAATAAGTCAGACACAGAGATATTCACTAGGACAATGATGCCACCGCCTCCAGCACCTTGTATGGCTCTTCCGGCCAACATCATAGGTAGGTTGTAGGCAAGGGCACAGATGAGACTTCCTACGAGGAATACAACATTCGCAACCAATAAGATTAGTTTTCTGCCCCAGATGTCACTGATTTTACCCCAAAGAGGGACACACGCGGCATTTGCCAGCATGTACGACGAAGCCATCCATGAGTATCCACTGCCCGAGGCATTGAAAGAGCGCGCCATGGTGGGCAATGCCGTAGAAACAATAGTCTAGGACACGTCAGTTTAACCGCATAGACTAAAATCCCAAATCTAGTGCACATACCATATCCAAAGCCGCAAGGAACAAAACCAGCTAGAAATGCGTCGTGGTTAGCGGTCTAACTTTAATGGTGGGGATGGTGACAAGAGGTAACCGGCATACACAAAGGGCAGTCATGATGATAATAATTTTCTTCTTCCCCAACTTTTGCGCCTGGGAGGGAACACGATCCAGCGGTTCCCCCGAAGCAGCTTTGTCGTCCGACTCATCGTGGACAGGTGATTCATCCGGGTTCTGATGCTCTGATGACCGACGGCGTTTTTCCGAATGGACTGAACTGTGAAGAGAAGGATGTTCTGTTTCTACAGGCGAGATTTTGTCCGCCACAGGCGGATGCGCAGTTTCGGCATCGTGCGAAGCGAAGCGACTTGCGTCGGTGGAATCCTGATGCACCGACATAACTTGCAGAAGGGGGGATGGAAAAGAGAGAGAAAAAGAATTTCCCCAGTGTACGTCCGTCCAGAAGTGAAGAATGGCTAGGATCGGAGCCAGGGAACACTTAGCGCCGAGCAATAATTTAGTATGAGATCTGCTCTGGGCCTCTGGCGGGTGGAGCCGACGTTGCGACCCGAGGGAAACAGCAAACACAAAAGGACGAGAGAGAGAATTGGTCCAGACGGATGCCAAGTTGATGCAAGTTGAAGCTTGCGACGAGGTCCTGAGGTGACCGTGCTCATGGTCGGATTTAGCCTAGCGAGTTGGAACACTCCAAGGGGTGAACAATCGTCCCTGGGCCCTCGCGCTTTCGCGTCCCCGAAGAGCCGACACTAAAAAGCATCGAGCCGTACTTATTATTGAAAGCAGGGTAGAACATATAAACCATATCAGGATTTGGGCCCTAGGAGCCCAAAGAATGCAGGAGCAAAAGACAAGGAGCGTATGCCGAGCAGGAGGATTCGGAGATTAAAAAATGGTCGAGGTCGAGGCCAAGTTCGGCCTGGTGTCTCAGGCAGCCGGATACCTCAGGCCACAAAACAATTACGGGCTACTCCATACAATATACAATACTTTACAACAATGACATGGCACTTTCCACCTCGCATTCATCATGGTTTTCCGCTGTATAGTACACGATAATGCTACAATCAGTCACAAATTCCAAATTGAAACCTACTTTTGTGGTCATGCATCCCCGACTCCGGAAAAATGATATTTGGGGGAAAGGGTATAATGGAGGAATATCACACGAAAATCACCGCAGAAAATCAGTGGGTAAAACAAAAAAACCGCAAGAGCCAATACGAGTCCAGTCTAATCTAACTCATCCTCTAATCCTGTAACTGTAGAATTTCTGTTCGTCATATCAGCCGCTGCGATCTTCACTTCCTCAGCAGGAGATCAACTCACCCGTCAAGAACTCCTCAAAGCTCACTGTGATATAGCCATCACGATCGTCATCATATCGTTTAAATGCATCCGTCATGCGCCTCAGACTAATACACGCTTGCACGAACAAGTCGAAACTCATCCCCGTCGAAGGCGGACCCTTGGGAGGCCCGTTCATCTGCCGGCCCTTCGCCTCGAAGGTTGTGAACAACACCGTGACAAACGGCTGGCTCAGGCGGTATCCGAAGGCAGCCAGTGCATTTTCGAATTCCTGCAAGCTAATGCGACCGCTGCGGTCGACATCGAATCGGTCAAAAAGCTCGCGCCAAGCAGCCAAGTAGCGCCACAGCGACACAAACTCGTCGAAGGATATGGTCCCGCTGCTATTGCGGTCGAACATCCGGATCATCATCTTCACCGTCCGCGGGTGAAACGAAGTGTAATCCCCGTTGACCAGAGCGGAGCCCAGCTCCATCTCGGTGAGCGACCCGGAGTGGGATGAGTTGGCGGCGCGAAACAAGGGGAAAAGTTGCTGCGGATCATCGTCCGGGACCCCCAACGGGGGTGGATTGGGCGATCGAGGGGGACGCGACGTGGGCTGAGGGCGATTGTGCACTGGCTGGGACGGGGGAGGGCCGAACCCGTAGTTCTGGGGAGGGGGCGACGGATGCAATGGGTGCGTTTGATGGTGATTCTGCTGGGGCCCCGCGGGTAGCGGCTTATTGTTATTTGGAGGGCGCGACCCCGGTGCGGATTGGAATTGGGCGTTTGGGGCGCCGGAAACGGGGACTCGAGGCGGGACGCCGCTGGAGGAGGGATTGGGAGACGGCCGATGGGGTTTCTGCTGCTGCGAGGGGCCAACTTGCATGGCACCGATCATCTGAGCCACCTGATGGTCGCGTTGTTCTTGTCAGTTGGTGAATCGACACGGTCAAAGCCACTGCGAATCGGAATTGCTTGTCCCGTACCTGTTCAGGCTCTGCATGTCTGGTTCGATTCACGACAAGTTAGCGCAGATCTCCCATATGATGCAGCAATCCCCCGTTTTCTCGTTGATAGCAGGGCAGACTGGACTTACGCAGGCAGCGCATCGGGGTTGTAGGACTTGTTGTAAGCCATGGCCGTGACAGCTGACGTAACAGATGGAGGGGTGAGAGTCTGTAGCTCAAAAGAAACCGGAGAAAGTCCCCTTATATGGGGGTCAGTAGGAGATCTGGGGGAGAGAGGAAACAGGAGAATAGCGGAAACAGTCGAAATATGAAAGGAAGCGAACGGTCAGGAGTTCAGGAGGAGGGGAGTCAAGTGTCCATCATTTCGCAGTTGAAAGCGGAGCCGTGGGGCGAGTGATTTTGGTTCCCCAGCGCCCGCCAAGAGATAAAATAATAAATCAGAAATCCTAGTCATCGTTGGGGGTGAACAATGTCACTACAAATGTACAAACTCGTGAGATGTTTCAAATAGTTCCTTTTATTAATGTGATAATGGTTTCACTCGAGGGAGGGGCTCCGGCGAAACACAACCCTGCTCGTCAGCCCTGCCAGGCGCTCTGTTCGCTGATTTGTTTGGCCCACGGGTTCTTTGACTGCGATGGTTTTGTAGTATCTGAGGTTTCTCTCGCGGGTGGAGTCCCGTGCTAAATTTATCCCATGACGCAGTTAAAAATGTCAACCGGTCGCACATACAACCTTGCACTTTAAATCAAGTCGGCAAGGTCTTCGGAATGCTCCTTTAAAACTTCCATTATCTCCGCCCATGCTTTCTCCTGGAACTGCTTTCCTTCTGCGCCCACTGTCAAAGACGTCGATTCACTGGCATCCATTATTAGCACGATGTGGGGGTAAAAGACACTAAAAGGAGCGCGCGGGAACGAAGAGGGCAAAAAAGAAAAAAAAGAAGACGTACTCCAAATATCCATCGCTTCGCCAGCATTTTCCATGCGATTCGGCCGCCTGATAAGTGGCACTGACTAGCGAGCGGCTCCCCTGCTCCGTCGTGCGAGCAAATAGCTTGTGCCCCAACCAAACCAGCCAGCGTTCATAGAAGCGTTTATATTGCCGCCCCAGTGACGACACGCAGAACCCCGGACTGACTGTCTTGATGATGACCGGAAGCGTTCCGTTCTCATTTCGGATCCGGTTCGCCACAGTTTTCAGCACGTACTCGAGAAGAAGTTTCGAAGCGCCGTATTGTCTTGGGCCAACAAATTCCTCCGAACCATTCAGGTGCTCCAACAGTGGCCCGTTCGTGCGGAGGGTGGCTGCCTTAACGCGGACAAACTGTTGGCTGGACACCACCGTCAATTGCGCCGGGCTTGACGTGGACGAGCTGTCTCTCAGCTTGGGTAGAAGTAGAAGCGCCAACAGTGATGTGGATAGTGTGTTGACCTGCAGCGTTTCTTCCCAACCCTCGCGCGACACGGTATACTCCCGGTTCCATAGGCCGGCGTTGAGCAATGCAATGTCTAATTGTTTAACCTCCCTGTTGACCCGACTCGCGAAGTCTTTAACACTCTGGAAGCTGTTCATTTCCAGCTCCCAGACCTGGACCACATCTCGTCGGCCGGTGCGTTCCTCCAGCACGGCTTTGGTTGCCTGACCCCGTTCGAGGTTGCGGCTGCCGATGATCAAAGACTCCACGCCGAGATTCAAGAACTTGATAGCGGCCTCGAATCCCAGGCCCGTCGTTGCGCCAGTCAGAACCACGGTTTTACCGGCAAAGGATACCCCTACCCGTACTGGGTCCGTCGGGGGAGTGTATTGCATTCGGAGCAGACGAAAAATGCCGGCCATGACGAGGAATCTATAGAGGCAACGAAACGGGAAAAGAAGACGAAGCTTTCGTATAGAAAAGTTCTTCACCTGGTAATTGGCTGAACGACGGGCGTTAACAAGGCCCGGTGGCCAATAGGTGGGTTTTTGCCCGACTGGCGTTAGTCTCAGGAGTCAGATCCTGACGTATTAAATTGGGATTAAAAGTATTCCGCGAGGCAAGAAATTCAGCCGGGCATACAGCGCTCCACTGGATAATCCTAAGGAACCGATGCAGTTGGCCAACTTGCCGTGGTTGACTGCTGGGGCCCGCTTCCGGTGGCTCGGCACCCCGCTGAAACTTCCCGGGCAATTAATTTGGACCCTCGGAGAAGGATTCTGCAACGCACCTCGGTCGATACGAATTACGAGGTGGCCAATGATGATGTAGGAGTTGGACTGGGTTGTTTTTCAGTCACAGCGCACTTTGCCTGCGATGATAAAGCAATCGTCCGCAAATCACGAGCTAAATGGAGAAAAGTACCTCTGCCCGACGCCACCGCACGTAAACAGTCACTGCAATCTGGCCTTTAGACAAGCATAAACTGGAGGGATTGATGCACACGACGATTTGTCTTTCGCCAATACTAGTGTAGCTAAGACAACGATGATGATTTGGCGGATCTTGCATCAACTTGCGCCATCCGAAGCAGTTGGAAAGTTAAGATTGGATCCATTGCGAATGAATTAATCATCAGCATCGTGACGAACAAACGATGCAAACACACCGGGTTTTCGACATCATCTACGGTGTACTCCATCGCGGGGCTCTGCCAACTTAAACCCCTCCTCAAGGCACGGGTTCGCAGGTTGGATTTAATTTGGCTCAGCGGGGAGATCATTGCTTTTGATTCTTGGCTTCTGGGGTCCTGTCGTTACTGGTCTTCTCTCGGTCCATAGGGCCTTTTTTCACCTTATATTTTTTGTCCTTCTAGGGGAGATAGAGTCCACCACTTGGTAAAGTTTTAGGCGCTTGCTCGTCACGACTATATTTACACTCGAATTCTTGCATTCGCAAATCCTCGAAAATGGCACCAAGCAAAGAAGACCACCAGACAAACGGTCGAACATGGCGCAACCATTTTCCTGATGGCGATCTCTGGGTCTTTGGTTATGGGTATGTTAAGCGCCACAAGTCCCCACCACTGGAAATTCGCCTTACAAAGACCCGTCATTTCTTTCTATTTCTGTTTATATCGACAGCATGCAGAGACGAAGCTAATTTGACCTGCAATAGGAGCCTGATTTGGAAGCCCCCGCCACACTATGGTATGTCCAAGCAGGCGTGGAACTAAGCATCGCGTGTCTCAACCCACAGGCACGGGAAGTTTATAGGATATGATCCTGGCTGATTGATCGTCCTCTCGTAGATCAAAGGGTGCCTGGCTATATCAATGGCTATGTACGGCGGTTTTGGCAGGTTTGTTAGCCTCTTTGGTGGGCATTTTTTTGTACAGAATTAAAGCCTAACTAACTCGATTGATAGGCCAGGTCGGTTGCATCAACGAACCTATTAGATTTGATTCTGTTTGTTGGAGCTGGAAGCTGACAACTTCTGTAGTACCGACCACCGAGGCACTCCAGAAGTTCCCGGCCGTGTGGTAACAGTAATCGAGCGAGAGTTCTGGGAGACCTTGGATGACCCAGTATGTTTTATCTCCCATGAAAAACCCCGGTGTGACTAACGGCCAGATAGCTAGCGCACCTCGAAACCGCGGACTCGTCGACATCGCGAGTCTGGGGCGCGGCATATCACATTCCCGCGTCTCACGCTGAGGAAGTCCACGACTACCTCGACGAGCGCGAAATTGACGGCTACACCGCGCATTTCACCCCATTCCATGCCTTTGGATCCACCGATGTGCCGGAGTCCAGGCCGATCACCTGCATGGTTTACATAGGCCAGCCAACAAATCCGCAGTTCTTGCGCGACCCGGCTCGCCGTGAGCCGCAGGATGTGGCTGAAGTGATCAGCCGCGGAAGGGGTCAGAGCGGGAAAAACACCGAGTACCTTTATTTGCTAGAGAAGGCTCTCGAGAGCGTGGGGCTTGGAAGCGCTGACGGACATGTCACCGACCTGGTTCGGCGAGTGAAAGCGATAGAGGGTGCGGATGAGGCAGCGAGGGAGGAGAATGCGGCTGAAAGAGATCTAAAGAAATCACTTAGTCGATCTGAGGAGGAAGCTCATCGGAATCTTGAAAGTGCATAGGGAGGCTCCTCTCCCTCTTCCCCGTGCTTCATATAGCCATATTTCCCAAGGAAGGCAACCTGCGATGGATCAACATAGGCTCGGGAATTGGCGATGAATAGACGACTCATAGAATACAGAGATGCAGGAAGCTACGCCGAAAGAATGCTGAGGACAATCTCATATTATGGATGATACATAAAAGAAGATGATGACACCCCCTCCCCTCCCAATCCGTTTCTCTCCGCGTGACTTGGAAAGTTTTTTACAAATTAGCGAATAGCGAAGGAGTCATAGTTAATCCATGGTAGTAAAGCTACCATATCACTATGACGCTAGATCTACCCTCTTTCATGACTCTTCTTCCTCACGCCCGCACATCTGTTTTTCTTTTCTTTTCTTTCCCTCCATCTATCTTGGGCAACTATCAAGTCTTATCTTATAAGAGAGATAATATCGACTTGGATTTAAAATGCCTTTTTCAAAACCTGAACCTGATCAGGTGCTCTTTCTCCCAGAAATTCTAGAAGCAATCCTACTTCTAGTTGACCAACGTACCCTCCTACTATCTCAAAGAGTCTGCCATCGCTGGAAAGAGGTAATACAAAACTCCAGTCAACTTCAAATCAAATTATATTTCAGGCCATTAATATTTAAATGGTCCAACTCCAGTGTCCGACACAGGTGCAATGAAATGTTTGAAGAAGTTGTATGGCCAATGATACTCCAAACAGCTGGCCTGAAAGTACGAGTTTTGCCACTGTACTTCCCATGGCTAGATCGAAAGAAGCAAGACGCTTTATAAGAAAAGAAGCAAGCTGGCGTCGCGTGCTTCACTATCAGCCTCATTGCGTGAAAGGAACAAGCCTCCTTACAAATACCATCGGCAAGGGTCTATTCATTCAGGCCGAGTTTGAAGGCCGGGACAGCTTTCTGAGGTTAGGGGATTTGGAGGCTGCTGTCCTTGAAGGCACACTCATGCCGACACCGTATACTCTAGGGTTCAGGCTTCGACATCCAATTTCTGGTGATATTCTTTGGGAGAGGTACCAGGATATGATATGTCCTGGTTCGACACGTTATACCGCCGCTTGCGGCGAAGAATATTCAGGCGGAGTGGATGTATAGAAAGGTGTCACCATCACTATCAAGATGGTATTGGAAAACAAAATACTAGCTGAGAGCAAAATTTCACTGCAAATCGAAGAACAGAAACTATCGTAGCACTAGTCAAGGCAGCAGAGTACCAATAATTCCACGAATCGCGTGTATTCAGAACCAAACTGGCCAAATATTTCCATCAGATCGTGTCTCGTAGCCATATATTCGTAGGTTGAATAAGATAACAAATCAGCGAAAGTCCGAACTGAGCTTCTCATCGTGCTGGACGTTAAGCACCGGAGTTAGTGGGAGCTTGCTGAGGGTTGCCACGCCAGCCTATGTAAAATCAGTTGGGAGGCTCATTTGAAGACTGCGAAAGCCTTGGAAAGAAGGCAGTGAGAGTTGAAATCTCCCGCCCAAGAGTATCTACTTACCACCGCCACCGCCACCCCCTCCGTACCCTCCGCCATAGCCTCCGCCTGTAAATGCGTCAGAATAAAAGCCGTCTGGCGTCATGGGTTATTGTGCGCTCACCGTATCCCCCACGGTAACCGCCACCATTTCCATTGCCCTCTGGCCGGTTGTAACCGCCGCGGCCATGGTAGCCACCGTTGTTGCGACCGCCGGGACGCTCAGAGGCCTTGTCGACGCGGATTGTGCGGCCGTCGAATCTAATATGGGTCAATATTCCACTTCGAGAAGAGTATTGTATCGGAACGGCTTACTCCTGGTTGTTCATGGCACTCATGGCGGTCTCTGCATCCTGCTCCTGAGCGAATCGGACAAAACCGAATCCTCGACTGCGGAAGGTGTCGTGGTCTTTCACAACGACCTATTGATTGTGAGCGATCTGTAAATCAAGTGGCTGGATGGCACACGTAGTGATTCTTCACGGATATGAAGATGGGGAAGACTGACCGCTTCTTCGACTTGACCATACTTTTCGAAGCCCTCACGTAGAGTTTGGTCAGTGGTGTGCCATGCCAGGCCACTGTGAAATCAAGAGAGTCAGTCGATTGATTAAAATTGAACCAACTGGGTGAGACGGCAACGACGGTAAGCATATGAAGACAAGAAACCGACCCAATAAACAGTTTGGCCATCTCGACTGTCTGTGAGATGAAGCTAGGGGACTGGTAGGAAGGTTAGTATCCAAGAGGATGAGCAACGAGATGGAAACGTAAAATCAAGCAAAAGGGTGGAATGTGGGTAGCGAGTGAGGCAGGGGGGCGGTCCGAGTTCACTGCAGAATGAGGCTGCTTGACACGGATTCTGCGGCCAGCAGGCTCACTGTCACCTACATTATAAGTGAAACCACCCAGTCAAAGTGCAGAAGAGGAAAATAACGTTAGACCTGTCAGCGGATATCCAGAGGAAAATCAGCTGCAAGATGGAGGGGAAGTCAACTCGTCAGTGAAGGAGACAACGGAAGTGGGATGCGGCAGATAAAGCGGGGGGAGAAGGAGAAGGCGAGACCCGGATTGCCTGACGGTGGGTTTGTGTTTGTGGGTGTGTGGCCTCAAGGATAATAGTAGAAAAAGCAAATAATAATGGGGAAATTAAAATTAGGAGAGATGAAAAAGAAAAGGCAGGTCGGAGTACGGAGTACTAATCAATCAAATGGGGGCAGGGAGGGGGAAGAGTGAAGAAAGGCGCTTGGAGGCGGGGACAAGATGAAATGGGCTGGACGGATTCGAGAGGCGCTAAACTAAGCCCATCGATGGCGCACCTCCGGTCCCCCTCATTTGCTGCCTTCTGCTGCGGGCGAGGGTTTCCCTGGTGGGATTTCGGTCTTTTCTTGAAGGTAGGTAGCGTCGGTGTAGTTGTCCGGTACTTGGTCGTCTGGTGTGGATACCAGGGCTATCTGACAGGGGTCTTTCTATATCACGGAAAGTATACCACTTTGAATCCATTCATATTTTTCTCCATGCATCAAACCTTTTAGAAACATGCACCCCTTTTCGCCTCCATTGCTGCAGCCATAATAGCTCAGACGAGTCTCGTTACTTTTCGAATTCCCAGAGACGCCCTTCAATCACCGTTTCCAATTTTTGTTTTGAAGAAGATAAATAGATACATAGGTAAAAGAAATTAGAAAACCAAAAATCACAAGACCGGACAGACCAGACAGACCAGACAGATCCTAACTTTTTCTGTTCAATCAGAGCCGGTTGTATTTTCAGCAAACACAGGCGCACATTGTGCAAAGGGGACACTGGAAATTCAAGACGACAGCAACGAGGAGGGAAGAGTGATTCGTCGACAAAGGAAGCTTGGATCAATTGAGCTGCACAAACTCGACAGTAGATGTGCCCACAGGGTGCCTTCATGAGCTCCAACGATAAGTACACTACCATACAGGACGCGCATGGAAGCCTTTCGTGGTTCTCAGGGGTCTCGTTCGGCTCAGTACGTGCATCTAGAAATGAGCCTTGTGCATCGACGAGGGTAGGTGGGTCTCCCACAAGGCCAGCCATTGAGGCACTGTTCCGCATCAACAACTGCTCTGGATGCGGGGCATCGTGACCTCCGACTCTGAGGGCAGTTACTCTATCTGCGAGCGCTCTTCTTTTCTCTTCCACTGCAATAGTCACTGCCACGCCGTCATCCTGAACCGCGTTAGATATACTCTGAGCCATCTGTTGATCGGTGAACATTGCAATGAAATGCCCGAGCTGCGCTGCCCATTCTCTAAGCGCAAGCTCATGGTCAGGGTCTCTCGGTATTCCATTCTGTCCCAGAGCATCCTGCAGATCACCTTGTAGGATTTGAATGATAAGCTCGGCACTGGGGGCGTCCATTTCAGAGAACATATTGACAGAGGTTGGTGATTTATGCTTGTCAGAACGAATAGAGAAAGAGGTAAACAGGTTCAGAGAGAGTGAGTGATGACAAGTAAGGGATGATGAGAAGAAGGTGTGATGAAATGTTTGAAGGAGGTGAAAGATTGGGGGGTGGTTGTAGGCCTGAGGATGCACCTTTGCAGTGCAAACGGGGAAACCAAAACGATCACCTCAGCCGGCGAGTGAATGGCAGATCTTTTCATTCACTCGTTCTTCACTTCCTTCATGTCCCCTATCCCCCAAAGGCAAAGACCGAGGCCATTCTTGGCCACATCACATATTATATTGACGTGATTTCTTCCTTGAGGTAGTTACCCGAATCGGAAGGGAGAAGCTTCTATAGGTTCCGTGTTTATTTACCAAACTCTGATGTCACAATCGTTGTTAGAAAGGTAGCCGCCCATGGATCATACCTCGCACACTTTAGCCTCCTCTAAACATCAAGCAAGAGCTATATGACTCCCACTATCTCCTTCTACTTTCTACATGGATTCACAAACGCGGTCTCACGTTCAAGAATGGCTGGCGGGGACGATAGAAGAACCAGGAGACACCAAACCTATGCCGGGCGCGTTTCCCGACATCGTTTTGGCTCAGCCCAGGATACCTCAAGGTAGGATTTCAATTCGTCTGTTGAATGCAAGCTCAGAAAGGCTCATTTGAACGGTCGACATACAGCGCTCCGAATCAACGATCCCACTGCCGATCTTTCCATTCCCGGTGCGAACGAATCGAACCGAAAGAGGCACTCAAATGTTGAATTGCGAAGACGCGACTACAGTCGTAGGGCACGGTACAAGACGAAAGAGGATCGCTACGAATACAAGGGGAAAGGAGCCCGGGCGAAAGATACCTCGGGGTCGAAGAAAAGAAAGAAGACCGCGAATCGCATTCGAAAGCATACAATCAATGACTACTTCCATGCATCAAATGTGACAGCGGACAGATTGACCGTATGAATTTGAAGTTCGAACCTTCTGTAACTCACTCTGACTCTACATTAGCTCCGTCGATCCCTGGACATGGGCATATTTAATAAAGGGAAAGCATCGACTCCTGTGAAGTCTCGTCGAGGTGTGGAACTATTTGATGATGCTGTGTATACTTTGACCATGAGGCTTATCTTATATTTAGTTCATGACGTGTTTTCGGAAGTCAATTTTCTGTCTCGGTCCACGTTGTCGAATCGCGAACGATTGTCTACAGTACAGCGGGGCGGAACAAACGACCTTGAAAAAAAGCTTACGAGCGAGGCCTCCGAGAGGCAAAGAACAGATCATGCCTTGAGCAATTTAGTACGGAAGAACGGTATTGAAGAACGATTTCGCTTTTCGCCAATTGAGAGTCCGATTGAAAATGCGCAAATAGAAGAGAGTACGGAAGAGTCATTGGAAATATACACAAAGGGACTCTTATATTTTGACCTAGGTGCCTGGGAGGCCAGTGAGGTATTGTACAAAGTGGGTTCATCGAAGAAGTACTGGACTCTAGAGGATCTCAAGCTTCTACTGAAAGAGCGAATACAAACATGGCATAGCCAAGAGCAACACAAATACCAGCGGTTTCCGTCCGCTGAGTCGAAGGCAACCATTCCGCAACAGCCTAGCGAGACGATAAGCCAAAGTCAAGGAGACAAGACAGAAGCGATTGAGAGCGTCAAGCCCAGCATTGAGAACGCTGAATTTACTCCCTCAATAATTTCTCAAGGGGTCCACAATTACGCGAGTGAGAACCTTGTACAGGCCGACCCATGCGAGAGTCCTAAATATAACCAAGAATGCCATAGCTTGATGGTTTTCGACCAAGAACCAACCGTTCCATTCACGTTTGCAAAACCAATCATTCATGAGCCAACTACATTCTACGATGAGAATGAGTGCGAAATCAATGGCACTGAGATAATGGAGAGCGAAATGGACTGGGCATACGATTGGCCGCTGGTATCGAACGGAATAGAGAATGATCAAGGGGCGGGTCACTACGGGGATTATTCTCATGCTCTAGATCCAGCTTACCACATGATCGTCGACTCAGATAAGGGTTCTCTGTATGAGATTACTGGTAATAGGGAGTTGAAATTAACAGATGACTCTCCGATGGGTGACAATGAGAACATCGGTCTGATACAGCAAGGCTGTCGATCTTGGGGTATTTCGAATCAGGCGTGCTCACCTTTCCCTCCATCTCTCGACAAAATCCCTCAATTCAACCTTGGTTTACAGGAGCAATTTTATGGGGAATTATACGCTCAGGAGTCTCGCCAGCATCCCTGCACGACCAACCCACTGGAAACAAGATGCTGCATTAGGCAACCTCTAGCAAGACAAGAAGAACGTTCTGGCCAACAGCCTGCAGGGGCATTCAATCCCGAAGAGGAGTTGCTTCATGGGCTGAAAGGGTTTTGGAGACGAAACAAGCTGTATTGATCCCGGTTTGGTTTGCATTGCTTTCCTGAAATTCTTCCCTAAATTTTACCCAACGCCACTTCATAGCATATTACTCGTATGCTCTGCATATTTAGATGTTGGATATCCTCTCCGACACGATGAAGATGCCATTTCCATCTATGCTGTATATATAGGCAATTGCCAAATGAGAGATAAACTGTACAGCAACCCCTCAAATAATGGATGGACACTCCTGGGCCCGAGGGAATGGATGCGTCAAAGCCATCTAGTCGTAGGCAGGTACCATTTGTTTCTTCCGACTCGTTCATTTGTCCTCCCACTCTTAGATGCGCTTAGCACCACGATCAACACGGAAACGGTTCCGTATATTGCTTTTTATACTACACGGACGGACTGAATGACGAATGTGATAGTCGGTGCCCTAGTCGTGGCTTAGTGCGTTCCAACATATGCAGCTATAAGCCCACCCCCACTCCCCGGGGTCCGTGTTCGTCCCAACTCTGTGGTAACTCCCAGTGCATTGGTCACTCGAGGGTCCTAGATTTGCTATTATACTCGGGCTATTATCGTGATAGTGCAACCCGACACCTGACTAGAGAGGCTCTGCCAAGATCCCCTCTCAGAAGTACCATAGACGCAGTCATCTAGCCTAAAATAAGTAGCAAGAAAAATCAAGTCTACCGGTATAACTACATCCTTGCCCACAACCAAATCCCGTCCGGCCGAAGCAGAAACCAAAAACCGGCTCACTTATGGGTAGGGATGAATATGCAGTGGGAATTTAGCGCACTGATATCCGGCCAGTCGGTCATTTCTGCCTAGATTTGCGCGTGCTTCATGTTCTCTATTCTCAGCCAGTATCTAGTCGTTCAAGAGAGGCACTTTATTAAGTTCAAACCCTTATTACCGGGTCCTAAGTATAGATCTAGGTCACATAATACTATTATTGCGATCGATGGTAGTTAAAAAGTAAAATATATGATAGAAGAACTTCCTAATTTGCTGGATAAAATAATTTTAGTAATAGTTTGACCACTGCCTTATTTTATTATTATACTGCTTGATTATCTGATTACGTTAATGAATAGTTACTTACTAGTCAACGAAAACTAGATAATAGATAAAGATCGCCGGCACCTAGTACGCAGGACAACTGCATAAAAAGATATAAGGCAGGACTTCGATAGGCTGACGTATTAAAATGACCAAGTGCCGCCAAGGGTCAGGGGAGTACACAGGGATAAATCTGTAACTTTAAGGGAAAATTGCAGATTTTATTCGTGCCATAGGTCTTCGTTGTCGTCGACAGTTGCACTCGGCGGTGGCCCGCTCCCTTGGGTCAGGGGGTTTTCCTTTTTCTGTACATTGTTAGTGCTCTGGCTTTGTTCTTTTCATTTTTTTACCATATACAATGAATGAATGTGCTATGTCATCAACTATAATGATGAATCTTAGAAGAATGATAGTCTTTGTTGGATTTTTATTGTTAGTCGTCATAAAGGACATTGTTAGGCTGGATAGTGAACTGTAGGAATAAGTTGTTGACACATAAGATGGAAATCGGCTCACCCGACAGAGTGATAAGTCAAGAGCATGGTGGATATCTACCTTAGTAAATGACAGATAGTCTCAGTTAGTCTCCAAATCTGCATAGCGACAGTGACGTGGTGAAGCTAAGAAGTACTAATGTAACGTTAGCCCAGTCTCCATTCCGCCGGGATTTGGGGGATTTGTCTCTCTTACACATCCAATGACAAGCAAGACTGGCTCATTTCGCGCTCGCTATCGACGCTGCTGTCTGCTTCTTCCTAGGTGGGTCCCTACTACGTGATGTCCAAAGGACTCATCTTCCAGGGCCCGTTGCATCGGGATCCAAGTGGACGTTTACTACGACTACGGACGACCGCTGTTTCTAACCTGCAGCGTGGCAGACAGCCGACTACTTGGGGAAAATTGATCTTCTACTGTGTCATGATTGGTCTCGAAGCGAGGGAAATACACCAAAGTACCTCTTGGCGACAATGTGCTCTTTGTTCTTTGTGCTTGCTCTCCCTTTTTGTCTATTGTTGTTAGCCCTTGTCTCGGGGGTATAAAGAATAGAAGAGTGACATAAAAGACTACTGCCTCCCCAAGATTCTGGGAAACTACTATAGAATATACTTATAGGGCTTCTCATTTTGAATTTTCGTATTGTCATTTCTCAAGAAAAGAAACCCGTGTTCACCTTGTCACATCCAAGATGACCCCCACACGATCAACCCCCTCCAGTGACGCCCAAATGAGTGAAGGAACTCGAGCGACCAAAAACCTCACTCGAAAATGCGATAATCCAAATTTAGCCCCATCCCAATGGGCCGTGAACGTGGCCAATCTTGCATTACACACGGACCTAACCGGCCTAGCCACGGCAAAACCGTTGAATATTCTCACCACCGACGTTTTGAAATACGTACGAACGAGGCCCACGCTCATTTGGGAGCTTAGTGATGTGATGCAAAGGGTTTGGAGGGGCGCCATTTGTCCGGATTACCTGCTTGTGAGTACTCCCCCGTCCTCATGAAATATTGACGATTAAAGAAGGCTCATAGGCCTGTTCTCAATGCAGCAACTGGGGGAATTGCACAAAGGGAAAAGCAGAGATGAACTTTTCCGAGGCCAGCTGGTAACCAATCAGCCTGATGAGAACATGATGCTACAATATCTCCAAGCGCAGGCGCTACATCAAGCATTTCCACCGGATAGCAAAAGGCGCGCGAATATCATGTTTAAGATCATGCACAAGATGTGCGAACAACACGACAGTATCATACCCTTTGATATGTAAGTTTCTCAGAGATTCCTAAGCATGATTACCATACGGGGGACTGATCATGTTTTCAGTAACAATTTTCGAGTCCACGAACTATACAAACCTCGCCTAGTGGACAAGAAACCTATCAACCGAGTGGCGGATTTTGTGTTTATCAGCCGGCTAGAGAGCACAAACGACAAGACAATGGTTGGAGTGTACAAACAAATGACTCATTCACGGCTCCCATTCAACCCTGTTCATAGCAAATTCCTCGCTTTTTCTCCCATGTGCGGCGGAGTTGTAATCCGCGAAGGCGAGGGAGATATCATCCAGGCCGAAGCTTCCTTGCACATGAACGCCTGGCACGCAGCAACAATTCTCCACATGAAACGTTTATGTCGATATATCCGATTGGATTACGACCAACATCCCGCACCGGCAAGTATAGGGCTCAAGATCGTCAACGACACATGGACGATTTCCGTGGGCTATTCAATGCTCGTGGACGACGAAGAGAAACTGGTAAGTACGCTCCCTATTATTCATCCCCTTCTGATTGCTTTGTTTCATCTGAAAACGTATCACTCTCATACTAAACTTGCAATCCTTCTAGTGCGTTGAGGACATTGCTGTAATCCCGGTGTTGCCGGGTAACGTCGCGGGCATATACCAGGCCCTTCGCATGATGAATGCGATACTCGAGTATTTCAAACTATTCCACTTGCCCTGGATTACCAAAATTGTGATCCCGACTGCCATCAAGACATTCTCGGTAGTACCAGCCAAGAAGGCCGATATATCGGACCCCCCTACTCCGCAGACAGAAGATTGATTGATTGCTGACAGCTTTACTTGCAGAACCACGGCGTCGGTCTCGTCCCGCGGACCTATTTGGTCAGTTTGGACGAACGAGACCGCCAGGCCCGGTCGTCCTCTATCTCTTCTGGGTTGTGGTCGATGGTGAAGATACAGTCCCGTGGGGAGGAGACCTCGGCAGAGCAGCAGAATACACGGATGAGGTATGGCCCGCCGTTATTTGCCCTAAGTTGGCCTCGAAGAGGCGCGGTGCGAGGGGACATCTATGCTGAGGACAGTCATGGGTTGATGCTGGTGTCAGAGTACGATGTTCTGGGCTGCGGGTCAGGGTTCGCGAGCACATTCCACTATCTCGAGTCTTGGTGATCTGAGCATATGGGTAGTATTATTGCAGGCTTTTTGTTTCTTTCAGGATCATGTCAAAAGAATAGTACTTGAAGTTTGAAATCAGTGTCAAGTTTTTCATACATATTCTTGATTCTATACAATAATGTTGAATTAGATATGATTGTGTCTCATAGCGCGCTCTATTGCTAGACGAAATCAATTTGACCAGCCCTTTTTTATGCCCTCGACCTAGGGGTTTGCTGGTTCACCGAGGGTCTGTAATGCTCTTGACGCAGACCTGGCCCAGTGAGCATGCCTTTGTCCCCTTATGATTCTCCACGGTGTATCCAAAATAAGGCCAGGGGCCTCTAGCTCACGATTTGTTAAAAATCACTGTAGAAAGTAGACAACCGCTAACTATCTAGCAGCGAAACCAGAGGCTGGGGAGTAAACAACCACGAGGACAATGAGGTTTATCATCGCTCTCCGACTGAGAAGGCGGGGGTGGGTATCATTATGTATGTATCACAGGAACGGGAATGGCTCATGCACAAACGAAACTTGGAAGGAATGACGAATATTTAAACCTCTCACTGTCTCCGGAAAGGGCGCTGAGTCCGTGGTATTTGATGCCCGTTAACCAGCTCATAGCGACGCAACCACTCCCGTTCCCTTATACGCCGATGGGTTCTTCATCACCACTTCGATGGGATATTTCCATTCCATGAACCTGGTCCAGCCTAGTTGTGCAGAGTTAGTCAATCGATCTAAGGTGTACCCCTTTAAGGGGACTCTCGAATTTTATCCCCGGGACAACTAAAAAGGAGAGAAAGAGGAATGAGTACCCCAATAAGCACACTTCCTCCCGAAGTATTTCCCCACGAACGGAACCAGGACCATGGTCAGGAGGAGCTCCAATTGCTCGATGCTTTCGCGCCATTCCTCCTCGGCGTCGGAGTAATCATCTGAGAGGGAGTCGAGGTCGGAGGCGGAGGTGGATTCGGAGGGGAGAGAGGCGACGTCTTCATCGGAATAGTGGTCGCGGGAGGAGACCATGTAGGCGGAGGTGGTGAGGGACGGGTTGGAGGCGGAGGGGGATGGGAAGGACATGGTGGATGCTGGACTGGTCCGATCTGGTGTTGGTTCTGGTGTTGGATTGACGTGATTTGGTGTCGGGAGGAGGGTGTCGCGGAAGAGGAGAAGCGAATATGCAACAAGAATTCAAGTAGTGGCCTGCCTACCACCTGAACAACGATAGAATCCGGGATGGCGACGAGTCGAGTCGAGTATGGAGCAGAAGGTGGATGGAAACCGTCTGACGTAATCAGTCACTGGACGGGACCCGGTGATGGCCCTTATCACGTGCTATAATGATGCCTGAGGCGACCACAAGTACGGGCCGTACAGCCGTACGGTATCGATACGGGGGGCCTTGAGTCAGAGGGATCACGTGTCCGATAACAGGTCGCCATCGCAGCCTCTGAATTGCGAGTCTGGCTCGCTGCGGACAAGCAAAAAGCATCGCTCCTTGCCAACACCAGACGCTCCATCGACCCGACCAGCCGAGTCGCTACAATTCGAATTTGTGGCGTGTTTCTACCCCTGATTTCCTGCGAGAGACTGCCAATATGGCGGAGACTGTACGTCACAAACACTCTGTTTTCCCTTTACCGATTTGCCCTCCCACATTTTCTTCAACATTTCACCTCCCATACCTTTAAGTTACCTTTCCGCCCAATCTTCCTGTGCTTTATCTCCTTTCCCCCCGCGCTGTGACAGTTGTACGCTGCTGCTTCCCCAGTTTCCGTGAGATTTGACTCTTTGTTCTTGGATCGTTCTTTGGGCCTTGATATTTTTTTTCTCTTCCACTTCTTTTTTAATCCACCGCTAACCTAATTCTCTGGCGGGGCCAGGTTGAACCGAAACAACGCAAGTCCGTCGCATTCAGCGAAGGCGCAGTCATCATGGATACCAACGGTGAAGTCACAGAGGCCCCTCAGGTCGAGAAGCCTACTACGGAGAATGACGGTAGGTTTTCATGATGTTCTTTAGATCCCTTCGTTATCACCCACCATCGCCCGGCGGAGTGTCCCTCCCCGACCTCATCTCTGTCCGAACCTATCCGCTGTCCAACAATTGCTAATTTTTCCCGCTTTCACTTCAACCAGCCACGGCAGACAAGTCCGTCGATGATGTCACCGAGATGTTCAAGGGCCTGTCGAAAAAGAAGAAGTCCAAGAAGCCCAAGGAGTCCGAGGGCGGAGAAGACGAGGAGGCCACCCCCGCCGCCGACGGCGAGTTCGACCCCACGGCCCTGAAGAAGAAGAAGAAGAAGCCCAAGAAGGACGCCGGTGATTTCGAGGCCAAGCTGGCCGAGGCCGGCGCCACCGAGAAGACCGGCGAGGAGAAGGAGGAGGAGGTGCCCGAGGGCGACCTTGAGGCCGGAACGGGCATCTGGGCCCATGACGCATCGCAAGCCATCCCCTACTCGCTGCTGGTCTCGCGATTCTTCTCCCTCATCCAGAGCCACCACCCCGATCTGTTGTCGAGCGGCGCCAAGTCCTACAAGATTCCCCCGCCTCAATGTCTGCGTGAAGGTAACCGTCGTACCATCTTCGCCAACATTTCCGATATCTGCAAGCGTATGAAGCGTTCCGACGACCACGTCATGCAGTTCTTGTTCGCCGAATTGGGTACCAGTGGTAGTGTGGACGGTAGCCGACGTCTGGTTATCAAGGGTCGTTTCCAGCAGAAGCAGATTGAGAACGTTCTGAGACGGTACATCGGTATGTTTTTCTTCTCCTGTCCCTTCACCCCCATTTTCTATGATATAACATAGCGAATAACCTCTAACATGGAAACAGTCGAATACGTCACCTGCAAGACCTGCCGCAGTCCCGACACCGAACTCAACAAGGGTGAGAACCGTCTGTACTTCGTTACCTGCAACTCTTGCGGATCTCGTCGTTCCGTCGCCGCCATCAAGACCGGTTTCCGTGGACAGGTCGGCCGCAGAAAGAGACAGGGTTAAACGGAGAGGAGAGAGCAAAAAGACAAACGAATGGTGTTTTCTTGTGGCTGGAATGGTTCTCGGGGAAGAAAATTGCAAGGAGCCCGGTGGTCATTATTCCATATTATTTTCGCTATCTTTGGCCGTTTACGATTTTCTTTTTTTTTTTTTCATCCCTTCCTCCCCCTTTTATCTCGTACAAAGATTTTCCTCTTTCGCTCAGTTGAGATGGGTTTATGTTGGAGATGAAAGCATGTGTGATGTTGTGTGGGGCGCAACGGGCGGGAACGTGAGTGAGAAAAAAAAAGACTTTGGGCCTTGACGTTAAGAAGAGACGAATTGAAGATATAGCGTGGCATGATAAGTATATGACTTAGTTGGTCGTCATTTTTCTATTCTTTGGTGTTTTGAGTAGATGTTGTAATGAGTCGTCCACACTTCTTTAAGGACTATTCCCAAAATCTACATTCTCTAGTTTGCGTTCAAAGAAAGATTCGACTTGGATATGAGAATAACCAACAGCTATAACATACATCCACGTATAAAACACTATTTCTGAGCCTAGATCGAGTATAATGTGCTTCGCTCACAAGGTCACCAGGAACTTGAGGGGAATATAACCAACAAATGGCTCAGGAGATAAAGAGGGAAAAAGAAAGGGCAGAAGAAGAAAGAAGTATGGAAGAGGCAATGATAAAGAAAGAAAGGAAGAAAAAAAAACTGTCATAAGATCGTATAAGGTATCCAAACCTCACCCACTCGCTGTAGAAGCCCCGATATGGGCCGCAAAGGTATTCACGTTTCTCGTCTGCAAGTAGACCGTTCCGGGGCCCATGAACCGACAGGCAAGACCTTCGCCAGAGCTGATGCCGGACATGATACCGCCAGATGCGACTCGCTCGATCTTGTACTTGCAGTTCCAAGTCACCAGATGACCATTGTCGACGAAGTAGGTCTCGCCATCGGAGATCTGGATTAGAACAGTGATTAGCCGGAGTTTCTTGTAGGGGGTTATCAAGAGACCAAGCATACGTCTTTCTTGATGATGGCACCGAAGCTTTGAAGCCAGACTAAGCCGATTCCAGTCATCTTGTAGACGAATAATCCTTCGCCAGAGAAGACGGCCTTGCTGATGCTCTGCCTTTGAAAGTCTTTAACGATGCCGCTGGTCGCGGCCAGGAAACCGTCTTTGCCGACTTTCCAAGAATCGGAACCGGACAGGCGCAGCACGATGATATCGCCCAGTGTCGAAGGGGCAAGAAGAACTTCACCGGGTCCGGTGTATGTGGACAGGGTCATTTCTCCGGCTAACAATTTCTTCCATGAGAACTTGAGGCTTCCGCGCAGTTGAATTTTCTCAGACATGGCGATCATCGCGCCTAGTGATACAAGTCAATCGATTGCTTCCCGAGCATCACGGGGTGGGAGGAAGGACTGGGCTCACCAGGCTTAGCCTCAATGGGGCATCCCATTGCCAATTGCAAGGTGAGGATAGAGTTTGTGTCTCTGTGGCTGATTCTGTAGCTGCCGCCATTGAACGTGCCCACCTCGTCCGCACTAGATACGATTTGGTCTGGGCTATATTGGACTGGACTATACTGCACGGGCATTGTAGATGCTCTTTGCGGTTGTTGCACGGCGGGGGGAGGGGATTGAGGAGGCGGGGATACAGAAGTCGACTGGGCATAGGAATTTTCAATCCCAGGGTTGATATTGTATGCTGCATTATTGAGATCGGGTGGGGGTGGGCTGGCAGGCTGTTGCCTCGGAGGAGGGGGGTAGCTGAAGTTTGGTGGCGGAAATGCAGGAGAGCTTTGAGGGGAAGGGAAAGCTATACTGTGTGGGAAAGCGTTTGCAGGGGGAGCAGGAGGTGGTGCCGTACCTGCGGGGTGCGCAGGGGCTAGTTTGACAAGGCTATATTAGTTACAATCGAACAGAATATATGTTAGGAGCATGAGGGACTCACGAGGGAACGAAGTTTCCTGGTTGGGGGGAGGAAGGAAAGCCGAAGCCATTGCTTAGGGCTAGCTATATACGTCTGAGCCTGATCTTTCGGTGAGCTAACCAAGTTGACAGAGTTCTCACTTCGGGGAGGAAGTGTCTGATGTTTTAATGATATTCTATAGTCAAGGAGAGAGAGAAAAAAATAAGTTGAGAAGGCGATCTAAATGCGTCCAAATAGTCTAAATATATATGTCCAATCTTAATAGCTCACTTCATCCCAACACAGCGGGGAAGGAGAGAGAGAAAGAAAGAAAGAAAAAAAAAAGCCATCATGCGAGGCGCATGGGAGCAATAGTACACGGGGACCACATGCAGAAGAGCGAGTAGGCGCCGAGGGGGCAGTAGGGCGTCGCAATCTGATTGCATGACGGGAGGGAGCTCAGCGCTTAGAGAGCGTTAGACTGTGAATCTGTGATAGCAGCTGCAGCAGCGCCGCGGCCAATCGACAGGAGGGAGCGGGGTAGAATATTAATAGCAGCGGCCCGTCCGATTCTCGCCCTCCATTCGCTCGGCACCATCCCTTGGCAGTTGATTCTATCCATAGTACTCTGTGGGAGTACAAGGTACTTCGTCTATACTCCCGATTCGCGCGCCATCGCTGCTTCGAGGAGTTGTACCCCTTCCAGGTAGTGCAAATCCCGTGCCCAGTCAAGGGCCGTCGGTCCGTCCGAATTACGCCCACGAACATTGGCTCCATGATCCAACAGGACTCGCATGGTCTCGGTGCCACGATTGCGTGTGGCCAGCATCAGAGCAGTGCAGCCATCTTCGGTCTGCTCATCCACATGAGCTCCTCGAGAGAGAAGGAATTTCACCATCTCTGCGTGGTTGTCTGCAGCAGCGGATATCAAAGGAGTCTCTCCGCCCAAAGTTCCCAAATTGACATGAGCACCGTGCTCCAGGAGGGTTTGTGCAATGTCCACATGGTTTTGGATGGCGGACCATAGCAGGGGAGTAATTCCATCGTGATCTTGGGCATTAACGGTGGCCCCTTTGCGTAAGAGGAGGTGAACGAGATCAATATCGCCTACTTGACTGGCAGCCATCAATGGTGTGGCTCCCCTCGCAGCCTTTCCGTTGACATCCGCCCCTGTCTCGAGCAGTTCGCAAACTGCTGGGTGATCGGCAACTGCCACCCTGTTGATAAGAGCAGTTGTACCATCTTGGTAGGCTTGCATATCAAGGTTTACTCCCTGGTGACGGAGTGAAGTGATCGCTACTCGATACCGCCTCTCAGCAGCCCACAGAAGAAAATGGCAGATAAAGCCGGGGTACCGCTTCTCAAATTGGAGCCATCTTGCAAGGAGCCAGTTCATCAGAGCATAGTGATTGTTTTGGCATGCCCAGTCAAATGCCAGCATTTCATCTGACCCTGGAAGCTCTAGATTGAACATTTTGGGAAGCTCCCGATGGAATAGTTTCTCGTCGCTGTCAGTCAACCATAGTAGGGCGATTTGCTGTCCTCGTGCTCCTTGGTCGACGCTGTTGTTAACTTTGCCTGATGGTATAGACTGCTCATTTATACCAAGTGATTCCAGGTCACCCTGAATAGGTTGCTTGTCGCAGTGGTTTTGGGCGATATGCCATACAACCCATCCTAATTGCGAAGAAAACGAGCTCCAATCTTCAGGTCTGTTAGACATCCAACCGTCACGGCGAGAGACTTTTGCATTTTTTGGGAGATTCGTTCTCGGGTCGCCTTGTATAATGAGGAATGCATGCTTGAACCCCTCGGACTGGACGCTGGCTTCGGTATGAATTATTGCCCGTCGGCAAAGATCGCCTATTTCGAATAGAGAATGCTCGAATTCGGCCCCTTCACATCGCTCACAAAACCATTTTAGAGTTGCAAAGGCTTCGGTCCAGTTTTCGTTCGCTAAAAGCTCATCTATGCGCTCTCTTATGATTCCCGAGTACCCACCCAGCTGAGGTAAAAGACCTTGATGTTTCAGAACAGGTACCACGCATAGCAACGCGTCTTCTCTCGAACCCATCCCACCAGACTCAAAGCAAGAGACAAGCTCATCAAGGCGGCTGCTGTATGCAAGATACCCGCTCTGCGACCCAGGAAGCATGTTAACATCGCCCCCGAGCTCTTGCAAATCTTCAAATGCGCTGCTCAGGAATTGCATGTAAATATCCTGGGCGATCATGGTCTCTAATTCATTGTCGGTTTTGACAACAAGAATATCCTTATCATCCGGATATTCATCCGATGAGAAGCCGAACATCTGTTCAGGAAAAGATATCGCTTTGGATGAAACCATTCTTGCTTGCGTATGGCGGTGTATCCACTTCTGGAAGTATAGATCCGTCTCCTCTGCTCTGGCCTCGGACTCACTCAGCCCCACCAGACGGTCAAGTCCCCTCTGGTTCCAATTGGGATTGGCCTTCAATAGAGACCATGCCCGCAGCCCGATTATGGCCTCGAGCTCATGGTCCTTAACGCGCCATTGGAAGGTGTCGTCCGATCTTTCCAGCGTAATCGGGTAGGTTTCGACCTTGGGGGCAACGAACTTTTTGCGGGACTGACACACGAGCGATAAATCAAAGCTAAAGGTGTCGGTAGATGATTTTTTCCACTTTGATATCACATCCATGGTCGATTCAATTGTTTGTCCCAGATTTTCTGCTGCCAGTCGAATAGGAAGGTCCTCCCAGGCTCTGTCAGGGTGTTCATCGGTATTAGATGTTAGCTCTGCTAGTCGAGCTCTTGTCTGCACAAGTCGTGTCGCCGTTCCAACCTGCTGGGTGGAGCTTCCAATTGAGGAAGCGGATGACGAGGAGCTCGATTGGGAAGGAAGGGGGCCGCTGGCAGCCGTAGAGATAAGACTGAACGATTCAACGTCTTCAAGGTGGAATGCAAAGCTGTCCAGCTCCTGGTGTTTATTGGAACTCAGTTGACGCTCTGTTTGATCTAGTCGGTTCTCATCTGGACCAATCCGTTTCGTTCGTAGACACGTTCGGACAATAGCCATCAGAAGCGTGGAGCCCATTTGTGCTAGGATGACCGAAGCATGCAGGCCTCGAAGACCGACAAATTGGACCACGAATCCGATCATTGTGATTGCTATGGCAATCATCAGCAGAGGACCCTTGCTGTTGTGTCCTCGGTCACGGATAGATTTGATGTATGTCAGCTTCTGGGTCGTCTGCGATTCAGGACCCTCAGCCACTCCGAGAAAGGCACCAAAAGGTTGGTTCCCAAAATCCTGTTTTCCGGGCTGCAGCCAGTAAATTTTACTTGGCTTGGTCGGACGAAGATAAAATTCGGTCGATGCGCGCTCGATCATGAAGGCGCAAACGAACATTCCTGTGCAGAGAAATATCGTCCCAAAGAGAAAGAGCGGAAATGCATAACTCGGAACCGGCTCATCGTCTTTCTCGAAATCATCAGGGTATAGAAATACTGTAAGACCAGCATATGCAAGAACACCTGTCAACTGTATATCAGCAAATCATCCCGTAGTAGGAACACGTCAAAGCTCACCTATCTGCAGCGCAAACCCTAACACAGCAGCACAGTAGAACCAGACTTGACTTCTTCTCTTGATCCCCTTGTTCAGAGAAAGATTGGGCACATCAAGCTCCAGTGGATAGCCCTTTTCGTCTTGGAACTTCGCTCCGTCCTCCACAGACCAGGCATTTTGCTTCAGGGCATCTCGCAACGTCCCGATTTTCCGCGAGCCCTCTTTGCTCTCAGTTCCTTCCTCGTCCCAGACCACTACCTCTAGGATTCGTGGCCGGCCAATAACTCGGGATATACCCCCGTCATTGAACAGCTCGGCCGTGGTCTCCGACACGCAAGACAGAAGCTCATTCTCGGCTTCTCCGGGGCCTTCCTGTGCTCGTCCAACGAATGCTCGTAGCGACGAGTTTCCGCAGACGCGAATGACAGATACGACCGCCGTCAGGATACCTAGCGGGGACATGGCAAAGATAAAATTATCTAGGATACTAATTGATTCCGACAGAAATTGTTTTGTCAGTCGTTCTCCGAATAGGGAGATGAGGGGTGCCTAGTCACATCAGTATTGGCCTTTCATCCCCACGAGGCAGTAAACGCTTTCAGCTTACCAAGTCAGTGGCAAGATTGTCTGTGAAACCATCCCAATCATTTGCTCGCACGGAGGGAAGTAGAAAAAAGACGATGAAATTCAAATACCACAACATGACTCGGGACTAGGGTTAGAATATAACAAAAAAAGATCCAAACTAGATGAGCAAACATTTTATCAAGCCCATGGGGATCAGCCATTATTAGATAGAATTCAGATCCATATACCTTGTGATTATGCGCCAGCATTCAGCTCCTGCAGCTGCGGCATCGATCAGCCTTGCGAAATGCCCCGCTTTGCATGTCGGCGCTTCGAGGGCTCCAACGGTTGCCTGAACCGCCGGGGTTCAGAATTAGGTCGGGGCTCTAGACCATCTTGGAGTGACATGTCAAGCCCCATGATGGCGCTTAGATACGCGCCGTGTTTCATCGGCTGTAGCATCAATCGAGTCTTGGATGATTAAAGTCTATCTACAATATCGGTCCTCCTGAGTGGACAGGCTATTGCTAAATAGGGATCGGATGGTCTACGGTAGATCATGGCCCAAATAGTTGAATTCAAGCTTATTCAATAACGCCCCTCTCAGGGACCATGGCAACACACTGTTCCAATGATGTCCACCGGACCAAAAAGAATAATTATTCCAGGAATTAATCAAAGAAGCATCCCAAACGCCATTCCCATGATAAGCAACGATGAAGTGAAAGCGATAAACCAAGACCGATCCGCATAGTATGGGACCGAGTGATAACAAATAGGTATTCGAGCGATAACGAAGACATTAGAAAATGCTATTCACAATGTTGGAGCCAACAGTAGCACCGGCACCGAAGATGGCTAGAGATAAGTGTCAGTCATGCATTGAGTTAAAGGTTTTGAGGTTGCTCATCCGTATGGGAGCATCTGCCATGTAGGGGGTACGTACCGGCATTACCCAATTTCTTGCCAAACTTCTTGCCGTGTTCCTCCACCTTGCTGTTTTTGCCTTCGGGGTCGGCCGCGGAGCCACTCTGACTGACCTCGAGGGGCATGTTGCCATAGCCAGATGGCTGCGGCCCGGCCACTCCCTTATCCTGGATCACATTCACGTAGCTGCGAGGGAAGATACCCTCGAGGTTGGTCCGCTCGTTACGTCCGCGCCACCCTAGTTCAGAATTATCAGTTGTTTGATCATATATATCCAGGGAGGAGACAGGGCGTCATACAGTCGGCATTCATGTGCTCGAGAACCTGAACCCGGTCGTTCGGCTGCAAAGCCAAATCGCCGGGGTCCGTCGGGGTGTATGCATATAGTGCAGAGGCAATGGATAGAACTGGCGGGACTTGGGGATAAGCCGGCGGAGGAGGGGTAGGGTTGTACTGCGGCGTCGGCGGCTGCTGATACGTCGCCTTCTCGTTCAACGAGGTATTGGCGAACTGGTTCGTGGGAGGGGAGTACGGAGCAGGGGGAGGCTGCGCCTGAACCGGCGCTCGCACGGGAGCCGGGGCCGGAATTGGGGATGGAGCGACAGCCGGTGGCGATTGACGCTGTCGAGGCGCCGATGGTTGACGTGCATCCTCCGACGGCAGTTGCGAAAGGATGGAGGAGAGTTGCTGTGGCGTGATGACCGAGGCATCTGCAAGGAACTCAAGTTCCTGAAAGAAACGAGCGTCAGTAAACAAATCAACGACACAAAAGAGCGGTAGTTCTTCTTGCGACACGAGAAGGTAGAAAGGAGGACATACTAGTCGAACAGTGCGGACCGACCGGTTGGTCATGGCCCTGACGAAGTCGGGGGACGCCATGATAGGCCAGGGGGGAATAAAGAGGAGATCTGAAGTTTCCAAACAAGCGGAGAGAAAAATATGGGAAGCAAGAAGAATGGAAAAATGATGGACCACCTTATATTAAAAAAGAGAGAAAAGAAAAGAGGAGACGGAATGGAAGGAGGACGGGGATGGAGGGTTGGATAATAATTAATGCCGTGCATTATGGGCTTTGGTACCTGAGGCCAGCCAGCCAGTCCGGGCGGACGGCCAAGGAACTCACTGGGGCTGTTTTCCATGTCTGCCTAATATTTTGAAATGCCAAGTCTCGATATATTCAGTCTCATGCCTCAGTTAAATCATCTTTTTCGACTGGTACTCGATTTTCAGACCGCAATGAATCGCGCATTTTCTCTCATAGATTCATAGATCGTGGATCCGACACGTGGCTAGATTGTGTTACCGCTTCACCAAATCCCATGCGTGTTCATTTCTGTCCCCAGCCAAGATACCGCAGTATATCTCGACTTTCGATCTGTCCTTTGAAATATCTCCTCTGCATGCCTCTTGGGTTTCTCAGACATGACCCATATATCCCCAAAGCTAGTCCGAAACTGTCCAGTAGGGCCAGCTCTAATGGTGCTAAGGACCTAGGCATCATACTAGTCCCGGACATCGAGTGGGTTGTCCCTTTTCCGAGCTAAAAATACGAATGTTCGCGAGGTCCTTTTCGGAGAGCCGAGTATACAAATTTGCTATCTCCATATTCATTTTGCCCATCTCTTGGGTCCGGTGTCTTCCGGGAAGCATGAAGAGTGTTCTGGTGGGTGGTCCGGCATGTTCAAGGCACGATTTGTTGAGGCATGACCATTCAACATAATACAACCTAAACTAGGGGATATTAGAAAACTGGAGTAGGCTGTAAATCAGCTACCTGGGCTGCCTTGTTCTTGGTTGCCGTTCTCTTCCTCCTTTGGTGTTGTATCGGACATTACTAGTGGGTATCAATTGTCGAATATGCTCCATACTATTAACTCATGTAGATGCGAAATAACACGATGGAAGTGTTAAGAGTGAAATATATTTAGAGAAATTCAAATCTCTAACGGGTGTGAAACAGCGGGTTAGCTCAGAAAGTGAAGCAACACAATATGACACTATGCCTTTCATCGGATATGTGTTTCGGAATATATAGAATGTCCATAACTATCTTGCTCTTAAGAGGTGAACATAACATGCAAGCCACGTGCCCAAGAACAAACACAGGACCAAGGATAAGCATACATAGGAAGAATGAAGAACCAAGAAAAGTGCAGTTTCAGGTACCTCAATTAGTCGCTGTTGTGATGCAATACCTGATAGATTTGGCCGTGATGCTGATTAGTGGGGTTGTAGAATCCAGTACGAGGTCGATAAGAGGACAGTGACGTTGTGCTATGGAGGCACACCCCGTTCAAGGAGAATCAGACGGCCCAAACAACCGGGAAAGAATTAAAATCCAGAACAGCTCAGAATGAGGGAGCAATTGACTGACTCATTCTGACCAACCTAGAGAGCACTCACGGAGATAGGCAAACGGAGGGCTCCTTTACAACCGCAGATGCGACGGCGAAGCGAAACGTATGATGTCAGCGGGGCTAACCAGAGTAGGGCTAGCGCGATTGGCCATAACGGGACTCCGCCATCCCAGGGCTCGAGAAGCTTCTGTGTCATCGATATAAATTCGGCGGGCTGAGAACATCCCTTCTTCTGAGCCACACAAAACATTTACACGACCTGAACGCCACCTCACACCCTCCACTCTCCACCCCCACCACGACCATCACCAATACCCTTAATCCTCTATAATCGTTAGACTCTCTTTCAAAATGAGCGACTGGGACTCCGTTACTCGCATTGGCGCTAAGAACCGCGGCGGCGCTGCCCCTCGTGAGACCGTCGTCAAGGGCAAGAGCGCTTTGAACGCCGCTCAGCGTCAAGGCCTGGTCATTGGAACTGAGAAGAAGTATGCTAGCGGCAACTCTGTATGTGCTTTCTATCTTTATTTCCCTCCCCTTCGTCTAGATGGAGTATCTTTTATCGTCCCGGTAAATCAGCGGCTAATCAGATTCCGTAGGCCGGACGCTCAGGTGCCCCCGAGGGCCAGCACTTGACCAAGGTCGACCGCAGCGACGACATCGTCAAGCCCAAGACCGTGGGTTACCAGGTCGCAGACGCCATCAAGAAGCGCCGAAACGAGGAGGGCTACAAGATGACGCAGAAGGAACTTGCCACCAAGTGCAACACCACCCCCGGTGTCATCCAGGACTTCGAGAAGGGTACCGCTACGCCCGACCAGAAGGTCCTCAGCGCCATGGAGCGCGTGCTCAACGTCAAGCTGAGAGGCGCGGACATCGGGAAGGAGAGATTCCCTAAGAAGAAATAAATTCGGGAATGGCTTAGAAACGACTCTCTTTTCCTTTCTTTCTGCTTTTTTTTTTTTTTTTTCTAACATATCCCGGGATTTTGACCTTTTTGATGTCTTTCCCCCCTTCATTTTCGGTTGTTACGTGACGCAACATGTGCAATGAGGATTTCATGTCTGTTTTGTTATTACTTTCTGCTGGTCGGAAGAGCGCTGGCCTGGCATTAAAATGGGATTTTCCTTTAAAGAAAGATCATCTGATAAACCGTGGTGTGCTTCTTATTTAGTTGGGAGACCTTGGTGTTGGCTTATGTCTAGATCAATTCATAGTTCATAGAAATGCTGCCCAGCAAATTGTCAATGAAATTCAAATATGAAGCAAAAATAGTAAAATATGAACTGGTGAAAGTAAAAATTGTGTTTTTTATTAGGACACAGAAAGCGACCAAAGAAAAGGAAATGGTACCAACTCCGATTTATCATGGAATCAAATGAAATGAGAAACTCATGCCCTAAAGCCACCCACACCCCCCTTTCGTAAACCACGTCTGTCTTGCTTTTTCTACTTTTTTTCTTTCTTGAGTAATAAATGTCTTTGCCTCATAACACATACGTATATGCGTAGAATAGAAAAAACCTCGATTCATCGACCAATTTACCGTCTCAGCTGCTCCCGCTCGACTTCGTACATGAAATCAAAGTACCCCTTGTCGAAGTGATGGACACGGACGTAACCGTCCTCTCCGCCGGAGGCGTAGGCGGTACCGTTGGGGTGAGCGTGAACGGTGTTCAGGGGACCGAAATGGCCACGGACACGGCCGATCTCGTCCTCGAAGACCTTGTGGTAGAAACGAGCTTCGAATTTACCCTGGCGAGCAGAGGTAGTCGTGACATCCATGGCGGCCTGACCACCTCCCAGGATCACGTACTCCTTCTTGGCAGTAATGGTGGCGCTGTTCAGGGGCGTGTCGGCAACGTAAGTCTTGAGGATGGCGAGGTTACGGGTGGAGATGAGCTAAGTACGATGGTTAGTTTGCATGGCGCCGAGCAGAATATCGCAGGATAGAACGTACTTTGGCAGATTTGTCTTTCGAGGCGGTGATGAAGTAGGTGCGGTCTTCGGAGAATTGGATGTCGTTGATCTGGTGGTCGAACTCGTGAGCCTGGACATTCTCCAGCTGCTCACCGGTCTAGAACGTCGAACACAGTTAGCACTTGTGCGCCGATATTTCTCAAAGGGACATTACGCCGGCCGAATGCGGCAAATGGACCCCGGGTTCTTCGAAATGCGCACCTTAGCATCATACTGGCTGACGCTGCCGTCCTCGTGGCCGGCGATGATGTACTGGCCCAGATAACTCCAGCCCGCAACAGTGGCCTTGCTCTCCGTGCAGGTGATTTTGAGGCTGGGCTCCTCGGCCTGAACCTCCAGGTTGCCGCCCTGACCGTCTCCGTAGTTGATATCGAGCACGGCGATAGTGCCCAGGAAACCCATACGCTTTTCCGTCACAGCCAGCAGTCTGGTTCCGTCGGGGGTGAATTCAACGCGCTTCACGGCCGTGGGGAAGTCCCACACCTTCACGCACTCGCCGGTCTTCACGTTCCATAGTCGCACGGTGTTGTCTGCCGAGCCAGTCGCCAGGAGAACGGTGTTGGGACTCACGTCGACCGTCCAGATGGCACCCTGATGTCCGTTGTAGGTACCGAGTCGCTCGCCGTTAGCCGACCACCAAGCACACACAATTTTATCCTTTGCCACGGAGAAGATGAGATCGCCATCGCGGTTGAATTTGATTTGGTTGAGGGACCGTTCCTATAGGTAGGGTTGCCTATCAGTACATCTGAAGCCTCTTTCAAGGTGGAATGAAAAAATAGTAAATCTTCAACCCGGGCAAGCACGCACATGGCCCGAAAGCAAAATAGGCCTCATATTGGGCCGACCAGGGTCTGATTCCGGTGGAGGCGACGAAGAATAAACTAGGGGAGATCACAGAAAGATCGTCTGTGACCGAAGATGTCTAAGATGAGGCGGAAATGCTGGCGGGGTGCTGGACTGCTCTCCTCGTCGGCGTTGGTTAGACTAGTGAATTTCTTCGCACAGTCCGGGCTCGCGCGCCAAGACCTTCCTGTTCGAGGCCGTCTGTACGGTAAATCTCACGTACGGGAACAATGCTCGGCCCGGTAACAATGGACTGATTGCACGTGATAGACTCTAGCCCTGGATTGACGGTCGTCCGCATCTGGCCTAGCGCCGAGATGCCGGAAATTACTGGGATGACATAATCCCGTCGTGTCATTTCCTCGGGAAAATTCGATATCAAACTGCAGACAAAGGACTGTTGCTATCATAGACACCGGTAATTTGGGGGTTTCTTATGGGTTTATTGTAATAATAGGAGTGTCTTTTTTTTTGTTTGTCTTTGCTCTTGCGTGTTACTTGTTTGAATTCTGGAGTTGGGATCCTGATTATTCATAAGTATTATTGATTGCGGTGCTGGATCGACCTAAAAGTGTTCCCCTATCTCCATCCACTCCGCCCGAGGAGAACCTGCAGTTGATGCCATTTCCCCCCGCCCGTTCGGCGACCCTACCCCGCTGCGCTGGAAAGGCAAAGCATTGCTCCCGTCATTCGTACCTCTCACCTTACCACCTTCCCTCTCTCTTCGTTCCCTTCAATTCTCGATTTCCCTCCCCTCGACGCCGGACCCAGCCCCTCGTCACTGGTACTGCGGGGTTTCAAGAGCTTACCTGTGGATTCTTGCGCTCTCCCCACCGGCTGTTTTCCAGCACTTCAGCTGCCATGGCGGCCACTAAGATCGATGGCACGCAAATCGCCAAAAGCATTCGGGCGGGCTTGAAGACTGAAATCCAGGAGATTCAGCAGTCTAACCCGAGGTTCAAGCCGAGCTTGGTGATTTTTCAAGGTGTGTAGTCCTCCTGAACGTTCTGAAGCTATACCGGGATATGCAGGACGGCTGACGGAAACAAACTAGTGGGCGACAGATCGGATTCGAGTGAGTCTAGTCCATCGGACTTTCATGGGCCTTAGGTTTGGTGTGGAGACAAGACTAATATGATCTAAAGGCACCTATGTGCGCATGAAGTTGAAGGCTGCCGAGGAAGTACGTTGTCTTTCCTCACACGTCACGCAAATGCTAGCATACTGACAAAATCGTTCTTCAAAGGCCGACATCCTCTGCAAAGTGGTCAACTTCCCCCAGGCTATCAGCCAGCCTGAGATCCTTCAGGAAATCACCAAGGCCAACAATGACCCCTCTGTGCACGGCATTCTCGTCCAATTGCCCATCCCTCAACACCTGTCCGAGCACACCGTCACTTCCGCTGTTGCTGATGAGAAAGATGTCGACGGATTCGGTGCCATCAACATTGGAGAGCTGGCCAAGCGTGGTGGCCGTCCGCTCTTCGTTCCTTGCACACCGAAGGCCGTGATGGAGCTCCTGCGCGTGAGCGGAGTCGACCCGGCGGGCAAACAAGCGGTGGTGCTTGGCCGAAGTGACATCGTTGGTAGCCCCGTCAGCTACCTCCTGAAGAATGCAGATGCTACTGTGACGCTGTGTCACTCAAAGACCCCGGACATTGCGGCAATCGTGAAAAATGCCGACATTGTGGTGGCCGCCATTGGTAAGACGGAGTTTGTCAAGGGAGAATGGCTGAAGCCTGGTGCCGTCGTCATCGATGTTGGTATCAACTACAAACCCGATGCTTCCAAGAAGTCTGGCCAGCGCCTCGTTGGAGACGTTGACTACGAGACCGCCGTCCATGTTGCTTCGCAGATTACCCCCGTCCCCGGCGGTGTTGGCCCTATGACGGTGGCCATGCTTCTGCAGAACGTGGTCAACTCGGCCAAGGAGTATTTCGAAAAGCAGAAGGATCGACAGATCACTCCACTGCCACTGAAGCTGGCCCAGCCTGTCCCCTCTGACATTGCGATTTCGCGTGCCCAATACCCTAAGGCGATTACCGACCTCGCCTCTGAAATCGGCATTGCCCCTCACGAGCTCGAGCCGTATGGCCACACGAAGGCCAAGGTTAGTCTCAGCGTCCTCGACCGCCTGGCCCATCGTCGTAACGGAAGATATGTCTTGGTCTGTGGCATCACCCCCACGCCTCTTGGAGAGGGTAAGTCGACGACTACCCTGGGTCTCACTCAAGCCATTGGTGCGCACTTGAACCGCATTGTGTTTGCCAACGTCCGACAGCCTAGCCAGGGCCCTACCTTTGGTATCAAGGGTGGCGCTGCTGGCGGTGGATACAGTCAAGTCATTCCCATGGATGAGTTTAACCTTCACCTGACTGGTGATATCCATGCCATCACGGCTGCGAACAACCTTCTTGCCGCGGCCATTGAAACCCGCATGTTCCACGAAGCTACGCAGAAGGATGGGGCGCTCTACAAGCGATTGGTTCCCGCCAAGAAGGGTACGCGCCAGTTCCAGCCCATCATGTTTAAACGATTGAACAAACTGGGAATTACCAAGACCAACCCCGATGATCTTACTGAGGAGGAGATCAACCGTTTCGCTCGTCTTGATATCGACCCCGAAACTATCACCTGGCGTCGCGTGTTGGACGTCAACGATCGACACCTTCGGGGCATCACCGTCGGACAAGCTCCCACCGAGAAGGGCTTGACTCGCGAAACCGGCTTCGATATCTCCGTTGCTAGTGAATGCATGGCCATCCTTGCGCTGAGCAACGGCCTCGAGGACATGCGCGAGAGGCTCGGACGTATGGTTGTTGCTACGTCCAAGAAGGGCGATCCGATTACGTGCGATGACATCGGTGCTGGTGGCGCTCTTGCGGCGCTCATGAAGGACGCTATCAAGCCCAACATGATGCAGAGCTTGGAGGGTACCCCCGTCCTGGTTCATGCCGGTCCCTTCGCCAACATTAGTATCGGAGCCAGCTCGGTGATTGCGGACAAACTCGCGCTGAAGCTGGCGGGTACGGAGCCCGACGAGGACCACGACGCCAAGACTGGTTTCGTGGTGACCGAGGCCGGATTCGACTTCACCATGGGTGGAGAGCGATTCTTCAACATCAAGTGCCGATCCTCCGGCCTATCCCCCGACACCGTGGTGATCGTGGCCACCGTTCGGGCCCTCAAGGTCCACGGCGGCGGCCCCGAGATAAGCCCCGGAGCTCCTCTGAATGAGGTCTACCGTACGGAGAATGTGGACATTCTCCGCAAGGGTTGTGTTAACATGAAGAAGCACATCGAGAACGCCCGCCAGTACGGAGTCCCCGTGGTGGTGGCTATCAACCGGATGGAGACCGACACGGATGCCGAGATCGCCGTTATTCGTGAGGAGGCCATCGCTGCGGGCGCGGAAGATGCAGTTCCCGCCAACCACTGGGCCGAGGGCGGAGCCGGCGCGGTGGATTTGGCCAAGGCTGTTCTTACCGCCAGCTCCAAGCCCAAGGACTTCAAGCTGCTGTACGAGACCAGCGGCAGCGTGCAGGAGCGCATCGAACACATTGGCAAGACTATGTACGGCGCAGACAAGGTTGAGTTCAGCGAACTGGCGCAGAAGAAGGTGGACACCTACACGGCGCAAGGCTTCGGCCACCTTCCCATCTGCATTGCCAAGACGCAATACTCGCTCAGTCACGACCCTGCCTTGAAGGGCGCCCCGACCGGATTCACCGTTCCCATTCGGGACGTGCGCCTGGCCGTGGGAGCTGGATATCTGTAAGTTCTTTTTTTCCCCCATTTATTTTCAACGGTCTGACATCACGCTAACTCTTTTTTCTCCTTGTAGATACGCTCTGGCCGCTGATATCCAGACCATCCCCGGTCTGCCGACCGCACCGGGTTACTTGAACGTTGACATTGACCCGGAAACCGGAGAGATCGACGGCCTGTTCTAGACGTAGGCTCTATTTCTGGTCTGATTCTCTGTATATTTCTGATTTGATTCTCCACCTTGCTATTATAACCTTTTACATTTCTTTCTTTGTCGATACCATGCGGTTCACATTTACATTATAACGGGAACAGCATTTGCGGGCATTATTTACTTCAACGTATACAAGCATGACGAAACCACGGCGGCGCCCCCTGGGAGCGGAGGGCAATTGGGAGGGGCGCAATTTCAACAAAAAATGGAGTTGGAAGACGGCTGGGCCAGGCGATTGATGGATTAGATATGACTATGACGCTAGAGAGGAATACATCACTCCGTAGACTGGAGTCATGATTAGTGTCTAACAGTTTTTCTCACTTGGATCAGCGGCGGAGTTGGACTAATTGTCCCCGAAAAAGGCGACTTCGGTGAAAAACAAGCCGGGCGGAGTCTGCGTTACCGCGGGAAACGGCGGTTAGCGAAGGGATGAGGTAATCCTCGTTATACTTCGTCCCCCCTGCAGGGCAACTCAGACGGACAGACAGCACCGAGCAGGGTGCTGCGTAGACGGGCGGAATTCGGATGGACCACCCTAGGGATCAACTGAGGTCGAGTTCCACGACTGCAGAGAGTGCAACACCGCGTAGCATCGTAACGACACCGTAGAGAGCAAGCAGACGAACGGGGAGGAATCCACCACTCCGGCCGGCTTCGGCGTGACCTGCAACGGTGGGCGGAGAGAGTCAAGTCACCGGGGCAAAGGCCTTTTCCTTTGGGGATAAGAGTCTCTTCTTTTCTCCCTGACCTTCCCCCCTCCCCTTTCTATCCTCTCTTCTCCGATTCTCTCGACCTTCCTTTTCCCCAGACCAGCAGAAAATACATTTGCCGGACGCTCCGATCTCCCCCATTTATCCATTATCCGCGAACGGGCGCTTCCGATCCTCCACCGCCCGCTCCTTCCAGCCGAGAGCTTCAGCTGCGCTTTTCCCTCGGGTATTGTCTGCTCGTCCCAGATTCCGTTGGATATCGCCTCGTCTAGTCGATTTGCCATTACCGATTGTCCCTCCGCTTGGGCAATCCGATCACGTTGAACCGCCATGATGAACTCTCTTCGGCTGCATTCCGCATTGGCTCGCCGCTCCCCTCTGGCTGCCCCTCCTACCTCCACCTTCCGCGCGCTCTCTTTTACTTCTTCTTCTCCCCTTCGCTCTGCATCCTCTGCTTCCTCTTCTTCCTCTTCTTCCTACTCTACCGCTTCTCGCTCTCAGAGAACTCTTGCGTCCGCTTCGACCGCTCTTCCTCGTTCCGTTGGCTCTGCATCCCATTGGTCCTGGACCCAATCCCGCAACATGGCGACCGAAGCTCCCAAGATCAAGGTTAAGAACCCCGTGGTGGAATTGGACGGAGATGAGGTACGTTGTTTTGACTCCCTTGTTCTAAAACATTTTTTTCTCAATTGAAACTTCTGTCCCGTCGGCGTGGCGTGGTATGCATTTATATACCCGTCCTGCGATCGACTCTGCACATTTTCGTCATGAAGCCCGAACGCGGGGAAATACGCCGGGCGTTCTCTTTCTTCCGAGGCTCGACCAACGAACATGCGCGCACTCCTCTTTGGCACATGTGGCTAACCATACCCCTTCTTCGGTGGCTTTAGATGACTCGAATTATCTGGAAGGAGATCAGAGAAAAAGTAAGTCCCGCCCCTCTTGCGTCATGCGCTGCCGTCCCGTTCCGACCTTGTGAAACTTGACTAACTTTGTCTGCGTTGCATAGTTGATCCTGCCGTAAGTTTAATTCTCCCCGTCTGTCGTCCTTTGTCCGGGGACATCGCAACTGAGAGTCGACACTAGTTACCTCGATATCGACCTTAAGTACTATGACCTGGTACGATCCTCATCCCGACCCGTTGAAGGGCCAGTGTGTTTTTATTAACTCCTCTTGCAGGGTCTCGAATACCGTGACCAGACCGATGACAAGGTCACCGTCGAGGCTGCCGAGGCCATCAAGAAGTATGGTGTCGGTGTCAAGTGCGCCACTATTACCCCGGATGAGGCCCGTGTTGAGGAGTTCAAGCTGAAGAAGAGTAAGCCCCAACGGTCCTGTGGGCGCAATTGACTTCGGGAACTAATCGTCTCGTGCAGTGTGGCTGTCTCCCAACGGTACTATCCGAAACATCCTGTATGTCCCTCGTTGCCTGCCACGATTTGCACTTGTTTTCATACTAATCCATGTACTAGCGGCGGAACTGTTTTCCGTGAGCCCATTATCATCCCCCGTATCCCCCGTCTGGTGCCTGGCTGGACCAAGCCCATCATCATTGGCCGTCACGCTTTCGGAGACCAGTACCGTGCCCAGGACCGTGTGATCCCCGGCCCCGGCAAGCTGGAGATGGTCTACACCCCGGCTGGTGGCCAGCCGGAGACCGTCCAGGTCTATGACTTCAAGAGTGGTGGCGGTGTTGCCCAGACCCAGTACAACACGGACGAGTCGATCGCCGGTTTCGCCCACGCCAGCTTCCAGTTGGCCCTGTTGAAGGAGCTGCCTCTGTACATGAGCACCAAGAACACCATCCTGAAGAAGTACGATGGCCGCTTCAAGGATATCTTCCAGGAGATCTTCGAGACCACCTACAAAAAGGACTTCGATGCCAAAAACATCTGGTATGAGCACCGTCTGATTGACGACATGGTGGCCCAGATGGTCAAGAGCGAGGGTGGATTTATCATGGCCCTGAAGAGTAAGTTGCTATTCTCTCTCATTCCCGGGGAACGTGCAATTCTAATCTGAGCTATATAGACTACGACGGTGACGTTCAGTCCGACATCGTCGCCCAGGGCTTCGGCTCGCTGGGTCTGATGACCTCGACTCTGGTTACCCCTACCGGCGAGGCGTTCGAGTCCGAAGCTGCTCACGGTACCGTGACTCGTCACTACCGCGAGCACCAGAAGGGTCGCGAGACCTCCACCAACCCCATCGCCTCCATCTTCGCCTGGACTCGGGGTCTGGTGCAGCGTGGTCAGCTCGACGAGACCCCCGATCTGGTCACTTTCGCCGAAGAGCTTGAACGTGCTTGCGTCGAGGTAGTCAACGAGGAGGGTATCATGACCAAGGATCTGGCTCTGGCCTGCGGGCGCAAGGACCGTGAGGCCTGGGTTACTACCCGGGAGTACATGGCCGCCGTCGAGCGCCGACTGAAGTCCAACCTCAAGCCCCGCCTTTAAATGCTTTAGCGATGTTTTGGAGTCTATTACAATACCATTCTTAGCGCGCGACTAAATCGGTCGCACTCAGTCACAGAGTTGAGAAAGAGATGCACAGCAGTCTTGTATATTGGAATCAAAGAGCTTCCTCCCTTGGGAGTGAACAAGGATGAACCGCCACTCCCTTTTTGTGGGGGTTCCTTTTGAATTTTTGTATAGGGTTTGGTTTGCTCTTGTTTCTGTGCTTTTCTTGATTATTCTTCAAGTGCCATGAGATATCAATGTATGTGTCAACTAGATAATGCAACAATGAGGTTTCGCTCACAGCCACGCGCAATCTCGATCTTCCTCACAAACTCGTACCATGGATACTCGCCTGGCGCCCGCATTCCTTGACGCAATTGACTCGGGTGTTGGACGTCATTCCCGGCGCCGCCACGCCAATTTTTGGCCTTTTTCATTTTGCCTCCCTTGGGGTTCGGTGTCGATCGCGCCGAGCCAGGTAAAGGATATGGCAAATTGACCTTCAAACTTTGTACAAAAACCACCAGCCCATTCAAGCCATGTGCGCATCCCCGAGCTCAAGTGATCCCAATCACATCGCACGATGTACGTACTGGGCATCGCGATAGCCTTCTTTTCTGTGGCGGTGGTGGTCGTTGCCCTGCGGCTGTTCACTCGCCTGTATTTCATTCACACCCCGGGCTGGGATGATCTGTTCATTGTCCTGTCATTGGTATGACCTGGAGCAGAATCGAATCCGGTTTACTAGTACACGCTGACCAAATGGCAGATTGCGGATATCTTCTTTTTTGCATTCCTAGTAGTCGGTAGGCGCTGGCTCCCCGTTCCTGAGCAATTGCGAGGAGAAAAATGCTGACCGTATGCAACAGAGGTTCATTATGGCCTGGGGAGGGAGGCGGCAACGCTGGACCCTGAGAGGATTCGATCCCAGACGAAGGTAATTTTGCCAGTTCACGCTGTGCAACCGCCCCTTGGCTGACCGAGTACCAACAGGCTCTTTATATTACGATCATATTGTATAACTCGTCACTTAACCTGACCAAGATATCTATGATTCTACTGTATAAACGCCTTTTCCCGACCCATCGCTACCAGATTATCCTTCATATCACCCTAGCCTGCGTTGTCATTAGCGGCCTCTGGATGGTTTTCAGCGCCATCTTCTTCTGCGTCCCCGTCCATGCATTCTGGGACCCCAGCGCCCCGCAGCACTGCCTGCCCAAGTCGGTGGTATGGAGCCTCAATGCCTCCATCCAAATTGTCAGCGATTTGATCATCGTGGTTTTGCCGATGCCGGTCCTCACCCAGTTACGGCTCCCGAAAAGACAGAAGACAGCGCTCATTGTGGTCTTTGCGCTGGGGCTTTTGTAAGCAAGAGACTCGCCCCTGCCAGCTTTATCAGAAATTGGACTCTATCTAACGTTTTCATTTCTTCATCTTCTACAGTGTCTGCGCAACTAGCGTGGTTCGTCTCGGTACAGTGATCGAACTGATCAAATCCGATGACCCTACCAGTAAGACCTGCCCTTCTCTTCCAATCCTCCCACCGCATCCCCAATACCATGCTTACCATCGTCATCAAAATAGAAGCCAATGCCCAGGCCGCCCTCTGGTCCTTCATTGAAAGCAGCGTCGCCATAATCAGCGCCTGCCTGCCCCCGCTCCGCCCCCTCCTCGCCTACTTCTTCCCACGCTTACTCCCCCCTCGCCTCCGCAGCTCCTACGAGCGTGAAAAGACCACCTGCCAGACCCTCGAACTTTCCAACCCCTTCAACTTCACCAACACGAGCTACTCTGCCAGTGTTACGGGGAACGTCTCGAGTCATCAAAACAATATCTTCGCCGACGGGGACTCTACCCATTGTCCTCCCGAGTGCGAGGGTATTCATGTGGTTAGCGAGTTGCATTTGGAGACTGCCTCGATTGACGCGGTTGAGGATTATCATTCGTATCATCTGTCGCCACTGTCGGTGTCGAATTCGGTATCGGATTGGTAGAGATAGATGTGGTTTGCTTTCCTTTCTTTCCCCTTTCTTTCTTTCTTTCTTTCTTTTTTTTTTTGTATATAGATCTGTATTTGATAATATCTAGCAACCCTTGGGGCTCTCCTTCCGGTTTAAATTTATTTCCTCGCCGCTTTTACTTACCAAGTAGAATTGGAGCATGAGCCCGCGGGGCTGTCGTACCAGCTTGTGTGCACCTCCGCATCGATGGTTCCGGATCTGGTCCTCCATCGTCCGGCGGATCTCGAACAGAAAGGAATTAACGCAAAGATAGTGTCACTGTGCAGCCGATGGGCACGAATTAACTTGATACTTTTCTAGACTGGACCATGACTGGCATTGGTGATTGCAGATGGTGATAAGGGCGGGGTGTGGAGTCCAACATGGGGACGGAGGGTCCCCGTCCCCACTCCATGCGCTACCTATCGCCCGTTACCGTTCAGTCCGATACTACGAACATTTGCTTGTCCGGTGTTTGTATCTGTCAAGAGATGGCATCAAAAGAGGGAACTGATAGCCCGATACCTTATCTCCAGCTGACCATGCCGGGGGCGACAACTATGGAAAGGCCGCAATTGACTCCACACATGTCCCTATCTCAAAGGCGAATCATGAATGGTAGCATTTTCCCAAGACCCATTCTCCCCCGGGCTTCATCCCCGCCTTTCGCTGGCGTAGGGTTAGTTGACCATGAACTGAGTGCCGGAGCCTAATATGCTATAAGTATTCCCTTGGACATGGGATCGATAGTTGAGTCACTCTTGTTGTACCTTAACAATTCTCAGTTCCATGATAGTCATTCAAACATGTCGGAAAACACCCAGACATAGGACCCTGAATCGCTGGCACGGAAGCCCTCTAAGACCATGGAGGGCGATAACTCGGCAGAGGCAACCACCGATGCTGTGTTTGGCGAGATCACCGACAGTGGCCCAAACTACCGAAACGTAGATGCCGAATCAAACCCATCCAGCGTCATCCCAGCTGAGTTTATCAGCTTGGATGGATAGGAACAACTGCATTGATGATGAAAACTCAAATCGGGCTCGGCGTTCTATCGATTTCTGCAGCTTTCGATGTTCTTGGTCTGATTCCAGGAGTCATCTGCCTCTTAACAGTGGCCGTGATTACAACGTGGTCAAACTGGATTGTTGGCTTTTTTAAACTACGCCATCGCCAGGTCTATGGGATTGACGATGCAGGTGCTCTGATGTTTGGACGTATTGGACGCGAAGTGTTTAGTACTGCATTCTGCCTCTGTAAGCAACAAGAGCTTCCGGAGATCTCATCACGGCGAACTAATGGGGATGGTTTCTTAGACTGGATATTCGTTGCTGGCTCTGGCATGTTGAGTACTTCCATTGGTCTCAACGCGATCTCGTCCCATGGAACCTGCACCACTGTATTTGTTGCTATCGCTGCATTGACCGGATTTATTTTCAGCAGTGTCCGCACGCTGGGCAAGATTAGCTGGATCGCTTGGTTTGGGCTAAGTAGCGTCACAGTAATCACCGTCACCATCGCCGTTGGAATACAAGACCGCCCCGCGGCCGCTCCAGCAACTTCTCCAAGCCCATGGCACTCAGACTACAAGACCACCAGTAAACCTCCATTCTATAAGACCGTTTCCGCAGTCTCGTCTCTTGTCTTCGCGTACATCGATACTGGAACCTTTCTCCCTATTGCAGCCGAGATGCGAGAACCCCGTCATTACACTCGATCCTTACTCATCTGCCAAGGTGTAATCACTGCTACGTATCTGGCCATTGGGATCGTGGTCTATTATTACTGCGGCTCATATGTCGCGTCCCCGGCATTAGGATCGGCGGGTTCTCTGATGAAGAAGGTTTGCTACGGCCTGGGTCTTCCGGGGCTCATAGTGAGCACGTTCAATAATCATACTAGGAATGATCCGTCATATTGAAACTGAACCAATCATTAATAGCCCTACCAAAGTCTTCCGCTTGAGATAGAAAGTCGCCTTGACTCATCATATCCAGATCTCTAAATCCTTCGAATAGCCGTTCATCAGGAACAGTAGATCCACCAGCCACGGGATCAACCGGTGGGAATGATGTGCTGCCCGAAGGAGATTGCCGAGGATGAGGATGAGGATGAGGTCCGCTGTCATCCGGTGCATATGCCGATAATCCTTCCAGGCTGATTTATGGCCCGATATGCCGGCCGACCCGACCATAGCAAACTCGGCAACGTCCTCATGACGTACAGATTCCAGGTCAACCACATCGTCGAACATGGATTTGTCGGCGGACGCATTAGGTCTTCCGGCCTTGTCGTAGATCAGTACATCCCAGAGGAGTTGCGCATTGATCGACCAGGAGAGTTGAGACTCGTGGGGTCCGTCCCCCCGACTACTTTGAGAACTGGTAGCTGGGACGGTTGTAATGCTGTCCTGCAGTTTCCGGAGATTCTGGGCCTGCAGGGATGGACATTAGCCAGACGCACAGGAGTAATATCATCGGCACGAAACATGAACATACCATTGAGGAAACGGAGGGCCATAGTGACCCCATGCGACCCAAAAATCGCATGCATTTATCAAACCCGTTCCGTGCTTTCTTGCGAAGCGTACCATCCTTGACAAAGCTATGCTGTAAGTGAATCGTGGCAACTATCACCACGCAGTGTGCAATCAATGGGTCGGATACTTGAAAATGTTGTTTCTCGACGAGATCAAGGAAACAAATGGTCCAAGCCGTATGTCGTGATATCTGGTCAAAGGATTGATGGATGCATGAAGGTTTGTGGCATCATGTGCCGGAAGCTCTTCAGACGTATCGATAATAGAAAAGGGTGGTTCAGCAAAGTGGGGATTGCATGATGAATGGATTGGATGAAAAGCCATGGGCCCCAATAATCTCTTCGCTGTTGTAACGCCTCGGGCGATATGTTGCCGAAATTATTCGTGGCAAAACGATACTTGAGCGGGAACCGACAGTCCAACTCGAGATTGCGCAGCATGACAAATGAATAATCGGATCGAGGGTCCCATGGAGGAGGATCGTCGGATGCGACCTGGGAGGAAGCGTAGGAGCCATATTTAGAAAGGGGCAAGATTCAGATACATTATGGATGGCGCATACCGACAAGGCCCACAGGCCCGGTGGGGTCTTTTCTGTTGTGTGTCTTCCATTAGGGGAAGTTCAATGGAAGTCGCAGCGGGGCTCGAAGTCGGGGGACTCTAGTATCTACGGTGTAGGCCGCGACCCACGGAACCCTAACAAAGCCCACTATTCCAAATCCGGTCCATGCCAGACTCGCAAGTATGAAGCATCTTAAGAACAGTCAGTTGCATGTAGAACGTATTTTTTACGGGAAGATCAAGGACACCAAGCAAGAGACTTCATGGGTTAAGTAGAAAACAGTACTATCTAATTACAAAAGCTGTCTAGCAGTCAGGCACACTGACGGGGATGTTGAGTGGTACACTGGTTGCAAGCCCACTTAGCGACGTCTCTTTGAACTCGTTTCTCATACCTCGAGCCGTCAGCCGCATCGCACGGATAGCGTTGTCCAGGCTCACTTTCTGCGTGCCTGCATCTCCACTCAAAGCCAGGTTTGCGCTCGATACCGCTTTGATGGCACCCAGGGCGTTACGCTCGATACACGGTGCCTGTACGAGCCCGCCAATTGGGTCACAGGTGAGCCCAAGGTTATGCTCAATTCCGATCTCCGCCGCTTGTTCTATGACCTCAGGAGTCGCTCCCATGCAAGCAGCAAAGGCTCCTGCGGCCATGGAGCAAGCCACGCCGACCTCTGCCATGCAGCCACCCTCAGCGGCGGAGATGGTGGCACCACGTTTGTACAGCATGCCGATAGCCGCGGCAGTAAGCAGAAAGACGGGGACGTCATGGTCCGGATCATCACTAATAAACTCGACGATATACTTGAGCACCGCGGGTATAATACCCGCTGCGCCATTGGTTGGGGCTGTGACGATGCGGCCACCTGCCGCGTTGGTCTCGTTGACGGCCATCGCGTAGACGTTAAGGTAATCCATGGCAGGGAGAGCGACGCGACGCTGAGGGGATGGCATGATCGGGTGGTAGAATGAGCCGTGAACATGCGGCAGACCTCGTTTGCCTTTGGGGCGCTGACCAAGTGATGTCGTGCCCGAGATAGAAGTCAAGGTTGCCTCCGAGCTGCCCTCGGTTGAAGAGGAAATTTGCCCCTGCTGTCCCTCCATCCGCCTCGTCTCCACATCTTTGACAGGCTGGGTATGAGACGCATAGAGGCCACGGGCTAGGCGACGATACAGCGCCGGTGCCCGTCGGTGCAACTTAAGCGACCCGGGCAGAGTAGAACCTGGGGGCGCCATTACAGCCTCGAGAATACTATTGTCCATGACATCCCAGATGCGGAGCAACTTCTTCATGATCTCCTCATCCGTATACCCAAGGCTTTTCTCGTTCTCGTACACCAGCTGCGCAATCGTCAGGTTGTTGTTTTTGCATAGGGTTAGTAAACTGCGACCGTTATGGAATGGGTAACTCGGCTTCGCCGCTGTGGATGCACCTTCGCCGTTCTCGTCTCCAGATGTAGCAACCGCTTCGTTTTTCTGCTTGATCTCAGCCAGCCCAGTTGAGCCTTGAGGAATGGCGCCTGCATCGTTGACCTCCGGGCCGCTCCTGCGATCACCAACTGCTTCCTCGCGATGGATCTCCTTATAGAACAAATTCTCAGCCAAGTCGGCTGGATGTCCTCCCTGGGCCTCCGTCTGAAGGCCTCCGGTGCTGGGCTGGAGCTTGCCTTGATCCGCTTGCTTGGCCGCGGTGGTTGCCGTCGACAAGGCGCCGTTCACCACGAAGCCGCCGCCGACGCTGAACAGGTCGTTATAGGCAAGCATGTCACCGGCTTCATCAAACACCATGAGTCGCATGCCATTACTGTGCATCGGTAGCTTCTTCGCCCATTCCCACTTAAAGTCGACATTGTAATCGAAATCGATCTCCTTGCCTTGATTGGTGCCTGGCAGCCCGTGACCCAGATGGAGCTTCTTCTCGGCCTTGATGCGCTCGAAACGCGCGGGCACATAGGCTGTGTCGACCGTCTCGACGTCGGCGCTCTCGAGTCCCAGTAGCAAGGCCGATGGCGTCATGTGGCCTTCCCCGGTAAGAGCCAGGCTGCCGTAAATTGACACCTTTATCTTGCTAACTCGTGGTAAAATGTCGGCTTTCAGAAGATCTGAAATGAAGATGTTACCGGCACGCATGGGTCCCACAGTGTGGGAGGACGAAGGGCCGATGCCGATAGAGAAGAGATCAAAAGTCGAGATCACGGCGTGTTCATGATGCGCTTCGGAGTACAAGTCTGATTCATTGTCTTCCTTCTCGACCTCGTTGCCAGAGGAAGCTGCCGCCGATGCGCTCATGAACCGAGGCCGCGGACCACGGCCAATTGCTTTGATGGCGACGGCATTGTGAAGTGCCAAAGCTGATCGTGGAGAGAGGATTCTCACCGGCGACACAGCCAGGGACGGAGAACGGATCAGGCCCCTCGCTGCAGCTCGGAGTAATCTAGGCTGGTTCATTACTGCATGTGTCATGAGAGATAGGTGCCAGTCCCCCAGATTTCGGTTCTAATGTCTTCTCCGAGAATGATGACTTCTCCGAAAATGATGTGTTCTCCGAAACTGATATCGGGAAACGCAGCTAACGGGAGCTCCTCCGCTAGACCAAATCCGATCCATGGATGTGAATCAAGTGGGGACGGATCCAGGCCGAGGCTCCCCGTTCCCGCCAATCACGAATCCGCCTTTGTCAGAGTGCGTCAAAGGCCCAGGACGGACCTCCCGGCGCTCCTCCGTGCTCAGAGACCGCAATCATGACGCCGATTGGCCCATCCTACATACTTCTACACTTGTGTTCAGTAAGTAGGCAAGTAGATAAACAGACACAATACTCCCCCCTCGTAAAGCCAGAATACTTGATATCGGTCGCATTTGCATCTTCTCTAATACCCCGGTTCGACATGGCTTCTCCTTCGAACTACCGCAAGAACGAGCCCGCCGTCATCGTCGGAGCTGGTATTTTCGATCTTTCAACTGCCCTGGAGCTCACCCGGCGTGGTTTTTCGAACATCACGGTGTTGGGCCGATACCAAGCTCCCGTTCCGGATGGAAGTAGTGTCGATATATCCAGGATCATTCGCGTGAAGTATGGCGACGAGCTTTATGCCAAAATGGCCCGCGAAGCACTCGCTGAGTGGAACACGACGTACAAGAGCCATTTCTACCCTGCTGGCTTTGCCATGCTGGCGGACAAGAACGGTAACATGTCTTATTTCAACAAGACGCAGGAAATGAACGATAAGTTTGGCAATACAAAAGCTCAACTGACCGCTGCCACTGGGCTCAAGGCCATGTACCGGAATTTCCCCGCCAATTTGGATGGGGTTCTCGCATACATTAATCCTGATGACGGGTGGGCGGACGCCGAAGCAGCCGTTGGCCAACTGGCCCAGGAGTGTAGCTAGGCTGGCGTCAGCTTTATCACGGCCCCCCAGGGGAGGGTCACGTCCTTGCGGATTCACAACGGAAAGGCAGCCAGCGTGAACGTTGCGAAAGGAGACCCAATCCTTGCGACCCAGGTCATTGTGTCGACTGGGGCGTGGTTGAATCGTCTACTACCGATGAGCCACGCCACCACGGCGTCAGGTCAATCCGTTGGCTTTTTCGAGCTTACTGACGAAGAGGCCCGTTCTTTACACGGCATGCCCGTGATCCAGAAATAGAGCACAGGGCTGTTCGTCTTCCCCCCGTACCCTGGTAACCGGCCTGGAAAGAACCTACTCAAGGTGGTCCGCCATGGGTTTGGGTTCGCATCGAAGTTCCCGGTGGAAGGGGGGCACCGAATTGTGTCTTCGCCCAAATTGGACACGAACAATGCCACTTCGGGCTTCCTCCCAGACGATGCCTCCGATGGGCTTCGTGATGGACTGCGCCAGCTCGTACCCCGATTTGCAAACCGTCCATGGTTCACGAAGCGGATGTGCTGGTACTCTGATATTCCTGAGGGCGACTTCATTGTGGATCGTCATCCGCGGATTGACGGCCTATTTCTCGCGATCGGCGGTTCTGGACAGTAAGGAGGCCTTCTTTATGAACAGAATTTGAGGCAATTTGGCTAACACGCATCTCAGCTCTTTCAAATTCATGCCCATCCTGGGACGTTACATCGCGGACGTCTATGAGAACAAGGCCTCGCCCGAGATTCGTCGCAAGTGGAGATTCAGGTTGCCGGATGGGATGTCGGAGGGGCCGAAGGCTGGAGATGGATGTAGAGGCGGTCCTCCTTTGAGGCAGTTGCGTCCCGATGAACAAGCTAAACTGTAAACAACTATTATGGGAATTCAACGGTATCATGGATACAGCCATCTGTACGGCCTGAGAAGTAGGTTAAATGTAACCAGGCATGGATGCTAGAGGAGTGAATAGAAACTATATTGTTTAAGCAGGATGCAGCTCGTGACCTAATCTCGAGAGCTGATTATAACGACTGGAAACGGATAATAATCCCACTGAGTGACAAAACTGCCCAATTTTTCCAACCTTCGGATTTCCCATACCAGAGGAAATGTGGATTCATAGACATAAGAAAGGAACTTTTAGTAGAAGAATGAAAAACCGTCAAAAACACGAATATCCCCCGCAGGATCGAGAAATTCAGGTCAGTTTCGTTTGGGAGGATGAGGATCCGGCCCTGGATGAATTGAATCGCACTCTCTTAGTCCCCCGCCGTGAACTAGAAGCTTTGCGACCAATCGCCGGCCTCTTAGGGGCCACGCCCTCGGCGAATTGATGCCTATCTGGAGTCACCAAAGACAAGCCGGCATCCAACGGCAAATGTTTAGAGAGCGATTCATTGACAGGTTCAAAATATTGCCTAAGCGAGGGAGTTGACGTTCCAAACCCAAGTTCAAGGTCAACTTTATCTTGATCCTGCTTTGGGATGTCCATTGAATCCAACAGAGGCGCCAGAGGGGGCGGAAATAGCCCTTCACCATCTGATTCATCGTCGGCGTCTGATGCTGAGTGATTGGAATGAAGGGGTCGCCTTTGTTCAGACTGGTCTTCATTTTCTTCCTCATCCGTTTGATCATCCTGATCCTGAGCTGTCGACCCGAACCGGAAAGGCCATTGCAAACGTGGAAAGCTGACAAGGCACATGCCTACGAAGGGGCTGTACAGGTTTGCCTGAAATGGTGGCTGCTTCAAAATCGTCGGCAATATAGGCACTTTGGTAATCTGCGAGGGAGCCGGGGTCGGAGTCTTTATGGCCAAAGAGCCCGACATGTTGATGGTATCTCTGAAAGTGAGAGCGGGGAGGGACATCGAGATGCCGAGGTCGCTCTGTTCTGAAACGCTGCGATGGTGTCCGTCGACTTGCGCGAAACAGTTATGGCAAACGAGGTCGTACTCGCCTTCTCGAGGAAAGCTGGTCAGACTGGCGGCGTACATGTAGGAATAGATAGAGATGTCTTCCGGGTCCCAGTTGGCAAAGGATACCCATTTGGGGAGTTCATCGACTGGTATCAAAGGAGAAAGAGAGCCATCCGGGCGGATAATGTAGAACTTGGGGAAAGGTTGGGTCATGGAGTATGTCTGGATGGAAGGCTAGTGATGCCGCAGCGGCAATATAATGAAATAGTAAATGGATTGACGGACTGGCGGAACGAATGACTGGTATAAAACCTCAAAACGAGAGATAGAGTAACAGAAGTGAGATGGATGGAGATAGTGAGCTGATTGAAGAGCGACAACCGCTCGAGATGTAAGGAAGAAGGCAAGTCTGGCGCATACGGAAACTGCCATGCTTTCTCCCATTTGGGAAGGCGTGCCTTTAGGGCTTTGAAGTCACGGTACTATCGCAATCGCTTTTATTGCAGGGTATGTATAGATGGATAGGTGTATATCTATGTACTGTACATGACGGGACAGGGCCGGTCCATCAGCTAGAAAGAGGTGTGTACGTGCCATTCCGACAATCAAATCCTAGATGGGGGTTCAGTTGAGCCGTGGCATCGATGCAGATCACGGTGGGCGCCTCCTGACTCTGGGGGCGGAGGTGAATGTTCTTTGTCACAAAGTTCTTGCAGGATTTGTCGGTATTGCACTCGATGATGATTGCTTCCGTGTGATTCAGATTGGCAAGGCCGGCATCATACCAGCAGGGAGTCGTGGCGCACGATCCGTCGCCCGGCTGGAACGTGTTGATCGACCCGGCGAAGTTGGCCCAAGTAAAGTCCTCCATCAACACCGACGAGTCGGTATCTACATCATCTCGCTTGACGCTTTGATCCAAATAGCTCTGGGTGACGAAGATAGGGAACGTGACGTTGGACACCCGGATGTTCTTCCAGGTCACATTCTTGACCAGCCCCTGTCCGCCAGCCCAGGACTTGAAGCGGGCGGCATAGAGTCCGCCGTTCACGGTGACGTCTTCAAACCTCAAATTGGTGATATTGGTAATATCTGAGGGGTCTTTTCCTAAAGACCCGATGCTCATGCCATGCGTCTGATATCCGATCGTGTTGCGTTCGAACACAATGTTATGGGACTCGGATCCCACCGCAATAGCATCGTCTCCATTGTACATGATACTATCAGAGATGCGGATGTTGGTTCCCTTCACGTCGAAACCATCCGTGTTGAAAGGGAAGCTGCTCGTAGAGGATTTCGCGTCGACAATGGCATGAGTGACCGTGATGTCCTCGCCATGGAGCTTCACATTCCAAGCAATGGGCTTGCGCGACCGGAAATACTTGAGCGTCGCCTGGCTCGTCTTGTAGCTCATGAGATGCGGACGGCCGGCGATTCCTGTGCCATTAGCAGGATTGGCGTCCCACCAAGCCTGGCCGTAGGAATTGATCCATCCGTCCTTCTCATCTTCGGGACCAACCCAGTCCACGCGCGGCCCCTCCAACGTGATCCACGTTGATTTACCCCCGCTGACAATTTCTTTCACGGCGGTAATGTTCTGGGGAAGATGTAGGTTTCCGTGCATCCGGATTTCCACGTTGCTTAGATTCGTGGCCTGGATGGGACGGAAGAGGTTATAATCGACACCTTTTTCAAAGACAATGACCGAATCGGTCGCACAGCGTGCGAAGACCTGGGATATTGCTGGCGAGTCATCTGTGGCGCCGTCAGATGACGGAACGACACATTGATTGCTTCGAGATTGCGTAGACGTAGATCCGGTTGGAGCACCTAGTGCCGGGGGCACAGCGGAGAGAAGCGCCAGTAAGGCCGTCGAGGAGACCAGCATCGTGGATTCGAGGGAATTAGACGAAAGTGTGTGCTGAGCTGTAGTATACAGCAAGCTTCCCCGTCCAAGAACTTAGCACATACTTATAGCTCCGAGGTACCTTGGCATGTGGCATTGTCGGTCAAGACCATCGGACTCGGAGTCTATTCCCTCAGATCAAAAGGCTCTTTTGGACAAGCTGAATGGCAACGAGCTTAATTGATCGATCCACCAGACGGAGAAACTTCTGCTGGTCGTCATCGCGTAGTTCTGCAAGTATCCACATGATTGGTGGAGAAACCAACGCCCCGGACATGGAGACAATCCGGAGAAAGTCCGTCGGCAGTTCTGTACGAAAGTACCTTGCTTAAGTGGATTTTGGAATGTCGTCATAATATATACGGTTCTCTGCATGGAGGATGCAGGGTTGTTGTGCATGCAAGGGGACTGACTGGACTTTGTTGGAATCATTGGAACCCTGGTTGTTGCTCATGCGCCAGCGGACCGAGCCATTCCAATAGATAGAACCATAAAAGGTAGATCTAGACGCAGATCTGTTCAATGTGCATTTAACTTGATTCAGAAAATATAGATCATGGAACTCATGACTCTAAACCGAGTAAACGGGGTTATTAGTTCATGAATCCAAACTAATGCTTGGTGGAGTGTCTTGCCAGCGACATTCTTCCTTCTCACCTTCTTTCTCATTGTGACTTTCAGCAATATAAATATAGTAATGAGGCTTTGCCTTCCCAAGGCGGCGTATCATCTCCATCTCGGAGCGCCATACATCTTCTCATTGATTGTCTTCCGACCATAATGGATCTTTATGCAGGATCTTACCTTTCGACGGCTTTGCCGTAAGGAATATACTTTTTGGAAAGAAAACAACAAGCAGCACAGCGTCCCAATCCCTCACCTAATCGAAAGTGACCAGCTCCCTAGAGTGTCAACTTCCTGGGCTACTTGACATTTCTAGCCAAAGACTGATTGTCGCAGCTACTGTCCGAGCTCGCGGAAAGGTCTCTCAAGGGGCTAATCTCAGGGTTTCCAGCGCAATTTCAATAATACGCATCTGAAGTATGTGTTAGGAGAGTCGACACGTACACAGCGACTTTGTCTCTAGCCGTCTTCCAAGTGTTTCCTCAATGGTGGCCATTTGTACATACTACCGAACATTGCGCTGACCGGGTGAGGCTCTATTTGCTCTTGTCTGCAATCACGATGGCGGAGGCACTTCGAGACACATCCTCTTTGCCATACTGATAAAGCCTCCTGTTCTCAAAGCGCTTGCTGTCAGGTAGGGATAGGTGATGAGAAGAGGTCTTGAGATGGGCATAAAGCCGCTGAGATGGAGAGACATGTAGTCGCGAGGCGAAAGGCGACATTTTGCCATAGTGCGAGCAAAGTTATCATGTTGATGGCCAGGGATAGTCCCTGTTTCATGCATCACAATCTTGTGAAGATTAGATACGTTCGATATCTAAGGGTGACCATAATTGAAGTTTTATCAGACTGAACGAAGGCGCGAATTTCAAAGGACTGGATAGTTCCAGAATCCAGACGCTCGTGAAAGAATTTCAGCAATTGAATTAATTTAAATTGGATATGGCGTGCGACTGGTGAATCCCATGTTGAGGACAACTTGTCGAAAGCTAGTCAGTTAGTTAGTGACTGGAGATTATAAAGCATGTTGGTTAGTTATGAAACAATGGAGATTTCGGACTAAGGCATTCAGCGACGCCGAGTTAGCTAGTACTACTGATCAGTTTTTAGCGTCGGAGTTTAGAAAACGATAACGAGCGAGGACGGATACATTTCGATGAAAGAAGGGAAAAGAAGGGCGCGACACTAACTAATTAACTACACATTTGGCCCCAGTCCCGGTTGGCGCTATTTGTTGATCGCAAATTATTAATCCAACACGATGATTAATCGGTTCAATCAAGAAATATGTATGGCATCACGACAGGAGGGAAAGCTATAAGTAATGCTTCAATTTCCCGTCTGATCAGGAATTAGATCATTCATCTTCCTGTGCATTCTACTATTCCCTGCTCCTCAGCAATCGGATTCTCATTCAATTTTCACTCCATCTATACAAACACCCAGAAGACCCAACAACATGAAAGAAGCTCTCGTGGATCTGGAAAGCGCTGCTTACCCCCGGGTGTCTATCGTGGACTCACCGATTCCCACCCCAGCCGCAGACCAAGTGGTGATCAAAGTGGTCGCTGCTAGCCTAAATCCCAAAGACTACAAACATAAGAGCCCCGGCATTATCAACCAAGGTGACGACATCGCCGGTATAGTTCACCTGACGGGCGAAAATGTCACCGAGTTCAAGGCTGGCGACCGCGTGGCGGCTTTCCATCAGATGGGAACTCCTCATGGCGGATTCGCTGAATATGCTGTGACCTGGGCGCACACGACTTTTCATATACCGGAGGGGGTCTCGTTTGAAGGTATGTACCTAACGGACCTTTTTAGCTGTTTCGTAAAAGAGGGATTCCCATGCTAATCACAAGCAGAGGCATCAACTATTCCGCTTGCTGGATTGACCGCAGCTCTGGGGCTTTACCAAAGCCTCCGATTGACACCTGCCTGGCTTCCGGAGACAGAGCCCCATCCTTTACTTGTATACGGGGGCGGTTCCGCCGTCGGTGCCTTCGTGATCAAACTGGCCAAGCTGTCCAACCTCCACCCGTTAATCGTGGTTGCGGGCAAGAGTGGCTCGCAGATAGGAATCCTTCTGGATCGTTCCAAGGGTGACGTTGTCATCGATTATCGCGAAGGCGATGCGGCCGTGGTGAGCAAGCTGCGCGCCGCGCTGAACGGCAGGCCGCTTCTTCACGCATTCGACGCTATCACCGAGTTCAACAGTTATCAGAACATTGCGCAGGTCATCGACCCCGAGGCCGGGCGCGTTACCACCATTATGCCCATTCGAGAGGACCGAGACAAATTTCCATCGGCTGTCGACGTTTCGCTCACTTTTGTGGGCCGAGTGCATGGCCCTATCCCGGAAAAGAAGGAAGGAAGTGTAATTCTGGGAGACCGAGAATTTGGCGCCGTCTTTTCCAGATTCTTTGGCCAGGGCTTGAGAGATGGGTTCTTTTCAGGACATCCTTGGGTGGCCGTGCCCGGAGGTCTAGAGGGGCTGGAGAAGGCATTGGGAGAACTGAAGGATTGGAAGTCGAGCTACTCCAAGTATGTGGTGCGCATTGAGGACACGCCTGGCGTTCAGGGGTGAGAGATCGCTCGGTACTCGGAATTGTATTAGTAAGACCAATTGTTTTTGAGAGAATAGAATACAGAGGGCAGGTTCTGGACCTCGACCATTCACTGAAGAAGCATATGTCGCCCAACTGGTAATCCGGTGTAGGTAGTTGGGAGCTGAAGAAGAGAGAAATGGATGGTTCCGGTTCCACACAGGGGCCGCTGTCCGATGAGGTCACCAGGGCGGTTAGTCAGGTACCTTAGTTAACTAGTTACCCACTCGCTTTCGGCGCTTCGCTTTGTTTCTGTCGATCCCCTTCAGCCCTTCCTTCATATCTCCATTCCATCCATTGAAGCTTGTGCCTTAAGATCTCAAGAAATAATTTGGCAGGCATCTAAAATGTCCATGTCTCCGTCTCCATCCTCCGAGGCGACCCTGGCGGCCAAAGCAACGCCCAACATTGGTGCCTCGGACGCGGTCCTGCACATCAACAGCGCCTCGCTCATCGATGCCTCATCTCAAGATGTCTGGAACACGTTGATCGACACGTCCACCTGGCCATCATGGAATACTTTCGTGCCGCAAGTTACCATTCGCGAGCAGCCCGGGACCGATGCGCAGCCTGCCTCTTCCGAAGCTCTCTCTCCGATCCTCCAACTAGGGACGAAAATGACATTTCACGTCCAGATGGACCCGTCGTCTCCCAAGCCGCAGAGCGCACAAGGGGTGGCGCTAGCGGTCGTCGAACTCGACCCACCTGATGCAGCGACGCAAAAGCCCGGTCGGATTGTCTGGGCCAACGATGTGACAGCCAATGGCGGCATTCCGTCTTTTCTCCTGACTGCGGAGAGGGTGCACGAGGTGCAGGAGGTGGTCGTTGACGCAGAGGGAGGGCCGACGCGACGGGTCACCGAAGTGCGGAACTGGGAAGCACAAGTGGGATACTTGGTCTACGTAGTCCGGTGGATGTACGGCGCGCAACTGAAGAAGAACTTCGAGACGTGGGTGCGGGATTTAAAGCAGTACGTCGAGGGACAGAAATCGGACAATTAAGGGGACTTGTTCTAGCCGGATGGTCGATGAGCACTGGGGACACTACCACGCCAATACGCGGGAGAGTCATGGACTAGTCTCCTCTTACTAACGGCCAATTAATGTTTATTTTTATTCCGACACTTAACAGGTGAACTACGGCCATTGAATTTGCGGAAGCTGCGAGGTGGCAGTTAGTCGAGTCCAGGATGACAGGCACGGCGAATCATGGCAGTTTCGCACCAGCCTCATTTCCGAATTCCTACACCTCACTCGCATTGCGTGGATCTCAGCTGTTTCCCGCTACTTATGCAGGATGAATCACCCCGGTCGACAGCTCCCCCCTCAAACCGGTTGAGGCGGATTCGATCGGACCTAGGTAGGGTGTACTCCGGTGTACATATAGTCATGCCTAGCTGCTAGTGAATAATGAGAATGAGGGGATTCCTGTCTGCCCGCGATTGACAGTCATGGGATGCTCTCTGACCATTAAATGATTCAAGATTTATTAGTAAATTGTTAATTTCGTTGACAGACGAGAGACCCACGTGGGGGTGGGGATTGGACCACAGGCAGTGTTACCGTTTCATACGCCACCCTGTTGGCCGAACAATTGAATTGTCTGCCATTTGCACTGTGCAGTTTCATCTACTCAAATCAGATTAAAATGACTCAGTAATAAGAACGAGAGGACGCGTGGACGGCGACGAGGGTGTATCGGGGTCAGCCTTGATTGGCACAGGTGGTCGAGGTCGGATTCCGGAGGCAAGTCGACATGTCCTGGCCTGCATGCACATATCGTGTATACAGTATACCTAGGTAGGTATACAGGGCCAGACCTACCTGATACATAACTATCTAGCAACTACTCCGGAGTAGTAGAGAGTGCGACAAGATCGAGCCAGCTACGTCATCGGCGAGAAGACTCGAAATCCACGGAAATGAGGCCCCGCCGGATTACTGCATTCGGGCCGCCCTTAAGTGTCCGTGCTGCGAACTGCAGAATGAAGATAATAGATAGTGATGATTTGATTATGCTCGTTTTCTTTCCTCCTATCAGTCTAACAAGGCAATCTCTTATCCGGCCTTGACCCCGAGGTCCCCTTCTCGGAGCGGCCAAGTGTGGGGGATGTCACCGTATTATTCTCTGATGCTGCATCGGGCAAAGGTGGTAGCCGGCTTTTCTGGTTCCATCCACGGTTCCTCCTCGTCCTCAAGCTAATCCGGCGATCGTCCATTTTCCCTCTTTTTTTTTTCTTTTTTCTTTTTTTTTTTTTTTTTCCTTCTTCTTCGCCCTACGCGCGCTTTCGTTCGAATTTATTTCAAAAGCCGCGCTGGTCGATTCTTCTATTCTCTTCCCTTCTTCCCCTCTTTCTCTCCTTTCTCGGTCTTGATCCCCATCATGTATGTTCCGCCGGCCTCACTATACAGTCATACTTCTTCCCAAACCATGTATTGCCTTCCCATACATCGGGGTCATCATTAGCTGTCGTCGACGTCAAATCTACGCAGTCTTGCCACCAGCCTGGACGTTATATTTGGTCTGCCTACTGGAAGAGTATCCAGCCTCTCCTTTGCAAATACCATCTTCCTAGTCTCGCTATACTGCCAGCCTTTTGCCGCGCCTCTTTCGTGACCAAATCACTTGCCTTAAGAGTGTCTCTCATACACTCGCTATACTAATATTTTAGCTTCCTTCCCCTTACGGAAACTATTCTGAGTCACGCACTGGTTACTCTTTGCACCTCGACTAGAGGTGCTTTGCCATCTCACAGAACACTATACTCACCACTCAACACTCAACCGGCCCTCTTTGAAGTCACCATGCCTTCTCGACTTTCGATTCGCACGACAAACCACGAGGATCACACCTCCCAGGTTTCGCCTTCTAAAGGGGTTTCAGATCTGACTCCACCGGTAACCCCAACTGCCGGAAATGGCAAGGCGGGTGGCAAGAACTATTCGGCCACTCTACTATCGCCGGTCGAGACAAAATCGCAAGCGGTCGATGCAGACATTCGCTCCGTCTCAGAGCCCCTCCAGTATTCCGACGACCTGGAGTATCATTATGACCCCAAGGGTCGTCCGGTCGAATTTGGTAGCGGAGTTTGGAGTATCGTCTACGAGGCGTCGTCTCGGCCGCGCCTAAGCTCTTCTCTCATCACTCCGCCTAGCTCGCCAATGGCAGGGGGTCATTTGGTGGCTGTGAAGTCACCTGCTCGTCGAGATGCCCGTCAGGTGCTTGACGCCGAGGCTCTAACTTTGACTCGACTCAGTATGATGCCCGGATCCGAGGCTCATGTCATCCCCTTTCACGGATATATCGCCAAATCTCATTCGATAGTCATGTCCGCCGTGCCTCTATCATTTTCGTCTTACATAGAGGAAAAGGCAGTAGCTGCCAAGAAACATCTCTCCACCAAAACCATGTTTGGGCCCATCCAGGGCCTGACCCAGTGGCATGACCTAGCCGAACGACTCATCACCGGTCTTCACTGGCTGCACACGGAACCCAAGATCATCCACGGCGACATCAAACCGCATAACATCCTGCTTCAACCGCAGTCAGACCACTTGGATTCCACCCCCGATAAATTCCCATTCGATCCGCTCTTCGCGGACTTTTCCTCGGCCCACAACATCGCCGGTCCATCCTTGTCTGCCGAAAAACACACCGGCACATCCCTGACCGCATTAACGCCACCATTCGCGGCCCCCGAGCTCCTATCTGTGTCATCTCTGACTTCCCCGGACTCCGCGCCCACCACAGCATCAGACGTGTTCTCCCTCGCCGTCACCCTCCTCGCCGCCGCGACGGGAGACCTACTACTGTATCCGGGAACCAGCAACATGCAGCGACTGGCCATGGCCCGCGAAGGCCACCAAGTGATCGAATTTGCTCGGTCCGGGCCCAACGGCGCCCGAATCCCGCACAAGGGCATCGTCGAACAGATTATCAAACCGGCGATCACCAAAGATCCGGCCCAGCGAATCAGTCCCGGTGAATGGTTGAAACTAGTGCAGTCTTTGCATTGAGAAATCAGCTGTCCTTTCAACATACCTTATACCATTTCAATAACACACCATCTCGGTCTTGGTGCTATACACGGCTTTTTTGGGTTATATTTGGGAGTATTTTGGACTGTTCGGGGTTTCTATTTTTTCTATTTTTTCTTTCTTATCTTTTCCCATTTCTCATACACTTTGAAGATACCCTAAGACCTTTTCTTTTCTTTATCATGTCGTTCTTAACTTGTTTTGTTACGTGATGGGGCAACCAAAGCCTAAACCTCATCCGTTCTATCTACCAATGTCATATAAACAGAGTCAACTTGTTCTCGCAGCTGGATTGTATCTCAAGAGCGCCTGCGCCGTCATATATTTTCTACGAAATAAGATTTGACTAGAGACATCAAACATGAAACCAGTTCCTACTTAGCATAAAATACGAGCGGTTCGTCCAAACCAACAAACATGAAAACGTCCTCAGTAAATTTTATCATATTTATACATTCTATTCTCTAATATTCGGTCGTATCACTGTTCAGATCTAGAAGTAATTATCGTACAGGGTCCGGTATCGTACAAGGGTCTGGCGATTCATAATAATACACTGTTGGGGAGCGGGGGAAAAGGGGGTGGGTGTAGGTAGGTCAGGAATATCGACAGTTGATGTGATAATAACGGCAAAGAAAAGGAAAGCGTCAGGTGATTCGTTTAGGTCCTAGCAGTAAGATAATCGCCAGTCTTGAACGAGGTCTGCGAACCGCCTAGGAGGCGACTCAGCTGCGTGGCGGTTTGTTGCTGGTCGGATTTCTGGTACTCGACGCATATATCCATAATAGTTTTGGCGGATAAGGAGCGAAGCCGGACGTCGCTGAGGTCATAGTCGAGATTTTCCTGGTAACAGTGGACCGGGTCAAGGGGCTTGCCTCCAGCATCTTCGACGTCGCCGTGGATCGTCTTGGGGAGAGAGTCGAAGTCGGGTTTGAGGGTTTTCATGGCGAAGGTGGCCAGGCTGGGGACGGCCTGGACGAGGCTGTTGATGTCTCGCTTTGGGAACGCGCTCTCAAACAGCTCGGTGATCAAGAGAGGGCGGATGCTGAAGGTGGAGGTGAGCGCTTCGAAGAGGTGCAGCGCCTCCCTTCTCTGCGCCGGTTCGAGTTGGTAGAGTTTGCGCATCGCCGGAGGGTTGCTGTCGGGCTCGAAGTAGATCATGGTGCGTTCGGCCTCGCGCGGATATAATTCCAGCGGATCGATGGCGAGCGGTTCGAAGGGGCGACGGTCCCAAAGAAGAGTCGCGTCGTCGATATTGCCGGTGGGCAGAACCACTCGTCTGTCATCCATGGTGATGGGCGTCTGCTTGATTGCATCGTAGTGAACCTTCGAGCGCATTTGAGCAATCTCTGATTTGAGGGCCTCGATCTCATTCACCAATGGACGTAGGGTCGTGGAATTGGCTTGGGGGTCGGCGGCCGCTCGCGAGAGCGACCTCGTCAGTTCCTCAATTTTCTCGTGACGCTTATTGAGCTCTTGGCGGGCAAAGGCATGTCGGTTCTCCTGGTTCAAATTTCTGATGACGCGCGAGTATTTCTCGCTTCTCTTCAACGGCTTGTCAGTCTTGGTAGTACGTGCTTTCTTGTCCAGTAGTTCTTGTTCCGCATTCATGGTGTCGATCATGCGAGTATGAGTCTTGGTTCTGATACGCGGCACGTAAGGAACTGGTTTTAAGCCCGGGTCCGGGGCCTCTGGCGCGAGTTCGTAAGGGGGCCATTCTCGGTCTTCCGGGGTCACTATGCCCTGTTCTGCAGCCCTCTCTGCCACCCGCGCAGCACTCTGATGGGCAAGGTCCCATCCCTTGTGTGTCATCCAAATTCCAGGGTCTTGGGGAGCTGCGACCTCGAAGGCATGCAAGGCAATGGCTTCTGTTAAGACGGCTGGTCGTTTTTTGTCAAAGGAGGTTCGGGGAAGAATGCTCTGCGCATCAACCGGCGGAACGAAGGCGATTAACCTCACACTCCCGTGCGAACTTAGTCCGGTGTTTCGTATGCAGTGATCCATGAATGATGCCCACCAGCGTGCCGGACTGAAATGATCCTTCTTCGAGGCAGGTGGGGGAGGATGGGCGAGGACGAGTAAGGTGTCATTCGTCATGGGACCTGTCCGATTCGAGTTTGACGGCCCTTGCTCAGGAAAGATTTTGGTGAGGAGACTTAGAAAATTAGAGGCGAGAGGATTGGTAGGTAGTAGTTTATAGCATGGGCGACTGTCAAGCAACGGTTTTAGCACTGGCTGGAATATCGCGTTGGGCTCGACCAGGATGTGCCGTCGGGGTTGCAAGAGGTCATTGATCTTCGAGGACCAGAGCCCAGCCCCAGGCCAGAGGTCAAGCACGTCTACCGGACGGTTGCGAAGCAAGAGCGGCGACAATCGATGGAGGATATCATCTGGGCAGTGTTCATATTAGACTTGGCTGGTCCTTTACCTTCCCCAGTGCGAGACTTACCGCATAGCTTCTCACTCACGATTTCGGGAGTCAAAACTGACTTCTTTTGACCTTGTGGAAAGGCCTTGGTGAGAGTCTGCGTCAAGGGAAAATGTGGCACAGTTGTCCACCGGTTCGCACGGCAACCCAAGAGCGCCTTAACGTGGTTCATTTTGCGCGTCATTTTGCGCCGATGAACAGACCGAGATTGTTAGGCACAAAACCGCATGTACCACCCCCATACCACAAGCCGTGTCGTTGATCTGTCAGAGCGCGAGGGGAGAAAAGAGGGAGAGAAAAAAAGTGTAAATGCAGCGGCTTCCCGCGTGGATCGATTAGGTACCTCCGGAGTCCGGAGTAAGTTCGCTCTCTTCCGCCTTGCTTCTCTTCCTCTCCTCCTCCCCGCCATGACTCGGCCAGCCGTCTTGAAACATAACTTTCTCGCCATTCCCCTTTGATTCAGTTCCTATGTCGCGTTAGGAAGATCCTCATTTCGACCGTCTCGTCCTCAAAGTGCCCGCAAACTGCTTTGGCTGCCTAGATGCGGCACATCCCCACCACGTCTTCTCCTGGTCTTCACGCCAGGCCTCGATGGTCCGCAGAATAATTCATTTCGACTCCGACCTCCGACCTCCCTCGCTGGCCCTTCCACTGAGGCTTCTGCCAAGCTTCGCTTGGACGCGCAGCCATGGCAACGAATCTCCCTCCACCGGCCGGCTCCCCGCCTCAGAGTGTGGAAAAGATCACTCAAATAGCTCAAGATTATGAATACAACCCCTCAGTGCCCCTCCGATATTGGCTGCGGACTGCAGCAACGCTCGTCCGAGAGGCAAGTACCGCTTTTACGACATTATTCTCCGATATATCATTGCTAACTGAAATTGGTGGATTGAATAGGCTCACATTTACGAACGAGAAGGACATGACGAGCAGACCTATCTACTTTTATTTCGACACGCCCAGCTGGTACTGGTCCATCTGACCAGTCACCCCGATGCCAAAGATGAAGCAAACCGCAAAGGCTTAATGGAGGCCGAGAAGGAAGTGAGCCGGAACCTCAAAAAACTGGAGACCCTGAAACCCCGCATCAACAAACGTTATGAACGCTACACACAATTGATGCGGGATCGCCAATCTCACAGCCCGCCTCGTGGAGCGGTTCATACCTCTCCCAGCGACCGACAGCCGCATGATCCAGCCCTGGCGGGAGTCGCCGAACCCTTAGAGGCCGGTGAAAATCGAGACTTGGCCGTGAAGTTGGCAAGGACCGAAATCAGTCGACGGGCCACCGTGCGGAAAGCCTTCCGGCAGGCAGGGGTGTCCCCGGAGGAAGAGAAGCAGCGCCGGGCGGCCGGTGTCTGGGGGAATTGGGAAAGTGCCTTGCATCAAAACGGTGCGGATGCCGACAATGACTTGAGTCGGCGGATCCAAAATGTCCGGGTCAATATGGGCGAGGGACAACGGCCAGACCACCGCGTGCCAACCGCAAAACAATCCATCGCTCTGCCACCGTCAACGACAGCCGCCACATCGGCCTACAAATACCCGACCGTGCCTCGCCAGAAACCTCTGGAGTATTCGCCGCCTCCGCCCCCCAAGGCCTCTCGTGACGGGATACGCCCCCTTGAAGCGCCTATACTTCCTCCCAAGGAGAGTTTCGAACCCGCATTGAAGAGACCGTCACCACCTCCCTTGCCTGACAAGATATCTTCAGTAATTACAACCACCCCGCCTGTTCCAGCGAAAACGCCGCCGGTGGCGGGTAATGATGCCCACCCTGAGCTCAATCCCTCCAGCTTCACCTTCAAGCCGTCTGCCTATCTCGAGAACGGCACTCCTCTCCGTACGGTCTTTCTACCGCCAGAGCTACGGACTCGTTTCTTAGATTTGGCCTCTTCGAACACACGGCGCAACCTGGAAACCTGTGGTATCCTCTGCGGGACACTGATCTCCAACGCTTTGTTTATCTCAAGACTCCTCATCCCAGAGCAAACGTGCACGTCAGACACGTGCGAGACCGTGAATGAATCGGCAATATTTGACTACTGTGACTCGGAAGATTTAATGGTGCTTGGCTGGATCCACACGCATCCGACGCAGACATGTTTCATGAGCTCGCGAGATTTGCACACCCACTGTGGATACCAAGTCATGCTGCCCGAAAGCATTGCTATCGTTTGCGCCCCCAGTCAAACACCGGAATGGGGTGTCTTTCGACTGACAGATCCCCCGGGCCTGAAGTCGATATTGAGCTGTACACAGAGTGGATTATTCCATCCTCATCCCGAAACTCATATCTACACCGATGCCCTTCGACCGGGGCATGTTTTCGAGGCTAAAGGGCTGGAGTTTGAGACGGTCGATCTACGGCCTGAAGGATCATAGTCGCCATTGTGACATCTATGTTTTGTCCATCTAAACACGCATCTTTTATGAGTTATGAAAGCCATCGATCATGCCCTCTGTATTAGACGGTTAGACCGTTGTATTTGTTGCTTGCAGAATTCCCAATCTGAGCGCCCCTCGAGGCCCTATTGTATTATCTCTTTATACCCCTGGAGCCTTTTAATGAATGGTATGAATGCATCATTGACCAAGAGAATAAGCGGCTGTATATCGTAGGGTAGTGGTAAATGTTGAGCGACACTGTGGAGTCGAGGGTGACGTTGGAAGGCGCGTCGGGATGTGACGATCTCCCCACCTCGTCTTTCCTCTTTTCCTGCTTTGTTCCCCCCTCTTCTCCTTCGTACCTTTAACCCTCCAACATTATCGCCGCCTTCTCATCCCTGATCCCCCAGCTCTTCCGAACCAACCCAATTGAATGATTGCCTCATCATCTAATTATCGTCACTTCCCTCCCTTTTCGCACCTCTCTTCGCCGCCCGCATGGAGTCCACCTCCCACGGAGATCCTCCGTCCTCCTCCAGGTCAACATCACGCACTCGACAAAAGAAGTCTCAGTCGAATCAATCCGCCTCCTCTTACTTCTCCTACCCTGTGACTCACGTGGTATCTGGACTCTACCGTCGACTCACCGACCCACCGTCCAAATCCAATGCCATGGGCCGCTCCCAGCGCGATTCCAAATCGTCTCTGACCTCTCCCAACGAATCGTCCTCCTCACTCTTTACCCCCGTTCGCACCGTATCGCCCTTCCAGCCGCCACCCCTCACACCCCTCACCCTCACCGGCGACCCATTCAACCTCCAACAACAGCTGCTCACGCGCGCCCTGGCGGAGGAAATCCGTTTGCTAGTCCCGGCTCGCCTGCAGCTCGTCGACACCTGGCGTCTAGCCTACAGCCTCGACCGCGACGGCGCCTCCCTCGCCACTCTGTATGAAAACTGTCGCGAGATCTCCAACCGCAGCCCGCGCGCCGGTTACGTGCTTATCGTCCGGGATTCGTCGCCCGCTGGCGCCGTCTTCGGCGCTTACATGACCGACCCTCCTCATCCGAACCCACACTACTTCGGCACTGGCGAATGCTTCCTTTGGCGTGCCAGCATCCTGCCCCCCCCGGGCAATCTGACTTTCGCTGTTGGCGGGCCGCCCCCGTCGGAGGACCTGCTCGAGATGGCGGGGCTGCCGCCTCCCCCGAGCGCTGATACCACCAATGTAGGTCGCTCGACGACCCTACGCGGCGATAAGAAAGGTGCGACGTCGGGCCAGGCCGAGGAGAGTTGTCTCGCGCCGCCACTTTCCGGCGGCGGGGCCAGTGGTGCGAGCACCCCGGATCGCATTCGATTCAAGGCGTTCCCCTACAGCGGCGTGAATGATTACATGATGTTCTGCGAGACGGGATTCTTGAGCTTAGGCGGAGGGTAAGTCGACTTCCTACTATCTCCCTGCCTGGTAGATGATCATCAGATGATGAACTAATGCGAATACAGAGATGGCCGCTACGGTCTCTGGGTTGACTCCAGCTTCGAAAAGGGCGTCAGCTCCGCCTGTCAGACCTTCGGAAACGAGCCTCTCTCTGACGAAGGCGATAAATTCGACGTCATTGGCGTCGAGGTGTGGTATGTCGGCGCGTGAGTTGAGCATTCAAACCTCAACATACATTCTTGTTGTCGCCGAAAGGATGAACAAAGCATACGATGGATTACCAAGACTGCCATGCCCGGTTGATCATTTTCAGTCTCGCAATTGGTTTCGTCCAGACGGACGTGGGTTGGTTCATTACCGACTCGCTCCGTCGGATTCTTTTCTTTATTTTGGCGTTGTCGTTTGCGTACATAATACCCGAACACGATATGGCTGGTCCCCATCGTGTCCATGCATCATTGCGAAATTCTATCTATATAGCCTTTAACGCGTTGGGAAGGACCAGGAAGCCCTATAGTTGGTATCATGGAGATGGCTACGGCCACCGGGGTGGTGCAGTGCTGAGTTGAGAATATTGATTGCATTGCATTGCCATCAACCATACAAAGGTTGGAATTGCCAAAACAAAAACTCTCGTGAATCGTAATCTTTGATTAGCTACCTATCTGGAAATTATAAGTTGCTAAAAGTGAAATTGCTTTAAATCAAACCGCCTTTCGCCAGTCTTGTCCGACTCAGCCGTCGTATCACCATTAATGAAAATCCCTAACTGGGGGTATGGGGTGTAAATAAATCAACCGGGAAAAAAAGATTAAAAGAGAAAGGGAAGAAAAAGCAACAGACAGTGCTACCACCAAAGCGATCAATCCTATCAATTCCAATTAATAAGGAGAGTTGACGATCTCATCTCGTCCCAGTCGGCTTCCCCAACGGGTGCTCCGGCGACTCGGAGTAACAGGAGGACCTGCAATGCTCTCGCGAGTGGGTCTCTGGAGGCTCTTCTTCGCTACCATGTTGACCTCGTTTGGCAGGGCGACGATGACATTCTTATCTGACCCGAATCGGAAGTTGTCCGCCATGACTTCCTCCGAGTATCGCTTAATGGTGTATGGGTCTTTCCGACCAGTGGTGACCTTCTTCAAGCTCCAGGTGATGATGAAAGGACCCGTCGCCGTGATGATAGACGTTTCTTCGCTGTCAACTCCGGTGTTGAAGCGAGCAGGGGTGAAAGCAATGGGCTTCTTGGTTTCATGCTGGAACTGGGCAACATGTGCAGGTTGAAGACCCAGACGTCGAGGTTGAGGCTTCGAGTCCTTAGCGAACGAGCGCTCAAAACCAAGTTTGCCTTCATTCTTTCCCTCCTTTTGGAGCGAGTCGATCAGGAGCAGATAGGTTCGGCAGGTTGCCAATACCCAGCGACCATCCGCAGACACATCCAGACCGATGATCGGCTCTCCAAGGGCAGGAATATGAGTCTTGGCGTTGATTCCCAGGCGGTCGAACATCCGAATATCGCCCTTGTTCGACGCGACAGCGAGGTATCCCTTCTCAGTCGTAGCAACAGACGAGAAGTCGTTCTTGCTGGCATACTGCTTCAGTTCTGCATCCACCAGTTTGTTCCCGGCTAAACGAGGATCAATCCGATATAGTGCATTCTGGGAAGCACCGATGAACGGCTGAGCCGAAGTCATTTGAGAGAATTTCTGAAGGGAAGTCAGCAAAAGTATTCCTTTTTGTCGGAATGAGACAGAGTGCGATACTTACGTTTTCAGGTGCGAAGGTGTGCACTGGGATATCGTCGTGAACCTTCCACTCATCGACAATCTTCCCGTATTCAAGGTCCATACGGTACAAAGAGTTGGGGTCGTCGCCGTTCTGGAGAATCATATTCGAGTCTTCCGCGTGCAACATGACCTTCTTCGGGCTGAACAACTTGCCCTTGGGGGTTTCCACCTTAGAAATATTGGTCGAGAACTCAAGGTTGTTGTTCGGAGTGTGTTTGAAGACACCGATCTTGGAGCCACGAACAACAAACGATCTATCGTGTTTATAGCCAACTGCAAGCTGAGAGTTGACATTTCCATCATCGTCGCGTGTAACCACATCTTCTTCCTCTTCATCGGTGTCATAACGTTCGCTCCGCTGACCGTCGTCCTGGTCCTCTTCCTCTTCTTCTTCGGCTTCTTCCTCTTCGGCCTGCTGCTCTTCCGCTTCGGTGTCCTCCATGGTGAGGTCTTGGAAGGCATCCAAAACATACTCCCGGTCATTTTCCTTGACCTTGGTCCACTTCATCTCGTTCAGCTGTTCCCAAAGAGCCTGCATTAGACCTTCCTGGAACCTCTCTTCGGTTGCTTGATCGTTGAAGCGCAGGAGCCAGGAGAACGCGGCGCCTTCTTCATCGTAGGCGTTGAAGATAAACGAGAGATATTCAAAGTTGAAAACGGGGTTGATATCCGCAACTACGGCTTGGCCAAGCCACTCTTTTTCTTCGCCACTAATTTGGAGCCAGTATTGCCAGTCACCGACTTCCGAAACGGTAGCCACAATCTTAGAATCCTGCAGGACGAAAGTGCCGGATTGGAAGTCGAAAAGATGCAGTTCCGCCGTTTCCTTAGCAAGAATCTCTCTCGCCTCGGGTTGAGCCGCCGAGGGAGGAGCCACGGTGGACTCTTCCCCATCACCGGCAGGCTTGATTTGGCCCTTGGCTTTCGCATATTCCACGTCTTTCGCCATGGCCGCAGTCGAGTCCCCGGACGCCGAGGAGTGGGTACGAGATTTGGTGGGCGAAGCGATAGGGCTCGCGGAAGGAATGGGTCGTTCTTCCTGGAAAGAGAACTCTTGAAGTTCCTGTTCAGTGGCCCGCTGAGCGGTGCGTCGGTATTTCCGTTCGTATTGGCACTGCAGCGCGGCCAACTTAAAGGTGGTTACTTTATCCGAAGGCACCGAAGGGTCGCAAACGAATTCGAAAAGATCGCCGATATCACCACTTAAATCTCTCCACGCCAGGATCTTGGCGCCCCCTTCGCGAACCTCGGAGCGGAAGTGTAAGGCCTGGTCAAAGAGAAAAGTTTTTTCGTCTTTATCCAAGCCGTCAGCTCCACCCTGTTCGTCGTCCTCCTCAGCTAGCTCCTCTTCACCTTCCTCGTACGCTCTCTGGATAACGAGTTGGTATTGGAAATCCTGGCCAGTGCGTCTGATGGAGGCAGCAGCGTCCTTGAATATAAGCTCGGAGTAGCCCTTGGGCGATAGAGGGCGAACTAGGTATAGTTGGCCTTGCGGGATCTCAATTATGGATTCCTTGGAGGTGTCTCCAAAGATGTACTTGCTCACTACAGGGAGGAGGGGTTGATTAGCTGATAAGATCCGAAGGTGTGACAAACAGGAGATGTGAATAGCAGAGTGACACAGTATGTGGAGGAGGGGTAGAAAGTGGGGTAAGAGGAGTAAAGGACGGAAAGCAGAGAAGACAAGAAGGGCTAACTAGGAAGGCTTAAGGACAGTAGACAGGAGGATCACGTACCGTTGCGGAGCATAAACATGGTTGCGGTTTCCCTTGCGGCACAAGCGTTGGTTGTTTGTTGTTTACTTTCAGCGATGGAAGGTGGGATGGGGTACAAATAAAAAAGCTATTTAGTGATAGATTGAGCAGAATAGGCAGAGACAAGGCAGCAGGCTCACTACCCGGTTGATAGCACGGCAGACCCCACGGCCTAGACAAGAGATAAGGGGAACGTTCAGGGAGGGCGACTCGACGGAGGGGAAGAGAAGAAGTTGTTGTGCTTCTGTTGATCTTCCGTCATCGATCGATCGTCGGTGGCAACGGCTGACTCAGCCACCCTCTGTTTTTGACCAACTTGATACAGTTACTGAGGAATGGTCGACAATCGTCAGAACACCGTTGACGATACAATCTCTAGCAAGAGATTCACCATACCGGCCACGTTTTATTTTCCTTCCCGGCTGCAAAGCCTACGGAGTGCCTTGGAGAGCTCGCCGGCGAACTCAGCTCATCGGAAGAACCCGACACTGAAACATTCCACCGACTCGAGTTCGACTCCGACTCGAGTTCGAACCATAATGACTGTCGACAATGCCGATTTGGATATGAATGGGCTATTCGATTGGATGCAGGACCGACATATACATCGGAAGAAAGCGACGGTCAAATGTCCGAAGAAAATCATTTGAAGCCATTTTCGATCTGCCTAAGCCGCTGTATGCCAATATTCACAAGGGTGCGAAAGAAACCCGACCTTGTCATTGGGTTTGAATGGCGATCACTGTCCCAAAATCAATATTCACCGTCAGCAAGTCCCGATCAGGCATTCCCTATCACAGGAGACGTAGAAACCGCATTTCCGATTTTTACGTTGGAGGCCAAATCAAGCGATCCCGAGCAAGCCCGACTTCAGAATCTCCATACGAGCGCCATCATGTTACGAAATCTGCGGCTCTTCTTTTATGAATGTCATCATAGTACCGACGGATTCGATAACAAAATCCATGTGGTCACAGCTACTCTCACACGCAACGAAGTCAATGTGTACGGCCACTCACAGGCTACGATGCTGGTATTACTTGGTACGAGCATTGTTTGATAGACTCTTGGAGCCTCACGAAAAATAAAGAAGACTTCTTACGAGCGAGAAAGGGCTTAGAGGCTTTGGTCAAGTGTGTCGCTGACTTGAATCGCGCCTGGATCATCCCGGGTCTAGAAAAGATGAAACTGCTTCCTCTTGAGTGTCACCAGGAGTTGGATATGGTCAGATCTTGTCGGTTTTTTGAAGCGATGATTCCGATGGTACGAGCTACTTATTTACCCTCATCACGGGCTCGAGGCACTCTATGCGTCAGCTTACTCCGTTCTATTTCGATTGGCATACGAGACAAAGGCGCTTTTCTTAGTGGGAACGGTATTTCACCCGAGTAATTTGCTGTCATTGCTGACTACGAAATAGCCATAGAAACAATATCATTTTTCCTTGGTATTTGCATCATATCTACAGAACATCATCCATCTCGTAGTTTCCACCCAAATGTTATCCTTCTTATGCCTCCTCAGGGGTCGCCTCTTCCGGATCATCCTCGGACTCAGCTTCTGCGCTATCACCACGCTGCACTGGATCTTCCGAGTCATGCTCTGAGTCCTTCAGAGCCCCTCCTTTTCGTTGAGGGATCACTTGCATGAACGCCTCACCCCAGTCCCTGACTTCCAGCCACTTGAGCATAATTTCCACCACGTGGTTGGTTGCCAGCACCTTGCGCGACGCCATCTGGATATAGTCTCCAATGGGTAGCTTAGCGGTTTTGATTCCTTTTTCCTCCGCCGCTCTGTAGCAGATCCCCTTATGCCGGTTCTTGTCGACCAGTCCGCCAATGATGTATGTGCTGTACGGCTTCAATTCCGTCAAGGTGTGAGGGCTGTCGCTGCTGAGGTAGATGACCTCTCCATCTTCCGGTTTGGCATCCGTCTTGTCGGCGAATACGCCGGCGAGCTCGCCGCCCTTAGGTCCCTGCATCAACCCCTTCGCCTGCTCGGCGCCAACGGCAAAGTCTTCTCTAATGAAGCTAATGCCCTTCCAGCTCTCGTGCGTCTTCCTCATCACGGTTTCAAACCGCTCCTTCAACAACTTATCGAACGAGGACATGATCATGTGAGCACGGTACGGAGATCGGACGTTGTCGGAGTAGGAGCGTGTAATTTGCGAAGCGAGGGACTTTCGCTCCTTGTCGTTCATCAGGTCGTCGTATCCGCAGTCCATGACCAGCGTCAGAGGGAGCAGAGTCGACTTTCGAAATCGGTGCCGGGTCGACTCTCGTTCTTTTCTCAACTTCTCCACCGCTTCCGGGCCTGCTTTCCGTGCCTCATCCCACTGATTGCGTACCCGATCCTTCTTCGCCTTCATGTATTCTTTGCGCTTCACCTTGCGCAGTTCACGCTGAGATTCCCAATGCTCTTGTCGGCGAAGTTTCTTCATCTGGTTCTTGGACAATTGGGGGGTTGATTCGCCGGTTTCGGCTTGCTTTTCTTGTTCATTTGCTGCACCGGAATCGTTGCCATCGGTGGGTTTGGAGGCATCGTTGCGCGCATCGGCGTCGTCGGAAACGCTCCCCACGGCGCCGGTCATCACAGGGACCGAATCATCCTGGGCACTGTCCTTTGCCAGTTTGGCGATCTTCCGGGGTCGCTCTTCGTCTGCCATAATGTCAATGCTGTAGAACACCCAACGTAGACCGGCGGGCTCAATGAGTGCCGAAAGAAAAAGCGCGGAAATCGAAGCAGGCGCGGCATGAAGAAAATCCAGGCCGCAGCCAATGGGAGCCGCCGCAGCCCGCATTACCAAACGGGAAGGACGCACGTGACGAGCCGTCCAACTTCGCTCGAGCATCATCGGCCGGTCTTCCCTGAGAATCCCTCCCCAGACTTCGATAAAGGGTGCTGCGTCCGTCTCTCGTCAAAATGCCTCAGGATATGCCCCCATCGGGGGGCTACGGGCCAGTCCAGTATAAGGTACGGTTGTTCAACGGCGATTCCCCGCCCTGCCCCGGCTTTGTCGGTCCCTCGGTCGCCCTGATCGCCCTCTATCTTTGAGGCCCTTGATTTCCCATGCATTCGCACAAGCATCGCCATCTCCCAGACTCAATTGCACGAATAATGGCTAACTCGGCACCCTCTGCAGCGAAACGTCCCCGCCCGCGGTTTCCGCCCCGTCTACTACCTCCTCGGAATGCACATGTTCATGGCCTACGGCATGTACAAACTCTTCTACGGTATCCGTGAACAGAAGTACGTGACATCCTCGATCGAAAAACCCCCAATTGACTTGAAGGTGAAATCCCCATTCCCAATTCCCATGCGCTGACTCTCCCTTGTCTAGCGAACTCGCCCGTGAGAAGATCTGGGGCCGTCTCCACCTGCTCCCTCTCCTTCAGGCCGAAGAAGACCGTGACCAGGTCCGTCGCTACTACGCCGACAAGGCCCGTGAGAAGGAGCTCCTCGGATCTGAGACCAAGGTCTACAACTCTGACCGGTACGTCGCTCCGATCCCTTGTGTACATATCAAGGGTGGACCTGAGACTAATGACCCATTCGAACAGCTTCGTCCGCCCTACTTATGCCTACATGCCCTCCAAGGTCACTCAATAAGCGACTGGAATTACAACGGGCTTGGGCTCGTTTACGTTATTCTCGCTTCTTTGTTTGAGTGTGCGATGCGTGAAACCATGATCCTATATGGATCTTGAGTGTCAAAAAAGGTCGAATGCTTCGACACGGAATTCTTCGAACCAGGAGAGAAGAGAGGTACCAGGAAAGTGGAAAGCAGAGCTGTATGATGTAGATATACCGTTTGAAAGAAATTAACTAGTCCCGCAATATATGCTTTTTTTTAGGTTGTTTTCTTAGAGCGCTGCTCAAGTCTCACGCTGGGGACCAATCCAACCGACCATATGAGGCAACTTGAAATCAGGACTCTCAACCGCTTTAAACAAAATTCATTGTCATGTTTCTATATTCTTTTATGCTCGTAATGCGGGGGGGAATGTAACAGTGCAGGAAATGGAAGTGGGAAACGTGGTGGTGGGAAGATAGTGAGCGCACGACACCAGACCATTATACTATCCAATCGAGGCATTGGATGGACAGAGACGGGAGACGGTTCTTTAACCAAACATGTCCGCTACCCCTGCCAGATCGGGTCCGTCATTGATGTCAACCTTGTTGTTGTGCTGGCCCTCCATCTCGGCGGTCATATATCTCTCCTGCAAGGCACTTCGAGCCTTGCGACGCTCCTCACGGCTGCCCAGGATCTTGCCTTGTTCGGCGATGCTGACCCCACGCAGGCCCTCTAGGAGATCCAAAACGAGGGCCCGTTGCTGCCGTGCTGCCGTCGATCTCACGAGGGCAGCTTCAGCATTGGCGACTCGCTGCTCATCCATACCGGGAAGGCTGAGAATCACCGAGCGCGGTGTCGGGCTGCTCGAGCCGTAGAGGACCCAGATTGAGGCAATAAGCTGAGCCAAGTCCTTTTGCATATCCACAAAATAAGGCTCATGTACAGATGTGATACAAGCTTTGAGTACTTCGGAACTGATGAATTCGCGGATCGTCACGGTCGTGGCGGACTGGTTGGGAGGGGCAAAATCTTGAAGAATGGAGCGAATAACGCGAGTGATGATGCTACAGCATCGCGTATCACGCATGCGAAGGGCATGAGTACAAAACAGCATGACGGGCTCAAAAATCTCGGGTGAGGAGAGCACAAAATGCCGTATCGAGTCAGAGAGTGCCGGTGCTTGCTGCGGAGCGCTTGGATCCGCCGGCTCTCCGTCGGGATCTATCCAAAATGTCAGTCGTCGAACTCGAATGCAAAGATGGCACTAGGATAGCTTACCTCCCCGTTGCGGGTCGAGAAGACTTGCCACCATGATGACCGCAGAGTATGTCAATTGGCGAAGAATGCTCTCTGATTTCATTTCGTCGGTTAAATCACCGTCAGCAACGCCTTCCCTTCGCTGTTCGATTATTTCCCACTCGGCGGTGACCTTTCGGTCAATGTTGGTGAAGAGGGTTGCCAGCATGGGAGGCAAGAATTGTGCTCTGAACCGAACCGGGCAGTCGTCAATCAAACATCTCGAAATATTCAGCAAGACTGAAAACTGGTGGGATGAGAGATAAGAAGAGTCTTTGAATAACGCCTGGGAAAGGGGTCCTGGAAGTTCAGCGAATCCATAGAAATTTTCTCTTAGCCTGCTCATGCTGAATAACATTGAGTAGCAGGATTCCCGAACCGCTCGAATTTTGCCCCTGACAGAGGATGCAAAGCCTTCAAGGGACACCCGAGAAGAAGTGATTCTAGCATAGAATTCGTCTCGACTGCCCGTAGAGATTCCCGCTTGCCAGAACCTATCGGTCAAGATGCGTTCAACAACGGCCCTCATATCAACCGACAGACCGTTCCAGTTCTCCGGGTTGTGGAAAGCATGTGCGTTACTATACCATGCGTTAGTTCAAAAACTTTCCCCCTGATTGCAAGTTTCTTTACCTAACAAGCGACAGCAAGGTCGGGAGTACGACTGGGATAATGTCATGCCAGACTCCACGTGCAAGTTCATAGGCAGGCTCATTCTTTTTCAATTTCTCCGTAGAGACAGCGAGCATGGTCTTAGTGCCTCGCAGGGGCAATTGCTGGGCAAAAGTCAGTGCTTAATTCAATATTAGAAGGGATGGCACGATTTTTTACCTGGAACTTCCTTGTCATCTCCTCTTGGATATGTCTACCTTCGTCATCTAGAGGCACCGAGGTCCAATCCTCCAGTTTCTGCGCCTGTCTAGTCTGCATATATGGTCCCACGCTTTGCAAGCCTAACATGTCACAAAACCCTCCGAAAGACGAGCTCATTTGTCGAAGCTCCTCTTCTTGCCACGCTTGTTTGATGGGCTCCACGAACGAGGACAATCGATACTGGCGAACCTGAGGTTCCACGTTGTTCGCACGTTGCCTGATCAGAAGTTAGCTGAAGGATCACCATTGGAGAATTGACAGGACAGTACATGATGATTAACAGGATCGAGATTAGTTCCATTTGTAGCTTGTCATCCACCCGGTTTGCCTGGCTTATCTCTTTGATTTTCGGTTCAAGCAGATCATAAAACGTCTATGGTGCCAGATTAGCATCATACGACCATAGAGAAAACTTCGGATGGTCTTACGGAGAAGTAATCGGCGTAGCGCATTGCAAGACGTCGAAGCTCATGGCTGGCCAGTCCGTGGAGCTCCTTCACGGCCTCCGAGTAGGCAGGAAATTCGGGTTGGTCAGGAAGGCGTGTCATAAGGATGTATTCGAGAACCTTCAGCGCAAAGCTGGGGGTCTTGTCAAGAGCTTTCGAAGAGACATCGACGATAAGTTTGATAATTCGCTGCTTCAAAATGGGGTCCTGTATCTCAATTAGCAACCTAAAGTTCCCTTCAACTATTACTTAAATCCTTTGGAGTCTAACCTCAAAATCTCTCTGCATCAATTTGAAAGTCCAAGTCTCCAAGATGTTTTCCAGCTGGCTTCTTTGTTGCTCCTGCGAAATCTGTCAGACTAGTGTATAAGAGATTTCCTGGGTATACATACGTCCTGCTGTGGCATTTTGCCGTGTGCTGCAAGCCATCTATTATATCCTCTCAGTAAAGCCTCGACGACGGCGAACTGGGTGTCGGCACGCATAAGGGGAAGCGAGCTTTTCGAAAAAGATTTTACTAAATGAATTTGTTAGCGAACATGATTACTTGCCATCAAGCCGAATCTCACCATTGAAAGGCTCAGCCCCACTGTAAAGGTTGTCCAGATTTCCATCGACGGTTGACAGGATGTGAGGGATGGCCTCTTGCGGTCTCTTATGGACGGTGGTATCGATGATGGCGGAGCAATAACGGCGATAATTGCCCACAAACGCGTGTCTTTCGGGAATGGTGTCGATGTCTTCGACGAGAAACACTACTGTAGGGTCATCGGAATCGGCTGGGAGAGACTCCCAGCGGACCAGCCGCTGGGTACAATTTTCTAGCAGAGCGGGGATCAGGCCAGTGACCAAATCAGTGTTTCCAATCCTCTCAGAAGCTAATAGTTTGGACCACACATGGAGAACAGGTATCGAAACTGTCAAGCTTCGATGTTGAATAACATTTAACATAAGGTGGAAAAAAAACGGGAGGTTCATGCCATGAACGCTTTCCAAAGAAAACCCCTTCTCCTCAAGAAACCCTGCGAGGTATGACAGCATCTTTGGGTGAGAGTTAGCATCCTACAGCACACTCAACCGCATAATGTTTTCTTCGTACCTCGGAGATCTTCTTCGAGATCATGTATCGTGTATCATCGATGTCATCGGGTCCCACGACAGACCACTCGTACAACTTCTGCAGGACATTCAAGTAGTCTGTTTCATACATCTTGTGTACGAGTGGCTGAAAGCTTCCGATGTCGATGTTGGATCTGCTGTACAAGGAGTGCAAGGCTTCGACGGCAGCCTTGAGAGAAACTTAGTCTAACACACCGCTATGAAGAGATCTGATAGGGATTTCTTACCAGCAAAACCTGCTCATCGTTGCAAGTCAAAGACATGGCTATGGTCGGAACGCAATTTGAGGAGATGATCGCTTTCGGGATCGCCCAGACGAGGACCGATTTCAGCGTTGCCAGCGCTTTGAGTGCCGCATCTTTCGCTTGCTTTGAGTTCTGCAGGTTCTCGATGCAGTATTGGAGGAACTCGCTTATGCGGGCAAGCCAGGAATCAGTGCCGTATCGTAGTTCAATGTGGTGCTCCCGCTTGGGATAGAACTCCTCAAAGACCGACAACGGAGTGAAGATCTCCACCAGGGCTCTGTTCAAGTCAGTCCCCCGCAAGGAAGAAACGGTGTCTTCACGGTAGAAAATGTCTTCAGACAAGGTTTCCAGGACGGAGAGCACGAGCTCCTTGTGCACCAGGCTTGCCTCCCAGAATTGAAAGAGGGTCTGATCCATGTCGATCCAGTCCAAACCCCAGCTTCTCTTTGCAACCTCCGCCCATAGTTGGGGGATTTTGTTGCGGATATACGGGGGATCTTCCGGGCGAATGGCTTCCGCCAGTTTGAGAACAAGGTCTTTCAACGCAAGCACCTGCTCCGAAGACGTAAAAGACGTGTGTCGCAAAACATGATCCAAAAGACCTAGACCAAAATAGCGAACCAGCGGATTCTGGTTGGCGCCAGATGCCAGGAGAAAGCCATTACGAGCTGCCGACTTGCTTTCCTTTTGCGACTCGACAAACGTCAGGGCCTCTCTGCGTAGATCATTCGTGGACGACGGGTTGTGGATGAGCTCCAAGGCGCGAACGATATCGGCCATGCGTCCTTCGGAGAGATCTTCCTCGGCCGCCATTGCTTCCAACCGAGCTAATGATTCCCCAAGTTCCAGGTTGGGTCTAAGTGATATGGGGGGAAAGATGAATAATTAATGATTACCTCTGGATGCCGTTTCAGTTGTTGTTGGACAGTATGCTCATGATCCAGATAATGAAGCACGGTCCGTTAAATATGTGTTTTTCTCTTTTTTTTTTTTTTTTTTTTTCCTTCTTCGTTTCTCCCGGTTTTGGCGAGTTCTCTCGTGGAATGTACTTTCCTTTCCTTTTGATCGGGGAGCGTTCAAACCACCAAACAGAGCGTAGGGAAACAAGCCGAATCACACCGGTCAGCTCCCGCGGGTGGACAAAACGGCAAGCGCCGTTCAGAAGAAGCAGATGCGGCTCAACGCCTGATGTCTGCCCGAAGGAATTCTTTTTTTAAATTGGGACTTAGTGGCGCAAGGGGGGAGGGGGAGAGACTAAGGCTTCTTCACGTGGTCAGGATGATCTGGGGCTTAGATCTTTCTAGCTTGACGCGGGTGTTGTTTGGTGGGAGGGAAGAGAAGGAGAGAGGGAGAGAGGGAGATAACAAGGCCCGCCGTTTGGTTTTTGGCTGCCTCGGATTTTCCACGCCCTCTCGCCGCAATCTCCACACGCTCACCGCCTTCTTGCTTCTCCTCCTTCCCTTTCCATTCAGTTCAGTTCAATTCAACGGGAATCTCCGTGAATGTTTGAATCTGGCTGCAGACTCACGTCAATCCTTCAGACAGCATCAACCTGCTGAGACAATGTCGATCACCATGTTATTTAACCGTTTGCAGGGTTCCCCGCACAGTTCATCCAGTTGGAGTGTCTGCCAAAGACTCTACCGCAGGTCTCCCGGCACATATAAGACCGATGGACGAAGGAGCAAAACATTACTCGTGGCGTAGTTGCGCCGAGATCTCCATAAACTCCCCGCAAGAACCTCAATGAGGGGAAATGATCCGACTCCGGGTTTCTTGAAGCAGAAGCTCCGCAGGAGACTTTATCCTGAATGCATTCATTTACCCAGCTGGAAAACCGCCCACAGATTGTATATAATAAGTGCAAAGGTCCACGGACATACTACAGGGAACTTTCTCCATGGAATTTGCAAAAACCCAGCTTTTATCTAAAACAATCTTATTGCCAATACCTGACCCACCATCATGCTAACTAGTATCATTCTACAAACCGTCCTTTTTGTAATTCATGCTGTTGCAGCACGGAACTCCACTTTCTCTAACCCTATCTTACCAGGGTTCCATCCTGACCCTAGCTGTATCTTTGTCGAAGAGCTAGACAACACCTTCTTTTGCGTGACATCGACTTTTCTAGTGTTTCCTGGAATTCCCGTTTACGCCAGCAAGGATTTGAAGAACTGGAACTTGATCAGCCATGTCTTCAACCGTCCTACGCAATACCCAGGTTTCGGAAAGATCCTGACGGCGAGTGGCGAAGGTGGTCTCTGGGCACCGACGATTAGACGCCATGATGGCACCTTCTACGTTGCTGTCACCCTTGTGGACTACTACGAACCTGAGAAAAGAACGTTCATAAATCTTGTTTTCAATTCAACAGATCTCTTCAACGATGATGCATGGTCTGATCCTGTTAGAATAGACATGCACGGTCTGGAGGCAATTGACCCCGACCTCTTCTGGGACGACGATGACCAAGCTTATATGCTCACCGGATGGGGGAAAATATACCAATCTGCCGTGGACCTCCAAACCGGTGCCTCGTCGGACCCAGTGAATGTCTGGAACGGTATAGGTGCCTCAAACCCGGAAGGACCGCATATGTATAAGAAAGACGGACACTTCTATCTCCTAATTGCTCAAGGGGGTACTGGACCCGACCATAGCGTGGCAATAGCGAGATCTGACTATGTCTCTGGGCCGTTCGACGGCTATACCGGGAATCCGCTCTTAACGGCAAAGGACACAGATAATTTCTTCCAATGTGTTGGCCATGCGGATTTATTTCAGGACGGCAACGAGAAATGGTGGGGGGTGGCCTTGTCAACGCGTTCAGGACCGGATCTTCGATCCTATCCAATGGGCCGAGAAACGGTGCTATACCCCGTCACATGGGACGATGAATGGCCCGTCTTGGATCCTGTCTACGGAAACATGGAAGGCTGGGGAAAGCCAGGGAGCAGCCAGCAGCCGTCCAGTGGTCAACATGCCACCGAGGACTCAGAATCTGTGGACTTCAAGCCGGGCTCATCTATCCCTCGGCATTGGAAGTTTTGGCGCTTCCCAGAGCCATCATCATACACGATCTCTCCTAAACACCCTAATTCCCTCGAGCTTTCGCCCTCCAGGTCAAACCTCACCGGAACTCTGACCGAGGTTCACCCTATCACTCTAATATCCCGACGTCAAACCGCCAGTCTCTTCAACTTTAGCGTAGACATTAAATTCTCACCCATGGAGGTCGGAGAAGAAGCCGGTGTGTCCATCTTCATCACCCAGCTCCAACACATCGACTTGAGCATCCAACTAGCCAAGAATGGCAGCCATATCCTGCGCCTCCAGACAACAGCGTACGGTAAGCCGGATCTTGAACCTCCAGCGCCGAGAACGTTGAATATGCCCCGTTCGTGGATCGGAGAAAAGTTGCGCATGTACATCGAGGCGAGGGATCCGACAATCTACTCATTTTACGTGGTACGTGCAAATAATCCGCTGGACGTGAGGCAATTTGGCAATGTCAGTGCGGAATATGTGAGTGGGGGTAGTGGGAGCTTTACTGGTGAGTATAGATTCATTTCATCTTTGGAGGAGTCCGATTGCTGATGATGTGTAAAGGCACCTTACTTTCTGCGTACAACACGAATAATAACGGATCTGGTACTGCAAAAGCTTGGATCAGCCGTTGGAGATATTTATCACTAGCCCAGGAAGTTGCTAAAGGTGTCTTTGAGCCCGTGGATAACATTTAGAGATAATTAATGGCACTTAGGTTTATCACAAGGCTTTAGGTCTACCATTGGTGCTTGAATATGATGGGAAATACCATGACACAGACATATGGTCAATTTGATATGGTAAAAACGACTATGGTGGTATTCTGAAAGTGAGCATGTGCGAAAGGCATTATTTGCCTGGAATTATCGCAGGCTTAACACATTAAGGAATGGGGGAAATAAAAGAAAAAGCGGATCTCACAACTGAGCCTAATAGATATCTGAACCCGAAATGCGCCACTAAAACAATGATTCCATAACAATTCGCGGCCGGATTACATGACAGAGCAACCTCCACTCTGACACTGCTCAAGATAGGTCACGTCCTCACTGGAGGCGCCACCTAGTTCACCAGGCTTGCGTTTGACGCCTTGAACTTTGATGTCTTGTTCACCGGCCGGATGCCACCATTGAAGCCGCTGTATTTTCAAGGAGCTGACTTCCACGTAATCGATCGTCCATTCCCCGCTGCTGACCGAGACCACAGGGTGCTGTTCGGGGAAATGGAAATTGGGTAGGTAGATCTCGGTGGGTGTCCTATCTTCAGAAGAGCGTTCATTTCCGGTCAGGGACATGGTGAAAGTGCAGTTGCGTAGATCAAATCCGTATTTTGTGACAATGCCATTCGTCACAATGGGACTTGGTCGTATGTACGCCTCTGCAGCACGGAATCCGACGTTGTCTTTGATCAGCTGAGAATGTTCTGTCGATATAGACGGGGACCGAATAGCATCCTTCAGGTTCCCAGGTCCAACATGCTGAGTCTCGATGTTGCTTTGGCTCTCCGAGAAAGATGGAGACCGAGGGTCTGAGAAGGGTTCGCTCTCAAGCACCAAGTTCTTCCCGTTCGGCAGCTCCGGGTCGTCAATAGAGAAGATCGACAAATCCTCACCATTCCAGTTATCACCCCATTCATGGTTGTTCTGAGAAAATGTCAATAAGCTGCGTCCCAGAAAGCTGCTGGAGAGTGGCCAAGGCGAAATATCCTTACCTGAGTGGTGTAGAGCCATAAAGTAAAGCCATTTGCCGTACTGCCTTCGATAGCGAAATGATTGGCGTCCATCGCACTAATTTGGCTACTGTAGTCTCCAGTCCTGTATGCATGTTTGTCATCCATGTCGTAGGGAATGCCAATTTCGGTAAGTATCATGGGGTGGTTTCCCATGTAACGGAGACTCTCATCTCTAAGGAATTTCAATTGATCACGCAAGCAGTTTCGGATAGCCGTCTCTCCAATCTTTACAGCAAAGGCAGGCGTCAGATATTTCCCGCGAAGCACTCCGATCACGTCCACATTGTAGAGTCGGTTCCTACATCTGTGAGCAGTATTCAAGTAGCATGGGGGAAGCTTTCTTACCAATGTTTCGTCAACAAGGTGAGCCCATCGTAGTAATGTACAGCGTGGACCATGTTGGGGTCATCGTCAAATGTTCCCTTCAAGTCGGGGGGAATTTCCATGACGGGAGGCTGGCAAAGCATGACGGACTCAGGCCAAACACTCCTGATGGCATCTCTGTACGCCCTGTAGTGCTCAAGGAAGTAGGAGTTGGTGAATTTATCGTAGTCCAGAGGCTCTCCAGTTTTGGGGTGGCTAGCGAAATAGGCTTTCCGTAGTAGCTGGTCTGACGATGGGTCCCACACTCCATGTTGAGCCCACAGACATTCACCCAGTTTCCAGCCCGGGTCTCTAGTCCAGCCATACTTCTTGTCATCGTAATCTGCGGGGAGCCATGCAGAAACACCCTCGGGGTCCACGAGTGCCTTCCCTGTTTGATGAGGACCGAAGCCGCCAAAGGCCCAAGTCGTCTCCTCACAAGCGCGACCCGATCCCGTCAGGAATGACTGGAATGGCGATGGAGAGGTCCCTAGCTGCAACTGTTGATCCGCTGGAACGACGGAGAGATCCTGAAGACCAATAAGCCCTCGGTGAGGTTCGTTCATGCTCTCCCATCCAATGACCACTTCATTTTCAAGATCGCCGGCGTCGTGAATTTTCTGTGCTAGGTATTTGCAAGCAGCGATGAAATGACCTTGGAGATAGTCCTGGATATTGACGCCGTCGATGATCGCCTTGGGAGCAAAGTCACGCCCCGCCCAGAACATTGTAAAGATGGTCTGACAGACCAGGCGGGTGTAGTTCGTACTCCAGATCATCTTGGGGAATTCCTCGGGGTGGTCATAGGTATTCTGAACCAGGGCGGCTTCGGTTTTCTTGAATGTCCGGGGGTTGAGTCCTGCCGCGTACAGAGTCCAGCCCGGTGCACCAGATCCACCCGAAAGTCTTGACCACTGCATGTGTTCAGTAAGCTAGGTCAGCGGAGTGATGATAGGATATAAAAGCATACCACATCCTGATGAGGGTCCATAAACACGAAGAACTGGTACTGCTTTGCAATACGAAGGACTTCGATAGTAAACGCAACCCAGTCGTCATCATACTTTCCAGGACCAGCATGTTCGATCGCTTCCCAAGTGAATATGTATCTTATGGTGTTGTATCCCCATTTCCGCAGTCGTCCAAAATGTGTATGCGCCTCGTCAAGGGAGAAAGGTCGGCCGACGAACGAAACATTGTCGGTGTCGAAGAACTTATCGGGAACGTAAGAGGGAGTATCGGGGTTCTTTGGATATTTGGATTCGCCAGCAACATTGATTCCCCTTATGGTGATTTCTCGATTCTGAGGATCCTTGAAGGTCTTGCCATCGATGCGAAGTCGAAGAGGAGCCATGATCACCAACTGTGGTCAGGATTGTTCCGTTAAAGGAAAGAATGAGCTACCGATGGATGTGAGGAAGGTTCCCGGAACGTTGGAGCTAAAAATAGCCCCGGTCTCGTGGCAAATAGGCTGTGGAACAAGAAAGTCAGCATACATGAAAGCATTCCATCCAGTGAATTGTATCTAGATCCAGACTCTGCTGACCTTCACACAGCTAGTTCAAGACGACCTGCGTCAACAAGAGATTGCCAACCAAGTGTGAGAGCACCGTGACAAATATCAAAATACCCAGGTAATACCCAGCACCACTTCCGGGGAGCGGAGAGACGATCCAGCTGCAAGGGGCAGATTGAAGACAAGCAGAGCGGAGAGGAGAAGAAGCTCGGGAAGAGGAGAGGGCGATAAGCGGCCACGAGATCGGCCCTCTGACGTATCACCCGCGGTCGGCCTTCCCCACAACCGCACCTTTTCGCATCCCGAACAGGCCATCCTCGTCCAACTCATTCCGTTCACCAATACGTCTTTGAGGCAAGGCCATGCTGCCATTGGGTTAGGATGTCCAACAAGGCCGCTCTCAAAGCTGTGCGCACAGCGCTAGACTCGAAGGATTTCGAGCAGGCAGCCCAAAAAGCTAGCGATTTGGTGAAGCAGGAACCTCAAAATTATCATGCGTATGTTGAAGTCTACATTTAAGGACATCCCCTGCATCTCCTTGCTAACCCAAGACCCTCGTTTAGGAATGTCTTTTTAGGCCTTGCGCTGGACAAGCTCAACAAAACCCAGGATGCTGAGAAGGCCTATTTCGCAGCCACTCGCGTGAAGGACAATGAGAAGACCGCATGGCAGGGACTTATCAGCCTCTACGAAAAACAAGGAAGTCTGAAACTTGACTCGTATCGCGAGGCAGTGTTGAAACTCGGTCAAATATTCGCTGAAGCGTAAGTCCGGGGATTTTTCCAGAAGCATCCCATCGTGGCCCCCTCCCCGCTAATCGTATTTTAGAGATGACAAACACCGCTGTCAAGATGCCGTGGATAAATTCATCAGTTTCGCCAAAAAGCACGGCAGTCGTTCTCAGTACCGAAAAGCAATCGAACTGCACCTCCCTTCGAGCCCGCTGTACGACTTCCTAGAGGGCCGTGTCCCGCATCCTGCGCATACATACCTTCGTCTCATTGAGATGGCCGAGGCAGACGAGAAGGAATTTATAAACCGGGAGATAGGCGAGCGACGTACACGACTGGGAGCCAGAGTTGACCAGGTTACCTTGGAGGTCAAGCGAGAAGCTTTCAAGCGGAGTGAGCTAGAGCCACTCTATCGTGGAATTGTGAACTGGTCCCATGACGACCAGGTTCGACGTACGTACGAGGAGAAGCTGTTGGAACGTGGATGTGATGTTCTTGCAGTTCTTCCTGCAAATGAAAAGGCCGACAAGCGGAATGAGGTTTGGCAGGCCGCTCGTGACATGGTCATTATCAAACACCCTTTCGAACTTGCCTGGAGAATCTACATCGAGTGGCAAGATATTCAAAGCTTTTCGGAGTGGGACCATGGGTTTTTGGAGGACTTCATCGAGTTCTTCCCAGAGCATGGCCTTACTAAAGTTCTCAAGGGATTTTTGGCCAGTGACTTCTCTCCGTTCCCCAAGGACCCGAAGAAGCGGAAAGGGTCGAAGGACTCTCAGCAAGCAGCGAACGACCAAGATGCCGATAGCAGCAACGGTGAAACAGTTGAGCTGGCAGCTCAGGATAGCTTGATATTGATGGTCGAAGGTCTTGAAATGTCCTCCTCATCTGTTGTCGCGCATAGGATCGTCGGTGATGTCTACTTATCGCTGGAAGAATACGAAAGTGTGGCCGATGTAGCCCGGAAAGGGCTAGACAATCTCCAGTCACTGGTGAAAATGTCTGGGATGAAACTCCAGAATACGACTGATTCGATGAGAATCACACTTTCGAATGCCTTGATTTATTATCAGTCTCCAAGAAACCACCCAGAGGCAAAACGCATCTTCGAGGAGATTCTCCGTCGAAACCCGAAATCGACGAGCTGCTTACTGGGAATTGGTCTTATCCTCAAGGTCGATGAGGATTACGTGGAGGCCGTCAATTTCCTGGGACGTGCTCTAAACCGGGATCCGACCAATATCAAGGTTCGGGGTGAGCTATCCTGGTGCAAAGCGCTCAACGGAGATCTCGCATCTGGCCTCGAAGGCCTCCAGGACGTCCTTTCTGAATTACAGTCCACACGCTCCGAGAACCGAGAATTCAAGGCTGAAATCCTCTACCGGTTAGGGTACTGCCAATGGGAAATTGATCCGTCCTCGTCCGCTCGTAAAGATCGCACTGGTGCCTACGCCAGCCTTTTGTCTTCAATTCAAACCAACATGAACTTCGCTCCTCCCTATACTCTCCTCGGTCTGTATTACGCAGATTACAAGAAGGACAAGACGAGGGCCCGCCGGTGTTTCCACAAAGCCTTCGAACTGTCAGCCTCTGAGATTGAAGCTGCAAGAAGACTAGCAAAGACGTTCGCCGACCAGAAGGAATGGGATCTTGTTGAAGCAGTGTCTCAGCGGGTTGTCGACTCAGGCAAGGCCAAACCGGCACCCGGTTCGAAGCGAAAAGGATTCAGCTGGCCTTATGCGGCTCTGGGAACCGTTCAAATCAACAAGCAGCAATATTCTAAAAGTATTGTCTCGTTCCAAGTAGCCCTGAGAATCTCACCGGGTGACTATCATTCCTGGGTGGGCCTGGGCGAGAGTTACCACCATTCTGGACGGTTCATCGCGGCCACGAAAGCATTCGAGCATGCTCAGCAATTGGAAGGCGCACTATCCAGTTCTGATAAGGAGCAGATTTGGTTCGCACGATACATGCTGGCGAATGTCAAGCGGGAACTTGGTGAATTTGAAGATGCTATTTCGAGATACGAAGAAGTCTTGAGCTTCCGGCCAAACGAGTTTGGTGTTTCTATTGCCCTGCTTCAAACGCTTACAGAAAGCTCATGGAAGAGTCTTGAGCTCGGACTTTACAACGACTGTATTGAGTTGGCGCGCAAGGCCATCCTCGTGGCGACGTCGCTTGCCCTCGAAAGAGTCGATATATTTAACTTGTGGAAGGGCGTGGGAGATGCTTGCTCGCTTTTTGCGTACGTCAAAGCGAAATCAGGACGGTTGCCGATCAACGAAGTTTTCACCTTGCTCTCTACTCAACTCGAACCTACGGCCTTTGACATTCTTGCCGATGTCGACGGGGTAGGCCAAAAACACCTTTCGCTGCTCAAAGATGAAAGCAACGAGGAGTCTACGCTGTCTGATAAATGCATGTATGCCTCCATTTTGGCGTATAAACGCGCCATCCATGTCTCTGTGCACGACGTGCATGCTCAGGCGGTTTCTTGGTACAATCTTGGCTGGGCAGAATACAGGACCTACAAGTGTATGCAGGCTGCTGCGGGCACGACGGGCCAGAAACAGTCGCGCAAATTTTTGAAAGCCACGATGCGTTGCTTCAAACGTGCTATTGAGTTGGAAGCAGGTAACTCTGAATTTTGGAATGCTCTGGGTGTCGTGACCACCGGCATGAGTCCCAAGGTAGCGCAGCACGCTTTTGTGAGAAGTCTCCACCTGAACGACCGAAGTGCTCAGGTTTGGACTAATATAGGAGCGCTCTACCTCATCCACAATGATATTCAACTGGCAAATGAGGCATTTACTCGGGCGCAATCAACAGACCCAGATTATGCCCAGGCCTGGATTGGCCAGGGTTTCCTGGCGCTTCTGTTCGGGGATCCGCGGGAAGCTAGAGGCCTCTTCGAGCACGCGTTCGATATCTCTAGCTCCTTGTTGGTGTTGCCAAAACAGCAGTATGCTCTCAGCCTGTTCGACCACCTCATGGCGGATTCCTCGGTTTCCAATGAGATCTCGCAATTGATCCAGCCCTTCTTTGCACTTCATCAGCTCTCTTCACAAAACCCGTCGGACCTTCCCTTCGTGCATCTCTCTGCTCTTCTTGCGGAAAGGATTGGGGAAATATCCGATGCAGAAACCAGTCTCCGAACAGTGTGCTCTGCCGTTGAAGCGGAATACGAGGTGTCCGAATCAACTTCCTCACTTTCAAGATTTGCACAAGCGAATGCAGATATCGCACGTGTTTTACTGGCACAGCATCAATTCGAGGAGGCTGCGGAGAAAGCCGAGATGGCTCTCATGCTATCCGGTGAGGAAGACGCCGAAAAGTTCGATCTTGAAACGAGCAAGAAATTCCGTTTGTCGGCACACCTGACCGCTGGTCTGGCGCATTATTATCTGAAGTCCATGGACAGCGCGATCGACATGTTCCGCGATGCTCTCCAGGAGGCAGACAATGCACCGGAGGTTGTGTGTCTTCTTGCTCAAGTATTATGGGCAAAGGGCGGAGAGGAAGAGCGGACTGTGGCTCGCCAGCAATTATTTGACTGTGTCGAGGCCAACCCCGACATGGTCGGGGCCGTTACACTTCTCGGAGCCATTGCAATCTTGGATGCAGACAAAGATGTTATCGAGGCAGTCGAATCGGACCTCCAGAACATGATTACGAGAGACGATATTGAGATTCACGAGCAGGCAAAGCTCATCAAGCTGTTGACGGCGGTCTCCGCGTTAGGATTCAGCGACAACTCAGGCGTTCCCGAAGAAACAAGACGCGTGGGCGAGGCCGCTGCCGCCGTGATGAGAGCACCACATCAACCACAGGGCTGGATGGAACTGTCAGCGGCATCCGGAGAGCCATACACTGCCGAAATGGGCGTCAAGAGAGCTTTGCGGAGCGTTCCCCCTCGTGGCCGACTCGAAGCCGAGGACCTGTCTGCTGCATTTGCTCAGACTGGGAAGGCGGGCGATGCTTTGAGAGCCATTATGGTTGCGCCCTGGAAGCAATACGGGTGGGAGGAATTGAACCACGCGACGTCAACGACAGCATAGACCTGAGAGTCCCCAGAGGAGTTATGTTATATAGGTAGATGACTTCTCTGGACTAGATTAAGAAATAAGTTAGTTTAGAAACGCATCATGAAGAAATAAATGCAATGCATTCACACGTACCTCGATCAATTCAGACCATTTTCGCTTCACTGCGTCTGCTCTCCAGCTGCTGCTGTAATCCTCGCCAACAATCTTTCCTTCCGACCATCTCTCCAACTCAGATCCATCGCATCAATCTTTCCTCCAAGAATGGTCACACACTCGGGCGTCAACAGCATCATTCCTCGCGCAACCGTCACATTACGCAAAAGCAACTTCGCTCCGATCGCGAGCTTCCCAATGCCAATACCATGAACCTGTCTCAATTCCACGGCCACGGCCTTTGTTCCCTTCGCGTCTTGAACAATCAGTCGATGCGGACCATTGTTATTCCCCAGCTCGTTTGAACCAGCGGTACCGTTCGCGCTGTCGACACCCTCCCCTCTGTCTTCGCCTACATTCACCGTCCGCACGATCTCCCGGCCCCGTATCGCTTCTCCTCGTTCGACGCGCTCGATGGCCTCGACTTGGCTCCATAGACTAGAGCCGATATCTTCGATGTCCAGGACCTGCACCGGAATCGGGCCCTGGATCCGTCTTTCTTGCACTGTAGGGTCGGATATTTCGGCGGGGAGTAGCGAGGACGGGGAGCTGGTCGTCAGGGAATCTCTGAAATCTGATGCCAGGACGCGAAATACAGCGGTTTGCGTCAGGGCGGCGAGGGGCACATTGCGCTGGTGGGATGTGGATGCTACGAAGGTGTTGAGCCAAGACGAAGAGACCGGGAGGGATTTGCCCTGTAATTGAGCGGATATTTGCTGGTTGATATTGGCCATGAAGAATTTGGAGGACCGAATTGGGCGACTAAAAGAGTGTTGATTGTTTGATTTGCGGAGGATGAAATGACACTAAAAAAATCCGGGGAACGGACCACCACCGCTTCCTGATTTGGCCAACAATCAGTTAATCAATCAGTCGCATCTCCTTTTCCTCTTCCACTTCCTCGTCCACCCATTGTCTCGCTCGTCCTTCCCTCCTTGCAGCATCTACTCCTCCATAATGTCGACTCTATCCTCTCCACGCCCCTCAATCGCTTCGTCACGAGCTCACTCGCCCACCCCTGCCTCCTCACGCCGTCCGTCGCTCGACACCCTAAACACCCACGTCGGCCTCAGCGCGTCCTCAACACCCTCCACAGCGCGCGCAGTCTCGCCCTCACTACGGCCGAAACGCAACCGAACCGCCCTCCGAGACTACTACAACCTGAAGCCGTCCGCGGCCGACCCGTCCGGCGGCCCACGCTCACCCAGCGTCCCCCGACACACAGATGCCGGGGACATCTCCAGCCCATCGGTCGTGTCGACCGGCACAGAGCTCGACAACCCGGACTTCGATCCGCAGCGCTACGTGGACCACCTCCTGGCGACGTCGTCACTGTCGACGATCCTGAAGGCCGAGAATACGCTTGTCGGCGACATCCGTACGCTGGATAGCGAGCGCAAGGCCCTCGTTTACGACAACTACTCGAAGCTGATCCGCGCCGTCGAGACCATTGGCAAGATGCGTCGTAGTATGGATGATCGGGGGGCTCCGTTGACGATGACCAAGACGCTGGGGCCGGCTATTGCGTTCGTGGCGGAGACTGCGGGTAGCTTGATTCAGGAGGGCGAGGAACAGCGGAGACTGATGAAGGAGGCGAAGACATCCGATGCGGCGGATCGCAAGAAGGCCGAAAAACAAACGGTGAAGTGGGTACTGGCGGCACCGGAGAGGCTCGAGAAGCTTCTGGCCGATGGGAATAGAGAGGAGGCTGAAAGGGACTGGGAGGAGGTACGCAATCTACTTGCGAAATGGGGAGAGGTGAAGGGGGTTAAGGAGATCCGAGAGGCCTGCGAGAAGGTCATGAAGACGAAGGATGAGGCGTCTTGAAGGCTGGGTTAGGACGGGAATACTTCATGTCGACGGACGCATCCTACATGCGTGGCGGAGGCTATGGTCTTATTCGAAGCTCGTCAGGGCTTTCGAAATGCGACGCAATCCCACAAACCGTCAAGCGGACTCTCGCAGGACGAGACTCCTTAATATACCAGGCCATGCAATGGACTCGGACGCCGAAATGGCAAACCATCAAACCAAGAGACTAACCGCATATACAGTCTCCCGGTCTCAGGCACAGGCCTTATTGTGGGTTCGAGCAGTAGGCCCAACAACCTGCCTAGCTACTGCGACCAACTGGGTCATTTCATCACTTCCTCTCATCATTTACTCGAATTCAACGCAACGTATGTACAGATAGAAAGATAATAAAGATGACATTCTTACTATGAGACCATCTGTGAACATACGACTTCAGACAAGCCTACTCAGAACCTTCCCGCCAGTATGTCCTTGCTACTGTACATGCTCGCCTTCAGCCCCCAAGCGTTACCAGAATTGATCTCCAGGTGCGTATAGGCATCAGTCTTGTAGTAAATCGGCCGATCATAGGGTTTGATCAGTCCCAGCTCGACCAGCTTCCGCGCCACCCTCCTTACATCAGCCACGTCGTCGAAATTATACGTGTAGACTGCAAGCATGCGCGCCCTGCCCGACCCGTCGTCCGTGGCTACTTTCGACGACGGCCCCAGCTCCCCTCTCTCCGTCGCCTGCGCAATCACGTTCCAGACATAGTCCACCCGGCCCGGCGACATGAAGAACAACCACTTGCCTGTCATGATGCCTTTCCTTCTCGCCAGGTCAAGGATACTTCGTTCCATGAACTGTCGCGTCGGATTCATTTCCGTTGACGAAACGCGCCCTCCCTGGCGTCTTATCGGCGTGCCGCTGTCATACCCTCCCATGATATTCTCCGACGCTTCGGTCCAGAAGCTGCTCGGATTTGGTGGCGGGGGCCCATGGTAGTGAGGGTTATGCACGAAGATCCAAGGTCCGGTGTCGTGCATGTTTGCGGTCGAGGGCGGCATGCTTGCGACGAGGTTGGACATCGGTTGATTGGCCCTGCGCTGTCTCGGGAAATCGACGTTGGGAGGGGGCAAGACGATATCTGCTTCGTCTGGGTAGGAATCGTCATGGTTGTCTTCGTTTGACTCCGACTCGTCTGGGTCCTCAGTAGATTCATCATCACCATAGGGTTCCGGTTCTTCGGTTTCCTCTGGCGACGGTTCTCGGGGCGGAGATGGTGATGGCAATGGTGATGGCGAGCCTGAGTCTGTAGATTCGGGGGACTTGGCTCTCTGCGCGGGTTTCTTTTTAGGTGGAGGCGCAGAGTCAGAGACTGCCGACTGAGGGCTGTCTACCTTTCGTTTCTTTGGAGGCGATCTCTTCTTGGGTTCAGGTGTGGAAGCATCCGATTCTGTTAGGCTTGGATCCTCCGTCCTACCTCTCTTTCTGTTCGATTTCTTTGCAGGCTCGGACGCAGGCTCCGGATCTTTAGCAGGTGCTGGACCCTTCGCTTCACTTGTCTTCTTTGTGGAGCTCTTCTTGGACGTAGAAGCGGACTTGGGATCGGATGCCTTCTCCTTTCCCTTCTTTTTCGACGACCGTTCTCTCAGTGGAGACATGGCCTTGAAATAGGAATCTGAATCAGTGTTGGATGTTGCAGGCTTAGCCTTAAATTTAGGCTTTCGCTTTGGCTTTGACGCTGGGGAAGTCATGATAAGATCAGCCCTCTTCAATAAACGGTAACTTTATTATGGAGCGAAAGTAGATTAGAAAGACGGATGAAGAGATGATAAAAATAAAAATCCCTACAGGATGGCTGCAAAGCGTTGTTCCTGACTTGTTCTTCCAAAATGGACACTTCTTCGTCATTGCCTGCGGATTAACGTGAGCTCTGCCTTTTGCTGTCTATTTATAGGTGCCACTATCTCTTTTCTTCTTCCCGTTCTTTATTATCCTTGGGTGGGATTCGACGGAACCACGTACCGTAGAAACTGGATTCGTCGGAGAGATCGTACCAGGGCTTGTCCGATTTTTTGGGCATTTCTGATAGGAAGGAATATCCAAACTATCCAAAAGATACTCAGTTTTTGGTGGATGATGAAATTCGTTGGTCTATCTGAATTTAGACTTGTTTTGATGGAGTTGATAAAGTGCAGCGGTGGATCTTATCGGGGAGGTTTGGTGGGGACGCCAAGCGCTTTTATATACCCTGGGCAACCTGACGGCCTGTCAGGTGCTGCGTTTGTCTTCTATTTGTTGCAGATTCACAGAGTTATGCTTTGGGTATCTTTATGCGTTGCATTATCGCTCTCCTAAATATGAGCATCATGAGACTGCATACTACATAGTATATACTCAGTGAATGTCCTAATGAAAATCAACAAGCCACCCGCGTCAAGTCCCCCTCCACTCCCAGTCTAAAATGCTAGCTCATTGCTAGATCTACAGGCTAGGCAAGTCATTTCGACCAGACCTGTGAAATGAATTCGGTCAGGTCCTCCTTCAGCACAGCGGGCTTCTCCAATGCCGCAAAATGACCACCCTAATCACTGTCAGTTGTCTGGGTACCGATCAATCCACAAAATGCATACCTTTCGATGATCCTTGAAATAGACCACAGTGCCGGTCGCCTCCAACCAGGACTTCGGGATAGGCATGATCTCTTTAGGGAAGGACGAGAAACCGAGCGGCTTGCGAATGAACCAGCGCTGTCGCCACTTCTCCGGGTTGAGGAACGCGTCGAGGTTCTATTCCATATATTTTAACATTCAAGGTGCCTATCCTGGATACCCCCAACCTTTCGCATTACTAACCTCGCGATAGGGGTAAATAGCTCGCGGAATTGACTCCGTAAGCCAGTATAGCGATACAGACTCCAGGATGGTCTGGGACGGAAGTGGCTCGTCGACCCATTGGAGGAATTTCTCGCCACACCTGTACTCGCGGTCAGTCACTGCCTAACCTTCGAGATACTTGCCCCGGGGAAACTCACCATGCGAGCAAGGCTATCGGACTGCTAGATAGGACATGGCCTATGGTGCTTGGTCTTGTGGCGTGTTCGTCCGCATATGCCCTACCGACGGTCAAGAATTCCTCTCTGCGTTTCAGGCCCTGCTTTTCGTGGTCACTGAGGCTATCTTCCGAACTTCCTGGGGGTGGAGCTGGGACGGCATTGAAATTCACTATGGCGGTTGGCGTCATTCCAACGTGCTGAGCAGGAGCAAAGGGTAATCACACTTACGATGAATAGCTATGACAGCGTGTCAGTTTGATTGAGCACGCTAAGATCACGGACAAATAGAAGACTCACCTTTGCAGCTATCATAGTCCACTGCGAGTATTCGGGATACTCTACTTCCGATATCGCCACCCTGCGCAATATAGCCACTCCCAAAGCCTAGGTCTTTCATAAGCCGATCCAAGACACGAGCTGCATCCTCAGTGTTATAGTCTCTGTCGAGGGGAGGGCCCGAGGAGAAGGCGTATCCCGGGAGCGAGGGGACAATGAAGTGATAGGGCAGAGTGCTGGGAGTAAACTGCTCCCGAAACAAATCCAGCATCGGAAGGAACTCAAGAAAGCTGCCTGTATTTATCACATGAGACAGGAGTCTAATATACCTGGGAAGAGACTGCCATACCGGGCCAACCGTGAAGCAGAAGTACGGGAACCGCATCCGGCTTCTCGGAGAACAGGGCGAGAAAATGCAGCTTGATGTCTTCGATCTCCGCGGTGAATTGAGGAAAGGTGTTTACGCGAGTCTCCAATGCTCTCCTGTAGGAGATACCTGGTTAACTATACCGTTGATTGCACAACGCCGGGTATACAGAAGACAAATACCAGTCAAAGTCACGCAACCACTTCTGCTTCATGGTTGTCAACCAGTCGGACGTGACGCCGAAACGGCCATCCGGTTGGACATTCTCATATGTTAGCGGGGCGATCTTGGATAGCCTGACGAGATCCTGCATTTCTTCCAGCTGCTGCTGGGGGATAGAGACAGTAAACGGGGCCGGCGAGATACTCGCGGCCGGCGGGAGCTTGCTATACGGTGCAGACATGGTGGACAGCTCAATTAGTCTGAGATTCTAGTGCGATGGGACAGAAACACTGGTCGACCATTCGATATTGGGATTTATAGAGGCTACTTTGAAGGTCTGCGGGGTAAACGTCCCCCGCATTTGATTGTTAATCATACAAGGGCGAATGAATCATTCTGAGGTATGACAAGGATTCCATGCTAGTCTGCAAGGGTATGGGGTTGACCAGGCATCAGAGCGCTGCCTAAAGTTGCAGACACAGAGAGCGAGCCATCTAGCCATGATCGACCAGAAATATGATGTAATGGATTGAAATGAGATGGAGAAACGAAACAACTTAGGATAAACGATGCATGGAATGGTTCACCGCCTGCCGCGGCCAGTTTCTGAATGGAATCAAAATTACACTCGAAATGCAACATTGACACGGGCCAAGAAGGAAGCAGAAATCTAAAATCCCAGCAGAATGACAGCTGCCCGTCCCGCGTCGGCCACGACGGTCTTCCTCGACCAGCCTCCGAGCTGCATGCAGTTTTGCCCGGCTGCCCCAAACACCTTCGTCATCGGCACGTATCTTCTGTCCGAGAAGAAGGACGACGACGGGAATGTGATCGAGCAGTCCAAGACCGGGAGTTTGCAGCTATGGAATCTTGATCCTGAGAAAAACACCCTGTAAGTGGTCTCCACACACAATAAAAATAATACAAAAAAAAAAAAAAAAATTCTAGTTCTGACTTTGGCCGACCAGGACTCTCATCCAGCGGGTATCCGTGCCCTACGCGGTTTTCGATCTGCACTTCCACCCACGAGATCCCTCGCTCTTGGCAATCACCTCTAGTGTCGGCTCTATCGCGCTATTCCGCGTCTCAGGCCCATCGCCCACAGAAATCACCCATCTCTGGACCCGTCCCGTCCACGATGATCCGTCCATCCCGGCTCTCTTCCTGGCCTGGACGCCTCGGCACTGGTTGAACCACGAGCAGGCTGACGGGTTCGCCGTCACGTTCTCCGACGGCTCTACGACCGTCTTTGGCTCTGATTCCACCGCCACGCTTTCCGAGAAGTCGGACGAGATCGCGGAAATCGGCAGCTTTGCGGCGAAACAGCCCATCGAGATATGGTTTGTCGCGCTGGCTGCGGTGCAGGATGAGGAATCGAGCTCGTCGGCGACTACTCGGTTCTTGTTCACCGGGAATGATTTCGGTTCTCTGCATACCCGTCGCCTTGCTCAATCATCTGAGGCTGATGAGGAGGACGAGCAGGAGCTCTTGTCTCCGCTGCTTTTGGATCATGATGATCGAGGGAAACACCATACTGCCGGCGTCACGTCCATCTTGCCGCTGCCGCTGCCGCTAGTCAACGGTGCGCCATTGCTGCTGACCGGTAGTTATGATGAGTATCTGAGAGTGTATCATGCTACGCGGCCGGGCGATGTGCTGGCGGAGAAGTGTCTAGGGGGTGGCGTGTGGCGACTGCAGTTGCTGAAGACGACGCAGGATTCCGTAGAAGGGGGTGTGCGATGGACGTTTCTGGTCCTGGCGAGTTGCATGCATGCCGGGACACGAGTGGTGCGAGTTACGGGGGAAACGAAAGAGGGCTCGGAACCTCAATGGGGGATTGAGGTTTTGGCGGAGTTTACGGAGCACGAGAGTATGAACTATGCTTCGGACGTGTGGAAGTCCCAGGGTGGGTATGATTTGCAAGGGCAAGAGGGATCGGAGTTGCTCTGTGTGTCCAGCAGTTTCTACGACCGAAGGATGTGCATATGGCGGACGAGCGTATAATCAACACAAAACACAGGACGTAACAAAACTTTAGTTCATGAGATAATTCGCTTGGTGAATTCGTGATGCAAAGCGACGGTATACAATTAAATACAACCTACCCGAGACCCTAGAAACGATATGAAGATTGAAAAAAAAAAACGCAAAAAGAAAAATCAGTAGCGTAGATAGATCTATTAAACAATCGTCTCTAGTTCTCGGGCGTAGCCAATGGCGTTCTCGATGATGGTTCCGCTGGCCACCAGAATGTCCTTCTCCGAACGAGCAGCGGCCTCGGGCTCGACCGGGAAGTATATCCGTCCATCACGAAGCACCCATCCGCGCTGCTGGGCGAACTCGATCACCGCCCCCTCCGACTCGAGGAACAACAGGTTCTTGGCGTTGGAGATCGGGAGCGAAGGGTACGCTTTCTCGGAGCAGTCTGCAATCTCGCTGCGGATGGTTCCGACCAGGACCTATAACCCAGAGAAAAAAACAACACATTAGCATAAAGACGTTCCCGATAGCCGCAGATCTCCCGGGAATTTCAACTCACATTCGTGAACAAAGCAAAGTCCTCCGAAGGCACTCGCTCCGAGTTCGTCTCCCGCCACACCTTGTCGTAGCTACCCTCCATCAGGTTTCTCTCCAGCTCCACGGGATATTTGATGTACGGGTCATCTTCAACGCTGTAGCCCTTCAAGCTCGCCTCCTCGACCAGACCCTCCAAGACGGTGTGGAAGGTGGTGCTGTCGCCCATGCTCAACAAGAGCAGCATATACAGTCCTGTGATCTTGCTGCGCTGGCTGGTCTTGAAATCCACATTCCCGGGGTTCGAACTGTCCCGTTCCAGGTCGTAGAAGGGCTGGAGCTGTTGGTAGTATCTCGTGAAGGTGGGTGCGTCGGTTTGCCGGATGGAGGCCAGGGCGCCGAGCTCCAGGATCTCGCGCGCAAGGGCAATCAGCTCGGGCGACGTCGACGGGGTGGGGATCAGGGCATTCTGGAGCAGAAGAGTCCGCTTTGCGCGGCTCATGAGGTTGTTGGCAGCATCGGGCTGTTTCTGGTTAAGAGCGTTATGGAGCTCGGAGACGAGGGACCGAAGGTCGGCCATGGTGGTTGTGTTTTGGATTCGGTCGGGGAAATAGGTGAAGAAGTTAGATTGATAGTCTAGAGAGATATATTTAAAGATGGCAGGAGCGTAAAGGGAAAGACGACGAGTGATGGGATGTATTGGGGAGATAGCAAGTGGTGAGTTCCGTTAGCAGGCGGGTTGACGTTGTCAGCAGCTTCCAAGAGCTTCGCTGGTCTTGGCAGATTCTGATCACGTGATCCAGATAAATCGCCGTGCGAGGCGCGGCTGCTCAAACTGCTGGGAATGAACATTGATCATGCATCCTATCTGAAAGTTTAGATACTCATTCTCTTGTTAAGACGGAGGGGATTTATCTTCGTGGACCCAGCTGAAGGAAGGAAGAACTAGAAAGCGATAGGACTTCAATCCTACCCATAGACTATATACAGCCCGAACACAGACCATGGCCACAAACGGCGCATCTACTGGGGTTCGTTTGGGGGCTGATCTCATTCCTGCAGGCACACTTCGAAGCACATCAGCAGCTTGGACAACTGGATATCCAAAAAGGATGTTCTCACACAGACCCACCAGCCCTTCATACTTGGGATCTGTGTCATTCTTGACTGTGCGCTCTGATAATTTTTCAGTATCAATTGCAGAGACAAGATATTGCTTAGCTATAAGACAGCTGCTATTTATTCGGAACTTTGGATGTGGGTGGTCGCTCGAGGCTCTATGAATTGAGAAAGTCAGGCCAAGTCAAGTCTGCGATATGCTACTTTCAAGAATGTGATAACAGAGATATATAAAATCAAGAGGAAAACTCTTACCAGCTTCGATGAGACGAGGCTGAGCTTCCCAAGGGATATAAAGGGAGTTTCACGGCTTTCCCTCTTTGAACGCAGGAAGCAAGCAAACTGCCAAGTGCCAATTCATGAAATGCGGGGTCATTCTCCCATTGCAGCCCTGGACTCAACAATATATCTCACATATCATTTCAGCATTGCCAGCTACCTACAAGGCAGAATAGTGGGTATATTACGTGCGAAGCTTTCCGAGTGTGGGAAGCAGATTGACCATGGTTTCCACAGCTGGTTTCTGCCTCAATCTCGCCTCGATCAAGGCATATCGGCATGACCGACATACTAAGCATTGTCGGGTGCATAGCATCGTTTGCGCAGCTCCCGTCTGCCGTCATTTCCACGACTCAAACCATTACAGCATTCTGTAGAGAAGTCCAGGATGCCCCCCGGGAGCTGATCCGCATAAGAACAACACTGGTCCTACTGAGTTCCACTTTGCGCTTGTTCAACGACCTAGTAGCCGAAGTCTCGGATGAGAATATCCTGCCTTAAGAGCTACGAGAGCTGCTGCAGAGCACAATTAGCCTGATCGGCGAAGATATCTCGACTCTGCAATGCATATGTGGGAAGCATGAGAAGACACAATCAAGACCTACTATCCACAGACGGCTAAACTGGGCTTTGCTAGAGCGACATACGGTAGACAGAATGTTTCAAGACATACGACACTCTGAAGCCAACTTGAGCTGCGTTCTCCAACTGCTAAATCTGTATGTATGAAGCTTGCGTTTCTTGTCCTTAGGCACGGCTGACATGATTCCATGGGCGGCTGTCACTTCTTGAGCGTTGTTCGAGCAATGTCGACACACCAATTTCAGATACGCATCGATTTCCAAAGAGCTGGATTGCCCAGCGTAGTCAGAGTAAAAATCGAACTATATTTATGGGTACTAGCACCTAGCTGAGGAAGTGTGGGGTTTTTGGCTCTTTCGATACCATCTCGGAGAAAGACGGTTCCTGGCGAAACCGCGTTCGGATTGGCTACAAACTACCTCTTTGGTTCTTATCGCAGTCTATTATGCTAGACCTCAGTCTGGGGTCAAGCGCTTCTTTGGCAACTGTCCAAGTTCTTCCTGGCCAAACTTGTGTTCAGAATCGGGTCCTTGCAAGCTCTTCATTCATGTCCGCGTGCAGTAACGGAGACGTGAAACTTATGCGCCAACATATATCAGACGGAGTTGGGGACCTTTCAGCCAGGACATCCTGCATTGGAGAAACCCCTCTCTTGGTTGGCCTCCCTACCCGATTTTGATGTATCCTTTTGACTGATTTCCATTTCCTAGATGGCGATCTAATCCCAGAATTTAGACGCCATCAAGTGTTTGCTCAACGAGGGTGCAGACCCAAACATGACTAATGATGACCAAATGTAAGCTTTGTCTGCGACTAGAACAAAAAGCATAGAGCTGATAGGATCCAGCCCTCCAGCTTTTGCACTCGCTGGTCTTCGTCCAAGTCACGACAAATACTTCGCCCAACTCCCTCCAACGTGGGATCTTTGGCTGGAAGCACTCCGGTTGCTGGTGAGCTATGGTGCATCTATCCACGAGGCCGCGCACGGTATGAGCTTCAGCGAGCTGAATGTCGTCCGCGCGGACCGACAGCCACGGACACTCGAGCTCTTCCACTTCCTGCTAGCAGAGGGATATGACAGCTTTGACCATATGGACGAAAAGGGCTACTTCGCAATATTCAACGCGCTCCCGACGACCGACAGCGCGTTGCAGTGCCTTAAGCTGCTATCTTCTGCTGATGTGCATATGGATAGAGTCTTTGATGATGGCCGATCAATCTTCCACCTAGCAGCTGAGCTAGCACATGATGTACGTGTTCTAGAGTTCATTTACGAGAATGGCGGTTCTAGCGATCTCGACCGGCAGGACAAATGGGGCTGGACTCCGCTTCATTATGCGGTTATCTGTGGAATGGGCATGAGCGCCCCAGAGTCCTTGCAGAATGTCAGATTTCTCGTAGCCAAGGGTGCAGGCCCTGCATTGAAGGGATGGAAGATCCCCCACATCTTTGCGGGTATAGAATTAGCTCAGAGCCGTTTGATCCTGCTGAACTGGGAAGCTATTTGTGCCCGGACCTGAGAATGGGATTTAGAGCTGCGCTTGATAGCATGAAGTTGCCTCGGGCAGATGAATCTTTCTATGATTCTGTTGAATACCATGACTAGATGACTGGGCGAGTTTATTATATCAGGTGCCGCGATGTGACTGGCAGCTTGAAGGGATGCCCAAAGCACCTGGAATATAAGTTACCGCACAACTGGACGGGGCATTAAACCACTTGAACGCAGTCAAACATTGCGCAATTACTAAAGAAGTGAATAGATCGACAGATTGTTATCAATAGCGCAAAACAAGTCAACCGGTATGGCCTCGTCAGATCTTAAATTTCATTGCTCCACGGGTCCCTTCAGGGCTTGGGCTTCCCGACTTGGTGCTCAATTGACCGACTCAAGATTTCTTACATGAGTTCTGCATATTGAACATTGGTAGAATGCTGAAGCCACAGCTAACCGGAAGTCGAGAACCATGGGATACCAAGTCATATAATAAGTCTCAGGCCCCTTAGGTTATAAACAACGAGGAAGCGATAATGATAGGTATGGAGTACGGAGTCGAACAGCCATGCCCTTTGTACTCCTCGGCATTTACGCCGTAGAGCCTTTGGCGCAGGTGGCAAAGTCTAACATAACGACTGATTGAGACAGCGAGGACTGGTGGAATGTCCGGGTGTTTGCTTGTTCCGCGCAACTCCATTCTTTGTGTCACTCGAGCATAGCCGAGGAATCCGTTTGGCGCCCAGTGATTGGAGATTGGTCGTTGTTTCCCCCTTCCTTGATCTGGTCGTCAGAGCGACAATAGGGATGAATCGCGGCATCGCCCCGCCCAGCGGTATCACCAACAAACAGCAGCTTCATCTGGTTCGCCCTTTGCCGGGCGAGCTTCATCCTGGTGTAGATCTCACCAAGTTCTTTGATGGCGTACGGAGGCAAGCTCAGAGGAAAACCAAGATTTGACCCAACCTGATGGCGAACCGTGTCAATCCTCCAGGCTATTTTGAATTTCATGGCGGATTCTGTTGTGATGCGTCGGAGTGTCACATTCCTCCCAATGACGTGTGGCGGGATAGAAGGTTGAGACACGCTCCCTTCATCCAAGCCGGCTCAAGATGGCTATGCGCTTCCCATGATGGGACCAACAGTTGCGTGACGTCGAATAGCTGGTGGACTGGCTGGCTTAGTCCCTTTTACCGGCTCGCTGGAAGCCTATCGCGATCAAGTGGAAGACAAGGTTTTTCCATTCGTTGCGATATTAATCTGGTAGGTTGCGGCCCAACCCCGGCATGCGACGGCGAAGATACTTACTGAATTCCTCGGGTTTGTCGATCGACACGTAGTTGAAATACATCTGTTCTTCATGTTCTTCTCTCAGCGCCCTGTCGATTTTCTGGTTTCCCGCGGTAGGTGATACTGCGTCGCACTAGATTCTCGATGGGGGCCTTCTCTAATTTTACAGGGACCTTGTCCCTCGTGCTCTTTTGCTTGTACCTCGTCGTGGCCGCCGACTCTGGCTACGCAGTGGTTGAGCGGTTGAGCGATGCGCCTGACGGCTGGATAAAGGGCAGTGCGCCTCCCCCGTACCAGCAGATGAGGTTTCATTTGGCTCTTCACCAGGAAAAAGCAAGCGAATTCGAGCAAAGGGTAGTCGATCTATCCACCCCTAGTCATCCCAGCTATGGACAACACATGAAGCGCGAGGATATCAAGGACTTTGTGCGCCCATCAGCTGGGGCGTTGGACCCGGTCCTCTTCTGGCTTGCATCCAAGGATGTTCCCTCAGAAACTCTCGACATCCATGGGAACTGGATTACGTTCACGGTTCCGCTTTACCAGGCCGAGGTTCTACTGAAAACGCGCTTCTACAACTTCTACAATAGAGTGACCGGGGCGATGGTGATTAGAACCCTGGAATACTCAGTGCCCGAGGAGATCTATCCGTTCGTTCAACTGGTTCAGCCCACGACTCGGTTTGGAAGACTGGTATCGCAGGCGGAAATGCCACAGTTCAAACCGACCGCGGCGACTTTCGAAGAGCTATCGGCCAATTGTTCGTCGAGAATCACCCCTGATTGTCTCCGGGAACTGTACGGCCTATATGATACCGAGGCGGAGCCAGACCCTCGCAACAGGCTTGGTGTTTCGGGGTTTCTAGACCAGTACGCGCGGCATGGTGACTTCCACGATTTCATAGGGTTATATGCACCAAACCGGACCGATACCAATTTCACGGTGGTTTCCATAAATGGCGGATTGAACCTGCAGAATTCTTCTCGATCGAGTTCCGAGGCAAGCTTGGATATTCAATATGCCGCAGCCTTGGCACATGATTCCCTGACGACTTATTACACCACCGGCGGACGCGGTCCTGCCGTGCCTAATGTCGGCGAATCCAACGACAGCGAGTCAACCAACGAACCGTACTTGGAACAGCTTCACTTTCTTCTCAATCTCCCAGACGAGGAGCTTCCCGCCGTTCTGACCACTTCTTACGGCGAGGACGAACAGACCGTACCCGCATCGTACTCGAACGCGACCTGCAACTTGTTTGCCCAGCTCGGCGCGCGTGGTGTCTCCGTGATATTCAGCAGCGGTGACTCCGGGACCGGAGAGTTCTGCATCACCAACGAGGGGACCAATACAACGCGATTTCAGCCAACATTCCCGGCCTCGTGTCCCTTTGTCACTTCCGTGGGCGGCACCTACGGCATCAAGCCAGAAAAAGCCATCGGTTTCTCGGGAGGTGGTTTCTCGGAACGCTTCGCACGCCCAAAATATCAAGACGAAAGCGTCGGTCACTACCTCGAAGAGCTTGGAGATCGATGGGATGGGTTATACAACCACGATGGGCGAGGCATTCCCGATGTTGCCGCCCAAGCCGCCAACTTCCTCGTGGTGGATCAAGGAAATATCATCAAAATTGGGGGTACTAGGTATGTCACCGCCCCAAGACTGAGTAATAATAGGAAGAATGCCGGCTAATGTGTTTCTGATCAGTGCCTCGGCGCCCGTCTTCGCTGCTATCATCTCCCGGTTGAACGCGGTACGACTGGAAGATGAAAAGCCACGGCTGGGGTTCTTGAATCCATGGCTCTATTCCCTGAATCAGACCGGTTTCACCGACATCATTGACGAGGGTTCAGTTGGTTGTCGTAGCGGACCTGGCCCGGAAGTTCCTTATGCCAGCTGGAATGCAACGGAGGGTTGGGATCCGGTGACTGGCCTGGGGACTCCCTTTTACAACACTCTGGCGAAAGTCGTAAAAGCTATATGAGCCATGGTCATGAGGAAGAGGCGGACATTTTTTCCTGGGAATGATCGCTGGTTATATATGTTTGGAGGTACCCATATGATTTTCTTTTAATCCAGCCATTTTTTCTTTCTTGCATGAACACTTCGTTTGAAATTGATGGTTGTAGAGCGCGTAAATGGCTCCTCAAGCCCGGTTGTTTTCCTCCACCATACTGCCTTCCTAATTTGGCCTTCCCTTCCTTCCACTTTTGTACCAACCTTCCAGCATATCTACCGTCTACTTCTCCTCGTCTTCTCCTTCTTCTCTTTTCTCCCCAACTTCGATGGCTTGGTTGGCGTATCCCCCACACCGGGGGGCACTGTCTTGTTCTCTCGAGGGCAAGCAATTTTTGAAACACATCGTGCTTTCGGGCTTACACTTCCCCCGTCTGTACACCCACTTTTCTTCATCAACATTGTCGGCATGTCCGGCTACTTGAAGAAAATTGCCTGGGTTTTCCTGTTTTTGAATCGGAGGATCGTGCTTTTGTTCTAATATATTGCGAGATAGTACTGTATCTGTCGGAAAGCTCTCTCTGTTTGGTGCTAGCAGTGCCCGGCGTAATTACTATCCACCTCCTGTACATACATATTTACCTTGAATACATGTGACTCGGTCTTAAAGGGAGAGAAGAAGCGATAATACGGTCGGTATAGTGAGGATTCCAGCCAAATGACTGATAAAGATATGATGGCGGCGATATGGGTAGGGCAGAACCGCGTTTTACTGGTACTATATCATTCCTTCAATCACTCAATCATTAGTACTCTTGTCGCACTTACAGACGCCTGCAAAAACGAATCGCCGAGAAGGAAGGCATACCGCACTCAGACGTCAAAGTAACTCTGCACCGGAGTGGCGAGGTCATGCAGGGGTCGAATGACGACTCAGAATACTGTTATTTAATACTTTATCCCGTTTTAAAGTATAATAATCAGAACATAAGTATGAAGCCCTATAGAGAAAATTCAAGAAAAAATCTATAAGAATCCTCTGTTAAATTCGGTATAGAGATAGCGAAAGGGAGGGATAGGAATAAGAACTTTACTCTATGTTTCCCCTAAATATATTAGATGATTCTTTCCTATTACTGAGTCTATACCGAGTCAGAACTCTTTCTCTACTATAGTCCTTAACATAAGTTCTGTAGAGAATATGAAAAGAGGCAGTCGCAGGATTTACCCACCATCCCTTGTTATAAACGTGGAAAGGGAATCACTTTTAAACGTTTCTTTGGGATCACCGGGATGGAGACCACTGGGCCACCCGACCCATAGGATATACTAGTAGGCTTTGACCCCCGCAAGCTGCAGCAAGCGATCACACAACTCCATTTCTCCAGGAGCTCATCTCAGGTCTAGCCATGACGAATGCCGTGAAACGTCAGGTTGTTCACCAACAGCTGTAGGCGACGATGGCCGGAGGCGCCGTGTGTACGGGAAGCCAAGCATCGGGCTTATCTTGCACGCGTTGATTTCTTCAGGGGAATTTCTTCATCGCCCCCTGATTGGGCCGTGGTGAGGGGCACGGATCATGAAGGCTCTGGAGGACTTGGATATTTAATCAATATTAGTTCGTATAGATGGAACCATCTTCGTCGGCGTAAGCCTTAACGGGATGGGTGATTGCGGCCGAACTCCCAAAGAACACAGGAGACCTTGTCCAGAAAGAATGACAATAATCGATGTTTGTGTTTGAATAAACTTCTGACCACGGGCTTATCATTTGATTGAGAATCAAACAACAGGAGCTGAATCCTGAATCTTCACAGTTTATGCAGTTTCGTCTGGCCCCCAGGTCTAGCTGTCTTCCAACTTAGCGGGAGTAATCACTAGTACTCCGTAGTAGTAGACTAGTGGTGGTTAGCGGCCGAGTACTCCACGGGCAATCCCAACGGAACACTGTTAACTGTACAGTGTTCACCTTTGACAGATTGCGGCTATCCCTCCCCTGAACGCCTCGGATTGTCGATATGTCGACATGTCAGCAGAAGAGAATCCGGCCGAATTCTCCAGCGGCACATTATTGGCATGCTGACCGGCTATCATGGACCAAAGACGCGAGGGTGCATGCAAGGCCAGCAAACGATCGCCAATCGGGGCGCAACAGACGAAACCCCCCTGTAAGACAAGATGCAGCCTCGCATCAGCTGCTGCGCTGTTTCTTCGCCTGCAGGACACCAGTCCATTTTTCCTTTCTTCGCCCTTCTCCCTGCTCACGTCTCCCCCTCCCACCCCGGTCAATGCGGGTCATCGGGCAGAACGGGCCTTCCTCGTCGCTTCTGTCCCTTTCCTTCATGTCAATCCATCTGTCATCTTGGAAATTTTAGAACTTGTCTCTCCTTAACCACCAGGACTCCCTTCTGACTGACTCTCCACCCCCACCCACACTATCACGACGCCTACTCCGGATCTCTCACCTTGGATCGGTCCACCATTTGGCCCCCTCATAAGCGTGCCGATCGAGTCAACCGGTCCCGCTCTTATGTCCGAGGCGCATTGGCTTCGTTTCCTCCATGTCACACCCGCTCGTGGCAGCCGTTTGGGAGCAACTCGGGCGCCGTGATCTGGCAAGTATTCTACGCGAGATTATCGGGGAGCATGCGGCTGCGATCGCCGTCTCCCAGATCCAAGATGGCACCCAGGCCTCCAAGGTCGAGTCCCTAACGCGCTCCGTGTTTTGGATCCGCGCCATTTTCGATCTACAGAGGACGTACTTGCAGGGATTGAGGAGCGTTCATGATGGCCAGTCGAACTTTTTGCATTACCTATTGCCGTCGGATGTCATTCTGTCGGCCGTCATGTACCTGGTGCAGGTCAAGACCAGCCTGTTTCCGTGTACCTCGACCACCGCGCCCGATCTGATACGGTCTCGACATTTCTTGGCCCATACGTTACTGGCGGGCATTCGCCTGTTGCTACTGCGCGGCGAGAACCTGTCGCCCGATGCGAAATTTAACATGGAGCGCGTGATCCGTTCGGCGTGGCGCGACCCCGACTTGTCCGGTATGGAGAGATATCTGGTCAGCGACCTGTTGCCTAAGGCCATCAACAGCATCGGCTCGCCAGAGCTGTGTAGGAGTCAAACTCCCCTGGCCATGGGGAAATCCGGCTCTCCGGCGTTTGTTTCGGGAATGGTAGGTTCTGCCTCTGCACCGAGGCCGAGGTTATGATCCACTGACGTGAATGTATTTAGTACCCGTTCTCCGGGACATCGGAGCCAAACATCACGGAACTTTTATCCGCACTCCTCAAGAACAAGACCGACCAACTGATACCGTTCTGTCTCCTATTTGACATGCTGTGGGCCGCGGAGTCGGCCCTTGTCCAGTGCCATATTGATCGCCGGCGCATCTCCCAGGAAGAAGAGCACACTAGTGATGCGGTATTCGAGGTTGACGAGGCTTTCGAAGAAGCGCGAGAGACACGGACGAAATTAGCCAAAACAATTCTGGCTGCGTTCAAGGATGAATTTACCACTCCGTCCCTGCAGGTATTGGCGACCATTATATTGAGCCAGGACGGTGAGGGTCAGCCGCCCGTGCAAACGAGGAGGATTCGAGACTCGTGGGCTCAGCTTTCCGGGCTACGCGAGACATGGGAGAGCTCCCTCGGGCACCTGGTGAGGTGGTTGATCAACCGCAGAGTCCAACTATGGGGCTGTAACGGGGAGCTGGAAGCGAATTCACACTATTACCAGCAGAACCTGGCTAATTGGTTACAACTATCGCCTCTGCCAGATAGCGGTGACACATTCCAGGTGCCTGAAAAATGGGCCGATATCATCTATGTGGTGAATTGTCCTGCAGTACACCTCATTCCCAGAGGACTGTTAGAGGAACAGCTGAGAAACTTTGACAAAAACGCCCTCGAAGTATGTGCAGACCCAACTCCCCATATTCTAGCAGGATAATGCTTTTCCTTCACGACCCAATGGGTTACCACCGCGTCTACTAACAGCCGCATTAGCAACTGAAAGGGAACTTGCGGTTTTTGACCACGAATATATCCTGTCCCATGTGCCCTGCAAACACAAAGATCCAGTACGCACGGATGATTGAGCCTCTCGATCAAGTGACCACGCCAGTACTCCCTGAATCAGACAGCAACAGGCGTCTCTCACTCTCCGGCTCAATCTCCCGAAATACAACATCCTCGAGTTCTGTAAGCTATTCGACGAGCCACTCTTCGGGTGATGCATTGAGGAGTCCCGTCACACCGGCATCAGTTACTCCGGGGTTCAATGAGATCGGAAGCAATCAATCAGTTGCCATGTACCCAGAAGTGCTGGACCCATACCTGACTCGGGCGAAGGGAGATCCGTTGCTTGAGAAGGCAAAAGTCAAGGCGATTTCAAGAGAGCTGAAGAGTGTGAAGCTACCCATTAGTGGAGGATCTATATTTAGACGCGGTTCATCCCGTGAGGCTCAACTGCCTCAACAACCTCGATTCTGTTTCTCGGCATCTGGGGGGTCTCTCCTCCTTTGGGGTGCTGGTAGCAACTGGTTAGCGCGCTTCGAAACATCCTCTGTTGAAGCGCAGAAACCCATTGGTCAACGATATGACGTGTCCGGCGTACAATACGCTGCCGCAGGCGATCTGCGCTGCGCTGCTATTGCCGCTGTCGGAGAAGTGAGATCATACCAATTTTCCTCCTGCGATATCGAGACCTCATTAGCTAACACGAGTGCAGCACTATGAGCTTCTTATCTTTCACAAAAATGCGCCCATTCCAGAGGCATTCGTGACAATTGACACACAATTGTCTTTATTACCTCAGGTTTCCATGGTAATGTCGCGTGATGATAGATACGTCGCGTTTACCCTCAATGAGGAGGTTCGAATCTATGAGGTCGGCACCAGATACATCAGAAAAGTCTCGATAGACATGAATCTGAATCACCACAAAGTCTATTCTGCCGATAGCTCAATATCAGCAGATGATACGACAGAAAAGGGCAATAAACCAGCACTTGAGAGGAAGATCCAATTCTCCACCGACGGGAAGAACCTCGTCGTTGCGACTCATTTGGGAGGCCAGGATGCCTTTGTGGACGTTTGGAACTGCAGCACTGAGCAATGGAATGTCGGTCCTGACTGTTCGCGGACATTCAAGCTTCCACCGGTAAGTGTACACTTGATCTCACGCGTCACATCAACAACGAGCATTCTAACGGCAGACAGTGGACACCCAACGATAAAGGCGCCACGTGTGTTTTCTATGACAACTACCACCGTGCCGTCCTCTTAACAGCTGCATCCAAAAAGGATTACCCTATATCATCCCCTACTGTCGAGGAGAGCAACATGAGTGACCAATCTGCCACAACGATCATCCACGCCGCCCAATCACCGTCCGGGTCGCGGTTTGTAATTGCCAATGGGAACAACCAGATCTGCTTGTGCAATACCAGTGCTAGCGGGACAATCAGGCCTTCGCGGACAAAGAAGGCCTCCAACAAGATCAGCCCATCAGTCTTTAAGCCAGGAAAGCTAGCTCTCTCCTTCCCGCGGGAGAACGAGGTGCTCCTGTTCTGGATCAAACAGGGGCGGCTTATACTCCGCATGGTCCGGTTATACGAGGGCAACGAGACCGTCAGCGAGTACGATTTGCGGTCCGACTATGACCGGCTAGTAGTGGAGCGCCTGCAAATGGCCGGGTCGCCAATACACCACCGACAACATTCCTTGTCGAATCAGCCCATCGCGGAGATGGATGGTCTGGCGTTATCATCTCCTCGAAGGCCCGATATGCCCGAACTCCCGTCGACGTGAAAGGTTCTCCGTGTTTCCATACTCGCGATCGTTGAGCATGTACTTGATTAAAAGAAGGTTAGGATCCATTGGTTTGGTTATCTGTATACTTTTGTCTGTACTGTAACAAAGCGAAAACAAAGAAATAACTAACGTAATCCACGGCCGTGTTGCGCACCTCCGCCGCACCCAGTATGTTTTTGAAGCTTTGCAACCAACAACACCATTAAATTTGAATATATAGAAAATATAATAAACAGCTATTTACTAGGGCAGCTTCTTATAGTATGTCCAATAGTCCCACAGCCACTGCAGCGTGGTGGAGCGCGTTGGCGAGGCACAGGTGTAGGCTCATCAACCTGCTCATTAAGCTGCGTATCAAGCTGCTGAGTGCGGTCACGGCCTTCCTGTACAGATATAAAGAGATCATTTCCTAGAGACGTGAGTTTCCTTGCTTTTTTCTTTATTTTTCGCTCATTTTCAGCTCGTAGAACCTTTATTTCTTGTTGAAGAAGTCGGATCTTGTGTATGCTCGCGAAGTAGAGTCTGCGCCATTCCACGTAGAAATTCGGGTCAAATTGAAAAGCCTCGTTTATCTGTATCTAGCAGTCTCTTAACAAGGACTTCTTCTTCAAGAGCTGATAATTTATGGTCACTAGCGCGTGTTTCTGATCGTGATTGAATTCCATTGAGCGGATCAAGGAATGTGGTCTTTGGCACTTCAAATATTGCTGCAGCCTTTGATTTTGAACGAATTTTTTTGTTATTGTACGCAATGATTGCCATTTGAATTCGATTTTCTTGAGATAATGGCATTTTGAGAAACGGTGGTGATTAAATGACGCGTTGAAATATTGAAATATGATTATTGGGAAGTCGCGGGGAAAGTGGACGGGACGACCATGTGGACGGCTCGGCCGTGGATTACCGTGGATTACGTTACGTTAAAAGGTAATTATATTACGTAATCGCAGAGCAGGCCACCTGCCGCCTAACAGGCTAGAGCGGGGAGCTCCGCGGATCAACAAAAGACCGAGCGCCGGGCATCCTCGACGTCACCAACGACAGCGTCGACATGGCCTGACAAAGAGGTATCTGAGGAGAAGGAGAGCGCCAGAGGTGAGTTTTGTTGCTGTTTTCGATCCACTGATCTCATTCCTCGCTCCTCGCAATCCCCGCGTCTCTGGATTCTGGTGAACATGTGGATCTGCCTTTGCGGATGATCGACTGGGCGTCGGGCCATTGAAGAAGCCCCTCATGCACCGATACATTGCTTGCTTGCTTCTGTGAGCTAATCTCTGCTCGAATCTATAGGACTCCGAGGTATCCCAATGTTCTGAACCGCATTTTCCCGTTATTTGAGCACCGAAAAGACACCATTGTGTCAGCCGTTCCACCGCATCAACTACCCGCGGTGCATCACTTCAGGTCGACGTCATAGTATATATGCCATCCGAGCACTTCCCCGAACCTTCTTGTACCTACCAGTCACATCAACTCCTACTTGGATCAATACAAACCATCCTTGAATACTGAAACTACCTTTCCCCCCCTATACACAACCATGTCACAACCCGAGTACGACTATGCGCGTCGGCCCTCGCAGGCTGAAAACCAGACCATCCAGAAATCCGAAATCCCGTTGAAGGAGCGGTTCTTCCGCTACTTCCAACAAGAGATTACTGGTATGATTATAGCTCCTGGGCTGTGAAACACAGTCAGAGACACCCCTGACACTAGAGGTATCCTTTAGCTCTCCAAGAACAAATGGACCGTCTGGCAGATACGTCTCTCATAGGCGGAGAACGCACCGATGCCACCGATCATTGTCTGGCTGGCATCGCACGGTTATCCAACGAGGTCAAGGACGCAGCGAGCTACATCCCAACTTATGACCAGCGGGTATACGCGGAGGTGTGCATTTCCCTGCAGCCTGCATTCGCACCATGTATTATTATTGTTGCTGTTTTTACTAATGCCTTCTAGGCTATCAAGGCGCTCCAGGACAAGCTGGCCGAGACCAGAGCCCTAGTGGAGCCTCGTCCTAAGTTCAGCTTTAAAACTAAGAAAAATGCTTCAGCTGTCTCCTTGAATGATGCTGCCCAGCTTGCTATAGAACGTCGCCGTCGTGTACCGGGGTATCTCTCGCCTGGCACATCCTCCATTAGTTCGTCGGAAGGCCAGACCCCCAACTACCCGTCCACTCCGCTGAATGAACCCAACCCGATTCTTCAACCCCGGGCCGAATTCGCTCCTACTTCTGTTCCAGCGATTTCTGTGGACAAGCCGGACATGCTATCAAAGGAGGAAGATATGAACTCTGTCTTTGCTGCGACAGCCGTGTCGTCCGTGTCGGTGAATAACCACTTTGGCCTTCATATCATGCTCCCGGCATCCGGATCTACTGCTACTGTCCCTGCTTCCATCACCTCCCTCCGTCACTGCGTGGTGGACATGTCCATACCTACGGCGAACGGCAAGCCCTACACCAGTCTGACGGTCAAGAGCATCAAGGAAAGTCTCTTGATTTGTGGCCAAATCAATGGCCCGGCTCATATCACAGGCGCCGAGAACACCATCATCGTCGTGACTTCTCGTCAGTTCCGCATGCACAACTGTACCAACGTGGATGTTTATCTCAGCTCCTCGAGCAACCCGGTGATCGAAGACTGCCAGAATGTTCGATTTGGCCGTATTCCCAGAGCTTATGTATGTCCCTTGAGGCCTCAACTCTCGTTGATAGCTACGTACTGATTATTGTTTGCTTACCAGGCTCTGGATCACGATCGCCCCGATACCGAGGACCGCTGGAATCAAGTCGAAGATTTCAAATGGATCAAGCCTGAACCTAGTCCCAACTGGAGCTTGTTGAATGACGACGATGCGGTCCCAGAAGAAGTGTGGGCGGAAATCGTCCCCGGTGGCCCTGGATGGTCCCTGGAAGATATCCTCCGTGCCACTAACATAGTGAAAGCCTGATTGACAGGCCGTCTCGTGAGTTATTTGGCTAAAAACACCTTGCTGTGCTTGTTTTTTACTCTAAATGAGTTTAACTGGATGGTGGTCAAGAGCTGGTAGCATGGATGCCGTTGTTTTTTTTTTCTTTTATCTCTTTTATTTACCAGGAAATGGAGTTTTGCTGGTTGGTTTAATGCAATTTAATGCAGTTTTTTTTCTTTCTTGTGCTATTATAATGTACAGGCCAGGAATTGAAAATCCTTATATATGCTTTGAGTATATTGTAAGTAGAATATATACAAGTAGTATAAAATATACTTAAATTGTAAGAAGATAGGCTATGGTTTCTGATCACCAGGATTAGATGTAACACCAAGGCCGCTAACATGCTTCTCTCGAAGGATTCATGCAACACATCGAGGGCAGGTCTCTAGGTCTAATGTCAATTTTCCACACATTTTTATTTACATGTGCTCTACTCGCGCAATGGAATTCTTAGAATTCCACCCTGAACACCAGCACCTGGTTATCAATATCATACCCAGACCCGTCCGAGTACTTGAACCGACCGAAATTCATATATCCTGTGACCGAAAATTAATTAGCACCAATGTCCAAACGCTACCATATCCAGAGTAAACCGAGTAAAGGTTTCACTTACCATCCTGAGTCATGAAATCATTATCACTGAAGGTAAACAAGAAGTACTCCGTCTTGCCGTTGCTCTGCAAGGGCGCGCCTGTCGGAACCAGTGCCAAACTCTCCCACTTCTCATTCAGTAGTCCAGCGTCCTGGTCGCCGCCATTATGCAGGCCAAACTTCGCCAGTTCCGAATCGACGTTGAAGTCCAGGAAAGAGCAGTACTCGACAGGGGTGATGTCCTTGTTCAGCTTGCCCTTGGAGGAGGCGATCGACGCGCCGGTTTCGTCGTACTTGCCCTTCAGGTCGGTCGTGGCGTTCGAGATCGAGAAGACGTCGACGTGGCGGTACACGGAGCGGGTGTTATCCTGGCCGCGGCCGAAGTTCGAGTCCCGGGAAAGGACCAGGAAGTCGCCAGTCGGGAGGGCTAGGATCTCGGACTGCGAGGCGACGCGCATGGGGTCTTTCTTGTCCTCTTTCGTGTAGTCATTGTACTTGGGAAGGAGGACGGCGTATTCGTGCTTGAGTTTGGGCGTGTTAGAGGAGATATCATACGCGAGGAAACGCGTAGGCTGTCGGTTCTTCTTCTTGGGTCCGCCCTCTTGGTCCAGCGCAGATTGCAGCATCGTGTACAGGGTCTTGCCGTCGGAGGAGAGACTCAGGGCCTCGAGGCCTTGGTTGTTGTTGCGGCCGCTTTCGGTCTCCTCGGGAACGGGCATGCGCTTGGGATCGTAGACCGGCGGGCTGGCGGCGCTGAAGCTGACGGTGGAGTTGCGATGGGGGAGAATGGCATCCGGTGGCCGGATCGCTTGCACCATCTGCCCGGTCGCGGTGAATTTGTACACGTAGGGCCCGTATTCCTCAGAGACCCAGAATCCGTCGTCCGCCGTGTCCAGGACGAGTCCCTCGGCGTCGACCGTCACTCTTTTGCCGCCGGGGCCGGACCCCCCGAAGCCGTCGCCCTCGTATGTTGCTACAGGTAAGGGAGGGAAACCAGAGTATGCGGCCGAGCCTGTCTCGTCGGCATCGAGGCCGGTGAGGGGCTGGCCCTTGGGGTCGGTGAGAAGGATGGTGTCGAGATACTTGAGATGGAGGTTTGGTTTGGAGGGGTGTTGCGCCGAAGCATTGGGGGCGAGGTGAAGAGAAAGTCCGATCTTGTGGATGCGTGGCTGGAAGTTTATTGTGCCATTGGTATTCCTGGAGCAGTTTGTTAGATGCATTGATCAGAAATGTTGTATGGGAGATAAGACAGTCACGAACCAGCCACGGTCAGGAAGACAGTAGGCGACGCCTTCAAACGAACCACGGCCTGTCTGGCGCCAGGAAGCCTGGTCGATGGTCGCAGAACTGCCAATGCCTCCAAGAGTATCGCCGTATTTGTCGAGCGCGTTGGACGGAATGAAGCCGTAGCCTTCTAGGCCGGTGTATGCATACTTATGGTCCCCACAAGTCGTCTGATTTACAATGCGATTGGCACGTGGGGGAAGAGACAGCGCCGTCACGGCTGCCGACAGAGGCAGAGTGGCCGCGAAGAAGCTCAATTTCATGACTGATGGATTGGTTGCAAGACGAAGATGCAAAGACAGAATAAACAAAAATAAATCAATTATAATTTCACCACCATCCAGACTGGAAATGGCCCGACGGTGCAAGGGAGTTAAATAATCACCTTCCTCACTGAAAGCGAGGTATGGCGATGGCCAAGACCGCAGCGTCGAACGTGGTGGCGATCGCGCCTGTCATTCGCGCGATGCTAGCGTTGGTTGTATGATTAGGCTGGCACGAGGAGACTCTCATTGGCATTGATTGAACAATCCAATCCGACTTTTTAAATTAACTGTCAGGAGCATCATCTTCCCGATCGAGAACTAAGTACTCCTTACATGGTTGATCCTCCACCAATTCAGGACTTTCAGCCCCTCGCCATGACTCGCCAAACCAGCACTACTTCCAGCTAGTTATATGCCTATGATGTTGGCCAAGTTGTGGGCACCTTTGGATATTTCTTGGCATCCAACCCAAGGTCTTCGTACATGGTGTCGTCGTCTAGGAGTAGAGGACGTCGTTAGCCGGAGGATGTGACGAACCCACATATGACCAAGAAGGAAAATCCTACCTCGCAACGATTCCACTCGTTCTTCATTTTCGTGCTCAAACTTCTCAAGTTCTTCACCGGGCTGTTCTTCTCCGTCCTTTTTGTCAGCAGGATCGGCAGTGGTAGCCTTACCCAGGTCATTCGTGGAATCGCCGATCATGAGAATTTGAGCATTGGGGTAATCGATGAAATCGGGCTCCAATGGCCTCCAGCGGTAGTCGCCGAACTTTTCTAGAATCCTGTTTCTCAAAGTGAGTTGATGTAAACCTGGAAGAATGCTATCGGGCAGAGTAAAAGAGAGCCTTACTGTTCAGGATACTCCGGGCCTTCGGGAAGAGCTGCGTATGAGGGACCTGGTTGTTTGGGATTCTTAGACTGCACAATCCAGCTACCGCGGCCATAGAGACCGAAGTCTTCCTGGAGTGTCCCGATCTTGTCTGGGATAGTGAGGATATAGGCTAAGTGCGAGGCTCGTTTCTCGGACGTAATTGCATAGACCCCCTCGGCGAACGGTCGAGCTTCTTCGATACTACGCTCGCCCTGGGTGGCAGTCTCGTACTTTCCGCCGGCCATGAAGCTGTCATGTAGTGCTTTCACTGACTGGCCCGCCTTCTCCACAAATGCCATATCCTTCTCATTCCCACTTGTAGGGAACTTCTTTTTCGGGAGAGCCAACAGTCGACATTTCGAGCCAGCTTCTACCGTCCCTTGTTCTTCACCAAGCGTGGCTCCCAAAGGAGTGGGTCGCAAAACAATAAAGCTCCGAGCAATGTCGTTTATGCTATGAGGTTTCGAAGTATTGACACGAGGACGGTAGAAGAAATAGATGATACCCTTTTCGAGGATATTAGAGGTAACGATGTCTTCTCTCTTCGGCGACTTCTTCACACCATTCTCAACTTCGTGCCCCGAGGCTGGTTTCTGATCAGGCTCTGTGCGCAAGTCATAAGTATTGGTTGTATTCAAGTTAGGGCTGGTTTATGGCTGTGTATAGTCTCGCACCTGCAGATTCAGAGGGTTTGGTGTGTTCTGAATTGGCCTCCGGCGACTTCTCCGGCGACTCCTGCCGCGAACGATCCTCCTCTTGCTCAGACTTTGGTTCCTCAGCTTTCGGTTGCTTGTGCTTGTCATGCTCGGATGCAGGCTTGTTCTCTTCTGCTTGTTTCAGTGATTCGCTTGCATGCGTCTGCTCGACTACGTCTTCTTGGGCGGGTTTCTGGTCATTCTTCTTCTCTTTTTTGGGCTCTGGGCCTTTATCAGACGACTCCTTTCGCTTTGTGCCCGCTCCGCCCCGAGGCTTGGTGTCTGGAGCGGCAGCTATGGCCTCTTTGGCTTTCTGAGCAGCTTGGCGAGATGAAGTTCTGGTTGGCGCCATTGTAGGTTGATATTTCCACCAGAGAAAGTATGGGACCGAGCAACGAGGGTAATCAAGATTCTTGATAGAAAATGTCTTTAACGAAGCTACGGTAAGGTCGAGTACCTGCAGAGCCTCTTCAAGGTCTTCGAGGTCGATGAGGGCCGGGTGACGTCATACAAGGTTTCCCATCCGATCGGGACTAGCGCACTTTGGGTCTAGGATACGTCACGTGGGTGGTCCATACCCGATGGGGCAGAGTATAGATGCTATAGATCACATCTGATCAATGCTCAGATTCAATCCAGATCCATTAATTCGGGGGCATTAAATACATCCGATGCGCTGGTTGTGCTTGCATCAGTGAAGGGGGATTCGGGGGTGAAGCTATCGCTTGATCCGGCCTCACTGAGTTCGGGAGGAGACAAGCTGCTTCCCCTGCGTTGTCTTTTCGGACTTAGTGACCCTTCCCCATATTGCGCATCGATCATTCCAGTATGATCGTGGCGGGGTGTGCCAGAGGGCCCTGCGACGGTGGTGTTCGGCTTCCTCTTTCTGCCTCTTTTCGCTCGATGGACAAGCCGTGGATTTGTGTTGTCCGAATCACAGTGAAGATCCTCCAATGAGCCAACAAGGTCGGATTGACCTTTTCTGACAGGGCCCGTCGTCGAAGAAGTTATTTCGCTGGGGTCATCGTCCGGTTCCTCAATCTCGTAAGGCTGGACTACCACGGCGTTGGTGCCAGGTTCGGGATCCTGCGCAGATGCGTCTCCCTCCAAGGACAGCCGACTGTTATTATTCCATTGTATTTGGAATTGGGTCGGGTTCGAAGTGAATGGGTTCGTTTCAAAGGTATCGCTCATGTCGCACTAGCCTGGGTCCAAGGTATAGAAAGATCGCAAAGAGTATATCACCCTCATGCCAGATCGGAAACTCGGACTATCGAAAGATTGAAGGATGATTGGGGAATATCTTTTTGAGCAAGATACTTGAGCACGGAATGCGACCGCGCAAATTTGATTGTAATTTCCCTATCGGAGATCAAAGAATTCACGTCCAAGATAGAAAGGAAGACAGGAGGAAGGAAAGAGAGATATCATCAAAAAAGGCAATAGATGATATATTATGGATCTGAAAAGAGTTGGGAACCCTTAAATCTTATAGAGCAGCGGGGACCCCACGAGGAGGGAGGGTACGAAGCGTATAGAAGGCCAAAGAGCGCCAGGCAAGAACAGGTCGGAAACCCAACGAAGAGTATGTCATGGCGGCCTCAGGTGTCAAGGCACCAATCGGGCGGCCGCTCACCGCCGGGGCCATGATTGGCTCTCAGGCCTCGCTTACGGCCATTAAGTCCACGTTACTCTACCGCCCCCGTCCCTTAGCCTGGTCTGCTTGTTGCTGGCTGTTAGCAGTTAGTTGTCCAGACTGTCTGGCTAGGCATTCCACGACCTCACCTTGCCGCAATCCTCTGCCATTCTGCCCACCCCGTTGCAGTGGATGAGGTGGTCGCCTTCTCCGGTATTTTATTTGTGATTAGCGAGCGGAGCTTGCCTCCCTATGGTGCGGCTCCGGCCAACACTCCCTCAAGATGCAGTCCTCCCCAAACATGCTCACCAAGGTCCGTCTACCCCGGGTTTCCCCCCCCCCCTGATTCTATAACTCGACTTGTTCGCCTCCAAGGATCGCTACTCACCATCCTCTCGTGTACAGTTTGAGTCCAAATCATCCAGAGCCAAAGGAATTGCCTTCCATCCTAAACGGTTAGTGAACAACGTGCATGAATGGAGCGATGGAACCGGCCCACGCGTCGCATTTGGAAACCGCTGACTCCCGTCCTTTGGCAGGCCATGGATCCTAGTATCGCTTCATTCGTCCACTATTCAACTATGGGACTACCGCATGGGTACCCTCATTGACCGCTTCGAAGAACACGACGGCCCCGTTCGAGGCATTGACTTCCATCCGACCCAGCCCCTCTTCGTGTCCGGCGGTGATGATTACAAGATCAAGGTTTGGAGCTACCAGACTCGGAGATGTCTGTTCACACTCAATGGTCATCTGGACTACGTGCGGACGGTCTTCTTCCATCATGAACTCCCCTGGATTCTCTCCGCGTCGGACGATCAGACGATCCGGATATGGAACTGGCAGAACCGGTCTTTGAGTAAGTTGAACTCTCGCAATTGAGTTTGAATGCGGCTGATATCCGACCCCTAGTTTGTACGATGACTGGTCATAATCACTACGTGATGTGCGCGCAATTTCACCCCACCGAAGATCTGATTGCCTCCGCCTCCCTGGATCAGTCCGTTCGCATTTGGGATATTTCCGGACTGCGGAAGAAGCACTCGGCTCCTACCACAATTTCGTTCGAAGATCAGATGGCTCGAGCCAACCCCAGCCAAGCGGACATGTTCGGAAACACCGATGCAGTTGTTAAGTTTGTGTTGGAGGGCCATGACCGTGGTGTTAACTGGGTGTCCTTCCACCCCACTCTCCCCCTGATTGTCTCCGCCGGTGACGATCGCCTCATCAAGTTGTGGCGGATGAGTGGTATGTGATGGAAATTGGATCATCATTTGTGTTAGAAAAAGAAGTGCTGACAATTTGCAGATACGAAAGCGTGGGAGGTCGACACCTGCCGTGGCCACTTCCAGAATGCCTCCGCCTGTCTGTTCCATCCGCACCAGGACCTGATTCTCTCCGTCGGCGAAGACAAGACAATTCGGGTCTGGGACCTGAACAAGAGAACCTCTGTGCAGTCTTTCAAACGGGACATGGACCGATTTTGGGTCATCGCCGCTCACCCTGAGATCAACCTTTTCGCCGCCGGCCACGACACCGGTGTCATGGTTTTCAAGCTGGAACGGGAGAGACCTGCGTCTGCGGTGTACCAGAACCAGCTTTTCTACATCACCAAAGAGAAGCATGTCAAGTCGTACGACTTCGCCAAAAATGTTGAATCTCCCCCGATGCTCTCATTGCGGAAGCTCGGGTCCGCCTGGGTGCCGCCTAGAACGGTTTCATACAACCCCGCTGAGCGCGCCATCCTTGTCACTTCGCCCACGGACGGTGGCATCTACGAGCTGATTCACCTCCCAAGGGATGCCACTGGAGCTGTCGAACCCACCGATGTCAAGCGCGGCCAGGCCTCTTCCGCAGTTTTTGTTGCCCGCAACCGATTTGCTGTCTTCAGCCCGGCCAACCAGCAGGTGGATATCAAGGATCTGAGCAATTCGACGACCAAGACTATCAAACCCCCGGCGGGAACGACCGACATCTACTTCGGTGGAACCGGCTGTCTCCTCTTCATCACTCCCACTCATGTCGTCCTTTTCGACATTCAGCAGAAGAAGCAACTCGCCGAGCTGGCGGTTGCCGGCGTCAAGTATGTGGTTTGGTCGAACGATGGCCTATATGCAGCCCTACTCAGCAAGCACAATGTCACGATTATCACCAAGAGCCTGGAACAAGTGAGCACATTACATGAGACGATCCGCATCAAGAGCGCGGCTTGGGATGATGCCGGTGTCCTTCTGTACTCCACTTTGAACCATGTGAAGTATTCTCTTCTGAACGGGTAAGTTACTTTCTATTGATAACGCAAGTCACATATTAACCGGGATTAGCGACAACGGCATTATCCGCACCCTCGAACACACGGTTTACCTCGTCAAGGTCAAGGGTCGAAGTGTCTACTGTCTTGATCGTAACGCCAAGCCTAGGGTTCTGGAGATCGACCCCACGGAATACCGTTTCAAGTTGTCTCTGGTCAAGAGAAACTACGACGAGATGCTTCAGATCATCAAGACGTCTAGCTTGGTCGGCCAAAGTATCATCTCTTATCTGCAGAAGAAGGGTTACCCCGAGATCGCCCTGCAGTTCGTCCAGGATCCTCAGACTCGCTTCGAACTCGCTCTCCAGTGTGGTAACCTGGATGTCGCCATTGAGATGGCGAGAGAGCTGGACCGCCCTAACATGTGGAGCCGGCTCGGAGCGGAGGCCCTGGCTCACGGTAACCACCAGACGGTAGAGATGGCTTACCAGAAGCAGCGAAACTTTGATAAGCTGTCATTCCTGTATCTGTCTACCGGTGACCAAGAGAAGCTGTCGAGAATGGCTAAGATCGCAGAGCACCGTGGCGATTTCACCTCTCGCTTCCAGAACGCTATCTATCGGGGCGATATCGAGGATCGGATCCAGATGTACAAGGAAGTTGATCTATGTAAGTGCACCAAGCTGAACAAGTGTGTTAACACCTGCTAACCTATCTCGTAGACCCCTTGGCGTATCTCACTGCCAAGGCTCATGGCTTGACTGAGGAGGCTGAATCTATTCTCGAAGCGTCTGGCCTGACGGAAGACCAGATCACTCTGCCGAACATTGACGAGCCTTCGCGGGTGCCGCACCCCATCGCTCCCACTTTCAAGGCAAACTGGCCTGTTAAAGCTGCTGCCCACTCGTCCTTCGAGAAGGCCTTGCTCGGAGAAGTTGGTGCGGTTGATGACGATGCCGCCGCTATCGGCTACGAGCCCGAGGAGGAAGAGGAAGCCGTTGCGGCTCAAGAGACTCTGGACGATGAGGAGGATGTCGGCGGATGGGACATGGGAGAAGAGATCAACGTCGAGGAGGATGTTGACTTTGTCAATGTGGACAGCGCAGAGGCCGGCGCAGGCAGTACTGAAGCCGATCTTTGGGCTCGGAATTCCCCTCTGGCAGCCGACCATGTTGCTGCTGGATCCTTCGACTCCGCTATGCAGCTCCTGAACCGCCAGGTGGGCGCTGTCAACTTCACCCCTCTCAAGCCCCGTTTCCTTGAAATCTACAAGGCCTCGAAGACGTATCTGCCTGCCGCGGCTGGTCTTCCTCCTTTGGTGAACTATGTGCGTCGGACAGTCGATGAGACCGACAGCCGCAAGGTTCTGCCTGTCATCCCTAGAGACTTGGAAACGATTGCCAATGCCGACCTGCAAGAAGGTTACGCTGCCATGCGGGCCAACAAACTGGAAGATGGAGTCAAGATCTTCAAGCGTATCCTACACTCCGTCTTGGTGAATACCGTCTCCTCGGAGGCCGAGGTTGAACAGGCAAAGAAGATCATCGAAACTGCCCGCGAATACATTGTCGCTATGTCCATTGAGCTGGAGCGCCGTTCCCTTTCGACGGATGATCCTGAGAACCTCAAGAGAAGCCTTGAGCTCTCTGCCTACTTCACAATCCCCAAGTTGGAGGTGGCTCATCGTCAGCTCGCCTTGATGGCTGCCATGAAGTTCTCGTTCGCCAACAAGAACTACTCATCGGCCCTCAGCTTTGCTAACCGCATGCTGGCCAACGGCGGTTCCGCCAAGCTTCTTGAACAGGTAAGTCATGCCCTCTAGTTCAAATGCAAACCCAGGGATAGAATCGACAGCTAACGTGAAACTAGGCCAAGAAGATTAAGGCGCAGTGCGAGCGCAGCCCGCAGGACAAGATCGACATCGAATTCGACCAGTTTGCCGAGTTCGACATCTGCGCTGCTTCGCACACTCCCATCTACAGTGGATCTCCTAGCGTTTCGGATCCCTTCACCGGAGCCAAGTATCATGAACAGTACAAGGGCACCGTGTGTCGGGTATCCGAAGTCACCGAGATCGGTGCGCCGGCCAGCGGTCTGCGCTTGTTCGTGCCCGGCCAATTTTGAAGAATGACTAGACCTGAATCTTTTTTTACTTTCAATCCTGTAATTCCCCCTTTGACCAAACCAGCTCCAAATGTATGTTCGTGTGGAAATGAGGTGTAGCGCTGGGGTGGCTGCGCTCTACTAGATGTATGGATCTGTTGTCTCCGATAATTACTCAGCGACGTTAGCTATGTTAACTTGGTTCTTTTTTCTTTTCTGCAATGCATGTGAACTGTTGAATACAATATGAAAAATAGAAGAATAGAGTAGAGTTGCGGTCTATTTCACAGTAATCATACATACATAGGAAGGGTTCCTTATCTATCCAAAATGCCATCGCACATGAGAATATCATACAGCGCAGAGTGCAGCGTGCATCTGCACCTTCTGTACCCATCCATCTCGGCCCCAACAGACTGCCTAGGCACATCTAGCAGAGTCCGAGGCCACTCAATCAATCACACCTCCCATCCTTCCAGCCCGTCCTCCACCGCTCCTCCCAAAACCGACAATCGAATTCCTTCTTTCCCAGCTTGCGATTCACCTCATTATGCGCCTCGCACATCCACGTCCCGAAATCCGCGCGCCCGCCTAACCGCGGCGCGTTCTTCCCACTTGGCTCGGCCATCCACGTGCGGAAATCGTCCGCACATACCCAGCACGGATATAGTCGCGAGAAGAGCTTCAGGAACGTTCGCATCTCCGTCTGCTGCTCTGTTGTCGCTTTCGTTGGATACGTCGCCGTCATCGAGTGTAGGAGGGTCCAGGTCGAGCGGCCGAGTTTCTCGACGTCTGGGGGGCATTCATTTCGCGAGGGGGTGGGATTGGAGGAGGGGGGTTTTGTGACGGGATCGTTGGAGGATGTCGAGGTCGGGGTCGAAGTTGCTGCGGATGCGGCGCCGGAGGTTTTGGCTTGCTTGGTGAGGGCGCGCCACGATGCGGCGGAGGTGCAGAGACGGCATCTAGGAAGGAACTGGATTAGTATTTCTGGAGGAACGTTCGGGGGATTGAATTGGGATTGAACGTACGGTTTCCCATCTTTGTCTAGGACGAGGCCGTTGGCTAGTTTGGACTTTGAGTCATCGTCTTTGGAGTCGGTTGAGGAGCTTGCCGTCGCTGTAGGCTGATGTGGAAAGGGAGACTTGAACGGTTTATGTTGCGATTCTTCCGCCATGATTGTTTACTCTGGGGTGAGGGCGCTGATCGCGAATCGGTAGGTGGGTATAGAAAGGGAAGTGTAGATAAGATGCGATCAGAGAAGTAGATAAACCAATCGCTTCGGAACAAATGTCAGGAATCAATCACAGATGACTATGCCAGAATCGTTCGGAAGAATATATGTATAGTATAAATAACAAGTATGAAGACAAGCAAATAATCCAAAAGGTCTGAATGATCGAAAGAAAAAGGCCGATGGATTGGTAATGGTGAACTAGGAAGAGAAGGCCGGGCTTTGTCAGCAGGCACCCATTCCCATCCGGGCCTAGCACTATCGAATTAAGGCATCGAATGCGCCGAGACCCAATCGACCAGTCACCCCGTTTGCTCTCCATTCCTTAGCTTCGCGGCCATTTTCGATCGATTTTACTGCCGTGCTTGTTAGTCTGACTTGTCGTCTACCTTGTCGTTCCTGCGGCTAAATTGCTGTCGAAAACCTCCCTACCCCACTCACGCTGGTCGTGTTCTAGTTTGTCGCGTCGCGGTTTCCGTCCTCCGCCCTCGATTGACAGCGCGCCGAACCGTTCGGTGCAACGCGAATTACCAAATTTGTGAGAATAGTTGAACGAGTTTTAGAAATATATCCTACAAGTACCCTATCATAATGGCTCCTCGATACGCCCTGTCGGACTCCGAAGCCGAATCTGAACCAGAACAGCCGACAGCTCCCTCCGATGATGCGTTGGAGAAAGCTCTACGCGACACGGTCGCCGAAATATACAACACAGGGAATATGGAGGAATTGACGGTGAAACGGGTGCGACTAGCTGCGGAAAAGTCCCTTGAACTGGAGCCGGGGTTCTTCAAGGCCGACGACGCGTGGAAAGCAAAGAGTGAGCAGATTATCAGGGAAGCTGTGGTATGTTTTTCTTGGGTCCATTGTCTGTTTCGCAAGTCCTGGTTACTGAAACCATCTTCTTATCACAGGAATCACAAGACAATGCGTCTGAACGGTCTGACGGTGACGAGGAAGAGAAAAAAGCCTCTTCGCCCCCTCCAGCCAAATTCAAACCCGCCAAGCGCACCAAGCCAGACGTTTCGGCTCCGCGAAAACGACGGAAGGCGAGCACCCCAGAACCTGAGGAAGTTAACGAAGATGGGAACGAGGATGATGAAGAACAAGGAAGCGATGCGGCGAGTGACGAAAGCGAAGAGAAGGCCAAGAAGCCCACCAAGGGGTCTAAGGCAAAGCAGGGAAAGAAGTCCCAATCCAACCCGAAACCGAAGACAGTTGAAGAGTCTGATGACGAGAAGGAGCAAGATATCAAACCATCGGAGGAATCGAAGGTAGACCCAAAGGACGATTCAGAAAGTGAAATGTCGGTAGTCCTCGACGAGGAGCCTCAGCCCACCCGCAAACGACAGAAGAGCTCCGAGGCAGCCGCACCTAAGGGCAAGAAAAAGGCAGCCCCGAAGCCCAAGGACGCGGACATCGACCCGAATGATGCAGAGATCAAGCGGTTGCAAGGCTGGCTGGTCAAATGCGGTATCCGCAAAATGTGGTGGCGAGAGTTGGCTCCTTACGACACTCCCAAGGCCAAGATCAAGCATCTCAAAGAGATGCTGAAAGATGCGGGGATGGAAGGCAGATATAGCGTGGAAAAAGCGAACAGAATCCGGGAGGAGCGCGAGCTCCGGGCTGATCTTGAACTGGTCCAAGAAGGCGCCAAACGATGGGGGACAGGGAGTGGAGATGAGGATGAGGGCAGCGACAACGCTCAGCCTCGACGAAGGTTGAATCGTGGACGCCAAACTCTGGCATTCCTAGACAGTGACGGTGAGGAGACGGATTGATGGGAGCATGGCTGGCGCATTGTCGGATTATGAGGTCCTTCCGCGATGTCTGCCTGGAGCAGCCTCCGGTCGAGTCCGAGAGATCCTGGGAGTTTGATGCAATGATATCCATCCACTTAAATCCACATAAATTACAATATCCTGTCGTTCATCGATTTGACTTCGTTCCTCCCATTCGTTGAGCTACGAGGCTAAAGACGGCGACCGACGATATAAAGAGGACGAGGTTGTAGAACTATCGAGGACATTGGTTAATGACTTGCTCGGGTGCTTCGAAACATTTCATTCAAGGATCATACCGCCGTTCGTGAGTACTCATTCTCTTCTGACTCGGATCGCGCCTCCACAAAGAGACGTCGAAGGTTGGGTAATTTCGCCTGTGGGTACATGGTTAGCATTGCTTGCGTTGACATAGCGCGAAGAGAAGGAGAGGGTTTACCATAGACAGATATTTAAAATCACCAAATGTCAAAGATTGAAAAGGTAGTCAGGAGTTTGAGGCCGATCAGCGACGGTGTCGAAGAAGCGGCGGGATGTCTTGTTGGTTGTTCGCAGGATGAAGTCCGGGGAGGTTTTAGTGAGCCGCTTTGTGGACAACTTTTGGGCCCAGACACTCTCGTTCTCTCCCTGACCTTCCATCGTCCACCATCCTTCCTCTCCGCCCCTCGACTCTCCACACCCATTCCTCTTCCGCCTTTTCTCGACTCTCTCAGCTGGAGGAGGTCGTCTTCTATATCTCCGATCATTTTTTCCCACGCCTCCCCCCTTCCACTCCGAGTTATTCCTCGACTCCCTGAAGCCACCGGCGTGGACATTCCCCGCAGTGGTCCGCAAGGACGCTCTGTCATACCCAACTTCGAGCCCCTTATTTCTTGCGGAGGGGCGACTTGGACGTCATTAGTACTTGATTCCTCCCGAAATGGCAATGAATCGCATAAAAGGCGCCTTCGCGGTGCCTAAGAAAGGAGAGACGTTTGAATTGCGAGCTGGCCTTGTGTATGCGATTTTCCTCCGACTATCTTGTGATACCTGTCCATTGAGAAGGTGATGCTAACCAAGACATTAGATCCCAGTATGCCTACGAACGGTATGTCGATATACTTCGGAATTTTCCTATTACGCTCGAACATGGTGTCTAACCCGGCTCTAGAAAGGAGTCTATCCAGAAGACCATCATGGCCATGACCCTGGGCAAAGATGTCTCCGCCCTTTTCCCCGATGTCCTCAAGAACATTGCGACCAGTGACCTGGAACAGAAAAAGCTTGTATATCTCTACCTAATGTAGGTGAACGTCTACCCCGGTGACTGCTTCTGTGCATACTGATTTCCCGGTCTGCGACGATTAGGAATTACGCCAAATCTCACCCGGACCTGTGTATCCTCGCCGTGAATACCTTCGTTCAAGATTCCGAAGATCCTAATCCCCTCATCCGTGCACTTGCGATCCGAACGATGGGCTGCATTCGAGTAGACAAAATGGTCGACTACATGGAGGAGCCGTTGCGAAAGACTCTTCGGGATGAGTCGCCGTATGTCCGCAAGACTGCCGCGATCTGTGTGGCCAAGCTTTTCGATCTCAACCCAGCCATGTGTTTGGAAAATGGGTTCCTAGAGATGTTGCAAGAAATGATCGGTGACCCCAATCCTATGGTAGTCGCGAACTCTGTGACGGCGTTATCGGAGATCTACCATGCCGCTCCTGAGACGCAGGCGTTCAAGGTGACATCGAACACGCTGCGCAAGCTTCTAATGGCACTGAACGAGTGCACCGAATGGGGTCGCGTCACGATCCTCACTACGCTGGCGGAGTATAGGACTGGCGAAGTGACGGAGTCGGAGCACATCTGTGAAAGGGTCGCGCCCCAGTTTCAGCATGCCAACCCCAGTGTGGTGTTGGCTGCCGTCAAAGTCGTTTTCTTGCACATGAAGAACATCAACCCTGAGCTGTCCAAAAACTATCTGAAGAAAATGGCGCCTCCTCTAGGTATACCGCACTCTTTATCTTGCATGAGAATTTGGTATTAATTACTTGGCTCTAGTGACCCTGGTCTCGTCGGCTCCCGAGGTGCAATATGTCGCCCTGAGAAACATCGACCTGCTTCTGCAAAAGCAACCGGACATTCTGAACAAGGAGCTTCGTGTGTTCTTTTGCAAGTACAACGATCCTCCCTATGTCAAGTTCCAGAAACTCGAAATCATGGTTCGGATAGCCAACGATCGAAATGTCGATCAACTTCTTGCCGAGTTGAGGGAATACGCCTTAGAAGTGGACATGGACTTTGTGCGACGCGCCGTCAAGGCTATTGGCCAGGTTGCCATCAAGATCGAGAGCGCCAGCGAGAAGTGCGTCAACACTCTGCTGGATCTGATCAACACGAAGGTCAACTATGTTGTACAGGAGGCGATTGTGGTGATCAAGGATATCTTCCGGAAATACCCTGGTTATGAGGGCATCATCCCCACTCTGTGCCAATGCATTGATGAATTGGACGAGCCTAACGCTAGGGCGGCTCTTATCTGGATCGTCGGCGAGTATGCGGAGAAGATCAGCAACGCCGGTGACATTCTGGCCGGGTTTGTGGAAGGATTTAACGAAGAGTTCTCGCAGGTAAGTCCTCTCTCCACTTTGTTACTGCGAACCTGGCTGAGCTAACTCGTGCATAGACTCAACTGCAGATCCTCACTGCAGTTATCAAGCTCTTTCTCAAACGGCCTGAAAAAGCACAGGGTCTTGTCCAGAAGGTCCTGCAGGCGGCTACGGCGGAGAACGATAACCCCGACGTTCGAGACCGTGCTTACGTGTACTGGCGTTTGTTGTCCAACACGAGTGATCCCGATGCCACCAAGAACATCGTCTTGTCTGAAAAGCCGCCAATTGTGACTACCATCCACTCTCTACCGCCCACGCTCCTCGAACAACTCCTCAATGAGCTCTCCACTCTCTCCTCTGTCTACCACAAGCCCCCTGAGCAGTTTGTTGGCCAGGGCAGGTTTGGTGCTGACGCCGTTCAAAAGGCGGCCATCCTGTGCGTATCCCTGTTTACTTTTAAATCTTGCCCCAATTCTAATGTGCTCTCTTCTCAGGGAACAAATCGAAAACGCACGTGAGAACCCCTTGGCGGCTGCCGCGGCGGCGGCGGCTACTGGCGAATCATCGTCTCAGCAGCCCCAGAGCAACGTCGAGAATCTCCTGGATATTGACTTTGATGGCGGAGCACCCGCTTCTGCTCAAAATGAACCCAGCAGTGGTATGTCTGGGTTAGAAGGTCTTGCCGGCACCCCTGTCCGAGTGGAGTCTCCTGCAGTCGGTGCTCCGGCCCCCAGCAACAACCTTGGTGATCTCCTGGGTGTGTTTGGTGACGGGGCCCCTAGCTCGAGCAGCCCTGCCGCTCCCAATGGTGAAAGCGCAAGTGCAGACCTGATGAATGGATTTGCGGGATTGGATCTTTCTTCCAATAGCAACCCTGTGTCACCGCCACCTGGAGGTAGTCAGCCCAAGAAGACCAACGAAGATATCATGTCACTGTTCTAGATATGATGCTTTGGTGGTCCGGCGCAGGGTTGAAAACACAGGATAAAAAGGTCATATAATCCCATCATTAGTCCAGATGGTCCGGACCGTCTCGGGCTCGATTGTCCGATTTTCACCATTACCCATCTATCTTCCTCTTCTCAAACCATGTTCACCGACATCGTTTCTTCTGCTCTTCCGGCCCCCTCTTCCTCCAGCCATTTTTCTGTTACTTGTATATCCTGTTTCCCTTCACGTGGGGGTATTTCCCCCCATTCTATAATTCCCGACCAGTTTGGGCTATAAAGCTAGACTTGTTATTACTTCCATGGAGTATGTGACTACGAGATGCGGTGTAGCCAGAATGAACGCAAACATCTACCAAAATAAAAACATAAAGCCTTCCCTCACCCCAAAAGTCCCCGTAAAAAAATCAAGGAAAATCTCTCGTTCCCGGCCGGGAAAGACTCGCCCGTAAGAGCGGGAAAAGCATGACACAATGGAATTGGAGACCGAAAGAACAAGCATGGAACTACGTGGAGTGATTGTCCGGGATTAAACGTTTCTCCACAACGGAAATTTCTCGGTTGCGCTCTCTGATTCAGGCAGAATCGCATCATCCCATCGCAGGAGGACCCGTTCCGAAAAACGACGATGTTCTCAATGCAAAAGCAAAGGCCGTTCAGTGAATCAACAACGTCCAGTATCTATGTGCATTGCCGGTTCTCCGGTTCTAGAACGATGACGTCGCACGTCCACCACGCCGAGTAGATTGCAATTGCTTTGCAAGGATGAACAAGAACGATCCCGTGCAGCAGCCAGCAGCAGAGTCCGTTGGCACTAGCGCCGAGTACCTATCGGCAAGCCGGGATTTGCCCGTGATGTGCAGTGCTAGCTAACACCCTAGGGAGTAAGCTGGGCGCCCTTTTCCTAAAACCGAAAGGATATCGCTGTCATGCATGCATGCGGCGAGGCCACGACTGGGCAAATTGCGGTCTCCATTTGTACTGTGTCGTGTCGCCGTGTCGGTGTGTTCGGAACATAGACGAGGGTTTGACTAGGGGAGTGAGTGGTGGTGTTGGCCTGCCAGCGACGCTTTGAAGGGAGCCGTTTGGTATCCAATACCCAATGACAACAGAACGGGATTCCTATAATTCCCCTTATTCCTTACTCCATCACGACATTGGTTTTGTTGTTTCGCTTGAGTTGGAGACTGTGGGACCATGGGTTTTGTTGACCCGCTCGTTCCGGGTACATTCCGCGCATAGAAAATTTGTTGGGCTATGGGTATTGTATAAATATGGAATTGGAGTCCCGGTTGTTTTGTTCTGGAATTGGAAACGTCCCTGGCGCATTCAATCCAGAACGACAACTTGATTTGATCAATTGATATCCAAACAGACAGACATCATGGCTCAGACCGACTACAAATTCGAAGGATGGATGGGTCTCGACGAAGGCTCCGCCGACGGCAAGATGGTCTGGCAGGAGTTCGAGCCTAAGCCCTGGGAGGAGACGGATGTTGACATCAAGGTCTCGCACTGCGGTGTCTGCGGTTCGGACTTGCACACGCTCCGTAGCGGTTGGGTAAATTGTGCAGCTTCCTCCAGGATCGTATATAAAGTTAATGTACTGTTTCTTAGAAACCCACCTTGTACCCCTGCTGCGTTGGCCATGAAATCGTCGGTACGGCCGTCCGTGTGGGCTCCAAGGCCGTTGGTGGCATCAAGGTCGGTGACCGTGTCGGCGTTGGCGCGCAGAGTGATTCTTGCCTGGGACGTCTCGGCGATTGCTCCGAGTGCGCTATGGGATGGGAACAATACTGCTCCCACAAGTTCGTCGGTACCTACAACGATGTGTACCTGAACGGTGGTAAATCGTACGGTGGCTATGCCACGTACAACCGTACCCCGTCGCACTTTGTCGTCAAGATCCCTGACAGCATTTCGTCCGCGGAGGCTGCGCCGATGCTGTGTGGTGGTGTCACTCTCTTCAGTCCGCTGAAGCACAACAACTGCGGTCCCGGAAAGCGGGTCGGTATCATCGGTGTTGGTGGACTGGGCCACTTCGGTGTCCTCTTGGCCAAGGCTATGAGTGCCGACAAGGTCGTCGCCATCTCGCGCAAGTCTGGCAAGAGTGAGGACGCAATCAGGATGGGTGCGGATGTTTACATTGCCACCGATGACGAGCCCGATTGGGCCACGAAATATGCTCGTTCCTTGGACCTCATCGTCTGCACGGTGTCCTCTACCAAGGTGAGCCTCGAACTTTCCAAGCCGAGCGCCCCGGGAGTTGCTAACGATGACATAGATGCCCATGGCTGAGTACTTGGGACTGCTCCACACCAACGGCAGCCTAGTCCAGGTAGGACTTCCTGAGGATGGCGCGCTCAACGCCCCGGTGCCCAACCTCATCCGTCGTCTGAAGGTTGAGAGCTCTCTAGTGGGAAGCCCCGATGAGATCCGCGAAATGTTTGAGCTGGTCGGCCAGGAGGGCAGCATCAAGCCCTGGATTGAGCAAGTCCCCATGAAGGAGGCCAACAAGGCTATTGTGGATATGCATGAGGGCAAGGCTCGCTACCGCTACGTGCTGGTTAACGAGCAATAGAAAGGAACTGGAGTGATTAGGTGTTTGTGGTGGTTGGTGTTGAGAGCGATTTTTTGAAGATACCAAAAATAGAATATGATGTGTGAATGATGTTTCTTGTTGTTCTTAATCAGATTGCTCGAATGACTGACTGCTGTGTAGAAGGGATGACCCCTCCCCCACAAGTAGATAGGCCAATGGGGGTATCACGTAGTAGAGCGTATACTTTTCCTATTTTCTTTTAGTTTTTACCAACTGATTTCTGGAACAAAAGTAGATGCAAAATACCCCTTCATTTTTGATTATTGATTATTACTAGCATAAAAATCTGACAAAAGAAATTGACAACTTTTCAACCCATCAACGTGAACAAGGGTCTTGAGTTCCGGCGTCAGCGAAAGAAAAAAGACCAAAGCAGACCGTATAAAAACAACTCCGAGATAGCATTACCCAAGTATAGTGGTTACTTTCAGCAACTTGTGCTAGAGAGCCCAAGTCAAAGATGACTGATTTAGAGGAGGATCATGACAGCCATGACGGCAGCCAAGAGACCAACGGTTGGCTTGACGGCCTGAGCAGCACCGGTGAAGGGCTGTCCAGAGGGCGAGCTAGTGGGCTGAGCCGGAGACACTCCGGTGGGCTGCTCGGGCTGCTCGGGCTGTTCGGGCTGCTGGGGCTGCTGGGATGGCTTGGGGTGCTTGGGGTGCTCGGGCTTTCCTGACTGCTCGGGCTGCTCGGGCTCCTCAGGCTGCTCGGGCTCCTCAGGCTGCTCGGGCTGGCCGGGGGTTCCAGGAGTGCCAGGAGTACCAGGAGTACCAGGGGTGCCAGACTCGCCAGGGGTAGCGGGAGTGCCAGGGGTGCCAGGAGTTCCGGGCTCACCAGGGGTAGCGGGAGTACCAGGAGTACCAGGAGTTCCAGGGGTTCCAGGAGTGCCGGGGGTGCCAGGAGTTCCGGGCTCACCAGGGGTAGCGGGAGTACCGGGAGTTCCAGGAGTGCCGGGGGTGCCAGGAGTTCCGGGCTCACCAGGGGTAGCGGGAGTACCGGGAGTTCCAGGAGTTCCAGGAGTGCCAGGGGTGCCAGGGGTACCAGGAGTGCTGGGAGAAGGCTGAGGAAGAGGAATAGGAACAACAGGTGTGCTCGTAGGCTTGACCGGAACTGGCACGACAGTGGAGTTATGGTAGGGAGCAGGCTTGGTGGTGGGGAGAGGAATGGTGTTGTTGTGTCCAGTCGGGACAGGCTGCTTGGGAGGCACCACAGTGGTCTGGTGAGGCGGCGGCGGGACAGGGTGTCCAGTGCCAGTTGGGACCACAGGCTTCTTGGTCGGGCCGGTGGGAGTCGCCTCATCACACCAAGTGGTGGTCTTCGTGACAGTGTTGGTCAGAGTGACCGGGACCGTGAGAGTCTTGGTGCCCGAGGTGACAACCGTGCTGGTGACTAGAAGAAGTCAGACTAGGTGCTGGAAAGGTTATCTGTATTGGATAATCATCCTACCTGGGCATTCAGTGGTCACATAGGTGCTTGTCTTGGTGATAGTGATGTGAGGCGCAGTAGCGGTCAAGACCTTTCCGGGCTTTTCCACCTGCTTGTGAGGCTCATGAGGACCAGGAAGCTTGGGGGAAGACTTCTCAACATGTAAGTAAAGATGACTTGTTCACGCGAATATGAAGGTGCCCACCTCATGATGTTCCTTGACAACACCAGCAAGAGCCGGGCCGGCGAGAGCCAGAAGGGCAACAGTTCCTCGGACCATGTCGAAGATATTAATGTTGCGAGAAAAAGAAGGGGCAAAAAAATTCAAAGAAATTCAAACGAGTGAATGAACAGCGAGCGACTTTTTCTGTGGCTCACAGTGTGCGCGATGAGAAGAGAGAAGGGGAGGTGAAGAAACTGGAAGACGTGCAAAGATGTCTGTATTTGTAGCCTGTCAAAAGATACTATTGCTGCCGTTTTCGTGCACTCAATCAAATTTTGACGATAATGCCACTGTAGTATCCATGGGTAATAAGTCTCGAGGTACGGTTCGAGAGGAGAAGTAAATCTTCAACACTCGATAGGACAGCACCATTGGTTTGCAGAGATGTAGCAACATTAGGGCGATCCATGGTTTGCAAAGGGACCTGTCTACTCAACCAAGCTGAAGTGTGATCAGGTAATTGACTCAGACGTGCTAACCAAGATAGAGACGTGACATCCAGTGGTGTCATTCAGGTGCAGGGTTCGAAGTACCCACTTCAAACCTTGGGAGTCTGAAGCAACTTGGAAAAAAGCGATTGCCCCGAGGAGAAATTCCGCGAGCCAATGGCATCACTACCCTGACTGCACGGCCTAACAGATCAAGCATTGAGAGGATCGGTTCTCTTTGAAGAGTTGTTGTAGCATTCTCAACATGAGAGCGTGGGATAACAGCCTAGGTAAGCCGGTACAAGCTTTACAGCACGTACTATATTGAATTGGTCTGGTTTGATAGGTTCCAAGTAATATTTGGTCAGCTAAGAGCCTGTACACGGGCAATGGAACAGGACGAGCAAATCATTCGATCCCCACTCCAGGGGCATCGAAATCGCCAGCCATTGAAGATGAACAGTTTACAAGATCTTCTTGATCTTGCTGGAATGTGGTACTTTGCAATAAAGTGCCCCTGCAACGTTACAGATTACGTTGGGACCCTCGTCTTGAAGGGGGAGGTTCATGAGTCCATGACTGAGTGGACGAAAAGAGAAATGTCTGTCTGCATTGAGCACGTTTGGAGTGGAGCAAGTAAGCGCGTGGCCAAGCACTCAAGAGACAAGATCAATCCGAATTAGCAACATGGTAGGTCCCATAACGGTGCGGCGTCCACTTCATTCCGAGTCCCCGACGGCCATGGTGACGTTCCTTCGGGTTACGATGTAGACTAGTCAACCAGTCGAGGGTGATCAGGGGAACATCGCATTACGATTTCAGAAATTGATCACACTTGAAGTACGGTAGAAGGCTCAATATGCGCAGTAAATCGCGCGAGGTTTCATTCAAACTGGGTCTCGTTAACGACATCAAGGACTAGTGTAGGCGTCATGTACCAAGAGTGAGAGAGACCATGGCAGAGTCAGTGAATAAGATGCCGGAAAAGGCAGAGCCTGGAGTTGATGGCCCCTGAGGAATGTAGAGTGGATTCGGAGAGCCAATTAATGCGTGCAGTGGGCAGCAATTGAAGAAGAGTAGTAGACGATGTCGAGGTTGATGTTGTAGATGAAGCCCGAGTGGGGCCCACCGCCGTTTGCGGACCGCCTGGTGGTCCAAGCTCCAGGTACTTTACACGTGACCTAGTCACGCCGTGTCACCTGACTCTTGTAAGGGCTTAGGGCCGGGAAGGAAAGCGCGTCGTCACGCGTCCGGACGGCGCGTCAATGGGCTTGGCCGAGCAAGGAGAAGACATACAGACAAGTGTGAGGAGAGGCGAATCATCCCGATCCAGAGTGCAACTTACTCAAATACTCCCATAATGCCTCATTCTACATCTCCAGGAGCATCCCCGACTCATCACAATGAAGAAACACTACCGGATGCCCCTCCAGTAGATGCGACTTCCAGTGCCGCCCAAGACAACTCTGATAACCCGCAAAATGGAGCGACAGGAGAGAACCTTGCGGAACTCCTATTTGACGATGACGATGATGATGAATACCCAGCTTCGAGTGCGCCAGACACGAAAAATGTACCTCCAGCGTTCGAGTAAGTCCTGACCCGTGGAGGAATATGCCAATTCATGGGATATGCTAATGCCGACATCTTCAGATCCTCCGCGCCTCCGCCGGCCAAAGTAGATACCGACACCATGCTTGCTTTCTATCAACGCCTATTCCCATTTCGGTATCTGTTCCAATGGCTCAATCACGGGATCGTTCCTTCACCCGACTTTGGGAATCGTGAATTTGCCCTCACGCTTCAGAATGATGCCTATCTCCGATACCAGTCCTACGCAACCGCAGATCTGTGAGTTAGCCGGTTACTCATTGACATGAGCCGATTTCTGACCGACAATGTTTCTAGTTTTCGGAAAGATATTTTGAAAATGAACCCTTCCCGTTTCGAAATTGGACCTGTGTATAATACGAATCCGCGTGATCGAAAAACGCTGCGAGGAGGTCAGATGAAACCCATTGCGAAAGAGTTGGTATTCGATATCGATTTGACAGATTACGACGACATCCGTTCTTGCTGCGAGAAGGCGAACATTTGTGGCAAATGCTGGGCCTTTGTGACGATGGCCATGAAAGTTGTCGACACAGCTTTACGCGATGATTTCGGGTTCCAACATATCCTCTGGGTGTATTCCGGTCGTCGTGGTGTCCACGCCTGGGTTTGCGATCCTCGTGCGCGCAGTCTCCCCGATGACCGACGACGGGCTATTGCAGGCTACTTGGATCTCATAAGGGGAGGAGCCCAAAACGGCAAACGTGTGAATTTGAGGCGACCACTACATCCCCACATGGCTCGGAGCTTGGAAATCCTGAAACCCTATTTCGCCCAAACTACCTTAGTCGATCAGGACACATTCGCTGGCTCTGAGCAAGCGCAGCGACTTCTCTCCCTTCTCCCCGATAAGTCGTTGAATGACGCCCTGCGCAAAAAGTGGGAGTCATCGCCGGACCGCTCCAGCACCAGCAAATGGGCCGACATCGATTCTCTCGCTAAGACTGGCAAAAGCAGTACCCTCAAACCCACCGCTCTCCGAGATGCTAAACAAGATGTTGTGTTAGAATACACATATCCACGGCTCGATTCCGAAGTCAGCAAGAAAATGATTCACTTGCTGAAGAGTCCCTTCGTCATTCATCCTGGTACTGGTCGTATTTGTGTTCCCATTGATGCTCGAAAGGCGGGAGATTTCGACCCGCTGTCGGTCCCTACGGTTACGGAGTTGCTTGCTGAAATTGATGCGTGGGACGCAGAAAACCCCAATAACTTCGGAGCTGCTGACACTGCAGATGGCGAAGGGAGTGTGCCCAATGGCTCGGATGCCAAGGGTGGTCGGAAATTGCAAGACTACGAGAAAACAAGTCTTAAACCCTACATCGACTACTTCCGCTCATTTATTGCTGGGCTTCTTCAAGAAGAGCGCACGGGTAAAAGGGAGCGGAATGAAGAGAAGGTTGAAATCAAATCAGAGAGTATGGAATTTTAAACCTCTCGAGTTGTTGTGCCTTGTCTTCACCCTGAGGGTGTATAATACCGTATTTTTGACGATCATTTTGGGGTTATTTCAAGCGGGTTGGGAGTTATATGATTTTGTGATCTCATTATTCTGGCACACTGCTGTAGATTCTGGGCGTTTATATATTGTCATTTCAAACTTACATTCAAATATCAGTGACTTAAACGCTGCAAATCGTGGACTCGGACGACTTCTGTCAAATTCTGGCCTACTCATGCTAACAGGTATACATGCATGTGCAGCTGCGTGGTGCAGCTTCAGTTACTTGGAAATATCAAAAGACAGACATGGTAATTACAAAAATTCCTCAATTCGTTTCTATAATAGTACACGTGCACACTGCTTCAAAGGCAGCAAACTGCAACTTCATGAACAAGACTTAAGCTATCGGCAAGGACAAGATGTCAATAAGCTCATGCAACATAAAGAATTAATATAGTAGTTTAACAGGTTCAACCCAATCGAGTCAAAATCACCACGGAGATGAGATTATCCAGAATGTTGCGATTCTGCTAAGGTTGGAGTCTCATTTAAGCGGAGACGAAGTTCTTGACACCTGTAGCAACTTGTAAGAGGCGAACGATATGGATGACATGGAATATGAAAACTTACTCTCGAGCCAGCGAACGTACTCCTTCTGCTCCTTGACCTGGATGTAGTCGGGGATCATGTTGGCAAGCTCGGCATTGATGCCGCGCTCCTCGAGGTAGCGCTCCAAAAAGGTCTGCAAGTCCTCGTCCAGGTTTTCGAAAGGAGGACCGGCGTACAAGCTCTGTCTAGCCCAGTCCTTCTCGGCAGTCTGGGCATAGGCCAGGTCAGGCTTGGAGAAGTACGACACCTCCTCGATCTGGAAGAGGCCATCCTGGACAACGGTCTGGATCAGAAGAGCGCCAGTGCTGGGCTTCTCGACGGTGACATTGACGCGAGCAGGGAAGCTAGGCTCGAGGTCTTCGGCGGGGGCAGCACCGTCCTCGGGGTGCTGAGACGTATTGCCAGACTGTCCCTGGTTGGCGGACTGATTTCCGGACTGGAAGTCCATCTCATCACCCAGGGCAGCATCATCAAAGTCTTCCTGTTCGCTGAGGTTCTGGAGGTCGGCAACGGTGAAGGTAAGTCGGATCCTATCGGGAAAACAGGGTTAGTTGCGAAAGAAAAAATGGTAAACTGGGACATATGACTGGCAACAAAGTTCGATGGGAACGGGGATCGATACTTACTCCTCATTGCCAAGCTTCTTCGTCAGCACAACCTCCTGCTCTCCGGGAACGTCCTTGACCTAAATTGAGATGATTAGATTTGCTTTTCTTTTGATAAACCGGTGGGAGCAGGTGCACATACCTCCCACGAGTTGTTCTGGAGGACATATTGGATGTTCTGGACAGACGTTTCCAAGTCATTAAGACCGGAAGACTTCTCATGCTTCAGCTCATCTTCGAGCTTGGCAGCAAGTTCGACATCACCTATTAGAGGAATCGATGATTAGTATGATGATTGCACGAATCCATTGAAGTTCTCAATGTCGAGGCGAGCGCCACAAAAGATAGGTGCACTTTGAGCTAACAAGTATCGCATATGCAGGAGTTATCATACCATCAGCGGCAGGCTGCTTGAATGCCTGAGAGGTCGAGAAAGCGGCGTAAGAGGACCTCGTAGCCTGCTTCAAGGAAGACTGGAGAAAAGTATTCTTGGGGACGGCCGACGCAGGTCGGTAGAGGGTAGAGCGAGAAGAGGTAGCGATAGAGCGCGAAACCGTGCGGGGCACGGAGCGTGCAAGAGCGCGGAGAGAGAACATTTTGAAGATTGAGTGGGTGGGATGGATCGAGGAAGATGGAAAAAGAAGACGATGTTGAAGGACGGAAAGTTTGGAACTGATGATGTTACCGTTGCCGCTACTGGCACTGGCGCCAAGACTTGGAGCTTCTGTGCGCCAAGCTTTGTTCATAGACATACGATGGGATGGGGATGGTCAGGCCATTCCAGCGAGTTACCTCTACGTTGGCTAAAGATTTCACTCTCGCAATTGTACTTCTAGGAATTTGGGCCTCAAGGGGCCACACTAATGAGGTATATACAATCATGAATGCCATTGTCCCGTAATTGAAAGCAAATGTCGCAACATACGCCGACTTTTTTTGGTGAAGGAAAAGAACGAAAGAAAGAAGAGAAACCAATATACACCGAGGAGTATGAGAAATAATATCACGACATCCCCTTCGGCGGGAAGGCTGACGATTGTTTCTCTCCATCCTTGTTGAGACGGATGAATTTCATCGTACTCAAACCGGACCAATCGCCATTCCACGACGCAAGTTTCTTGATCACATCTTGCTGGCTGATATCGGGCATCCAAAATCCCGTCTTGAATTCCTTGTCCTCCACGTCCGTTCGTTGCAACAGGGCTTCTTCGCGCTTGCTAGGCGGTCGACCCTTCCGGCGCTCACTTTGTAGCTGTTCGATCTCGGGGACGCTGCGGTTGATGTATCTGAAAATGTCGCCATTAATAGACGTTCTAATACTCGGCAATTTTTCCACCAACCTTGCGGCGACATCCATCATGTCCTTGTCGGAGAACGGCCCACTGTCGTCAGGGATGTTATCTTGGAAATAGGCGATCCGGTCCACTAGAAGCAACATGTCAGCGAACTTTCGAGGTTCCATATAGAATACCCGGATTTTACCATATGTCTGTCTCCCCCGCGACATATTGGTATGGACTCGAGCGACTCGGTCATCTCTCGCATTGGCGCGGCGCAGTCTCTTTGCATCGCGACTGTTTTCATGAAGCGCCTCGACGGCTCCGCGCTTTTTGGAGATATGTTTATGGACTTTCTGTAATGTCTTCGGCATGATGGGCGTCTGGATCCTTGGTCTGATACGTCCTAATCTGATATGGTGGGACAACACTGTGCACAACAAATCTCGCCCGCCGATGGCCTTTTCTTCCCTACTTTTTTTTTTCTCGGGGCAGAATACGAGGCGGTGAGATTCACCTGTGTTACCGCCTAGAGGCGGCCAATTAAGAGGCAGCTCTATGCATCGCGTTCCTTGTGCGCGTCGGAGGGTCGAAGTCAAACATTCCAATCTCGTTGTCCTGGCCATCGTCTTTGAGGGGGGTTCGACAGGGTTTCTTGGCAATTTGGACCTCCGTCCCTCTTTCTCTTAACATCGCTCCGATGATCCTACTGCTCCAAACAATCCTCGACGCCTAACCGCCAAACGGTCACGTCCGATGCCCGTTTAGGCCGTGCAGGTAAACAATTACGAGGAGTCTCCTGTCCTTCGTCGGTGTTCACGATGGGTATCAAAGGTAGGAGAGATTTTCCCGTGCTCGCAGAATCATGCAGATTACTGACCCAATCCTCAGGGCTTCATGGCCTTCTCAAGTCCATTCAGAAGCCATGCCACCTGAAGAAGTTCAGTGGGCAAACCCTGGGGGTCGATGCCTATGGATGGCTCCATCGAGGCACGATTGCTTGTGCTGTCGACCTAGTTCTCGACAAGCCAACAACGAAGTGTGTTCTAATCATGGGAAGCGGCAGACAGTAGATGCTAACTTCAAACGAGGCACATCGATTTCGTCCTTAACCGAGTTCGAATGCTCCTTCACTTCGGAGTTAAGCCCTACCTGATCTTCGATGGAGACGATCTGCCCAGCAAATCTGGGACCGAGACCGACCGCCATAAAAGACGTCAGGACAGCAAAGCCCTGGGACTAGAGCTGCAGCGGAAAGGCAGAACGGCTGAAGCGTACCAAGAACTGCAGAAAGCTGTCGACGTAACCCCTTTGATGGCCCGTCAATTGATCGATGAATTGAAGAAGATGAATGTCCAATACGTGGTGGCACCATACGAGGCAGATGCACAACTGGTTTATCTGGAGCGGGAGGGCATAATCAATGGCATTATATCCGAAGACTCTGACTTGCTCGTGTTCGGCGCGAAGAGGCTGTTGTCAAAGCTTGATCAATATGGTGATTGCATTGAGATCAACCGAGCGGACTTCACGGCCTGTCGTGAGGTGAGCCTCATCGGTTGGACAGACGCTGACTTCCGGCACATGTGCATCCTGAGTGGCTGCGATTACTTGCCTAATATCGCCCGGATGGGACTAAAGACGGCCTATCGGAGCATCCGAAAATACAAGAGTGTTGAGAGAGCGTTGCGCATGTTTCAGTTTGAGGGCCAATACCAAGTTCCCGCGGACTATCTCCAGAACTTCAAGCAGGCCGAGCTTACGTTCCTTTACCAGAGGGTGTTTTGTCCGAAAGCCAGAAAGCTGGTGACACTGACTCCGCTCGGAGACGATGTCAAACTAGAAGAACTTACGTTCATTGGGGACGATGTGGAACCGGCCACGGCTGTGGGAGTTGCTCATGGTGACTTGGACCCGACCACCAAGAGACCGCTCGTGGTAAAGCCCCTGGCAGTGAGACAACTCGCCAACGGCTTGAGTCGCCGACAAACGCTCGGCTCGTCAGCAGAGCTGAAGCCGAAGAAACCAATCAATTCATTTTTCACCCCTAAAAGGGTTCCTTTGGCTGAGCTGGACCCGAACAGTCTCACGCCGTCTCCAAGCCAGCAAAGATTGCTTGAGCGTCATGCCAATAACTCCTGGGCCAGCAACCCTGTGACTCCAAGGTCAGACAACGTGAGATCGGCACCATCTCTAATGCGGCAGTCCTCTAGTCCCATGGTGAGGAGCGTGGAGCGCAACTCTTTTTTAGCACATGCCTCGCGAGCGTCTAATTTACAGCCCGTCAAACGACAACGGCTGTGTTCTGAGGCGGATGAGGCCACTTTATCCAACCCACCTGATTGTCGCAGCCGGTTCTTCGCTTCTGGGCAACAGGATACTAGCCCAAGTGGGCTTAAGGCGACTCGAACCAAGAAGGCTCGGAAGTCTACTCTGGATGTCTTCTCCGATGACATTGCAGAAGACATCATGACACAGCTGCCCGAACCAAAGCAGGATACCAAAGATGCTGGTGATGCGGTCAAGGATGCCAGGGAAGATTCCAAATCTTTACCAGGCCCTGCAAATCCTCCTGAGGCCGCAGAAATCACCACCAAGAAGGATGGTGATGTTGGGCGCACAGCGACCAGCTCGACCACAGCGCATTCCCCCGACAAATCTGTGAGTGTGGAATTGAATGCGGAGATGTTTCATCAAGTTTTGGACTATCACGTTGCAAGACAAAATTCCTCTTTACTCTCCAGGTATAATTTTCAGCCTAATGCAGGTCCCAAGTCAACTATCAACAACGGGAGCAACCCCCAAAATACAAGAAGACTTGTTCCAGGAAGAACAGCGTCGCTGAGAAATGGAAATGGTGGAACCTCACCCAGGCGCCAGCGCCTGACGCCATTACAACGTCTGGGTCAGACCGCCCTCGCTCGGTCTCAGTCCATGAATTCTATCTCTCCTTCTGTTACGAAACCAACTCCTCGCACCCTCGGTCGAGCTACCAGCGCTTTGGAAAGTGACGTGGCATCTCAGAACCCTATCCTTAATCCACAAGGCAGTGAAGATATGCTGGTCCCGGATAGCGAAGATGAAGCCGATGGATCGGACGTCGGCGATCGACCAAAACCGGCTCCATTGAACCTACAGCAATTTTCCTTCTCGCCTGGATAAACTATTCTCGATTCTGGCTTATTGTATAGATGCAATAGCATCAAACGCATTGGTGCAGCTATACCATTCTATTTTTGTGTTACGTCATTGGGCGACTCGCAAACCATCTAGCATAGGCATGGTGTTTTTGAGGCATAATTATTGGCACATGACGATTTGTATACCCTAGAGAAGATTGAAAGAGATTGGGCGAGCACATTGGAGGCAATTCTTCGTGCCTTGATAGATACCTAATAATATTATCCCATCGCATAGTTACTGAGGACAGTAGTAAATCGAGAGGCTGGGGAGATCCCGTGTCGATAACGCGATAAGCGGCGGGGCCAACCCAAAATGGGGCCTGGACCAATCCAAATCCGCCCTAGCGCCGTCGGCGGGGCAGATCTGGCCCGATGAGGACTAGCGGACCCCTTGGGAGCGGCAGGCGGTGAGGGGCGGTTACCGGGGAACGACCGGCGTAAACAAAACGGCTTTGGCCCAGCCTCTCCATTTTGTCTTTCTATAGTCATTCCCAGCCACCAGACTATCGTCACCATTCGCATTCCTCTCGCTCGTGCCAAAGCATTTCGGCCTGGTTTCAGTGGTGAAAGATCTGCTCAGCTACGCTATCCCTCTCCCCCCCTCTCCCCTTTCCCACCTCTCCTTCTCCCTTTCCCACTTCTATTCCTTACCTTTCCTATTTCCGACACCTATCGCACGCCTCCGGATCTCGGAGCATTTGCATCACGAGTTCACGATTTGATTGTCTCTGACGAATATCACATTGGCTCAGGTTCGATCGGAAAGGAGGTCTGCATTCTTTGGACCTTCATCGACGGCACTCGTTCCACATTCCATACCGACGTTATCGTCCGATTCATTCAGCATTCCTTCGCTATCACCCTCCCGTCCACCATATCGACAGTCCGGGATTACGAGATTCGAAGACCGTCCTGTCCAGTTCACATTGGTGTTGGAATAGCCCAGAGCTGTGAGGTATTCAGTGAACCTCGAACGCTCCTTCTCGGGGGGCCCGAGAAGCGAGTCATACCGTGCGCAGAAAGGAGCAGACAGGGTCTTGATTATTCGCCATGGCAGCATTCGGGGCTAAGATTGCCCGTACGTTCACTTGGATAGCAAAGAATGCTGGTTCACGGGCTTATGGTTGCATCTAGGGTTCATACCGATGATCGGGTACCACCATGTGCTCATGATCATAATTGCCGTCGCTATCATTCTTCTCTGTGAGTCTGCCCTTTGAGGCCCGTACCGTGGAATGCCACTAACAATCTCAGCTCTACTATTGGCGGGCTGTTCGTCATCCTCGCCGCAAATCCCCGACATCTTCTTAATCTCTATGTACTACACGCGCTACGACCCGGTGTTTAACCTCGCACAAGTTGACCCTGGCGTGGTGACCGCAACTGCCAACATTGTGGGAGGAGCAGAAATGGAGGTCCGTGTGGGATACTTTGGAATCTGTGTGTCGCCGGATAGCGGGTCTTACATCTGCAACTCCAATGCGACTGCGCTGGCAGAGATCGTTACGGTCGACCAGGACCCATTGAACTTGATCTGGGTCGCTTCGACATTTAAAGACGCTGTGGTCTTCCCTTACCTACTGTATGTGAATACCTGTCTGTTTGGCTTGTCGTGGCCGATTTATTCCAGAATACTAACTCCATACAGGATCATCGCTGTCATTCTCGCCTTTTTCTGCTTCATCCTTCTCGCCACGTTCCCCGGATGGCACGAGGAAACCGATGCCACCGGCTCTGAACGGGAGGTGAAACCGTTCCCATCACGACCGGTCTCCCAAGCCGCTCTTGCGCTCATCTTTATCGCGTCTGTCTTCGTGCTTGTTTCGGTGCTATGGCAACATACAGCGTCCGTGGCCGCCAGTACGATCGCCCAAGATATGGGCAATGGCAGTGTCAAGAGTGGTGTGGGCACGTCCGCGATGGTTCTGGGTTGGTTCGGATTCGGTCTCATGGTCGTTGTGACCATCGGGTTGCTGGTCATGATTCTCAGCATCAAACTGATACGGCAATTGACGGATGAAGACTAGTCCGTGCGAATGGGCAAACGACCTATTCTATATTTCCTTGACTTATTCCCCTTGGTTTTTCTCTTTACGCATGATATTTTTTGGACGCAACGGACACGAACGGCACATGAATAATACGACATCACCCCCTACGACATTTGGAAATTATGAAAATGGAAATGGAAATGGAAATGGAATGAGAATGAGAATGAACTTTGGCCCTCAAGGGGTCTTTCCACCGTTCATTATACCTTAAACCCCCCTCCCTCTCGCACTCTGTACATTCTGTCGTGCTTGAAATTGGTCTCTGATTTTGATGTTTTTTTTTCCCCTGTATAAAAGACGATTTCCCCTTTTGTTTATCATCTTACCTTTTTTTTTTTTTACTACTTCATTGGGATGGGATACGGATGACGAGGACTGGATTCTGGGAAATTTGGGACGCATTTACGTGGAAATGGCTTTTGTTGCAATCAATTTGTTTTCTTGTCTTTTCTTCTTTCTCTGTTCAGGTCGTGACAATATCGAATCAAAGAACACATACATATAGATGAGATGAAAAATGCGATGTTCTTGCATAATCAATCTACTCTACTACCTACCTTGAACGTGACGTATGAACCTGTAGACAGCACATTCAAATAGATCTACTCCATAATATGGATCTGGTTACCCGAGTTGCGGTCTCCACTGTGATGCATGAGCCTTGCAGGAATTAGATAACCAGGTTCTCTATCTAGCCAGAACGAAGCATAAGGGTACAAAGTGCGTCCTGCATGAGAATTAACAGAAAACATGGTCATTTCCATGTGAATTTCGTGCTCGTGGCTTTAGTGTCTGTATGCAAGGCCAACTGGATGTGAGATTGTTCTTTTTTCATATATGTAGTCAAGAGCTATAACTATCGTTTCATAGATTTCAGGTACATTTCCTCGACCAACCAGTAAAAACGCCTATATAGCTAGATAGATGGCCATGAACTCTTAGAGGATGTGCATATCTTACAGCCTTTCTTAAAACCAAAATCAATTACTCGTCCTATTAAACAACATTCTATGCCAGAGCAAAAGTACTCTACATTTTTCTTCCTCTCCGCCACGTTTTCCCCGACGCATCCCCAAACAGAGAGAAAGAACAGACGCTACCTAGACAACCAGTCAAGACTACTTTCGCTATATATGCATATATACACTGGACAGAGGCAAAAACACTTCCTTCAATGTAACCTCGAGTTTACAGACCGTATCCTCGTGATTGGATTATACCTTGAATATTCAACATTGTACTGTTTTTGGCCTACGCCCGGCACTGGTTCTCATGTGAGAAGATGCATTGAATATAGTTTTAGGTGTACTCCGGGCCCTATAGTTGATTATAACTAGTCCGACGAAATGAAGGATGCATTGCATTATTCATGGACCTTCAATCATAGCTCGTCGAGATGCCTGTTACTCTGAAAGACATAAAATGATAGAGCATTCCCAGCTCCACTCTGAAAGCATCAACCTGTCTACCCCGTATTTATATTTCCATCCATTACAGGCCACACTGTCCCTAAAATGGCTCTTGCCTCGTGGATGTATATCCTCCTTCTGAACCATAACTCAATACCCAAAGTCCAGTCGTATACTCTGGATTTTCGGTAAGAATATAATTGCGGTAGCATGTATATCAAGTAAGAATGCTTTACCCACCGAGGATGGGCTGTTTGTGCCATGGAACTGGTAGCCGTGGTGGCGGGTGCTTTGGTAGGGAGACCACATTTATCCACGACTTTCCTTTGCAGTCAGTGATCGAATTCGCATGGTCGATTTAAAGCACTACTGCCATATCACCGATTAAGCGCGTGGATCTATCTCCTTCTGTTCAGATCCCAACGGCCGTGCAGATAGTTCATCCTAGGAGAGGAGGCTAATTATATCTCCACCTTGCGGAGTCAAGACAATTCATAGCAAATGCTACCCTAGCTCAAGTCCATCGGAAGTAATGCGTCATCGGGTAGCCTAGGAATTCACACTGTTCGATATCCTGGAAAGTAGACCGAGCACTGGGGAAGTCCAAGCGGTGCATAGGTCCCTCCAGATGCGAGACTTCTTCCCAACGATCGAAATTGTTAACGGCCTCCAGCACTCCGGAGTATCCGCGCGCTTGAAGATAATCAGTCGAAGGGTTCGGCTGGCCGGAGCGAACAAATTCGGCAAAGTAGGCCGATACGAGTTCAACGGAGCGAAGGTCTAAGCGGTCTCGGATAGCCTCTAAGTTGCCAAAAATCCAAGGGAGGTCGGAGCCATGAAGACGAAAGTATGGGAGTTCGGGGTCGCCATTTGGAAAGTCAGACGTTGCTTGCGGTCCTCCAAGATGATTAGAGTCTCGACCTCCCATAGTCCTTTCCATCTGATAGTAATAGGAGTGTTTGAACCTCCCTGACGTGGCGCCGGCGAACGCAGTCGCCTGGTTGACGCAGCGAACGCGAAGATCTGTGGCAACTCGTTGGGCGACATTGAAGGAATCCAGCGTCATGTTGCCAGTATCATGATAAGGGAAGAGCCCGGAGTCCATAATTTTTCGAGCATGGATCTCGTCAATCCCCAGGGCTATTTGAATTCCTTCCAGTGGTGTTTTGATCGAGGCAGGTGGGTATTGACAGAAAGAGGCACCGTCGTTGGCAGTATTCCCAAACATAACAGGGATACTAGGGTGTTTCCAGCTCATGCGGAGGAGATTAATCTCTTTTGAGTTCACATAATGGCCATCCTGGACAATTTGTCGCGCAACACTGTTCAGCCCAACAAGCGTTGACGCCGGGACATCCTGTAAGCAAGCGACTTGTTGTTCGGGGGTCCCTTTGGCGCAACCTGCCTCCACAAGAATTTGCTTTCCCGTGGCATTGTACGATTCTTCGATGGTTAGATACGAACTGTACGGAGTTGCAAAGTCGTTTTGGTGGCCAAGTCCAATGCCACCCTCGAGGTTC